AAATATACCTACATTTCTAATTTTCTGATTTTTAAAAATTTTTATGTTGGTCAAAAGTTTTTTTAGAAGTTTTTTAATATTTGGCCTTAATTGATTTATTGGCAACATTCACTTGGTTAGTTATTTTGAATCAATTTAACCATTCATCCAAGTTAACTGGTCGGAACCAGGAACACCGTAGCAGACATATACGGCAAAGAAATCAAGCAATTTATATATATATATATATATACAAATACAGCCGTGACAATGTATTCTGCGATAAAACTCTATTCGCCCATGTATATTTTGTTTCCCCAATTAGTCCAAACAGTAAATCTTCCTCGGGGGCAAACACACAGCGCGTTGTAGATACCACCAGACAACAGTCAACAGTAATACACATACACACACACACACACACACAGGACCGTTGCATCTTATATACGTGCACACCGTTGCAAGGTTAACGCCGGGGTCTTACTTTTATAATAGGGTAGTAGCCTATATTTAAGTTTTCCCTGGGTGTTTTCTATTTTTTTTTTTTTGTTTTTAATTTTATTTCTGTGTACTCCCTTCGGGTCTCCCGCCGGCGACATTAAATCAACGTGCGCCGCATGTGCATTTTGTCAAACGTGCGCGCTGAACCCATTGCCGCCAGAGGTACACACACACATTAGAGTAGTCGTGGTCTTATGCGCAACACACACACACACACACACACATAGATTTTTAACATTTTGACATGTCCGGTAGTTAAGGGCCAAAGGGTCTGACAGGAAGTGCGAAAAGGTCTCCGGAGGGGTCGCGGGGACATCCTCGAGAACAGACGTCGTTATGGAGGCACGCTGGTTAGGCACGGCGAGATTTTTAAAGCGACCTCGTGTACAGAAACAAACGGATAACGATTATTAATATAATTTGCAGAAAAACAACCACGTGAACAGTTTTTTTTTCCTCCCCCCGTCACTCGTTAGTAAACACGCCGAGTTAAATGAAGAGGAAAAAAAAAAATCTGGTCCGCCAATGTGAACGAAACGCGGATGGCGGGACATCTATATAATATATGAAATATTCAAGGTTGCGTTATTAAAGAATTATTTGTATCGTTAAAAAAAAAAAAGTTCAACGGTGCGTTTGAGCCGTTCGAGTTCCGGGCTTTAATCATTTTCCGCCTTTTACATTACTGACAGTATAATAATGTATCATAGAACAAAAAAAAAAAAATTTTAACAAAATTTTCCTCTCTAAAAATTTGGCAAACGTTATGAACCGAAAACAAATAATACCATCTCAGACCCGCGTCCAAACAATACAACACATTTGAATAGTATTGATGTTTTGACCTTATAGAGTTACAAGAGTTTAAAATTTAAAAAAAAAATTAAATATGTGAATTAACCTACCCGAGTGTTTTGTTTTAATTAATAAATATACTATTAAAATTATATTTTCTGTTATTCCTACTTCTATAATATAAATAGCAATAGATTATAGAAACTTAAATTTCGATGGCAAAAAAATAAATATACAATAAATTGTTATGAGATAATAATTATAGTGACAGAGCAAGTCAAGGAAAACATAATATTATTGTAACTTATAGGCTTATGTTGACTGAACTTAACTTTAGATCAAATTTTCATTATGCGAAAGTGTTGTATTATTCTAATTAACTACGAAATTAGAAACATAAAAAAATTCGTTCCTGTAATTAAAAAAATTGGGTTCGCCGTATGTTTCCTTTTTGCAATAAACATAGTTAATGTCTCCCTTACGGTTTAGGAAAACTCGTAAAGTTTTATTCTTTTACAGCTTAATTATTTTTTGGAATCTTAAAAAAAAGCATTAAGATTAATTATGACCTTTTTATGCAGTTAAAAGTTAACAATATTACCTATTATGACAAAATAATTGTTTTTAATAGAATCAAAATAAAATATATTTTGTTATGTTACCCATCATTGAAAAAAAAATTGTCAAACAAATCTTTTGTTTCAAATAGTCAATTATATTATATTGTATACGTAATATTATATATAAGAGCAATTTTTACATCTGCCTTTTTTTATTAAAATACAGTACAAAACAAAACCCCAAATTGATTCATTTGTATTTCCATTTAAAATTGTAATATTTACTAAATAGTTATAAAGACTAAGGAGCATGTCGTTTCGTGGTGCATAATGTGTATGCAAGTATGCAACTGGTGTTGTGTATAAATATAGCATGCTACGGTTTAGTTAGTTAATCTCTACACGTGACTTTTTTAATACAAACAGTCGATAAATAACATTGTTTGTAAATAGCTATTATAATACAAAGCAAATAACGTCCTCTCGTCATAAAAATAGCCCCAGGAAAAATTATATGGCCGTGTCGTATATTATCCTTTCCAATTCCCGTTCCTTTTACGTTCTCGGTGGCAGATTTATGGGCGGACTACACAGAAATCTTTAGGTGATAAATTTCGGTAGTTACCGTGTCTAGTCCAGTTACTAATAAAATGCAATTAAATCGGTTTGTGTCATACGAAAAATGTAATCGATTAAACTATATAATAATAATAATAATAATTGGCCTGCGAACAAAATATATAATATAATATATTGAAACAAAATAATGTTTTGCAATTTATGAACAAACACAAGTAGGCAAACTACTCGTATGTTGTTCCTATTGACTTTTTATTTTCAGTGTCGAAAAGTTCAAAAACTCATTCATTAGGCTTGCTTGACTATAAAGGCCGCCTCATTCGCTGTCTAATTACATTAAAATTAAACTATAAGCTATAAAGAATATTTAAATCCGGTCGATCCTGTTACTTTCCAATTGCAAACATTTAATACCATACCTAGTTTCAAAATATATTTATACGTGTATATATTTTTATATAGTTGCAATGAGCTTTGGCGGTTAGCGTGGATGTCAGGTATAGTTTGTTTATTCACAACGTGGTATTGACTACATTGTGTAATAATAAAATACTTAAGACCTCCACGCCTAAGAATGTGTTTTCTTTTTAACCACCACACGTGGCATGGAGATCAGAGAGCCCGGACAGTTTTAGAATAAGTACGCTTTTTTTGTGCCCTGTTAATTTAAAAACTCAAGAGGACGTTATATACATCCAATTTTGATGTTTTTGTTCAAAAACAACCGTGCATCTATTAGATTCTTCGTAGCTATATGTTTAGATGAAACAAATATTTAAAATAGCCGTCAAGGATGCTGAAGAAAAAATAAAATCGTCCTAATTACACACATTACGGTCTAATAGCTTTAAATTAAAAATTGTTTGAAAAATCCCCTACACGGCTACACCTAACTCAATTAATAACTTCCTCTTAAAAGCAGTGGCGTATTTACAGGGGATGATCAGGGGGATATATATATATAACCTCCCAGGGCCATATTTTTTATGAATACAACATAAATAATAAATTTGTGAAATAAAAAAACTCTTCTTGTTACCGTAGAAGTTTTAGACGCAATGTCACAAAAAAAAATTGCATTATAATATTAGGTGAAGTGTTTTATTTTATGATAAAACTTAAATTTTATTTCACCAAACGAATACGTTTTTTTAAGACCATTATTTTTTTTCGGTAATCAAACTTTTTAAAATAAATTTTGTCCAATTCAAACTTGAAAACAACTAAAAATGTACCGACATAAACAAACTGTAACCAGTTAACAGACTATTATACTAAACAGACTGAAGTCCGGCTGTGAGGGTGAGGTTTACATAAGGGAGACAAACATTTTTTTGTTGGCTATCAGCCGCCCAGAAGAAAATTGTAAACACGCCACTGTTTAAAGGTCGCTCAATGGAACGGAAAACGCAAAAAAAAAAACAATAGTTACAATTTTTTTTTTTCAGTCATTGTGGGAGATAACTCTTTGGAAAACATTGACGGACAATACATCTTACATAACTGCTGTGGTCGCTGAAAACCATTTATAACGGCCGATTTTACACAGTCAACGATAACGATACAGTAGGTATGTACAGCGGCCGCGGATGACGGGCCTTTAATTCCTTTGCGGTGAACGGAAGTGGTTGTTTTTAAGAGAATTGATTTTCGAGGGGGATGGCGAGTGGCGGCGGCAGACTCGGCCGAAACGGCAGAAGGGAGATGCGCCGCCGGAGAATTGATTGGATTTGGTCAGCTTTTTTTTCCTTTATTTTTTTCTCTCTACTTTCACACACACACACCACACAAATGCTCGTTTCTTTTTCGGCCCGAGGAAAACCCGGGGAATTCAGACAATACATAAAACATACATACCCTCACACCCACACCCACACACATCGTCACCGCTTCTCCAGTGCGATCGGCTTGCCGGGGAATTAATGGTGTGCCGTGTGCGAGGTGGCTGCTGGTGTGCGCAGGGTTTTCCACTTTCATATAAACTCCCAAGAGCCGCACTATAGTTATTGGTATCGAGCAAATGAGAGAAATAATTATTAAACTCGACCGGTTCGCCCGCGAGTATAATAATATTATCATATGTGCAACTGTAGGGGGGGAGGGGAGGGCTTAGGGGTATTAGCACCCCCCAATTTTAAAATAAACACCATCTATTTTTTTTCGTGTTTATGTAATTAATCTCTGCTTACAAAAATATAAAAAAAACCCACAGGCTTTTTGTAGAGTTTATTGTGCACTATTCAGTATTATTTATCAAGCAATATTAGGTACCTAGGTACTTACTATCGAGTAATCATCACTGAGTGATGACTGATTAAGTATGATATATGTTTTTACCTACAGCTTTTTATGTCGAAACTAAAATATAGAAACTGAACAATTATGTAATGATTTGGAAATTGATAATTTTGATTAAAAAACACCAATTAAATCAAAACAATATCCCTTAAGCCGCTCCTACAATTACGCCTAAGATACATAATATAATATAATGCTTTATTAAACGTCAGTTCAGTTATAAATAGTAACAATAGTTTTTACCTCGTGTTGTATCGTAAGTTGTGAAAGAAACGCTTAAGACACATAAAAGACAAAAATACATATTTTATTAATAAAAATGTCAGCACTGAATTTGAGAATTTATTTATTTTCAAGGATTAAATGTTACTATTATAAACACAAAGAGATCATTTACGTAATGAAGCCTAAAAAACGAGACAATTAAAATACATAAATTATAAAAAATATATTTTAAAAGACCATAATCATTGGTCGTCTTCGCTGGCCAAACTGTCGAAATCAACAGAAGATCCATCCATGCTCCTGGGTAATGCGATCCTGGCATAGTCATCAGTGTCAATTGATTTGCAAAAATGAATGGCATACTTAAGTTTTTCGTTCATTATGTCCTTTAAAATTTTAATTAAAAAAAATCTTAGCACACAAAAAAACTCAAAACAAAGTATAGTGTAACAAGTACACTATTATCATACTCACTTTATTACTATAACGAGGTATTTTCAGAAGGAAGAAACACGTGTAACTTTCGGGTAAGAAATTATCCGGAGGCGAATAACGATCGATTACCTTAAAAATAAAATATAACAAAACGTATGAGCAAATTTCTATTTTCTATTTTAATTATAAAAATTTTAAAAAAATTGACCAATTTTAATTTTGTCATTAAGAGGACGTCATACCCTTTAAAAATAAATGCAATCACGTGTATATGGACAAGTTTATAGATCAAAGCGAAATGGTGACAGAAAAAAAAATGTTGATAAAGTTAAAAAAATAGAATAACTTTAACTAGGTTTTTTTTGGAAAACTTAAATTTTACCTTAAATACAAGCACTTAAAAAGTAAAAAAAATATCAGAATTAAAATATAAATTGTGAATGTTGGGTTAATAATATAAGAAAAGGCGGACGAGACAACCTAGATAATGTTTTCATTATTTTAAATATGTAAGCAAATTGATTTACGATTATTATATAGTTAAATATGCGTAGCTATTTTTAGATGTAAACAATTTTTTAAATCGCTGTCAAAAAATGTCTACACCTAACTCTTGAATAAATGGAGGTATGATGTCCTCTTAAGTATAGGTATGGTTTTTAGTTTACACTATTATTTTTTTTTTATTTGTTTGTTGACTTACAAAAACTTTATTTAACCACCAGCCTGATTTCTTCACATAGCATAGACTAAATTAAAAATCCTACCCAAAAGGCAAAAGAACACGTTTACCCTTTCATAATCGAGAAAAACATCCTAAAAATGCACACAACTTGTATCTTGAAATTACTAAAATCCTTTTGAAAATAATTTGAATTACTTTCAAACTTATGTTCCAAATTTATAATCAATTTTTTTTGTAAATGGTTTTTTTTTAAACAATATTTTGAATTTTTTCAATCAACCAGTAAAAATGTTTAAAAGATTATTTTAAATTCCAAAAAGTGTTAAAAATTTGTAGTCATGCTTTTGTATTAAACAAACACCAATAACAAATTAATAATAATATTCATGCAATACTAACGTGTAACACAAAATCTCTGCCACGAAAATCTTCAATAGTCCTTGGCAGTCTAGTACGACCCCAGACGAATCGCAGAAACAACGAACGCTCATGCGTTGAGAATTCAGTTAAGATTTCCCAAAACCACTGCACCAGTTTGTCACTAGCTTCTACACCTGTAAAAAAAATGTAATTATTTTTTCATTCCATATTAATTTTATGCGGTTTGCTCACAAATTTTTTTTTATTTACCTTTGTATGTGACAATACTGAGTAACATGTTAATTGGTATCTCTGGTGATCCACATACCATAGACTCTAATTCACTGTTAGTGTATAGAGACAATAAAGACACTGGTATTACTCTAGCCATGCCATCGCGAATGGCTTTGACTTGTAAATCAAATTCATGTAATCTAAAAAAAAAAACCTTGTTTTATTTTCGAGAATAACAACAATTGGAAAACGATCGCTTACCTGAAATTCAAACAAGCCTGTATGTACTCGTGCTTATTGTGTTTCGTAACTTGTTTGTGTTCAGTACTAAGAACAATGGTCTTGCCCGTCGACGATGTGGTACAAAACGATATATCAAGATTTGTAAATTCTTCTTCGCCTTCCAAATCGCGAACGTACAATAGTCCTGTAATATTATTTAGATTAAATTATGCACAGTTTACAATTGGAAAATTGATTTTTTTTTTCGTTTACCCGGGACATAGTCTTTGTCAATTTCAATGAGATCTGTAGGTAAAAGTTTCATTCCACAAAGTAACTTCCACATAGGTTCTGCCAAGTTAAGACTCAACGGACTACCAGTACGTATAGCGATACCAATTAGTACACCTGTTGGTACAAAGTCATACACAGATGTTTTAAGTGATAGTCAATATTATTAAGAATCAATGGCGACACAACGATTTTAACATAAATATATTTTGTTAACTTTACCATTGGCAATACTTTAGGTTAGATAAAGTTAACCTACCAAGAAATTCAAACATTTTCATTGGTTGTTTTGATGTAGCTGATGGGTTGAACACAAAACAATCTCGACTCGTACCAGTGTCTTCTCTTCCGTTCGGTGTTTCGATTAATATTGGGAGAGAACCGTTTTGTAGTTCTTCACACATTTCGGCAATACTCTCGCTATAGCCACCACCATAATCATCGACACTCTCACCTAAATCAATAAAGTATACTTATTAAGGTACATATATTTTAGGATCAACCAAAGAAAAACTCCCTAAGAATATTAGTTTGTCTGTTGTCTGTATCAAACTCTGATGATTAATAATGTAACTCAATACTCAATTACTCAAAAAGTGTAAAGTATGATTAGGTTTATTTGATTGTAACTGGGACTAACCGACAAATTGAACTTTCCAAACCCTATGGTATAAAAACAACGAGTCATCATCTAAAAAGTCCATGTTGTTCACCATTTGGCCAAAAACTGTATGAGAATAATCATTAGACGTGGATTTTCGCATTTTCTTCGTACGTATTCTGTTTAGCTCAAACACAGGTCCATGACGTTGCTCACGCACCATTGATAACTGAAGTACCTGATGTTTATTGTAAAACAAAGTCAGCATTATAGCGTGAATTTTTAACTGAACATTCAACAACACTCATGTTTTACCCTTTTAAATATGCTTTCTTTCACTGGATACACCATATACGGCCGTATGGAGTCCAGACTGATTTCTCCTCTTATCGGCAAAAACAACAAAATTGTTTGATTAACTGTCATTGAAAAGTGATGTAAAAGTAACAAACGATATCTCAACTCGGTCACGTCAAACTCTTGAAGCAAGTCATATTCTAATGGCACAACGGCTGGAATGGAACTTTCCGTTTGACAAGCTTCCTCGTTAGCCCACGCAAATGAATGAGCCGAGCCACAACTTACTTGTTGGATTTTTTTACCCTTTAAAAATAAAATTAAAGCATAATATGAGCAAATTAGTAGCCAATTTATGTGCAGGTTACCTTAAGCGCAGCGATTGGACGGGGTCTCGAGATTGGATGTGTCGTTCCATCACCCAACTGGCCTTCATCATTGTCACCCCAAGCGTACACCTCTCCGTCATCGGTCAGAGCTAATACATGGAGAGACCCTAAAAATCAACAATTACATTTTAAAAAGGAGTAATAAATCATTTTTGATGGGTTAAATAGATGTCTATTGCAAGTATAAGTTTTTTGAACCTGTTGCAAAATGTACAACTCTCTTCCCGTGTAGTCCACTAACTGGTTTTGGCTTTCGTACATGGTCATTAGTGCCGTGACCGAGTCTAAAGTAGTCTCCTTTTCCCCTAAGGTTTAATTACAATGTCGGTAATTATTAATGGTGTTTATAATTTGGTATTTATATAATATAGTTTTTTACCATGTATACAAAGTGCCATTCGATGATAACGCAACAGAGAATTGAGAACCGCAGTCTATCTGAATAATTCCTTTGCCAGAAAGCGATTCAATTTTGCATGGCAACTGTTTAACGTCAATGCAATTGGTTAATTTAAATTATTATTTCTAGCTTTGACACAGAGCTGAAGAAAGGACTTACTCTACACGATTCAGAAATGTTGTGTCCAAGTTTTCCGTAATCTCCATCGCCCCAAGACCAAACATTATCGTCCGAAGTAACACACAATGTTTGGGCATCTCCACTACCACATGCCACTTTTAACACTCGATACGTAATCAGACTTTGTACCTAGACATTAAAAAAAATTAAATAACAATAGTTTAATTTTTTTTTTTATAATTATTGCTAACCAGTGTTGGATATAAATAATCTTCACAATCGCCATGTCCTAGACGACCATAACGACCTTTTCCCCACGTGTAAAGATGGCCAAAACGAGAAATCGCTGCAGAATGAAAACCTCCACAGGCAATGTCAACAATATACTTGTCATTCAACGCTTGCACCAGTTGAGGTTTTACATGAGTACTAAAAATCATTAGGGAAACATGGTTATACCAATTGACAAAATATTATATTATATATTTAGTTTGTCACTACTTACACTCTATTTCCCAATCCTAGTTTACCATCGTCTCCGTCTCCCCAAGCATAGACTTCACCGTTAGAGGACAACGCTAAACAATGACGTCCGCCCGAATTGACAGCGACCTAAGGAAAATAAGAAAACAAGTTATGTTGCATAAATAGTTAAAGAATAAATTAAACAAGCTTACTTTAACAATATTGCTAAGACCTGGTACAAGTTGAGGAGTAACTACGTATGGATTTTTAGGATTATAAGGCCCTATGCCAAGACGCCCGTTCTCTGTGTAGCCTAAACATAGATATAACAATGTTGATGTAATTTTATTGAAAAATTTATTTATATATATTTAGTATAAACAGTAAACGTACCAGAAGCGTACACTTTTCCATATGATGTCACTGCAAACATTGTTTGTTCTCCGCCGATTACTTGGCCAGGTTTCAATACGGATAGCGCATCACAAGATAACGGTTTTTTCACTTGACTTGAATCCATACACGCAAGCTGACCCCTATGGTTGTGACCCCAAACATACACCACTTGACCGTTCCCTCCCCACGTCATATTCCAGTCGTCGGGCTTACTGAAAGAATATATATTTTAAATTGAAATAGTATTTTACGTTCATGAACATTCAACGCAAACGACTCACCTGTTTAACCACTGAAGCAATTGTTCGTCGTGCTCTTTGGTAAAAACCGAATTGTTTACAAAATCATGTTTGGAGTCTCTCTGGTAATTTTTATCTAAACACTCGATTTTCTTATGTACTTGACTGATGAACTCGTCTGGCATTTGTTCGTGATTAATCAATGAGCTTGCTACGTCACAACCATAACAGTAATCGACAAACCACGATGCCTCAAATTGCCAACCGCGTAAACTATTGTTAAGCCATTTCATCATGTGCACTAATGACTGTAATAAGTGTGTGAAAAAATTACATTACGTAGAAATGTTAAAGCCTTTTAATACGTACCTTGAGGTACTCGGAATAACAAAGTTGTTTGCCAGCTAAAACTGCTGTTTCTTCGTACTCAAATTGTTTCATTAACAATCGTTCAGTGCGAACTAACACGTCAGCAACTCCTCCTTCACCAAAAGGTAAAATATAAAGTTCGTGAGCCAAGTCTTTATTACGTTTGAATATTTCACTTAAGTTATTGACACACCAAGTTCTTTCTTCGGGGGCTAAAAAAAGGAAAAGAAAAATAATACCTTGTAAATACTTTACTGTAGATCAATTGAATGTTTTGAAAAGGATTAAGTGTTACGCATACTTAATGTAGTTAAATGTAATGAGAGCATCAATGTAACGATAAGTCTTTTGTTGAGATGTTTGTTGTTTTGTCTTCTTAAACATTCATGTAACAGGTTTCGAACAACCGGCAAACAGGGTCTGGAGAAAACTTCTCGGTCGGTGCCACTTTGCCTTGTTAAAGGCATAATTGGATAGACGACAAAACGCCAACCCCAACCGTTTACAGATTTGTCACTCATAAATTTCCAGTGAAGTTCATTACCTAATGACAGTAATTTATTATTTTAAAATTTCAATGATCAAATATAAAATACAACATACGTTGAATAAATAACGGAGTGGCCCATTCTGAATCTCTGCCTGATCTGACGCTTATCACATTTTCAGATCCGTCCATCAATGTTAAAGTGTCTTTGAGTTTTTCAGTAGAACAATTAGGACTGAATTCTATGTACAAAGCAATTGCACCTAAAACAATTAAATTATAAATAATTTTAAAGATTATTAGTAGTGAAAATAAGTAACCAAATCAACAGTTAACCGTTTTTCTCATTTTTTATTAAAAAAATTGTATAGAACATGTACTAACTACTAAATACTTAAATAATATTAATTTTAAAAAAAGTCTACCTGGTATAGACACATATCCAGAAAGGTAAGAATCGTCTTGATACGGATGGGGACTTTCTTGAACCATGTGTTTTGAAGGCGGAGACACAAGAAATGAACAATGTGTGTAAATTGCTTCTATTTCAGACATACAGTACTCCAGCAATAGCTGTATGTGCATATTTGAATGTATAAAAGCTGTAAATTAGCAATCGAAAAACTGTTAGAACACAAGCTAAACGTGACTCTGGCACACCTATATGTTTAGTTACCAATAAATGTATTAATGAAGACACGGTCAGCGTTTGGACCAAGTCTATGAACAAATGCTAGTTTTGATAAGTCTAATAAGAGCCTGATGTCTTTTTCGTCTAATGTACTCAAAAAACCATCAATAGTTTTCAACGATAGTAGTGATGTATCATTTAAACCAATCAACTGGAAACATTTTTTTATAAAATAAGTGTTTATAATAGTGTTTTTGAATATACACAGATTTTTATTAAATATATATTTATTATTTTATACAGGGTGCTCAGCATGAAAGGATGCTGTAACACCTGTATATAATTCATTATTTATTTTATAAACAGTATGATTGCTCATAAGTGTTTGGGTTTTTAGATGTCAGTAGGTACCTGTTTTTTTGTTTTAATAGTAGCTGCGACAATTGACATTGTGTTAGTTGCTTTTGAAGACAACGTACTGGCCGAGCCGGTGAGCGATGAAGTCATTTGAATTGAACTTTCCATACTGTCTGGTGTTATTACATTATTCTAAATTAACAGTCAACAATTTGTTATTAAAAAATAATTATTTAAAAAAAAAAAATTATTTTTATAAATACCAAATGCAAAGGACTGTCTTCTAAATTGGGAGCTGGCGCCTCACCTCCCCCCTGATCCATCTGAGTGGTTTCTTCTTGTATTTTAATGTTTGTAACTGTAATATAAATATTACTAATCATATTATAACTATAATAAAAAGTTATTTAAAAAATATTTACTGTTTTCGGTAGGAGACATCAGAGAAGCTAGGACGATTTCTCGAGCCAAAGTGATCCGTAAAGCGTTTAAAACATGTTGTAAAGCGTTTTGCTTAGCAGCGGCTGAATCTAGTAACAGCATAGTCCTAGATAATGAATATTTGTCACAGTTGATTTGTTCATCTTCTTTTTTAATTTTACTCTCGATAGTTTGACCTGACGAAAAATATAATATTGAGTTCTGAAAATTCAATTTGAAAATGGTCAAAATATTGTTACTTAATGCCGCAGCACCCATAGCATCTTTGATCCGTACAAATTGAACAGGTTCATCGGACATCAACAAAGGTAACTCTGGACATTTCCATGCTATTGATTGCGATGACCCACAACCGACACGATTTATTTTCGTATTACTGAAATTAGTAACTAATTTTGGCTTTTGATTGGGACTAGTCGAACCATTACCCTGTTGACCATGGTCGTTATCACCCCAACAATATACCTGTAATTGGGTTGAAGAAAAAACTTAATTAAAATTTATACAAAAGTACTATTTACTAACTTCTCCTTGCGTAGACACAGCAATACAATGCAATGTTCCTACTGCTATATGATCGATTGTGATTAATTTCAATTGATTTACAAGTGTTGGTCTTCTGACATGTTCATCATTTCCTAATCCCAGTCGATAGTAGTCGCCTTTACCCCAAGTCCATACCTTATAATATAAGAATTAATATTAGCAAAGCAAAAGCATAAAGTATAGTTTTAAATAATAAAAAAAAATGTCACAGCATGTTAACTATCTTTAACTTACTTGTCCGGATGCAGTTAACGCAACAGAAAACTGGGCCCCACATTCTATTTGTATGACCTTGTGTCCAATTAGCCTGTAAACCTGTTGTGGTGTACAACAGCCATTGCTACCACCTCTTCCGAGTTTTCCAAAGTCACCGTCACCCCACGAATAAACATTACCGTCGTAGTCCAAAGCAAGAGTTTGAGCGTCGCGGCTACCACAAGCCACTTGAACAATCGTTTTACCAACAAGTTCTTTTACCTAAAGAGAAATATTGCAATTAATCCAAAATAAAATTAACTCTTAGACTACTTACTAGCTTTGGTGTACACTGAGAAACCTCATCGCCGTGCCCTAAACGACCGTACTGGCCTTGACCCCAAGTATAAAGTTTTCCATCAGAGGTAATCGCAGCACTATGGGCGCTTCCACAAGCTATATAGAATATTCTTTTGGCGAGCAAGGCTTCAATGATTTTTGGGGTATCCAATGTGTTTGTATCACCATGGCCAAGTTTACCGTCTTCTCCATCACCCCACGATAATACCTACATGAATTATAAAAATGTATTAATTGACACATTAAGCAATTATTCAAATCTATTTATTCTTAGGCTTGTCTTTCAGCTTAATAATATATTAAACCTTAATGTATTATTAAACCAAAATGATTAAGGAACCAAATGTATAGTTTATATTACTTTTCCATCAAAAGATAATGCCATTGCGTGTTTGCCTCCAGAATGTACAGCTACAGTCTTAATAACGAATTGGCTGAGTCCGGGTATCTGTCGTGGTAAACTTACTTTTCCACAAAATGGAATACCTAAACGACCACCACTAGTATCGCCACAAACAAAAACCTAAACGAAAACTATGTTATTTTTATAATTCATACAAATTAGTATCAGATTCAGTTTTAATACCTTGCCCTCATTCGAAACAACAAATAACGATTTTGATCCTCCGATAATTTCTATCGGTTTGAGAGATGTCAATACTTCATTGTATGTAGGCCTTTTTACTTTAGAACCATTTAAGCCTCCGAGTTGACCTTTGTCGTTTAAGCCCCAAACATATACAGCATACTCAGAGTCCACTTTAATTTTGTTTTCAGACTCTAATTCTGGAGGAAATTCCTAAAACATAAGGGATTAATGGCCTTCATCCTTATGACACTTAAAAAAGTATTACTTGTACTGAATCAAATTGAGAAGCTAATATGTCTGGCGTAGTTACAGATTCTTGACAGACTACATCAATTTTCAATCCATTCACCACACACGTTGTATTTTTAGTATGCATTGCTATTTCAACACATTGATGACACTAGGATAAAAAAATAAAATAAAATAATAATAAACAAAGCAAGCACAGTGGGATCAGAATAGAGTGGAGACGGACCGACCATATTAGGGTCGGAGATGTCTTTGGGAATTATTATAACATAAGGTGTTAAAAATACTTAGAAATAAAACTTTTGATGCAAAACTCTAGATGGTAAAAACTATTCTATATAAATCAGCGGTATTCAAACATTATCATCCCATGGCAATTGTGTCTTCACAATATTTTGATGGCTCCCAAATTATTAATTCCCCATTACGGTTTACATAAAATTATATCCTGTACGGCTCCTTTGTTGGCCAACACACGTGATGCCCCTGAGAGCCGCGATGCACAGTTTAAATAATTTTATAGATAATCACATGTGGTCATAATCGTATCATTTGCTTTTAATGTTTTTATTTCAATACATTTTTTAAGCTGATAATAATCTACTCAAAGTTAATTGGTCTGGTCAGCTGTTATGCCAATTATTATAATAATAGATCTAAAGACTTGCTACATGGAGCAATCGTACGAAGGTTTAAATAATATTGTGGGTTCACAGAAAAAATAAAATTCAAAAAACACATGCTTCAAATCAAAGCTAAAAGTCAATGAATAAGTAAAAAAGTTTTAACACACTAGAAGGTAAAAATATACCTTATTTATTTCGTGCAAAAGTGATACAGTGTCATCCAAAGAAGAAACTATGACATTATTTATTTCTTCCATGACACTAAAAGAAGCTCCAGCATTGACTATTATAGACAAAGGTTTACACTTGTCATTTTCGCCATCTAATTTCATTAATAATGAATGAATAGCTATGTTAGGTAGAAATTCCAAATGTATCCAATGCTAAAAAAATTATAAATTATTATCAACCATAATAAGCAGTCAAAAATATTCTTACAAATCCTTTAGGGTTTTCACTGATCCATTTGTTGTTCGATTTCCAATCAAATAAATTTGGTATCATGTTTTCATCAGCAGATGTCGTACATTTTGCAATAAAATCCGATATCTGATCTTTATTTGGATGGTTCGAAAACATTGGAATACTTTTGCCTGGATATAAAAATGAACAAATTATTTATGTTTACTTATTCAACATAGTTGACATTTACCTTCAACACAGTCTTTAGGCAACTTCAGTTTCTCCAGAAGTTTGTTATTATCTGTTGAAGCATAATCGCTGGACGACATACCATAATCGATCAGTTCAATGTGAATATATCTCACCCAATAGACGATACCAACAGTTTTCCACTTTACCTGAAAAACGGTTTTAAAGTTTAATTTTATGATTTCAATAAAATCATACAACTATAAAAAACAAAATAAATTATACCTTGACATTTAAATCGTGTAGACCTCCTTCTCTCATAACCTTTAGTACTTTACCCTCGCAGCCTACGTTTATACTTTCGTATTCCCTACAACAACGTACAATCATGCCGACGTCAACAGCTAATTGTATGTATTTTGCATAACTATCAGCACTGTCGAAATCATTTCGTTTTTTAAATACTACTTTTTCATTTCTAACAGGCTGTTAAAAAAAAAATTGAATAAATATTTTTAAATTTATCCTGTAATATAATATACTAATATAAAAATAACTTACGAGGTCTGTACATTCTTCAGTGAATGACGATTCATCTCTATCGGAAAAATCTTCATAAGAAGACAATGTGTCGGTTACATCGGACAGACATTCATTTTTTCCTTCCATCAAGAACGATACTAATGTATCGAGTGACGTGTAGCCATGTGCTTCTATAGCATTAAAGACACACTGTTTGTTGAAGCCCATATCGGCTAATTGAGCCAATAGTAAATTTAATGTACTTTTTGAAAAATATTTTGACCATTTGAACTGCCGTACACTAGATGACTGCGAATCTGCTGTTAGATATTGTGTCAAATTTATAGCAGTGTCTTCTAGTTCTTTTTTAGAGTATTCTGGTTTTACAGGAGAAGGCTCCACAGCTTTTGACAGGATAAGTTGGAAAAGACTTTTTGATTTTACATCACCAACTGCTGGCTTAGACAGAATTTTTCGTAATAAGTTTCGGTTTTCAAGAAGAGCGCTAACAACTTTTATGCCAGCTAATAATGCTTTTTGATAGCAGAGAAGAGATTCATTGACGGATCCGCCTAAAGCAAACATTATATTAAAACACAATTTTTTTTTTGCACTAACTATCATTTGTAAGTTGTTACCTGTTACTGTTTTGAAAAATTGATTGTTAAGGACCACTGAGAACATTGCTATCCACGTATCAATCATAGATTCTGCAAAGAAGTCTGAGGCTATTGTACAACTAGGAACACAATGAACATCTTTAATAAAAAAAATGTCAACTCTTCCTGTGTCGCGTTCTAGCGCCTTAAGTTTTCCTTTTTTCTCAATGCTCATGACAGTAGCTAAGCCAAGAATAATTATTATAAAAATTAATAACTACTAACATTTTTATTTGTTAATTATAAAAATTAATCAATACCTTCGCTGTTCCCTTTAATGAATATGTTTCCTCCAATCCTAGGACGATTGTCGTATCCTCCAATAATCATTAGCGATGCCATAGCGCTGTTAGATAATCCATGTGATATCTAAAAAATAGAAACAAATATATTTAATATAATATTTTTAAAAATTATTAGGTATACCTACAAATGGGTTTTTCTCGAGTGTTGGATTAGTTAAATAGTCAGTGGCCGATATTAAATTTAGAACGATCAATGAATCAAAGTACGATGGTAAATTAGTGATACTTGTTTGCTTTAAATTATTATTGTACAAGCAACGTAATAACAAAATACATTCTTCGGCAATTGTGTTCAGACAAGAAGCAGTTAAAGGTACTGAAGGTTTTCCATCTAAAAATAAAACAAACTATACAGTAAAGTAGATAATGTATTTTGATAATTATTTTTTGTTCTTTTTACCTATAATATCATATTTGGAATTGTTTTGTAAGACTGTTGATCCAATAACTTCCATAAGAATTTCCACAACAGCTGTAGTAGTGGACGAATCAGCAGTTTGCGACATAACCAGGGTTTTGATTAATTGTATAGTTTGTACCTTTAAAATATATAAAAAAAAAAAATTAAAAGCAAAATAAAAAAACTATTGAAATCCCCTTCGTTATTTTTTGAAAAATTGGACCCGAGCACTAAAATTTCTTTATATTAAATGACAATACAAAGGAAAAATGTCAATACTTGAGCCGTGAGATTAGAAAAATTCACTGGAGATTGAGAGACAATTGACAAAAGCATATCAATCCATTGTTTGCTCGATAATTGTTGTTTAAATCCTTCCGAAACTGATGTTATAACTTTCAATAATGGAATGTTGATCCATTCTGAGTTGAAAAGAATAGCATTTGATGAAACACTGTTGTTTGAAAAGCTCTTCTACAAAACATACAAACATAATAACAACGAATAGTAAATTTTTTTTTTTTTGTCAATTCCTAATATTAACTCTGTAATTTTGGATCCAAAAAAGGCCAATGTAATATTTAGTTCTATAAGAATGCAAGCATTGAGGTTTAATAATTTTTAAATAATTAAGGTAACAATATAATTTTTTTTTAGGGAAGTTTAAGCATACAACAATGTATACACAATAAGTAGTTAATACTATTTTTAACCAAATATTGAAACTGGCTCTTAAGGTGGTGCTCATTTGTTATTGTTTTTTTATTTATTTTACCTGTAATGTATTGTAGTAATATTTAGACAGAATTTGCACAGAGCTATTGTTGTTAGATGAAAATACTGCACTCGATAAGGCTAAGCAGTTAAGAAATTTAATTATCACATATTTTAGTACTTCAAACGGACTGTCCATTGAATTTTCATAAATATCTATTTAATACACAAAAATAATATTTATTGAACAACAAATATAAAATAATATACACTATACAGCGAGACATGTCTAAGACAAAATCAAAAAAAATTTTATGTATTTAAGCATTTATTGTTTTGTTCGGTAAAGTATACGTGTGAGCTGTTTTGGCAACTATATTGGATTTACACAGAGTATGTCTTTAGACAGTTTCACTGTAATAATACATTTCACTATACAACTGTTTAGTAATTACCAATGTCATTTATACAAGATACATTGCAATCTGACTCTTCTTCATCACCGGTTTCCAAACCAGGTGCAAGTTTCAAATCGTATTTACCCTCTTTGCCCATTCTGTAAGAATTAGACACACCGTGATCCCAAAGGACTCTAACCCAACCGTCATCACCGACTTTGCTAACGATTTGGCCTTCTCCCGGCGGTGAACCATCCTAAATAAACATATTATTTGATGACAACTTGTTTTCTAATAACCATAACTGATCATATTACTTGATTGTCCCACTTCCAGTCTTCTCCTCGAACGACCCTCGCTCCCAATTTTAAATAGGGTATGATTTCGGCTCCCTTTACGCATCTAATTTTATTCAAGTCCTCTTCGTGAATAACTTGTTTAGTAGTTATGATTTCAATCTGACGTTTTGGAGCAAAGTCCAATACATTTATAATAGAGTTGATGGCAGTTAATACGCTGGAGTTGATCAAAAGACTAGACTCTTTACCATTTAAAATATGTGTGATGGATCCAAATATCGCGATAGCAAACCTAAGAACACACAAATCTGACACACACGAGTCTTGAGGTAAAATTTAACCGACATTTCACCTACCTGCACCAGGTCATTTTCTTCACAGTAGCTATTTTGTCTCGAAGGCTTATCGACTTCTGGATTTCACCTATTTCGGTGCTGAGCTGTTTGATTTGGTCTAAAGCACATCTCATGAATTCACATTTAGCAATGAGTAACTTGAGTTTTAGCGGTACCGACACAAATTCCACTTTGTTATTGATTCTGAATTCCCGTTAATTTAAAAAAAAAAAAAGTTAATAATTATTATTATTGTTATTTAAAAACAGGGTATTGGAGAAACTTTGGCGGAAAATTTACATTATACTCTTGCGCTATTTAAAAAAAATATAACAAATTTTTTAATTAAATTAGTTTTTACATAGTTTAACAGAGAATTTTATTTATTTTTTCTAATATGGTAATACTCTAGTTAAACAATTATGATGATATTTAAATATTTATTACCTAGCTGAAGGACAGTTGGGCGTTGCCGACAACCAACCCGATATAATACTGTATTTTACAGAGGTGATGGATGTAGAGTTTTTGAACAACTTGCATATTAATTCATAACCGGTTTGTAGCGAATTGCACCTATCAATCTAATTGAAATAACAAAAAACACAAGTCACATATACAGTTTACATTAAGTTTTATGTATTTTATTAGATTTACTTCTGTATGCAACAATTTTTGTAGTTCATGAATATCGACATTTGACAATATAAATGAATAAATAATGTTAGTAGTATCAGTACGTTTTTCTTTTATCTTCTCTATATCTATTTTGGATGAATTTTTTAACTTCATAGACTTGCCTTTAAAAACGAATTAAATTATTTAAATTATGTAGAATAAAATACATTATATTTATTAAGCATCAAAATTAAGATTTTTTAAGTTTTGATAGCCTTTTTTTAAAATTTATTTTGAGCCAGTTTAGTTGGTTTTTCAATAAAAATTCTACTAAACCAAAAAATAAGGACCACCTTGTAGATGTGTTTATTGGTTAAGAAATATCAAAGCATAGGTTAGATTATGTATCAGTTGGAATCCATTCCTTAAAGGTGGGTTTTACACGTTCAGTTTAGTTAGCTTGAAACAACTACACTAAGAAATACCATAAATTAGTTTGCATACTTTAAATAAATGTGTAAACCACTTTAATAAAATCGAAATCATCAAAAATAAATTTTAAAAACATCACATTTAAAAGATTTAATATTTAAAAATCAGAAGAAGAAAGGAAATTACACGCAATTTCAATTTTTTCTTCAAACTAATATATCCTTAATGAATTTCAGTTTTTTATACCACTTAAGTAAACCAGACTTCCAAATCGATTTTATATTACACAAGAAATAATCCACAATTGATATGAAAGGTAGAAAACAAAAGACTTGTGCTAAACAGGTCGATAAAATGAAATGCCTACTTACCATTTTCTGATGATTTAGAAGTTGAATGTTTTTTAATCAATTTTGGTTTGACTGTATATTTATTTTTGGATAAATCCTGAAAACAAGTAGATTAATTTAGATAGAAATTAGATCAGATAATAGCCAAAATAATTTAAAAAAAAAGATAATTCTTTTACCTCATCATTTTGTAATGGTAAATGTTGATTCCGAGCTTTGTGATTTCTAACATTTTTATTGGTTTTAATGCTGGAAACTACAGAATTAATAACAGTTTGCCAACGGGATTCGACTTTTATAATTGGTAATTTTTCAGCAACGGTGACTTTAGGAGACATAATAGGATTCAGCTCGTTAAGTAAAAATCTATGTGAGTATAAACAATTCAATAACTATAACAAAGAGCCACTCTTAGATTTGATCATGATTGAAATATACAAGGTTATTGCACATATACCCTTCTTCATCAAATATTCGATGATAAAAACAAATATGTCAGCATAATTGGCAGCCATCAAAATCAAGTACATAAGTACATAATATATAGTAATAATAAATTATATAGTAAAATTTATATCCCGTTACGCTGCCATTTTATTTCTGAAGACAAAAAATTCGAGACAATGTGCAATAACCTGTATATTTCAACCATGGATTTGATCGACAAACCTGCATCGTTCCAAAATCGGATTACACACTTCTTGGTAGTTTAGATTCATATCCTGTTTGGTTTTGAGAATTTGCATTTTTATTTGACTGAATATTTTAGCAATAACATCAAATGGTATTGATTTATCTACAATTACAAAATTAAACAATACGAATCTTTTAACTACAATCAATAGGACACAGCAATTATTTCAGTCTGGATTTAAATAACAAACCTTTTTCGAAAATATTATTTGTTTTTAGATTTAGATGTTTCACCAACACTTTGGCAAGAGTCTGAATCAACTCTTCCACAGGGTGATCTGCACTGTACTGAATATGACTATCGACTGATTTAGAATTGTCTTTAGATATTTGTAATAAAAAGTTTGCGCACTCATCCTAAAAAATTGTACAAATATCCTCGTCATTAGATATATAGCATTTCAACTTTGAAGTTAACATGTAATACATACATAATCAATGTCTTTATTGTCTTTAAGTCCAGCGTTAAGAATTTGAGACCAATTTTGATAGTTGTTGTAATTAGCAAACGAAGGGCATAGAGTGGTGAGCCAATGTGAATGAAGCCCTAACAAGTAACCCAAAGTTCGATGAATGTCAAGCAATAGCGATTCCGTTACGTTTGAATCAATCGGCTAAACAGATTAAAATGTTTTGTTAATCGAAAAAATATTTTCTTTTGCTAATTTTGTAATTACCTCGACTATATCGTCATCAGGATCTAAATAATTTCCAACAAAGCACGATTGCAATGTTCCCTCAGGAATTTCGGTTAATACGTGCTCGTAAATAGACGACGAGTGTAATAAATTGTTAAACGAATAATTACTCTCATTAGATCTATGGAAATAAATTACAAAATAAATACATAAAAAAATATTTTGTGATTGATCAACAAATGCAGACCTTGTATCTTGAAGGTCATAAACTTTTTTATTGAAAACGACCCAATGTCCTCCATTCCTGTTATGATTTTCCAAGTCTGCCTTACGTATTAGGACAACGTCTTCTGTATTTTTATACCAAGTATTACACGTATAATCTAATAATTGAAAAAATATAATAATGAAAAATAATATATTTTGTAATTTGATAAAAATCCTACTGGAAAATCCTGGCCAAGACAAATTATCGTCTTCTTCTCGTTCTAAGTCGGGAGTCATCATATTAAATTCATCCAGCGCATTAAGTAAAGGCATGAAAAGACCAAACCAATTTACATGTCGCATGAATAATGGAGTTTTTTGATGAATCATTATCAAACTTATTAAAAGTTCCATGAATAATTTATCTTTAAAAAAGAAAATGCATAAATAGTTGTTAATATTACCGTTTTAACCTAAACAATTTATTTCAAATAAAAAAATAAAAAATGTATACAAACCAAATCCTGTAATGCTAATGATTTTAATAACAATATGATAATGTTTGGTGCTACGATCGGCAATGTGAGTTGCCAATCTAATTGCTTGACAAGCTCGCTTAATGAAATGTTTTAAATATTTCATAAAAAGTAATTCGGCACCATTATTGTACACATCTGGAAAATTAATGTTATGTAATAAAAAATTACTCTAATAATCGTTTAATACAATTTATACCTTGGTTGTCATGAGTTTTATCGTCTTTAGTTTTCTTATGACAATATATTGCCATAATTATAAGTCGTTGAAATGTTATTATAAATTTAAGACTCGGTGACTGTTTAAAATTAATTGTAGGTAACTTCACAGTGTGTATTTGGGTTGAAAGACTTGTAAAATAATTGCTGCGCAATTGATAAAATTATCAATAATTACACAATATAATAATACTTTTTTATTTTACTTACTTAAGTAGTTGAGAAACAATAAAATACAACGATATATTTGTTCCTTCGAAATTTTGATTAGATATTTCAACATTATTCTTCTCTTCATCTGAAAAAAAAAACATTATTACATGCATGTTGTGAAACAGTATGTAATTTACAGTTTATTAACTTACGTTCAATAGCTTTTTTTAAAAACGTAAGAAGAATATCGTCACCAAGTAAACTATTTGTTGTAAGATTTATCATAAATTCTTGGTTTCCGCTTATCACTTGGGTTTCGTCTAAAATTAAGAAATCCCTAGTAATATATTAAAACAAATTTGAACAATAAAAATCATACCGTTGGGCGAAGTCAGTGGCTGAAGTATTGTGCACAACATTTTAGCTCGCTCGTTTGGCGTTTGAAATAGTTTTAGCCATCCTATTTCTAAAGCTTTTTGCGCAGCAACTTTTATAGTTTTTATAACTTTAGGATTTGACGCTAATTCAGTAACTGATTGGCGTATACTAAGTAATAATTTAGAATTTCTTACGAGTCCAATAGTATCGGCACTCACACGGTTGTTTATCATTGAATGAAACTACAAAAAATTAATTCATCATGGAAATTAAAAAAAAAAATTGGTCGAATACACAAATTTACTAAGTATTGAACTTACTTGTAATGTGAGCAAATGTAGTACAGATATTATTACACATTCTTGTTGATGAGAGGGAGGCCAATCAATATACTGTTTATATTCATCAAATTCATTACATAAAAGTTTTTCCAATGAATTCAGCGTTTGTATTTGTAAGTCGGTAACAAACGGCGTACACGTTCCGACATCAAATTCCTGATATTTGTACCAAGCAAAAAACTTGAAAAACAAAAGCATATTTAAGTAAAAAAAAAAAAAACAAGAGTGTATAATATATTTTAGAGTAATTATTATTTACTTGATTTGAGCAACCGGCTACTTTTTTAATTTGTTTATTAGCAAGACATTTTACTGGCCTGCAATGGGTTGTATTTTCATTGTCTAATTTACCCCAACAATACACTTGTCCTGTGGCCGTCAAGGCTAAAGTATAACCCTCAGATATAGATAAAGATACTACTTTTTTACCTATTTAAACAATACATGACATTTTAAAAATATCACAAACAATTGTTTTGTTACTTGTTTTATGACTTACCATTCAAATACTTCACTTTTTTAGGCCGATTAACTCGAAATGAATTATCATGACCTAACTGATTATGGTCACTATTACCCCAAGTGTATACATTGTTACCACAATCAATAACAGCTTTCATATCATAGCGGCAATAGATTGATATAATTTCATAGTCAAAAACAATCATACTGGGTATTACACTCAACGACTGATCATCAAGCCCTAGTTTAAACAAAATTAGAGTATTTAAAATTTTAGTTATCTAAGATTTTTTCCTACATTTAAAAAATTATTATTAAGACATAGAAAAAAATGAATATCTCCCTTTTTTCTTTAATCTAATAACGTATAATAAACTAACCAGTTTTGTTATTTCTGTATTCAAATGAGAACACATAACCTTCTCTAGATAAAGCTAAAGTGTTAGTAATAGATGCTCCACAAGAAACTTGTAATATGTGTCTATCTAAAAAATTGAATCAGTTGAATTAATTTGTTCTAGTTATTAATTGCTTTACATTATTAGTAATTATTTATTAAACAACTATTAGAATTGTAATATTTCTTGTTATTTTACCTGATATAGATTTAACCAATTCCGGAGTATAGCAACAATTGTCTTCGTATATTTTACCCCACATGTACACTTTGCCGTCTTCAGTAACAGCAGCACTAAAACATGTAAAATTAATATATTTCATTTAAATACAAGCCAATTTCAACCAAAGTCATACTATATAGTTTTTAATAAAAATAAAGTAAAATATTACCTAAAATCTTTACCGCACGAGACCATTTCAACTTTTATTTTAGAAAGAACTTCAATTTTTTCTGGCATTATAATAGCAAGATATTTTTGACTGTGACCTAGAGCGCCAAACTCATTAAGGCCCCATGAATAAAGTTCTCCATTTTTAGTGACTGCCATATAAGTTTCTTCAAAAACATCAACCGATTTGACAGGACCGTTTAATATTTGTTTTTCTTCAAAATTCTAAGAATAAAAACAAAATAGTGAGTATGAACAATTTAACAAATTGGAGGAATTCTTTTTGAATTATTTCTATAATGTAGTAAGTGTTTTATACATTAATTTATATATTAGATTATCATACTCAAAATATTTAATTTGTTATTTGTTTGGAAGTATGAGAAGTGTTCATTTCCATGCTGAACCTTTAAGTACAGCAGGAAACTAACGAGTTCTTAAAAAAATACAACAGACCCAAATTTTAGGTAGAAATTGAACGCATAAATACTTCTCAAAATATATTAATAAAATTGAAATTGTATTTGATAACAATTAGACATTACCGTAGAATCTGTTGAATAACTAATAAAATGCAATTTTCCACTTGTGGTAACGACTAATAATTCATTTCTTGAACATGCTACTGCTTCGACAAGTAAATTTTCAAGCGTAGAAGTAACTTTTTTCTTGGTTTCAGGAATAAATTCTTTACCCCAATATTGTACAATATGATTTTTATTTTTAATCTCATTAGTTTGCTATAAAAAAATTTTTAAAATTAAATTACGACTCCTACTTAATCGGCGACAAACTTCAATTTACTTGTAGTTGTAAATACGTAGATGCAATCTGATCTAAATATGATAAAACCGTAACGGCTGTTTGCTTCATTCCAGTAGGTTCAGAGTCACCGTGCAATCTTAAAAAACTTTTTGTAACCATTCCCTACAAACAAATAAACATTGTATAAAAACAAAATAAAAATTTACTTATTAATAAAATATACATAATATTATTAATCACCTCATTAGTACCACTTGTATTGAAATTAGTGTCTCCCTGAAGTCTAGTTACAATCCAATTCAAACGTCGTAGGGTCAATGTTAATGAGTTATTAAGATATTTACCACCCAGTCTTAAAATGATGTTAAAACATTACATTATTTTTTATAAACTATTTTATTTATACAAATAATCATTACTTGTCACAACAGGCTCCTAATTCAAAAAACATAAGCACACACTGTAATAGTTGGCTCAATGACTTTTTTTGTAAGCCAAGTTCCAATAAAAGACACAAAGCAATTTGACGGTCAATATTAGGTATTTTATCAATGCTTTCCTTATCTGATACAATTATATTTCTGTAATTAATAATAATAAAACATGATTAAGGTAAAAACTTTGCTACGGAACTAAACGTTGTACACAAGTTATCTCACCCGCTAACAACTTGAAATAGGAACTTTGATGACCGTTCTAAAGTCTCAATCCAAAACATAGGTATATTATATTCATCTAATAGGAACTCTTCAGGAACGCATTGTAATGCTGTCAATGACTCTTTAAGCATTTGTGTGCACAGATCAGAATTATATCCCGATTGCCATGTGCTGACTAGAAATCCAAATGAGAAGTTCAATGCAGTTTGTGTACCTATTTTAGCAAATATAGAATCTTTTCCTTCATCTATAATACTTCTAAAAGTAAAAAACAAAATTACAGTAACACATTATTAAACACGAATAAATATTATTAACTTATTAGTTGGTGCATGAGAATGTCCAGTTTTACAGTATGAATACAATGCGTGGCTTAGAGAACATTTTTAACAACTAAACGCTACTTACTCATTAATTGTTTTAGGAACAGAAGAAAAATTTTCTGTTGGTGCTAAACTTGTCTGTGCTTTTGTACTGTGCTGATGATGTGAGCTTCTATAAAAAGCTCCGAAGTAACGAGACGCAATAGCTATTCGTAATTGAGTGCGATTAAAAAACAAAGTCGAATAACAAATATCCTCACAAAGTTTTTCTTGTTCAGCAGCAAAACTTGATATTAATGAGATGATATCATCTTTACCTAACAAAACAAAAATGTTTGGACAATTATTTAATTACTCTTCATACAGTTGATACTAATAGTACAATTAATTAAGATACTAGAAATTTTAGTTGGACTATTAAAATTATAATATTATACACAATTAATGCTTAGATTGAAAGGTAGCGCTGTTAGCGACTCTTAAAGGTTTATGCCTAGGTGAAAATTGGCAGAGTAAATGAAATGTTTAAATGAAACTACAAATGAATTAAATATGTCCTTACTGCAGTTAGATTTCCATACAATAGAATCAAATATATGCTTGGAGTTACATATTTCATTGATATCGTACGATTTACAAGTAATACAGTTGCACACTTTGTCCACTTTGTCATTACAAAGACAGTTCGGAGCCCAGAGTCTAATATAATGATTTCCAGTAAGTTCTGAAGAAAAACCAAAACAAAAATATTAATTAAACTAATTATTAAAATTATTATCAATTTATCATCTTAAAAATTAAAATGTCATAAGAAAACCTTTCTTAGGATGCGATTGGCTTTTGTCTACAGGAACTAGTTCAAAATCTTCCAACATTTCATTCCAATAATTGGTAAGGTGGTTTTCACCCAATGCCTCGTGAAGCTCTATGTTCAGCCATTTGGTATCGTGAGAAGTCTTTTGTTTTATTGTAAATTCGACTTTAGTGCTCATTTATGTGTTTTAGTTTAACACGATAAGAAAACAAACTGCACGTTTTCCATTAACAAATCTATTAATTTAGGTACTTTCTGTAGATACCTACATTGATTGTTGCATTAAGAAACGAATTCGATAATACATACATAATGTATTTAAAATACATCGTAAAATGTCAATATGTTAGAATTTCATTTTCAAAACATTTTGTTAAAATTGTATAGTTAGAACTAGGTAGAATTGGATAAAATGCAAAATTCGTTAGGAACTAGGAACAAATACAATTTTTTCTTTTTTCTTTCATCGACCATCGTTATCAACAATTACCTACCGCTATCGAGATAAAGAATACACACTGTATTCTTTATCTCGATGCCGCGCACTCACCACGCAGATAACACAGAATAGATAAAAGCAGAAGCACAGATTACATGAAACATGTAATCTATGATATTGTCGCCATAGTATAACCACAGATTATATGAAAATTAGTTAGATTATTATCTACCTACTATTCCAACACAGTGAATATTAGTGTTATCGACGGGGTCAATATTATTACCTATATAACATTAATTATATTTTTAACATTTAATATGGTAGGTAAATAATCATATAATCTGTGGTAAATACAAGTTCGATAATTTCGTTCCGGCTGACATGGCCACACTGGTCTCATTTTTTGTTTACACCGAGAGTGAACAATCTGTTTTCATATAATCTGTGGTATAACTTACCATAGTCCAGAGCCGTGTATTTTACAATTATTTACATGTTAGACGTTTCCTATTATTTTTATACTTCAAGTTTTAAGTTATTTTCACATAAAAACAACAATAAAATTAATTAATATCGTATAACATTTTATGTTATAAACTTTTTATTTCTAAGTTAATAATCATGGAGTTTAGTAATGAATTGTTAGGTGGTTATTCTTCGAAATTGATTAATATTAGACAATTTAAGACGGAAAATGCTTATGAAATGCATCCAATTAAGGTGTCCAAAGTTACTGAACGTAAGATATTTGCAAAAATTCAGTCAATAAATCCAAATGCTGATATTTCAAGTCTTCAGAATGAAATTAAACTTTGTGAAGCCAAGCTGCAAAAGCTTAATTTTCAAGACTTTTTTGATTCCCCTGATTCCCTAAATGCACGATGCCTTTTCCCTATTTATGACACTGCTACTGGTGATCTCCAAACACTAAAAAAAAAAAAAAGTGACTTATATCAAACTAAGAGAACAAGAATATATTCACCTCTTCCGAATTTCACTCCTCGAGGCAATATAGTTCCAGGCCAGACAGTATTAATTACCATTTCAGTCTACCATCCATTTCATTGGGTAAGTGATCAAGATCCAGACGAAGCTGTTATCCCACATTGTAATGACTCAATTCAATTTCATGAAACTCAAACTCTTCGAGATATTAAACAAGCAATTAAATGTGGAAATGAAGACAGTGAAATAAGTGGTGACATAAGTGAATGTCCTCACAAACCTTTTGGTAATCAAATTTTTATTGTATTTTACATGTTTAAAATTTATAAGATGGTGGCTTTGTTAGTATACAAAATGGCTAATGACTTTCTTACTTGATGAAAAATCGAGTCATTGGCTTTATGTTTTTAATAATACAGCTATTCTAGTACATTGATTTGTTGGCTATTTCATCTCTAAAACTAATTCATAATTTAATATGACATAGCCTATTCAGATTAATTATTTTGTAACATTTTTTATTTATTTGTCTTACATCATAGCAGTATTTATATTTTAATTAGTATTTGTTTATTTTTAGAATATATAAAAAGCTCAGATTTAAAACATGGATTATTCTACATAAACAATACTTTATATGTGGATTCAGTACATCCAGATATCACCCTGGCACATGCAAACACTATTAAAAAATGGGCAGAAGAAAATGGTAAACCCATTGAAGATGTTAAGACTATAGAAACACAACTTTTAGATTTGGAAGTATGCATCGGACAACCATACATTTATCAACATTTAGGACGATGTGAACATCTATTTATATTTAACGATATAAGTTTTGCTCAAACTAACGATTGTTTGGGACAGAACAATTATCCAAGAATTGTCAGTACAGCAAAAGATAGGTTGAAAAATTGTATATTCTGCAATAAATGTATGTCCAGCATTGTTATGATTAGTGAAGATAATAGAACACCAGTCACAGTTAACCATATGTGCGAACCTTGTTTTATTTCTTATAACTATAATAGTATAGGGGAAAAGGTTGCCGATTTTAAAGCATATAGGGCTATTAAATGGAGAAAATAAACAGTAATGGACAAATTAAAAAAAATCTTTTAGTTTTAAATGGTAATTAAAAAAAAATGTATTACTTTTAAATTAAATAATGTAATAGTATTTGTTAAAATAATACTTATTAACAATAAGAAATTATGACATGCAAATTTAATTTTTGTCTTATTTATTTACTTTTTACACAAATTTAAAAAAATTGTTATGGGTACAGTTTAAGTATGTATAATATGCTATATTTCAATATTATAATTGTATAAAATGTTACAAATTATACCTAAAAAATCACAAAGAGAGCTGAATTAAGTATCTACATCATTTAAATGTTTTAAAAAATCGACAATAGATTGGATATTTTAATGCATATTTAAGTTGGTATGTTGAATTTGTAATAAATTCGTAGGCGTAAATTTGGCTTGTTAGGAGGGGGGGCTAACATTTCAAACATAGCACAGGTCACAGGCCCGCAGAGGGCTTCGCCCCTGCACCCCCTTTATCTACATTTTCAAATTGCCAAGCTTTTACATAAATACTTTAAAATTATTTATTTAACAAAAACATACACATTTTAATTTAATTAGTTAACTATAAACTTATCTAATGACTAGTTTTATTGACCCAACAGTATTCATAACCTTGTATGTATTACCTTTTATAATAATTATTATTATATGTTTGTCTTTTTGTAATTGTCATTTTGGCATAGGTAACAAATAAATAAATTATTAATAACATATTATACTTATACATGACCCTTAAATGTCCACATACCTATCAGCAATCCTGCTTGAGAATTACTACGTAATAAATTGTATTTATTTTTTCTAATACAAAATCTGAACTATACAATTTTTAGGGGGGCTAAGCCCCAATTTACTCCTATGAATAAATTTGTCTAAAATTTATAAATATTATATATATATATACATAACAAAAATATTGTAAATATATATTTTGAAAATAAAACATATTAAAAGGTTTTTCCTTCTAAATTGTACATACATTAGGGTAAAGTTGAATTAAATTAAAATTTAACTTTGCGGCTAATTAAGGTGGCTCGCATTTTGTTATCACAAATAAGAGTTAGTGATAACAATGTTTTTAAAACAATGATAATGGAAAAGTGATAAGCACTCGCAAATGAAATTCAATACAAAAACCTTAAAACGTTTTTAATTTTTATACATTTGAACTCTATTTCAATTTTTAATTATCAATCCGTTTGTAATGGGTTATTTAAAGGGATGGAAATATGTTGCTTTTATTTCGGCATTTGTTGGCTCAATAGGATTAGCGACTTATCCTATCATTATACGACCTATGACACATGTTGAGGAATATAGTAAGTATAGTTAGTAGCACAATAAAAACATTAAAAAAATTTACTTTGATTTTTTGACTTCAAGTTTCTTAGAAGTGCTTAAAATGACTATAATAACAGTGGTAAATGATATGATTGTAAATTCTACCTAATTTTTAACAGGTGTTAGATTTTCAGAACAAAATATATAAGTAATAGTCCGATTATGAGTTTTCAGATAAGTGTTGTTTCTAAGGGGTATAAACTGGTTTATATTTTTAGTAAAAGTGTAAATAAAAATTTGTTTATCAATATACATAATTACATATATATCACACAAATTTCTAAAAGTGGCATTTAAGTTCTTAAAATATTTTATTTTTCCTACATTTTTCTTAAATATTAATTTGAATTGTCGTTTGTAAAATCCAGAGGTCGCTGCTTTCAATAAAACAACATCTTAAGTGAATATTTTTGTAAAAGGGATTTTTATGGTTTTTGGCATCAAGAACAAGTAATTTATATAATTGTAAAATCGTATCATAATTTAAAGCATTAATTGTGCAAAAGTTAAATAAGTTAATTTTTAATTGATTTCTCTCTAAAGTTTAACTTTTTGCACTTGAAACGTTGTTCTTAAAAAACCACATATGTATACAAAAGTTTTAAATTTTTTTCTCAGCTGGTTTATTTTTCAACATTTTTTCATTTATATTTATTTTATAGAAAAAGCTCAAGAAATTAATCGGGCTAGTTTAGATCAATCAAGACTTCAATCGACAAGTATGTAATATGCATGTGACTAAATAACCGAAACCTGTTGATTTTTTGTTTATTATTAGGTATGAATAAATGGACTGATCCCTTTGAAAAAAAGGAGTAATTCTACTATCCCAGAACAGTACAACTCGCAATGTTTTCAATTGAGGTACAATTCGAGGACTGTTGAACTGAACAATGTTCAATCAGATATTTACGCATGTGTCTTTTTACACATACTTTTAAATGTTTATTATTATAATTGTACCTATGTTGTAGATATAATGTATAAATTAGTCAATATATTATTTTAAACTGTTTTCTACTAATAAAATTATAAGCACAAACGTCTGTGGACCATGATACTTATTATTTTAGAATTGAAATTGCATTATCTCGATTATAATCAAACAATTTTCGATGAAAGGCGTCAGCTTGGCAGGGTCCACTTTATAGTTAACTGCCAAGCATTTCAAGAATTTCTTGATAGCCGGCAACGATGATCTTTTAAGGCCATCATCACCATCAAGGCACTGAAAGGATGAGCAGATTTTTAAGTACATCGATTGCTGTTTCAGTCATAGTGAAGCGATTATTATTGCCATCAGAAAAAATAAAAACAAATATATTAATAAAAATAATATTTTATCATTTTGCTTGTAATATTTCAGATAAGAAATTATTCGGATGCGAATAACGATTGATTACCTTAAAAATATAATAGAACTTAAATATAACAAAACGTATAAGTAAATTTCTATTTTAAATTTTATTTATAAAAATAAAAACATTGACCAATTTTATTATTGTTATTAAGAAGACGCCAAACCATTTAAAAATAATCGTTATAACGTGTTTATGAAACTAAACACCGTTTTTTAACTAATTAAAACAGCCCTTCAATAAAATATAAAAATTATACAGGACAAATATAAATTAAGGTATAGGAGTAGTAAGTAAGGTATAGTTAGAATACATAAAAAACAAAATATATATATACATTAAGTAATATAAACTTATTAAAAAAGAAGGTACACTAGGCTACAATATAATATATATCCAAGATACGCCATCAACTTGTGGACGATATGCAAGGCTCTGATATTGATCTCTGAAGCTTTTTAATATTATATGTATACGTCAATTTTACCTTACCTAAAAACCACGTTGAAGTTTTTCTAATTTATTTACTAATGTTTACATGGTAGGAAGACAAAATAAATAATAATAGATCCGTCTTCTACAATAGACCGAACGCGCTATATAGAATTTTAAGACAAATAGGGTTCGCTAACTTCCAATAGTTTATTTTTATAAAACCTAACGGATAACGTCCTAAAGCTTTGTTATATGTTCGTTAAACGATAAATCAGAAATTATTACGTCTGAATCGATTAATATGATTAATAAAATAATATGTTTGCCATTAACTAAATTAATTCCTGAAATATTATAAACAAATAGATTATTTACACGGCTACGTCAGAAGGTGGTTTTGAGACAATTTAGAAATATTAACAGGCAATCCATTCGAAGAGCACCATTTATAAAATCTATAAACATCAGCTTAGAAGTTGTAACAATCAAAGTAATATTATTAATTTTAGTAGAAATGGTAAAACTGTTCAGAAACCATGAAGCAATTGTTCAAACTTCAAGGACGCCATAATTAAATACAAAGGCTCTCCAAAAATGATGCATATGTATAATATTTTACATGAAATTTTAAATTTTATAAAATTTTGTTGTTTCAGCACATTTTATAAATATAAGTAGTATATCGATAAATAATATAAATACATACATATAGGTAAATTATAATTTTATACTATATTGTAAAATATTTTCAAATCACATTCGACAAAAAAATAAATACATATTAATAACACAAGTGTTTTAATAATAATTATTATCCTAAATGTTTAAATTATTGTTTTATAATATTATGGTAACAATTTGTAAAACATTTTTTTAAAAATATTTTTGTATTTGATTTCCTTCCAAAATATTTTTTTAAACTACCTATGTTTTTAATGTATAAAACAAATTGAAAAAATTACTTTCAAATAGTTTTTTATGTAAATAGTTATAATTTTAAAATGTATTTATGCTGTGTAGTTAATAAATAGAAATATTATTGTATGATTTCAATTTTCGCACGACCTTTGACCCAAATTACATAAGTAATAATTATGTTTGTTTTTGACTTAGCCATAACATTATAGTATGATTAAAAAAAATCTGAGAAAAATATTGGAAAAGAAAAGATTTTTTTTCTAAATATTTATTATAATATATTAACAATATTTCTGAGAAAATTTTAATCAATAAATAATTCAAAAACAATGTGTAATGTAAAAAAATATTCTATAAACACAACAATGCGATAATAAAAAATGACGGAAAAAATCGTATCTATCATTTGGAAACAAACAATAAAACAAAAAGACTTAGAGTAGTAAGAAGTAAGGTATGACATAAAGTGGCAGCTTTGGAATCAGCTTGCATTTGATTGTTGATGCTATCGCTGCCCAGGTTCATTCCGCCTATCGCGAAAGCGTTTTTCACGACATGTTCCCGTTGCCGATCCACTGGGAATCTCGATTTGGGAATCTGGGAATCGGAATTCGAAATGGGCACCACGACTGCCGGCGCCGTTATCCACGTGGCGTTCATCTCAAAGTCAATCACTTTCGATAACGTTTCCTGTTGTTTCACATCTAAGTGTTTGAAATGATTCTTTAACATGGTAAATGCAGATTTCGGCGTTAAACTGCTGAAATGGGTTTCGTTCATGAGCTGTTGAACGAAAACAATTTAAAAGTTATTGATTGACCGAATGTGTGTACAAAAGTAGCCATCACACAAGGTAGGTACACAAGGTACTAATATTATTATTATTATTTACTTTAATCTGAGGTTCATGAAGACATTCGACGGCATGCGATGTAAGTCCTTCTAAAGCACCGGGATTGTTGTCCAATAACAATTTCCATTGAGTAGTGTTGATCCCTGAGTACAACCGAAATTATCCAGTTTGAACATTTAACTCTTGGGGGCAAGTGCCACTAATTAACCATACAAAAACCCAAACATTTTGGAGGGTGTTTGAACACCCAAAACACCTGAGTACGTGTTTGGCAAGTGGTAAGTATAGTTACCACTTATATATGAATATCTAATTTTTTATCGTTAGTTAGATGTGATGATCTTAGAAAATAGTCAACTAAACACATAACTGCGGAATCTTATTATTTTGATTTCTCACTTTTGATTTTGTATTTAATAATATATTTTTTTATCCAATCATTTTGCTGATTTTATTATTTTAAGTATGTACTTTTAAGGTCGTTGACGGTTTTTAGGTGACATTTCTTGCCCCTCAAAGAGTTAAGCAACGTTTTTTTTTAGTATTTTAAGAGAACGATACACATGCTGTTTTTCAGGAAAAAAACAAGAGTCCGAATTCTTCTAACATCTTAGTACCTATTTATCATGTATAAACATGTTGCTGACATTAATAGATCAATGTGTTTTATGCCCTCTCAAAGTTTATTTTTGTTTCCGTCATTTTAAAACCCATAGAAAATATTTACTACCTGCGTTTTTAAAAAAGCGTAAGGCTGTTTTTTAGGGAATTGTTTTTTATAATAACAATAAAACAAACGTGGCGCTCTACAACTTTTCCAAAAGTAATCTAATTAGTTTGCATGTAATATTATTATTTAAATTTTGTCTAAACATATTATCATACAATTTGCTCAATATTTTGTAAACCAACTTCTTTAATTAAAGTAAACCCAAAAAAACGGGGGGAAATTTATACTTTGTTAAGTAAATTTCTAGGTTTATATAGGTCTATGCAAATGAATCTACAGTAACGGGTAACCGAAAAAATATATTTTCATTCTGTTTTCGGTATGTTAATATTGATAACAATTGGGGGGTTAGGCAAAGAATTATCAGGCAGGACAGACAGCCAACATGCAAATACGAAAAATACAATTTTAAACATACTTAATTTCCTTTACAACGCTTCAATTAATATTTAATATTCCACCTTCAGCTATTGTATAAATTTCTCGAAAACCCGTTAAATGAATTTACCTGATACTATGATTCCCATGCGTTCTACCTCGGCAGTCTTCCAAGTGTCCGATTGTCCGACCTTGGAGATTGCTATGGACGCAAGATTTTTCACACAAGGTTCGTCGCAAGTGGTGATAGTCGTAAAAGCTGAACTGCTTTTCCAAAACAACTCTTTAGTCAGCATAGCCAATTGCACTGTCCGCGGCTGTAGCTGGCACATCAGAGACCCGAACAAACCCCAAAGGTATGGCGGCATTTTCCTGTTGTTTTCTTCGGATTGGGCCATAAACTGATTGGCGATCTCTTTGCGCTAGAAACGGAAAACATTCACTTACTACTTACGAGTAAGACAACAATATGATTTCGTAATGAAACAATAATTGTTTTGTTTAGAACATACAGCCGACATGGACGTCACGTGTTTCCCGAGCGAGTTGATCAACTCCAACGTCCAAGGTCTGTGGATATCCAAGTTCAATGTTCGGACGTCGTCCGACGATATTCCAGATAACACAGATCCATACGTGTGCAGAGCGTGCTAAAAACAGAATATATAACAATATGAAAGTACAGACAGAGTTGGTCAAACCGTTATTGATAACAAATGAAAATCAAAACAAGTCGAAAAGTTACCCCCCCCCCCTCCAAATATTAAGTATTTAGTTGTGCCATTGATGCATGTATTTAGTTTAATTATAAATAAAGAATAATTTTCTGAACATTCCGACTAGTCGATAATTATCCAAAACTGGTTATCGACTAGTGAAAAATGTCAGTAAATCATTCTTATTTTAAACTGTTAATTAAATTCATACGTTTCAATAGTTGATAGAGCTCTAGAACATACCAAGAAAGGCAAATATTTAGTAATTTTTAAATAATGTAAAATAACAAAAACAAAAATGTTTTCAAAAAGAAAAACCACAAAATTGCCATTATTTTAACAAAAAAAGAGCGTCTTGTCTTTAATGAATGATCATGTAACAAAAACAGTTTTTTTTTTTTAGTATTTTCGTTGATATATAAATAACCTTTTCCTGTATTCTAGGCCACACGAGATCGGCTACAGTGGAATTGAGTTGAAACGATCCCAACGAATCCGCACAATCGTTTAGCTCGTCGTCGGTCATGTCGTTTACAATGGATTCAAACCGCGAGGACATAACCGAAGCCGGACCCAAAACTCTGATGGCGTCGCAACCGATCTGAAAAAAAAGTGCATACACTTAGCTGATAATCCAACAACGACGACCAGAGAAACAATATATACCCGTATTGTCCAATTGAAAAACTGTTGGTCCGATGATCTCTTTCTCCTGATTTCGTCGTCCGTAATAGGTTGCACTATTGTAGTTTCAGAAACGAAACCGAGTTCAACACTTTCGGTGGTTGAATAGGAATACTCGACCGATGCACTGAAACTGGACGTTTCAGCAGACGCTTGACCGGCGTCTCCATTGTTGAACGTTGGATTCTCAGGTGTTGTCGTTTGTTGAGTCGCATTTGTTTCGGCCGTACGATAGTGCGATGGCAAATCGCGTTTGTTATCCGACAGAGCGACAATCGCGTAGTCCACTTTCTCGGTACTTTCGTTGCCTTTCGAAACGTACAAATTGTAATTTTCCGGTGTCGTCGGACTCGGACTCGTCGTTTCCGGTGTGCTTGTAAATTGTTCACTGCCCGCCACATCGGTATCGGGTTCAAGTGTGGATACAACACCGATAGGACTGCTATTCGTCGTGCTAGAACTGTTGTTGTCCAGGGTTTGATTTGGTTTTCCGGCGAAAAACAGGCCATGAAAAAAACTAAATATTGATGAGTTGTCGGTGGAATGGTAGTCTTCGGTCTTCTCGGGAACGTACACCGTGATGGTATTCACTTCTTGCGACGGAATGCCTTCTTCGGTTCGACGATAGTCTTCGACTGAACTGATCCTTTGCAATTGGTTCTGCATGGAAACAAGATGAAAGTCGACAAGGTCCGACAGAGCTCTCGTGAATTCAGAATGTCGATCATAATTTTCGAACAGCATACAAGCCTGAAACGCAATTTAATCAAAATTAGATTACCTTTTCTACGATAAATAAATGACCGTTTACATTGGCTATACTTGAAATATCCAAAAAAACAACCCAACACAGTGGCGGCATATTGGGGGAGGGAGAAATCAAAAGTCTACTTACTCCAAATGAACCCTTCGGTGCGAATATGTACATAGTAGAAATATGAATAACGATCAAAGCATTGCAACGACAGTAATATGCTTGAAATTATATTTCAAGTATTAGGGAGGATACGTTTAGGGTAGATCATCCGGCTGTAATGATTTGTTACAGTCGTTTCCTGTACATCTGGACACCTGCACATCAATTTCCATCCCTTCTTGGGAAAAAGGGTTAATGATATTTTTTTTTTGTTTATCAACGTTCATCAGTAGTATACTGTCTTACATTAGTCTTGGTCATTGACTACCCAAGAATACAAATATTATGTATAAGATTTAGATTGTTTTCGGTTTTAACGGAATAATATTCAACCGAATATTGGTTAAAATAACCGTTTTTTGTTTTATAGAGCACTATGATAGATGTTTCGAAGGTACGTTTGCGGCCTAACCTCATTTCCACAATTAAATTCATTATTATGTTTTAAGTGTAAACGTTCGTGAACGTTCCAAACATTAGACTGTACTGAGCAGAGGTAGAAATAAAAGTAGGTATTCGGTTATTTTAGTTTCAGATTTTCAGTTTCAGTATTGTCAGACTACTCTTAAATTTTAAGTATAGTTGGTGCAAACGGCCATTAATAAAATATACTTAAATACTTCTTACTTCGTAAAATGGAACGTTAGTAGGCATCCATTCTATGATATCAGCGTAATGGGTTTTAATGATATCCGCTGAATTCAGACGAGACATAACCGGTATGGAACTTAACTGTGTTTCATTTAACACAATCAAAGAATCTGATAACGTCACCAGTGTATCGATCATCCACGAATCGGGATTTCTAAATTATCAGTATTTTTTTTTTTTTTTTTATGACAAAAGTCATTAGTACAAACTACGTAGGTATATTGAATAAAAAATTATGGAGTTACCCGAAAGCTCGAATCACAAGATTTGCCCATTGATCCTTCGAGTTTGCGCCAAAACAAATCCTAGTATCGAACAAGCCAATTTCTAATAAAATTTTGAATGCTTTTCCGTCGACTTTGCTCAAATATTCAAAACCAATAAAATGAGTAAGATTGCCCAGTGTGTATAAATGATCTATGTTTAAAACTGATGAATTCTTAAACTGTAACGGACAAAATATTAATAAATATTTAACCGTACAATACGACGTTTTCGATGCAATACTCACGACAGTGTCAATGTATTGATGAACTAAATTTTGGATTTTCGATTTTGGAGCAGCGATCAAAAGTTCAGGAAGGCTGAGCCGGCCGATGGCATAAACTATAGAATCGGTCAGGTCCGACTTGATGATATCTTCAACTGGCAGAGTAATTAAAACGAATCCTGTAAATTTAATATTTTAATAATTATAAAAACGATAATACGAAATAATAATTTACATAAATCAAGTAAACTAGACAAAACAAACAAAATAGTTCTATTAACCTCGAACTGCTTCTATTTCCCATTCTTCCAAAAATAACACCGATGGATTATCGACTGAAAAAACGGATTTCAAGTGCAGATATTTCATAAATGCTTTGGCAAAGCACGGCTGTAAATCCTTTGGGAACATCTGTTAATTTAAAAATTGCACCGATGTTAAAAAAAACAATATCTTGACAAAATACTTTTATTAATTATAAGTCAGGTGGTTAAATATACAGCGTATAATGTCTGTATAGTGTATTACTTTGCCATGACGCTCGAGATAATTATTGAAGTTGTAAATGGATTCAATGAACTCGACTCCATTGAGTTTTTTTATGAAACCACATGTATACCCGTTGTAAAGTCCGTGAGATATACCTATCGATTTATTGCCAGTCCATTTGAATAATAAGTCGTCATCTTCCAAAATCGATCTAATCTAAAAGATGTGTAAAGAAGTTTAAAATTAATAATATTAATGTTTATACCGTTTGAAATCAAAATAGGAAATAAACTATTTAAATCGAGGATAAAAACTTTAGCGAAACAGTTATATCATTTTTAAATTTTAACAGTTCCTTAATAAGTTTTTTTTAAAAAAGTTCCAATTTTTAAAGTGAAGAAACATGTTTTTATACATGTTTTTAAATTATAAATTAATTGTTAACAGCATAAATGTAGACTTCAACCTTTATACCAATGTTATTACTCGATACCGGGACCGAACTCTTTTATTTTAAAAATAGCAACAATAATTTTCCTAATGGAGAATTTATTTAAAAAGTTTACACAACACAGTTATGGAATGGAAGTTTAAAAATAAATAACATTTCTTAACCTTAACTTTTATTTTGTAAAATACAATAATTTATTTAAAAGTATACGGTTTTTTTTTTTTTAATACAAGTTAACTGTAGTAAAATCCAATCCTTGATAATAATGAAATGTCATAACTAAACTCACTATGTGTTTAGGCAGTCTGTCTATTCTATCTTTATAATTAGAATACAGTTGTTGCAAACCATCAAACAAAGGACCTGTAATGTCTGCTGGCGACAGTTGTTCGAACAGTATATTGCGATCATTTTTAAGCATTTCTTCAATATAAACTATGTTTTTGTCTGAAGAAAGAAAATTAATTCACCAAATCAAAACAAGCGTTATCCGGTGAAATGTTTCAGAATCAATTGCACTTTCGAGTTAATGGCATTACCTTGGTTGATTGTGTCCAACAGTTGAAGAGCTAACGGTAAATTAAACTCATCGACTTTAGCCACTAAATGACACACCACTTGGTAAGTGATAAATCCCTCGCCTGCCGTCATCAGACTAGAAACAGGAAGAGCTTTGAGTAGGTAGTTTAAACCCAGCAAGAGTTCTTGATTGTTTTTATGAAGCGACAACATACTGCTGCAACCGCTTAAATAAAATGCCTGAAAAATAAATAGAACCCATGAAGATACTTAAAATGCGTAAAAGGGTAATTATTCGTACTTGTCTGGCAGAAATCATAGAAGAATCTGCAGAAATAAGCGATTCAGTATTCAGCGGAAAATCACAGAATTTCATAAGTACAGATGGAGGTTGAGTGTAAAGTAACGGGAGATGTCTTAAGTCGTCAAACGACCAGCTTTTGGTGGAATTGGGTTTAGTGAGATACCGTTGCCTTGCAATTTTATTAAATATCTAAAAACAAAAAATAAAAATTTTAACACGGGTTCAAACATTTGTCAAAATGATGGCGATAATCGGTTGTCACAAACACGAAAGCTCTAAATTTGAAGTATGCTTTGATATTGTTTAATACAAACAAGCATATTATCAAGTATCAATTAATCAAGTCGACACATTTATTATAAACATTTCATCATACACTCAATACAGCAAAATTATTATAAAGTCTAAAAATGTAGAGGAAAAATAAATGTTGTCAACAAAAATATAACAATAGCAATTTTTATTTTCGATTTATTTAGTATCAAATGTTATGAACATTTTTTTAAAACTATTGTAATAAGAAACATTTGTATCTGTATTAACTAACCTTCAATTACTAATTTTAATTGTAAATTTGTTAACAAAATGTATTTTCCTGATATCTGTACACCTCGCAAGTCATCAATTAGGTACATAATAATAATGTATTTTACTACGCGTAATTGTATTGTACATTAAGTATCATTCAATTGGTTGGTGTAACTCAAAAGATAGTGTTAACGTCTAAAAGTCGTGCTACCTGTTTAGCTGCGGCAAAACTAAAAAGTTGATTTTCTTTGGCCCATTCATCAAGTTGGAATTCGTAGGGTTGGAATTCATCTAATTGCATTGGCGACAGTTTAAAAATAAACGATTTATAATGGATCATATTATATCCCAGAGTTTGGTTTTGCATTAGCGTATAAAACAAAAAGCGGGCCTGGAAATGGAAAATAATATATTTATAAGTAAACGAATAGCCAATAAACATGCAGGGTGTACGTCTCGTCTGATTATTTAAGAAAAAATCTTACTTGCGCGTGATCGAAGTCGGTCTTGTGTAATAAAGTTGTAGATTGGTCATTAAATGTCAATCTACTTAGTTCATCATTACGCAAACCCAACAATAGAAAATTATACCTAAACAACAATATGGATTTATACAAATATAAAGCGGGTTTAAAAGATAAGTTTGTGATTTCTAGTTGAAAAGTATTCTCTTACCGGTCAATTTCGTCGGAACTCCATTCATCCAGTGGTTTTGGATATGAATATTTCACTGCCAAGAATGACCATAATCTTTTGACATTTTTTGACAAATCTTTCCAGTCGACATTACTTGAATTCACGCACATTCTTCTATGTGAATGTTCTTCTGACTGTTCCAGATTATTAAAGCTAAAATAATTATTTAATTACACTTAATTATAACGAGGCGAATCACGTTTATTTTTATTGAAATTTGATACAAACTATTATAAATTATACTAGAATGTATTCATTCAGTTCACCAATCGACTATAAATTATCACTTTATACTTTAAATAAATTATTTTATTGCTCAAAACAGAAACAAAATTTTGTTTTTAAAATTGCAGGTTTCGATCCATTTTTTACATTTTTTTATAGTAAAATGTCGTAATTGCAACCGCTAAATTTTTCAAAGTAATAATTAAGCATACTAAATTGTAATTAAATGATTTTAAGTTATCGGATGACAATGTTTTTTAAACTTTAAAAATATTATTTTAAATGGTTGTAAATAAAATCATGACAGATATTTGATTTTTGTAGGTTTAATTTTTGTGTTGAAAATAATCTACTGAATATTTAGACTGAATGACAGGAAAATTCATAATACAAAATAAAATATATTTTTATAGTAAAAATGTTGTTGTTCAAATATAGTGACAATGTACAGTTTTATAAGGATACTATTGTGTTGGTAATCACGTTTTAATTTTTTCCTTTATAAAAAAAAATGTTGACTACATTTTTCGAAAAATTGTAGATATTTTTGTAGTGTTGTTCTAAACACTATATCTACATATAGTCCAAATTTCAGACCTAATTATATTTTCTTGATTTGTATATACTATTTTATAGGTACTAATCTTATATTACTATATAAGATAAAACTTTTATCTTACATTATTTTGGATCTGATTCGACTAATTTTTAATAATGTTATAGCGTGTTATAATTTTAAGATTTAAATTATGTACAATATTAGGAAGTTTTTCTGAATTTAGAAAGGGAATGGGTGAACTTTTTAAAGTACTTTTCATGAACGATTTTTTACCTGTATCAGACAAATCTAAATGAAGACACCGTAGACCCAGACACAAAAATAGAAAACAAATTATTGTAATACCTTTTCAGCTTTAAACTAAAAAATTTATGTAAGTATAGTATTTTTTTTTTCCGATTGTCTAAATTGAAATCTGAAAATCTCTCATAAATTCTAAGCTTTCGTGGAGAAAAAGTAGCTAGAGGTGTGTGTGTAATTTCTAATATTTAAAAATAATAATAAACAAATGTGCGGTTATAAATTAACATTTAATATAAATGCCTTTAAAAATGTAAATTCCTATAAAGTAGGAATCACCGGGTGATTGGTTAACTATGGACCAGTCAATATCTTAGAAGTTATTAGACTTTTAAAATTTTTTTTTTTTATAATTTTATAATTATTAGTGGGAACAAATTTAATATATTTTTTAAAATTATAACTTCGCCCCTTATACGTTAAAATTTTATAGACTTGAGTTTTTTTATTAGTAACGTATATATTTGATTAACTTTTTGAATTAAGAATATTTGCTGAATATTTTGACTGGTCGATAACCAGTTTTAGATAATTAGTTTTCTGGTTATTAAATTTTAAAAGTTTTGACGGGAGGGAAAAGTCGGTTGAGTAATGTGCGCAGATAAAAGCATCTCTACTCTCCATCCTTTCTCCCGTCCTAAATTTTAAACTTGAATAACTTGATAACCAGTCTATCCAAAACTGGTTATCGACCAGTCAAAATTTTCATAAAATTTTTCTTAATTTAAAAAGTTAATCAAATATATACGTTACCGTTTAAAATTCTTAAATTCATACGGGTTTAACATATAAGTTATATTTTTCAACAATATATTAAATTTGTCCCAACTTATAACTACTAAATTATAAAAAAAAGTAATTAAAAAAAGTCTAATATCTTCTAAGTTATTGAGTGGTCCATAGTTAACCAATCACCCAGTACACTAGTATACACAATTAAGTCGATTACCAGTGAAAAAATTGTATTATTATCTTTAACTATTATTACAAGAGATATGTGTACATAAATGATAACCACAACATTTTGTTTCTTTTCTTATCTGGGTTTATAATATGATAAAAATAATTTTCTTTTTCCTATCAATTTATGTGTGTCAAAACCTAAGTATACCTAAGTACATGACCCATATGTGCAACAATAGTCATTAAAAGGTAATCAAGGATGAGAATATTTTAAAATAAAGTAAATGTTACTCATAGGTGTTATTCAAAATTGCACTGTCGCCAATACCTTATGTATTTGAATGTTGTCTTTTATTTTTTGTCATTGAGAAAGGATAAAAATGCCATTTTTTTGCACCATGAACCAAAATCACCAATTTTTTGGTATTTTTGTGTTTTTGTACGTAAATAATTAAAACAAAATTAATTTGATTACTTTTTTATTAAATGTTTTTTGTTGAATTCAAAACTGGTTTTAGAATTTATATCTTTATAAAAAAAAAACAAAGAAAATTAAAAAATCCCTAGTTTTATTTTGTATGTTGTTCACATCTAAGCGATTTAACAAATTGATGTGCTAAATAAAATTTGAGGCTAGACTCAGATTCAGCGAAAAAATAAGTTATGCATTATGGTTTTAGTTTTAATAAAATCACTTTTAAATAAACGCTTCGGCGCGAATCTGAGAATAGTAGATTCAAACTAATATACTCCACTTCAAGTACAGTAAAAAAGTATTATACGTAACTGAGTAGCAGTAGTAATAGTGAGTAAGTAAGGGTCTAGTGTTCATAGATAATTTGGATTGTTATCGATAAAAGCAATGTCCATAATGACAATTATGTGCTTAAAATTAATTTTTAGCATTACGGTGGTGCCCACACGATAAGGGGTAATCGCCTGTCTATACAAATATATTGCCATAGTTACCATATAACAATATAATGAAAATATTTTTAGATATCTGTCAACTGTTGATTCACTCACACATAGCAACCCGGAAACTGACTACGTTCAAAGTGTAATTTTCATCTTTTAGGGGGTTTTTCCTTAATAAAAAAAATGTTTGACAACAGATTTTCGAGAAAATTGTGTATCTTTTAGTTCCATTCTAGATCTACCTTCGGTCTAATTTTTGGACCTAAATCCCTAAAACTTTGCTTGAAAATGCTTTTGGATGTTTTTCTCGATTTTGAAGGGGAAGGCGTGCATTTTTTTAATTTTTGGTCCAAAAACTACCTTACAGGTACAATAGCTGATTTATAGAGTTATATTTCAATATGAAAGCTTCAATCATAATATTACGTTTAGATAACAAAATATACGATTGTGTAGGTAATAGAAAATAAAAATTTTATTTTTATTTTACTTAATTGAAAAACACAAGACTGGTTATAGTTGTTCTTAAAAAAAAAAAAAAAATTGAATTTGAACCTAACCTAACCGTTACGTTCGTTCCATTTGATAAGCTTTATTTGTATTGTTTCAGCATCAAGAACTATGGCTTAGTATAGTTTTATTTATGTTAAAAGAAATTGAGTTTATTAGATTCAATATTGGTCCAATTATTTCTAGAACCAATATCGAAGTAAAAAACAAAATTAGGGAGTCAGCTAAACTGTGTTTATTATACTCTATTGAACGAAACCCGTGTTTTTATGTAAAATACGACTTGCTAAATAGAATTTTAGCCTATAAATACCATTAAGCCTAATTTTTTTATTTGTTCGATTGTTTTATGTTAAATAACGAACATTTTAAAATTGCTCGTCTAAAAAATGAATTTCGATAACTGCTAATGTAGTTTATGCTAACCATTTTTTTTTTATAATATAGCAATAGAAAATTACTTACAGTACTTCGGCCATAATCTTGCTCTGAGTAAGCATATAAGGAGACCATAATCTGGCATAGGCATGACCGCAAATGAGGGTCAGTTTTTGTAATTTACCGTTATTGAGTTCGATCTTCCATTTGTAAACCGTTTCGCCGAGGATGTTCAAATTCCGTTCGTTTTTTATTGGCCTTTGGGTCAACTGGTAAAAACAACGTTTTCATTATTATTTAAATAACTGAAATGGTAATTCTAAAACAAAATACCATTGTATACGTACAATGTTTAAGAATTCAAATGTCCGTGCGTTGCCCGAAACCGATTGAAATATTTTCTTGGCCAAAACACTGTTGTCCTCGTGTGTCAGTAAAATCGAAACCAAGTTATCTACGCGTAAAGTCCCTAATTTGTTAACCTATAAAAAAAAAAAAAATGATTTATGCCAGGAAAATCTAATCTGCCCTGAATCGTTCTAGAGCCATCGCTTACAGGTATAAAGTATAAAAGGTCGGCCGGTAAAGTTGCAATCTCTGTCAAATTCATCGGAGAACCAGACAACAATTTCTCGTGAACTTCGTGCGAAATACCGTTGAACAAATATTGGATTTCCGTTTGATATCCTAACACAATCGAACAATATTGAATTTAAATAAAATCTAATCCAGTCATACATAGTAAACTAAGTGTACACATTATACCTTTGGCGTTGTCCGTACAAACGTTTGACCGATTTACCTTGAACAGACAATGTAACGAAGCGCCGTGATGGTGCGCATGATGGTCGTGTGCTTGAAGTCCTATTGAATAATTAATAATAAAATGAAAGAAAAGTTCTCAAAAAAAATGTACACGTCTCAACAATTATTGTTACGCATAAAGAACACAAACCTTGAATGAACAAGAACGACAAGCTGACAAACAATGTTTTATGAAAGAACGTGAGCATGTTTAACGTGTTTACCTACAGTGAACTAAGACGTTCAGTAGTGCAGCAACACGGCGACTTTTTTTCGCCCATGGGCCCAATATTGCCTTTGGAATCCCCGTAACAGCCAGATAATAGTAATCTAATCAAACTTTTATATTTATAAATATATGTATATACAAATATTATACATACATTTGTTGACATGCGATGCATGTTATGATACAGTGTATTTGTGCAGAAACATTTTATTTTTAGACTCGACTGCTCGCACACACAACCTGACATAATATTCAAATAGTTGATCACAGGTACCTATACGAAATTGGTTGACTCAAGTTTATGTTTACCTGTTCGGCTGTTGCTAACTTTCAATAATACTCTTGCAGTTGTAGTGGAGAGTATGCGCTGCATAAGTGTCTAGGTAAAATAATGTTCAAGTAAATCATATATAAAATATAAAATTTTCAAGCACCAAATATTATATATTTTTTATTAGGTTAATAAATCTAAAGCTGTCGTACAAAATACCATAACGAGTAACGACAAAATTAAGATATCGTTATTCAGAAAATTATCATTTATAGCTTATATAATATAATAAATTATATTATTATTATTAATTGCTAGGTAAATATAACATAATTTATTAAATATTTGTAATATAGTATATAGCATAATTTTATGCACTGATAAAATTGATTACAGATAAATCAAACGCGAAAATAAAAAAAATTATCTAAATATTAATAATTTTTGAATAAAGTAATAGTTAATATTTAATTTTAACTAAATGTTTATATTATAATTTAATTATAATGTGTTCAATATAATTAAATAAAATACCAGCATTGTTGGTGATATATATATAAAAAAAAATTTCATTTACATTTTCCCCATCGGTATACAATTACCCCGCTTGATCCCTGTATTATGTTAATCTGATATACAGGGTGTTCCACAATGATTCGACAAATGTAATAACTTTTGTTCTAGTGAATATTTTTAAGTTTTTTTTTTTTTAATTAATTTATACTCATTTGCACTATAAGCACCACGTTTTTTATTGAACTTAACTATTTTACTTTTTTAAATAATGTTTTTATTTTTTTGTTACATTTAAAAAAAAAAATCAAGATAGCCATTTTATTAAGAATATTTTGCTGAACATTTTGACTGGTCGATAACCAGATTTAGATAATTAATTTTTAAATTACTAAAGGTTAAAGGGTAGGGTGGGAGGTGGAGTACGGCAGAGTAAGTGCGTAGAGCTATTTTTATCTGCGCGCATTAACACGACACAGGAGATTTAACACAGCTATTACTTCCGAAGTCAAGTTCCCAGGCTTCGATAATTATATTTTGAAAATAATATTGGTAGTTGAAAAAAAAACATTTTAGTATTAAATTAAATTAAATATCAGACACCTAATTTTTGTGTTGATATACGAGTTTACAAATGTTAGCTTCGTGTTAGATTTAATAAAAAATAGCCTTAATAAATGCTAGGGTAAAAACCCCTTAGCATGAAAATTTTAGACTGAATTGTATAAAACAAAATTAACATTTTACTATAATTTTGGATAAATTATTTAATAAAAATAAAATATGATCATATTTTATAGATATGGAATATCGAATGTATAGCAATGTGCAAACTTATTAAACTTTTTTTTTGATAAGTAAACTTAATAAATGGACACAAAATGCAGTTTGGCTCGTCATAAGTTGAAAACAACAATAATTTTTTAAATAATAATAATAATGTTTTATTAAAGCTGACAGCAAGTTTTCACATTATAAATAATAAATGTTTACACAAATAAAAATTAAATCATAATTAATTATGGAAGAGGATAATAGGTCATGTTATGAGAAGAAACTAAGTAGAGGCAGTAAGAGGTGTTATAAAGATGAACGTAGAGGGATAGCGAGGAAGACGAAGGCCAAAGAAAAGATGGATAGACGGAATATGGAGCATTAAAGGAATATAGGTGATTGAACGAGATGTAGAAGATCAAGCTCTATGTAGATGTAGGATGACCGACCCCCAAGTAGTTGGGAGAGTAAGGCGAAAATAAAAAAGAAGAATAATTAATTATGGTGAGATACAAACTTATTCAGAAATCAATGCTTTTACATACAGTTAAGGTGTGCTCTTAAAATCTAAAGTGTATAATCACTATTTTTTAAATATACGTGCATAATAAGTTATCAACAATAGTTTTTTTTCCAATACAAAACAAAAGGATGATTAATATATATGTTTATATAATATCATATAATATACTTTAAAGTTTAAGAAATCCGAAGTTTTACAATTTTCTTATAATAATAATACAGTTAGGATTAATATTAACGACGAATGGCAATAAAACGCAAATATTATATTAAATTAACTCTTAGTACCGAAAACAGTACAAAAAAGCGAATAAAGAGTATTTCCATAACAAGTTAATTATAATCTAGTATATTTTAATCGTTTTTCAAAATGTTAACCATAGACATAAAAGTATATTATGATAAATTACTAAGATTCTCATGCATAATAACTAACTGACAAACACTAAATTGAACAATAAATCAAATTATTTAAAGTATAACAACACTCATTTTAAATAATTTGTACTAACAGTTACTTTTAACGCATAAAGATCTAATAATAATTATTGAAAGTACAATTTAATAGATATAATACATTATTAACCACCCAATAAGTAAAAACAAATTGCGCTATAGCTAAAATATAAAATATATTAATTTCTAGTTTTTAAGTATAATTTAAACAGATAATTTATAGATGTTATTAACAAAATAAATATTATAACCCCTTAAATCTAAGTTTATAATCGAGTATATTAGGACCCCAATATTATTTGGGATATAATTTTGAAAATATTTACAATTAAATGTAGGACAGTATACAGGACATTACATAAAGGTTGACCATCTCTTAAACTTACATATTTATTGCTATTAAAAACACAATATGTATTAAGATTTACTTGAATTTGATTTGTATCAATTATTGTTGTACTATAATTACATACTTGTAATATATTTTGTATACTTATTTTTATAAATTGTTTAATAACAATCCAAAATCTTACATAAAGTTTTTTGATTTTTCAAAAAAGAGTTAATTTACACCAAGATTATTATATTATAAGTTTTCCAATTTTTAATTTAAGTTATAAAATGTATTTTAGATTAACTTCTACAGAATAAAAATGTATTGTAAATTAACTTACTATAAATAAATAAATAAATTTCACGTTCGTTATGTAAATACAATTTATAAATTTTCAAACTCTTATATCGTTTTTTTTTTTTTTTTGAGGTTTGAATAGAAAATGAAAAAAAATATCAACATTTTGTTGAATTCGTGTTTTAATAACATTAGAACATAGAATTTTTGAAAACAAAATAAATACATTTTTAACATCGACAGAAATATACATTTATTCTTAATAAATTAAATCATACAATATAATAATTTAATTTAATTTTCTAGTAGGAACTAATAAAAAATACAGTATTAAACAACAATTACATTGTGAATAAATTAATTTGACTACCTAGTATAATATAGTAATTTTCTGATTAAACATTATAATTGACACTTTAAACCAAATAGGGAAGTCTTAAAGAAATTATTTTAATATTCCGTAAAAGTGAATAGTAATGGGTCTAAAAACATTAGTGATATCGTTAAAAAAACGTTCTCGTTGAACTAGGAGGAAGAGGGTCCATTTTTTTTATATCTAAAAAAATAAAAGTACACATTAAAAATCAAAAAACATACAATAAAATAAGTGTAAATAACACTATTTTGGGACACTTTAATCTTTTTCTACACTTTAACTGCATCCAAGTATTGACTATAGAGTATAGACTTTTTAGGGGATTTTTTTACACCATTCTAGATATGCCACAAATTATTTTAAAAAAATAATTTATTACCCAAGTATAATTTTTTTTTATTATTTTAAATTCTAAATTTTTAGCATGACCTAAAAATTTACTGGATGATTAAAATAAAGACCTATAAGATAATTAAAAAATAAATAATTATGAAAATGTATTACATATAAAGGACTCTATTTTTTAACTTTACTAAAGAAAGCCAGAAATGTATACCACAAATTTTATTTCATATAAGTATACAGCTTACCTTGTTGAGGACACGTAAACGTCAAAAATTGCATCCAGCATTCAATCTTTAGTTGTAACCCACACGACAGTACCCTAAATAAAACATATTTAAAATGTTGTATGTTCACAATCAACATTATATTCACTGAAAGTTATAATTACTTGGTAAATTCTTCTCTGCATCGATAAAGATGTTCATGTGATAGATCGCAAAAATGACAAAACTGTTTACATATATGACCACAATCCAATAGCGTATTACAAACTTTCGAACATTGAGCTCGGGCAAAATCAGAACTCCTACTTATTGTTTTAACCCAATCTTTGTGAATTTCGCAACATAAAGATAACTTGTTACCTATTAATAAAGATATAAGTAAATATAAATTGTTTTGTTGCACCATGACTAAACAACAATTTGTTTAAAAAGTAAAACATATTGAAAACAAAAATATACTGAAATGTGTTCAAATATTTTCCCTAAAAAAATACTTATACATTAGTGTTTTCTAAAATAACCAATTTGGTATCGAATAAATGGTTAATATATTAAAAGTTATTTAATTTACTGTTTTATTTTGTTATTTGAGCTAATTTCACAAGAAAAAAAAATGCAGTGGAAAAGCGCGATTCAACAAACACATAATCTAATCTAAATACAGTACAGTCACAGATTAATTAAATGTAAATGATTCTGTAATTTTCAAACTCTAGAAAATATCTAATGGTCAAATAAAACAGTATTTTCAACCTAGTAAAGTTCAGAATCTGCATACAGCACAGATTATAATTATTCAACAAATAAATTTAACTTACTGTAATGTTTTTAAATAAGAAAAATTGACAGGTCAACTAAATTCTGCAGTTGTTTTGTTTTATAATAGTTCTTTATAATACAATTATACATCTTACTTCTTCACATACTAACGCTTATTTCAATTTTAATTTGTTTTACATATTTTTTGTTTTATTAGAATATCATAGCCTTCATTAAAAGCAATTTTTCTAAATAAAAAAATGCTTCTCGCTTTCCGAATACAACTTTTCTATAAAGTCAAATAGACAATATTTTCTTAAATTTTTACCCTCGATTTTTTTTTTAACAATCATTATATTTTACTTTGTGTAAACCAAAAATATAGTTGTAACATTTTGAAATAAACTCTTCAAGAGGGCTATACATACAACGTGTACATCATAAATGCATCTGTATATTAAAGCTAATTTTCTGTATACTAATAGTTAATTACCAAGTGATTGTTGATTGACAAGAGTGTGGCTAATCTTTTTCCAGATGGCTGAATGGATGAGATTATCCATGTTTCCCATGATATATAAACCGTTTTTGGCTCTTGATAATGCAACACAAACACGGTTTTGAATATTTAAGAAACCTATATTGTTGTCTATATTGCTACGCACTAGCGACAATAAAACTATATCACTTTCTTCGCCTTGATAGCCATCAACACAATCGATTCGAAAATCGTCCAAGCTCCAGGTAGTTTCTCGAATCTACATAAATCATGAAATATCAAAGTAAGTTTTTACAACATGACGTTATTATTTAAAATTCCTTTTTATTTATGATTTAATTAAATACTATGCGTGGCCAGAACATCAGCAAATAATTGAAGAAAAAAAGTGTTTTAGTGTGAATCGAAAGTAAGAAGTTAATTTTATATAGGAATGAATGGAAATTGGACAATTTCCAAATGATACTCTTGTTAGTAAATTTTATTTTCTTAGTTTTACTTTTATTATTAATATTTTTAAAACTAAACATGAAAAACATTCCACTACAATCGTGATTATTTGGTATTTCGGTTCAGGAGAATTATTTAAAGATTTTATCAAAAAGTCAGTGTTATGAAATAGATTTAACAAATTTTATAATAACCTATGCAATTTTATGCCATGTTGATATACATATAAAATGATTGATAGATAATAGACATAATTTTAATAAATATTTATACCTTTTCAAATTCCAATAACTGATCTTTGTAGGTAACCAAAACTGTAATTTGATCTTGTCGATATCCTTGACGCAATAAATATCTTACAAATTCCATAATAAAGCGTACTTCGTGCATATTTTTATAACTTGAAGATCCCAATACCTACATGTGCACAAAAAAAAACAATTCTAATACATGTATAAAATTATTCATAGTGCTTTAATTTTGACAAAACAAGTTAGTACTTTGGCAATGGTTAATCGTTATAAGATTAAGTTACAGTACAATTTGAAGAAAAGGGGGCTCTTCGAGCTTTTTTTTATAAAAAAAATTAAATTTTAGATGAAGTTTATAGGCTACGTGTAAACAAAAAAAAACGTTACGGAAAGTCTTATAAGCTGACAAGATTTGGTTTATTAACAAGACAATCGGCTAGTAATGTTAGTGATGAGAATGGCGATTTATAAGGAGTCGCCTGAAAACACACATAAATTACTAGTTACAGAAAGGGGATACATCCAATTTTTGACGAAAATTAAGTTATTATCGGGTTTTTATTTCTTGTCCGATGTAAAAAAAAGGGACTAGTCCATCTAACCTTAATGGAAATATCAGCCGCAATTTGTATAAAATAATAATGAATAACTTTTTATTCTCAACTATACACATAACGACACTTTATGTATGTGTTATTTATAATTATTACCTTAGATAATTATATAGTTATTTTTATTGTTTTTCATCAAGCTATACGCAATAGTATTTAAACAATTTTCAAACAAATTAAAACTCATATGTAAAAAATTCCAAAATTAACATTTGAGTGGGTATATCTTAATGTGCATTAGGCTCTAGGTTATTTATAGCTGCTAGATATAAGTGATGCATAACAACTTGGGTAATGTATTTTTTTTTTATAATGTGTCCCGCAAGTGAAAGACAAAAACGTACTTTTATTTACTGTGACGTCCAAGAGAAACAAACTTACTTTTTCTTCTTGTACTTCGTGATGAATGAAATATACATTTTTGGTAACACCGCGGATATCATCTCTGTTATTTACCGACTCGTGATCTTTTAAAAAAGGATAAATAGGCAGCATTAACGATGAAATTTCTGGTCGCATCCTGTGCTGTGTTTCTAAAGTATGACAAGGGAATCCGTTTTTTACTAAACGTTCAAACAGTGAAACATCAAAATTGAATTGTTTTACGAGCTTTTGAGTTGCCGTCCGTGGTCGTAGTTGTTTATGATCACCTGAACCCAAATAATTGTGTTTGTAATAAATAATTACAATGTTTAAAATATAAATATAAACTATAGTCAAAAATATATATGTAGGTATGTATAATAAAGCACATGCGGATACCTTAAAAGAAAATAATAAAAATAAACCGGTATTCGATCAATTTTTTCAAGAGAGTTTAAAATTCATATCGGATAACTTTAACAAGAAACATTAATAGAAAAACTATGCGTAACAAAATTCTAAGGATGATTTTGTCCTTCTAAACCTCTTCACAAATATTGCCAAGTTAATAAAACCCATTGTTCAACGTATAGCTGGGTTTAGAAAATTGTTGTAGTTAGCCAGTAAATAAGAAGTGTATTTGAAGACTGTACCTATCTATTTAGACTAGGTTGTACAAGATAATGGGAAAAATAAGATTTTAATAATTATAAGTAAAACGTCTAATGTGGATGGACAATACTTCCAAAATAAAATAAAGTATTTCTTTAAATAGAAATTAAATCTTATAAAACAGTAGTAACGTATACATTTACGTTTTTGGAATTGAGTATCGAACACAGAGCCTGAGGGACAAGAGGAAAAATAAAATGTAAATATCGATTTAATAACAGAATAATGTAAAAATTGAAATGCAAAAGATTTAATAAAAAAAAAACAGATACAAGTAGAATAAAACAGGAACCCAACGAAGTGCATAAATGTTATATTTTATGGGGATACAGACATATTGTATGGTGTTGATACTGACGGCGACGACCAGAGAAAGGCAGGTTTTTAAATATAAATTTCGTTTTATATGTTATCTCAAGTTATATATTTTTTAATTTAATTTAATTAACCCGATAGATCTTTTATTGACAATAATAATTATATACCTTTAATAATATGTTACCTACAACCGCAATGCTTAAAAAAATTTGGCATGTAGTTGATTATTTATAATTTTGTTTACGACTCGCAGACTGGCAATAAAATAGGTTTTGTTGACAACTGGTAAGTTGTGAGAAAGAGTTACAATTAGTTCTACGGACACAGAATTCCACCTCAATGAATATTATTTAAAAAGCTAGCTTATTATAGCTAGTAAATGGTAAACAAAAAATTATTTAAAGCTGTTTATCTTTCTAACAACTTGATATATTATGGACTACTATCCAAGCATATAAGCTAAATCAATTTAACAATACATTTCATGACGATGCTAAAACGGTAGCAATTCAGTACAGTAATAAGTTCACTTAGTAAAACTATAATGACCATTGGTTTAGAAACACTAACCCATTTGGTAATAATAAAAAAATCACTTTAACAAAAACAAAGGTATAAAAATATCTTAATAATTCGTAAATATTAAAATTACAGGGAAAAATATTAAAAATATGAAATCTTTATTTTGAATTTTAAGAAAAATAAGTTAATTTATGGAAAATAATAGCCTTTACATGGGAATATTTTGCTTATAATCATCACAAAATCAAAACTTATCGCTAGTTGAAGTCTCACACACCCGTTATCTTCTTCAAAAAAACCAGCCTTGCGCGGATTAATTTTACAAAGGTATAATCATAACTAAGAAACCTAATTTTCACATAATATAGAAAACAACATTGCCTGTCCTCTACCATTGCAATTTTTTAAACATTTCAGTCAGTTAATGAATAATTAATTAATTATGAAAGGACTTTTTTTAAAAATGATACAGCGTCGGTTGTATTAGGTATATCGAAAAAATTCGGTTGCTGGTGCACAGATAATTTTGTCATATATAATATGTATGAATTTCTTTCCTTAACTATACATGAAGCCTGAGAAAAATTAATCCGCGTAAAACTGTTTTGATGGGGAAAAAATTGTAATTTATCCTATAGAAATGACTGTGATTGTCTGACAAAAAATGGCAATCAACAAAGTATACTGATTACTGTATTAATAAGTTATAATACATTATAGTTCAAAGTCCAAATTAAGATGTTTTGAAAATGTCCTATTCTCTACTCCTTAAAAAATGGCCAGTGTAGAGTTCTCTTAATAATATAGAAAGTAGTAAAATGGGCAATTTAGATATTATACAATTTCGTAGGATGTCTATAATAATAAATATAATATAAATAATAAACTACTTTGTAAATAAGTCTAAAGAATATTTTGAGGGTATAATTAAAGGTTGGTCAGCTGATCAATGTATTCAAAACAAAAAAAACGGGAAATGATTATATATTTAAAACTAAACGTATCGAGGTTTGTACATAAATCTAAAGATACAAAAATATCATTATCTCTGTCAGATGATACAAAAAAAATAAAGAGTTTGTGTGATAATTATAAAATGAAGAATGGAAAGACAATTTGGAAGAAACTAAATGCTTTACAGATTTTTCAATCGTGTTTAAAGAGAGGTAGTTATAGCAAACTCAATTTACAAACTTTTAACAATAATAAAGGCAATGGATTATAGTGTTCTAAAGGCCATCATCCTCGTGGAAAATCACCTACCGATCAATTTATTTTCACTGGTAATGATAATACTATAAAGTACAATAAATTACTTTCTCTTGCAACAAGAACTAAAATACTTTTGTTATTATTATTATTATTATTTTGCTAAATCCAAGTTTGGCCTCATAATTTCTTAGTTATTTTTAAAGAACTTCCAAAGTTGTAAAAAAAACACTGTGGTAAAAAAAAAAAAAAAAAACAAAAGTAGAAGATTCTGATTTTGGTTTTGTAAGTTACTTCAAACTATGGAGTTCGAATCAGTAGATGTGTTAGATACAATCTGAAACCATTATCAAAATAATCAAAATTTGTTTTAAAAAATAGGTGGAATTTGAGTGGAGTTCGCAAATCATGTTGTTTAGTATTAAGTATTTATAAAATTCATACTTACGACATTGGTAAAAAAATTGTGCGTATGTGATTTTTGATGTAGTGTTCATAACAAATGTAAATAATTAGCTATGAAATGATTTGAACTAAAACCATTTCTATAAGGCAATTCATTTAAAATAATTTAGTTAGGTTAGGTATTTTATTTGATTATGTCCTGGTCATCAGAAAAGTGTAAGAGAGGACAGAGAGACTGGCACATTTGGCGTAGAATGAAGGATAGATAAAAAAGAAGAATTTACCTATTTTAATATTGATAAAATTATACAGCAATAATTATTTCTTATAAACTAGAAGCAATTCTCCAGATAGCATATTAAAGCTGAAAACAAATTATACTTCACTTACCAATTAAAACAACGTGTTTGCAATTGTCTGTCAGAGAAGCAACAACATGCGATTCTAACACCTCCGCTGCTTCTTCGACAATAACTATAAAATCAAATTACAAAATCAATACTTTAAGAGTTTTAAGTTATACTATAAGATAATAATAGTTTTTAATACTAATTAGTAAGTAGTAGTTTGGTTTGTACTTCACCAATCATCATTAATCCAAACTATTTCAATCAACCACCCTAGTCTTGAAGTATCTCAAACAAACACCTTGCACTACCACCAACCAATTATTATTGTAAACTATCTCTATTTCTTCATGGACCTCTTTTCAGCTAACTTTTACTACATACCTGTTCTTTGTCATGTCCTCACTCGTCACACATTTACCTTAACATTTGCATTTACACAACACAGCCAAGATGGACAGTACTTCAAAATACGTATTAGAATTAATTAATTTTGTAACTGAAATTGGTTACAGAAATTTATATTTATTTTTTATGTATTTTAAGTATTTAAAAAATGTAAGATATAATTTTGAATTAGTTATTCTTATTTTAGTTAATTTTAAATTATAATTACAATTTTTCAGTATTTTGAAATTAAAATATTTGTATAAAAACTAAAATAATTCTATTAAGTCATACTGCAGTTATATACTTACCAATCGGAGGTTTAAATTTCATTAACTGAGAATGCCGCATTGACGCTCCCGTAGTGGTTAATCCAACCACAAACGCGTTTCTTAAAGTTTCTTCGTTTTTGTTTTTAATATTTTTTAAGTTGTACGGCTTTAAAATATCTGATTGTGAACCACCGCCAATTCTTATAATTTTGTTTGTAATGGTTAATAAACCTTCGAGAAATTGATCTAAAGCATGATTTGTATAACAGACAACTAAAATCGGTTGTTTTAGTATATTTGTTTCATACATATTTTCTATAATGCTTTTGACTATTTTTATACCAATGTATGTTTTACCAGTGCCTGGAGGTCCTTGTATAACTACGAATTCTTCAGTAAGAGCCGCTTTAAATGCTAAGCGTTGTGCACTATCCAGATCTAAGGACTTTTCATCTGGCCATTGGTCATCACTTAAAACATCAAATATTTTATCATTTATTTTAAACATTTTTGCATCTGGCCAGTTTAAATAACAAGGGATACTTGGATTAGTTTTGCCATAAACAATATATGATGGCATTGGAAATCTATTCACATCAAACTGTTTTAAAACTTTCATTGTATATTTGTACGGTAAAAAGTAAGTATCAGATTCAGCCATAGTGTATAATGAATTTTGTTCTATTCTAATATCAGTATTTAAGGGTGTGCATATTAACGTTTTAGTTTTTTTCGTATTTTGACGAAATATTTTAACAACGGTGGCAAAAAACGTAGTACGAAAGTTGTCATCAGTAAGTACTAAAAGTGATTCTTTCATGAATCGCTTAGAATTATTATTTGAGTAGTCTTCTGTAGAATAAAAACTAACTTCATATGCCAGCCTATCATCAATAATAGTTTTTCTTTCAATTTTGGCTTTAAAATATGTATGCATGTTTGGAATACGTTCAAATTCCATGCCAGCTTCTTTCATTGATTTGTAGAACTGAATACCTTCTCTCATAGGCGCCACAAAATCTTCACGAATTAAACGTAACTGTACATCTAAATAGTGTTCGACATTATCGTAACTGCCATTCATAATATTAGGGCTCAATTTTACAGTTCTAGAAATCAAATCTTTAGATAATGGATAGATGGAAAGGTTTTTGTAGCATTGTGGCCATCTTTTTACATCATACAGCACCTGCGCATTAATTTTTATCTCTTTCAATCTTTCGATCATTAATTCTGCATCAACCTGGTCATTTGGGTTCATATCAACATACAAAGTTTTCATTATAAGAAAAGTTCTTTTGACAATATTATATAAAATGATTTTAGATTCCCAACTGGTTATAAATTCATGTACTGACATGCAACTAAAACAAAATTCTTGCAATTGATCGTAGCTTAATAATCCGATTGCGTTTCGAATAACCATTAAAGCTTTCACATTCCGTAAGTATTTCGAATATTCTATCATGGTAAATAGATCTGTATCTGACGAGCTTCTGGATGGTAATGTTTTGATCTTGGCAAATATATTCATTAATAGAATAAGAACATTAATATCTACACAGTTGTTTAAAGTATACAGGAAATTATCATTATTTATAAGAAATGATAATAAAAATTCAGGTTCACGTTCAGAGAATAGTTCTAATTGAGAATAGTCTAAAAAGTTAGCCGATGTAGAATCTTCAACACCTACAGTTGTGGTCAAACTACAGCCAGTAATACTCGAGCGGACTTCTCCAGCAAATAGCATTTCCATCACTGAATTTTCTTCAATAAATGAAATAATAGTTTTCATATTTGTAAGTAGTAATGCCTCGTTTGTTGCAGATATTGTTTGATAATCTTCAGCCATTTTACCCAGCTGTAGATGATTAGTAATTCTGAAATAATTTAAAAACAATTAATATAAAACTAAAAAATGTGTATAATTAAAATAACAATAAAATAGTTTTTTTTAATAATATTTATTAAATATATTTAAATTATAATATATTTTAATTCAATTTTTATTAGGATGAATCAATTAATAAAAGTGCACAGGTGTCAGAAATGAACATTTTTAGAAAATTGAGTAAGGTATGAATTAATAGAATTCTACACATTGTGTGTGAATATTAGAAACGCAAGGTCCATAGTTATAATGTTAAAGGACATACAAGTTTATTAAATACATATGGCATAACAAACTTTCAAATATTGTTCAAGCATTCACTAAAAACACGTGTTTACTATGCCATCGATCAATATTCGTGTAAATTGTAGTACAACAAATACCTTTTCCTATAAATAAAATCTATTAATAATAACGTTAACATTTTGGAACGGCAAATAGACCAATTACTTTGTAAAAAACACTCTTGAAAGTTGAAGACTAGATTTGATTATAATTATTAAAAAACTTAAAATGTTAATTGTATTGTGAAATAAAATTGTTGAAGTGATGAGAACCAAAAGTTACAAGGGATAATTTAAAAAAAAAAAATCAATTTTTTGATTATACAACATCTGTTAATGAAACATATATTTTTACCTACATTTGTCTTACCTACAATGTTTTAAATATTTTTTAAAAATCTATTAAGCCAGCTAAATTTAAAAAAAACTAATAACAATTACTATGAATGAATTTCATAACCTGGATATTAAATTGATAAATAGATATGTTACACGTGTATGTGCGAGTGTGTGTGTTGTGTATGAAGGAGGCCTTAAATAATTAAATAAAGACCAATTAATTAGCTACAACAACTATTATTAAGAAAACATTAATTCAACAAAAGGACAAAGGTATCCACTATCCATCCAATATAAATATATATATATATTTATTTATATTAAAGATAAACTGTCTCTTGAACATACATGATTATAAACCAAATAAAAAGTATTTTATAATGGTAAATACAAATTCACAAGGAAAAACAATATAATAAAAATACAAACTAGGTGGAAATAAATAATAGTTGATATGTGAGGAGTGGTAGGGTGTCAATTTAACTACAAGCTAAATTGCATGTACAAAACCAATTATAAAAATAAGAAAATATATAAAATCCAAATAATGATAATTTTATTATTAATTATATTCATTTGTCAATTGCCTATCTATTTGTCAAACAGTTCTTATCGATGTTTTATTAGTGTCAATATTTTATTCTCTAATCAGTTATATACTTCATTTTTTATTTCTCTGTGTTTGATATGCAATCTAACCCAGATAAAAGAAAAAATAATTTAAAATTATTAAAACTAAAATCAGTAATGAAACGGTCAATTTGTGGTGTGGTATAATCATTTGTAGGATTAAGTATTATGACCATAAAACATTTTATGTTTAAGCTGCAAAATATCTAAACCTTTTTTTCAACTTTTGGATACAATGGCCATTAGCTGAATGTGTAAACTTGTTGAATATGTTTCTCTATTTTGAGGGATAAGGGATTTTTTTTTTAATTTTCCACTAAATTTACACTTTTTCAATCAAATCTACACTTTTAGTAAGTTTATAACTAAAGTAAATTTCAGTAGCGTATCTAAAAGTCGCTAATGAAAGGTGTTCATATAATGAAGTAGATTAAGTTCTAGCCATGAAGAATAAATGTATTTAAGTCTCTAAATGTATTGTCATAATTATTTCCTTGTAATATATTATTCTGACAATTAAATATACATTAAATTTATACGTGAAACTTTTTTTGGCTACAAAAATTATTTCATAGCAATAATTATCCTAACATGAAATTTGGATAGCCCTGTAAATAGTGTTATTAAACCAGTAAGAAGAACAATAATACCCTATAAAAAAAGAGTGTTAATAATAACACTGTAATGTTAATGATTTAATAAACCACTAACTATATTTTAATGAGCACGTTTGTTTTCAATAAACGTTGACAACTTAGAACATGCCTATTATGTAGACAGATAATATTAATAAAAATACAATTGACAACGTATGAACAGACTATTGTAAGCGCTAATGATGGTAAAATTGTTACAGAAATACGTATAGAGTAAGTATGCTTTAGAGTATTTTTTTCTGATTTAGGGTTTATTTAAATTTTTCATTACTTTATTTCTTTACTAAATAAAACCACAAGTTTTGTGCTCACAGAACATCGACACCATATTGTCAATATGAAATAGATATTTAAAAAAAAAAAAAGGTATTCAGTCTTTTAAGGGTTAATGCAATTGAAATTACTGTTAACTCACCAAAATATGCCAAATGCAAAGATCTTCACGAGTTGATTGATATAGATATCGCCTCGTTCCAACTTCCTGTTCAGCACAGATTAAAAAAACGCCCATACATACCAACAGCAATAGATAGGTAGGTCGATTTCGCACAGCAAAATGTAGGTGTCGTACTACCTGTTAACAATGTATAATAAAATCACTTTAAAAGTTTCAAACGAAAATCCGACAAAATAATGGTTTCTACAGTGTTGGCAATCAACACCCTTTACTCTAGCTACGTTTGTATTGTTGTTTCACCTATATGTATTAATAGTATACAAGATAACATACCCGCCGCCCGCGTTCGTTTATTCAGATTAATTTTTCATTTGCGCCAAATAGGTAGAAAAACGGCCGCAGGTGCGAGGCGTTACAAGTTACACGTTAGTCGTTACTGTTTAATCATAGCGAGCACGACGAGCAACAAAGTGCGATTACCGTTTACAACCGCAGACAACGTATGCCGCCGGTCAAGATAAAATATGGTCACTCGCGGACGGCCGTTGGTGGTTTCGTTCCGTTCGTCAGGCGTCGCCTGCGACAAGTTACGCGCAATAGATGGTTATCGTATCGATTTTAAACGCCGCGCAGGTCAAATTCGTTGCTATAAACGGGCTGAAATGGGTATCGACGTTTGAATAACCTGCGTACAGGCTGCACCACAGCGCGCAGCCTGTTTTTTTTTTAGAAAAACACTCGTTCCCTGTCCCGGGCAAAGAGCTCACATCTGCGAATTCGATAATTCATTTTCTTCAAGAAAGGGGAAGATTTCTCGCGGGGTGCGTTGGACTTGTAAAATTGAATTCCTGAACGTATTTTTTTAAGACTTGGTATTTGGTCACAAATTTTATTAACCCGCTTTTCTATTGTAATTTGATAATAAATAAATAGCTATAAGACAACAAGTCGTAAGGACTCTTATGGAACTAACTTCAGGCCCGGAAATTACATTTTATTCAGTACATTCGAAAGGGGGGCTATAAAAAAGCCGAAAATATTTTAGCCGAAAGTATTTGGTCCGACCATAATTTTACCGAAAATTATTATAGCCGAAAAACATTTACGCCGAAAATAATAGTTCCGAAAATATTTTCATCGAACAATTTTTAAGCCGAAACATGTATTAACCGAAAATATTTTAGCAAAATTTTTTTTTAGAGGGCTTAAACAATTTTATTTTTCATAATAACTACACTTATTATAATGTTCGAATAAAACATTTGTATTCGTTATATAATATATATTATATGTATACCGGGAGATTGGTTAACTATGATCCATTCAATAACTTAAAAGATATTACACTTTTTTTAATTATTTTTTTTTTTATATTTTAATATTTATTAGTTGGGAAAAATGTAATATATTTTTATTCATTTAAAAAAAAAACTCGTTTGTCATTATACAATACTTCCAAAATTATATGGCTTATAATAAGTTTATATGTACATTTTTTTATATTATACGTTTACATATAGGCGGAACTACAAAAAAAACATTTGTTTTAAAATATATATTTTTGTAGTCATATCATTAAACTGGGCAATTTTTATCGATCAATTCAAACATGTGCCTTAATGGTGGGATGAAAGGGAGTGAAAAATTCATTGATACCTGAAAAACCAGATATCTAAACATTCATTCTAAAACTACTTTTTTAATGGTGAATATTCATACTTTTTGGTATTTAGTTTGTTGACAAAAATAAATAGGAGACATAGTCTCTTGAATCTTAGTAATATTATTGCTTCCTCAAAGAAGATGCTATGGTTCTCTGTAAAAATATTTTTCGATTATTTGGATGGGACAAACCCATATTACTATGTTTTTTAATTGAAAATTGAATTACTCGTCATTCTATATGTGGATGCGTATGTCCGTGTTTGTTTGTGCAATTTAAAAAAACAATAAAAGAACTTTAAAGGTTGTAAAAGCACAACCAAAGACGGGGGTCCTCTAAATTGCGTTTATAAAAGAATGGATTCTATACAATACGGTAATTTAAGTTTTTTTTTTGCATAAATATATGAAACAAAATATATTTCTACTAATAAGTATTGTGTAATTATATTTGAGATCTTTATTTTAAGTATAGACGCCAATCGGCTGTTTTTAAGTTACATAGCTGACATAATAATTAAAAGTACATTTAAACATAGGATAACAAATATAAATAGACATAACATAAAGGTAATATTAATATTAATACAAATTTAATGACTGACAATCGACAAAGGTCACACTAGATTCACCGATCTGAGCATTCTGTGCATTGGATGATTGTAGCTATAAGAAGTGGGAATGAATAGGAGTATAAAAAGCGAGTTGGATTTCGAGTGGAGTATAAAGGAACTTTAAATAAGACACGAGAGAGATCAGGAGCATCAAAGGAATTTAGACCTTAAAGTCAAACATATTATTTTATTTTATACATGTTAATTATGAAGCCGCCTCCATGATAAAAATTGTAAGCTGTAGTTGTTTAGATATATAATATTATAATATATATTAATGTAATTGATACCTATTACCTACTGTTAAGTTTGTGATAACAGTATAACACGGCTATAACAACAGTAGGTATGGGTGCCATTAAAGCGCGGGAAATCCGCACATGTTCTACTCTGTACACTCGCAGGTATACGCATTTATTCCAGGTGTATACCTGCGAGTGCCTACCTACGGGTTGCTACAGTTACCACGAATGTTGCATGCCACGACTTGTAGTTACTCCGACATTGCTTTATCAGTCATTTGCCACGAATATAATCTACTTCGAATATACAATTGCTACGATTAGACAGTTAGTCCGAATTTAACATACTCCGACATCGTAAAGTAATTAAATGAATCATACAACAGTTAACTCGATATTGTGATACCACGAAAGTATTTTACTTCGACTATACATGATAAGAATACTTGACCACCGGGCACCGATTATTCCGTGAATTCTATGATTGTATAATGAAAATATATTATATATTATTGTCAGTATTTGTATGTCTTAGATTTGGAACTCGTTTGGTGTACAAACAGGGAAACTACAATGAATTTAATATATTAAATTCATTAATTACGTTTTATAGTGTTTTCTTTATTATTAATCGCACATTTTAATTTACAGTACATCTTTATTTTAATTATTGGTGAAAAACCTTTGGCAAGGGCATTGTAAGGGTTATGTTTAATTAGTTGACATACATAATTAAATACAGTAGGCTATACATTTGAAATAGAAAAGTTAAACAAAAAAGATAGAAGAATTTTATAAACAATTTGTTTTATGAATAATAAATATAAATCTGATTGTAATATATAATTTAGAATGTAGGTGATTGATTCAAATTAAGTCCCAAGGGTTTCAGATAGATTTTTGAATATATATTGTTGTTAATCCGCTGTGACTGGTATTATAAACAATTTTGAGGTTTTGTATGACACTGAGAGACGAGAGTCACTTAAAATGGACAATAACTTACAATATAAAAGTTGGTTTTTAATTACGATTAATATGTGAAAACACTCAAATTGGTATTATAAAAAAGTAATAATATTGAATAGTTTGGTTCCTAAACCAGTGTTTAAATTTTAAATCAACGGTATAGAGTATAGATTATACCTTTTTTTAACGACATTATTAAGTGGTAAATTAAAAACATTTATATTATGCTGTTAAATTTCTTGACTTTTGGATATCTGCTTTTGTTTATCAAAAGTGATACAAACCATGAAATTATTTCTTGTTACTTTTCATCTTCTACATCAATGTTGTGTATCAAACATTTGTTCAACACCCCTCTAAACATTTTTTGTAGAATCGTCTCTGATATAATTCAATTTGTATTTTGTATTTGTATTGACTTTTGGCTTCAGTGTTTGTACAAATAAGTAAATATTAACTAGGCACTATATCGCAACATAATGGATTAAGGGATACCAGAAAGGACCATGGCCCGCTCACTCAGGGCTCACAACATCATGGGATCTTTCAAGATCGAAAAAAGACAATTAACATAATTAACAACATTAAAATGTAGCTTTATCCCATTTAGTGATTAGATAGTGTAATTATTTTTTAAATATTCTGTCGAGGTTAGAGCAAACAAATTTTAAGCATAATATATATATTGGAGATTTTTAAAATCATTCATAAATAATTATTACATTTTTAGTACTTAGGAAATATCATTAACGGCCGTTTATAGTAGTTTGGGTAAAATTTAAGTACAGTTTAGCCTATAATTTTAATACTGGTTAAGATTATAAATATTTGGTTTATTTTTTTTTTTGTCAAAACAGATAATTTTAATAATATTATTAATTTCTGAAAATAAAATGATTTTATTAGTCGTTTGCGTGTTACAATGTACGTGGCGGTGGCAATCACGTTGTATATGATTATGTATTTACTATTTATAATAATAATTCTATCAAAATTAAAATGAGAAATCTTACAGAATCTAAAATATATAGATTATAGAGAACTTTTATAGGTTATTATATCCTAAGAGAAATGAGATAAGGGGTAGGAGACAGGTAATAAAGGGTAGGAGATAGGAGATAAGGGTGGGAATGTGGTGAAAAAGCGTTACGCTGTTATTTTTAATTATGTGTTGTATTTACAACGATTAAATTAGAACTAAATAATAAATTAAGAATAGTTTAAAGGGCCAAATTCTTTATGAATTGTTTCAGGCCAGACATTATGAAAACACTAAAATATTAGCTCCAAACTTGATATGTATACTAGCCACCTTAGATAGCTTTGTTACTGCTTGTTAATATACTATTTCATTATTTATAATTCCACCACTACTCCAAATTTATTCGGTACTTCAACGAGACATGAAAATGCTCTTTCGTGGATGCAGACTTGGCTGAAAAAGGTTTTTAACCAGCGTGTTTACCCGATATTCATTTACCCTCTGCAAACGACGCCATTTGACCTCCCGCATTTCTGGAGCGGATTGACGTACCCATAAGGCAAGGTATTAGGGAGATCTGTTGTCTACCATCAGATACACTGCTCGCCGTGCAGACATAATAATTGAAAGGAGTAAAGACCGTAAAGATCTCATTCTGGACCCGACAATTATTTGTGCAACGAATGACCCACATTAAGATAATGCAGTGCATATATAGAAGTAAAACATCTCCGAAACGTACATTCCATGACTACAACAGCACTGTGGTATCGTATGTTAGGAATTCCTTGGGCTCTGGTTTGGTGGAGCTCGGTCTTCAGAAATAAAATGGCATCAATTTTATTATTTATTTTACCGTGTACTAATATACATGATTTTGATTGGCTGGCCGTTACGCCGACGTATTTGTTTTTATTCTCGAATATTTAATAAATAAGGGGTATATGTGTAATAACCTTGTATATTTCAATCATGCATCTAACCTAACATTTCTATGATTTATCAACTATATGAAAATAGTCTGTGATATGACGATGTTATCATCACCTAATCTAACATTTTTAATAAGCATCATGGAAATGTAACATGTAGCATGTTTACTTTCTATAAAATTGGTACACAAAATGGCTGCCTCTTAAGTCGGGACATCAATCCGAATACGCGTTCCATGTATTGAGTTCAGTGATTCTGGCATGTTGTGTAATAAGAACATTATAAAATAAGTTATTTTTTACTGAAATGTCACCATGAAAATCATTTTACGTTTGGAAAAAATAATGTATTTGCACAAAAACATTAAGTACATTTTTTATTGAATAAAAATTACAGATATAATTATTATTTATAATCATTAAGTCTATACAATATAAACTTATATAATAATAATTTCGATAGGTATCGCAATAAGTATTGATATTTAAATGTTCATAATTTCACAGTGCCTTAATACCGTAATCGACTAGTTTTATTCGTCTACGAAAACGGTTTGGGTTTTGATTTTTTTTAGTTCCATTTATCGTCGTAGATCTGCAATGCTGTTTCGTAAAACGTTTTCAAGTCTGACGGGTGGTCAGGCCAGATGTATGTCTTGTTCTTGGACCGCAAGCCCTCTTCCATTAGCATTCCCTTCAGCATGTACAATTTCATCGTCACATCTTCGTGGTTTTGTAGTTCTTTCTGTACCGCCAATAGTTGTCTTGTCACTTTGTCGTATGCTGAGTTCAGAATAGTCATTCCCAAACGAGGGTCGTCACAACGGCCGTTACTAAAGTCCGGTTTCAATGAAAACTCGTGATTATTAAGACGCGTACGTCGATCGGCTGCAGATACTGTCATCAAAGTTATCGGCACCTACAAAGCATTGAACTTAAATTGTTTGTCTTTTTACCAAAAACTAGAGGAGGAAATGTCGTATGCAAAGAGAAGAAGTTATCTAGTTCCAGTTTTTTAAGAATTAAGGATATGTCCAAAAATAAAAACAATACAGTTGTATTTATAAGAAATATTTTTGATAAAAAGTAGTTGATGAGTGTAACTGCTGTGTGGAAAAATTAATTTAGATATACACCAGGAAGGTATACTATTGAGTTAAAATTGTGTTTAAGATAACTAATAAATAAATATAGAGAGAAAATTAAAGTATGGTTTGACTTGGAAAAAACACATGACAGAGTGCTAAGAGATATAATATGGTAAGTCCTGAGAGGACACGTATATCAAGAATTTATTTAAAAAATAATAGGTATGTATGAATAAAACCTTTTTAGTGACTTAATTAGAGCAACTGGGAAGGGCTGTAAAAAAAATGACTTGGAAAAGAAAATGTTATGAAAAAGATAACGATGGGTTATACCAATAAGATGTCATAAATAAAGATATGATGGTGTGTGAAGCGAATAAAGAATTCACTGATATATTATAAGTAATCATTCATAGTAATTCCTCTGATGTTTCCGTTCTATTGTGGAAACAGTTTTATCATTCAAACGTTACAGTATTATAAAAATATAGTATCTCTTTACCAATTCAACTTTCTTTTTGTTCTTAATAATTCTATTCACCGAATCTAGAAGTCTCTTGACATTCTTGTTGTCCAAAACATGTTGAGGAGTCGATATGATTGTGACATTCTTTGTGAAGTCGGGTGAATCCGTGAGTGCGAGACTACTTGTAGAAAAAGCGTGAATTGTATGATGAGTGAACAGAGATATCAAAACAATTGCGCAGTATTTAGTAACCATAATTCTGCAAAATCGAGTAAAATAATTTTAGACAGCTAGCCGGTCGTAAATTTCAGGGTTTAAATGCTTAGGTTGGGGACTTAACCTAACCACAATAATTACAATTAACCTTATTCTAATACTTGCATGTAGCATGTAAGAGTAATGTGCATAACAAGACAGCTATCAAAAAATTAATGTCTGGTCTAAGGAGTTGTACAATTATGTTTTATAGCGCTATATAGATATATTTCTATTTGCACCACAACACACCGCTCATAAGGTCTCCCGTCGAATTAAACAATAGTCATAGATAGCTAATAAACATACTGGAGCCGAGTTTCAGAAAATTGTATTGGTTACATAAACTGTTAAAGGCCCACTGGTTGTTTTATGGGACCAATATAGTTTTTTTTTTTTTTTTATTTAACAAAAAAAACCGCGGCAGCTCTGGCCATTGGTCGAACAGTGACTTAAATTATTCTTATTACATAGTTACATATAGACTTAAAATTATATATAGTATACATGTTATATTTGTTTCTTTATATAAAGTAGATTTTTTTAGAAAGATAAATAGTTTTTGGATTGCGGTTGGTTCCGGACTGAGGAAATATAGTTTTGTGCAATGCAGTATAGATATAACTAGAACTGGCAGTATTTATAATTTACCGTTTTCATACTACATGATGTTTTACTTTTGTCATGTAGTAAAACATGTTTAAAGTTACTCCAATTAAAATCTGTTGGAAGATTAAACAAGTAATTGATATACACAATATAAGACTGGAATAATCATTGAAAGCGATTGTAATCGGAAAATGGGCTCAAGAGATTTTTAACTCATAATTGATTCTAGCAATATTTATAAAATATGTATATTTGCTCTTAGCATGTTTAGACTTTATTATATTACATTAGTTTGTTTATTAAAATAGAATCAAAACAATGTAATGAACGCTTTAAATAAGTGTTAACTGATACCATTGTACCCTCCGTCTACATCATTGACTGTATATTAATTTATAGTAGTATGTGCAATGCACAACATTTAATCGTAAGTAAATATTTAAGTTATGGAATCAAATAATATGATTATAGTAACAATAATAATGTTTCTCCGTAATTAAAACAAGATTTCTTACCTTATTAGATTGAAAAACGCTTCAGTTAACCGCATGCCAAAAGGAGTATTATAAATTCCTAATAACAAATACACTAAAATGTGTAGAATAGTTGTTTGAATGTCAATATTTCCCGAAATTTACAGTATAAAATCAATTTTCCATGACTACGTACCTTCTACATTTTGTTTTACTTATTATTTTTTTTGTTTTTCGTCTGTTTAATATAATATACAATCGATATTCGGTCAAAGTATATTTATTTTAAATTATCGATTACAATTATATGTACCATTCATCGCCGCTTCAAAATGGTCTCTCTATTTATCTCTTTTAGGTACTATGCTGATCCATAGAGTTTTTATTTTATTAGGTCTTTTTTCACCATTTTTGCCGTGGTCCCTTTTTGGTATTTTCCCATTGGGCTTTTCTACCATGATCTTATCAGAATATTTACTGCTCATCACACATGTTCAGCCCATATCATTATTCTAATAACTAAATATGCCTACCCTGCAACCCCCGCAGGTACAAATAGCACATTCGAAACAATGCCATTAATTTTTAATATTAGAGATACATTACAGTTTTAAGATTTTAACCAAATCAAAAAAAAAAAAAACAAACCGCTAAAAGGGTTTTAGTGGTAACCTTTTTGTTAAAACTGCATGACTCACCGAAACAAAAGCTTTGCTAATGTCGGTGAGTCGGTGTATATCGAGTCCAATTGGTCACCTTTTTCAATAAAGTTAAAGAATTATAATAAGAAACCAGAAGATTAGATAAAGTTGATTTAGAATAAAAATATTGAGTTAAGCCTAGGCATAACCATTTATTCGTAAGTAATTATAAGTAATGATTTGGGAATAGCTAACATTAAGCTGGTCTATCAAATTGGTCTATAATTGTTTACATTAGAGTGATACCTTTTTTTTTTTTAAAATGGCTTATGAAAGAATTGTTCTATAAATTAGGAAAAGAGCCGGGGGAGTGGCAATGCAAAAAGTGTAAATAATGGTAAAGTCAAATCAAAATGGGGGAGTGGCAATGCAAAAAGTGTGAATAATGGTAGAGTCAAATCAAAGTTGCATTAGTTTATTTCAGTACCTTGGGAAGGATTTGAGGCACAGTTTTTAATACGTTAAATACTCCCTTAAAAGTAACTGAAAGACCAGGATTACAAATTCGTATCTAATTATCGATGTAAGTAATTAAAGAATTGGGCGAAGAGAAATATTCAGGTAATAAGTTGAATATGTTTGGATCATCTTTCGCAATTTTATCTTTTAAATACATTACAGAAAGACTAATAATTTTTGTTTGCGGTCCATAACAAACTGCTAAAACAATTTATGTTTATTAGCTAACGACAAGTGTGACTTACTACTACAATTTATGTAGCAAGATTGAGCCAAATTTTAACACTGAAAAAGTAATGAAGGCACCCGTACAGTAACCAGATTTGTTCATTTTTCAGCCCACCGTTAGTGACCTTAAAATTTTAATGGCATAATAATATTATATTTAATTTGATAATTTTGAGAGAAATAAAGCCAAATTTTCATACTAACTTTTGTAAAATATGTCTAAATATATCAATCATATAAAATAAGTGATAAAACTTAAAAAAAAAAAAAATAACATTTAAACAAATTTTAATTTTTTGAATAGTAATTCTGAAAAGTTATTCCAACAAATAAAAACAATATGTTAATTATTCTGTAAAATAATTGTCCGTATTATCTTCTATTATATTTCCGCATGCTACACAAATGCTTTGCTTATACAACTTTTACACGATGTACAACAAAGATATATAGCAATATACATAAAATAATAAATACAAAAAGTAATGAAAGTTACCTTTGTGAACCTATTTTTCCTTGCTGGACAAAAATAACGACTTGTACGGCATAAATATAAACATAAACTTTTTTTTTTTTTTTAAGGACGTTTATTAGAAAATTTACAATCTATACAGCTATATGTACAATAAGTAAATATGCGATGAGAAACAAAAATAGACAATGACAGGGCAGTGAGGAGGAGGCTCACATTAGAGCCACCTTTACATAAGAAATTTTAAATTAGGTTAATTTACATTAAGTAAGTCTCTTGACCAGTTGCGTTTGGGGCGTCTGTTTGGATTGCCCGGAAGAGTTTTTGAGTGTAGCTAAGTGACAAGTCGGTTTGGATGGCATTGCACTTTGTAATGTAATCTTTGGTAGAAAATAGATGCAGTCTTTTTGACTGTTGCTATTTTGAGGTCTTCGTGAAGGGAGCTGTTGGTGACGTACCACGGGGCTTTGGTTAAACTTTTATGTTCGAAGTATAATATGTTAATAAGGCTTGTATTTTTATTCCGTATTTATTAGGTATTCTGGATATATATTTCCGAAAACCACATCGACCTATAAACCCTTTCAGCATTTCGTCAATTGTACAGTTTTCACCGATAGTGTAGCATTTTAAACACTATTTTACAAATCCTTTAAATTTTGATTGAATTAGTGCTAATTTTTCAATAGATTTTCTGTCACTTCATGTTTCAATATTGTCAGATCTTAGGGCTTTAGGTAGAATATAATATATGTGGTATCATGACATATTATTTGTTTTATGTATGCGGTTATCGCTATAAAACTCCGATATTGACATTCAATTAACACTACTATGATATTTCGAAATTAATATTTTACAATATCATGCTATGTTTGTCTAATAGATATTTAAGACACGTACATGAATTAATATTCTAATTTTGACTTCAAAATGATATTATGTTATGTATGCTGTATAAATATCTACAAAACATACATAAAACAATATTCAAAATGAGATATTCTAGAGATATTAAAATAATATTATGACTTTTAAGTCACGGTAGGGATATAATTATAATATCATATTAATAAAAAAATTGGAACATCTAAAATTAGGTGTAATACAAATATGTATTTGATATCAATATCAACATTTTCCTATATTGGATTTTTCAACAATTTATATAAATTATAAATTTTGATGATGATGAATCCAAATCATCATCTATTTCACAATTTTTTACAATAATTAATTTATCGCTAGAAATGCCTACAAAATACATATTAAAAATATGAACGCAAATGGACGCCAACCATATTTTGGAAGATGATACAGGATAACATGTACTATATACCGATATATTGAATAACGATTATTTTTAGTTATTTATGAGTTAAACTCTTTAATATATTAACATTTACTAAAAATACGAATTCCCTATTTTATTAAGTTCGTAAAACAAACTCCAAACTTTAAATTAGTAACTTTTCGATGAAATGACTTAACCAGTATATGGTACATAATATAACTAATGTAATGAAGTATAAACAAAAATGTTTAATTCATAAAAAAAACTTATTTTTTCAGAACAAATAGATATTGGTTATGGAACAATTCGAAGAATTACAAAAAAACATAAGTTTCATGCGTATCGTGAAATTTATGTACAAACATTAAAAAATATAGATATGGAGAGAAGAATGGTACGGTGCGCATATATTATAACGGTTAAAATGGATAACGATCCATTTTATTTAAACAAAATTGTATGGACAAATGAAGCTAGGTTTCATAACAACGGTATGGTAAATAAGCATAATCGCCACTACTGGTCCTATATTAACCCTCATTTATACAAACAAAATAAATCGCAAATTAGATGGGGTGTTTATGTTTGTCGCGGGCTATTAAATAATAAAATTATTGGCCCATATTTTTTTGAAAGCAATTTGACTGGCAAGACTTACTTAATTTTTTTAAAAAACATGTTGCCAGTTTTGTTAGATGACTTGCCTCTGGGTGATAGACAGTCAATAGTTTGGCAACAAGATGGACTTAATATTTGATAGGAATATCCACAACAGTAAAAATTGTTTAGTTATGTTCCTTTAGAAGAAGCTTAGGTTTTTTTTTTATATTGTGTGTTATAGCATGGGTTGTTAGTACACCGCTAGCGACGGCTAACCGGTCGGAACCTCGTACCCCTAGAACCCTATATTGTGTAACTTGTGTTTTTATTAATAATATTTATAATAAAAGGTTACTTTCTAGATTAATTTTGTTAAAATTAACTTACCTAACATTTTCCAGAGATTTGGGTGCGTGACTTGGAAAGTTTGTTTAAGCGTTGAGTGGAAGCTTTCAACGTTGTTGTTTGTACGACGAGGTTGCCCGTGCACCGAAAAGCATTCTGCACCCTTGCGAGTTAGCCAATAACTAAAGTTTTAAAACCACATTTTACACAAGGATATCATTTGTATTGTCACCTGGACACACTCTACTACGCTTATACAAAACCATGTATCACCGTTTCATACCAACCACACTAAACCAGCTAAACAATTATTTAAAGTTAACCAGTTAAGTTACCTGGTAAAGTACGTAAAGAATCTCGGCAACAACACATTATTGTTTGCCGCATGGTTTTTTACTTCCTGGAAGCCTTCTTCCACTCTATTTGCAGGTAACAATGCCAAAGCCGCACACATTTTAAAGCATTTTTTTGCCTCAATGCTTTGTTTAAGCTGTTCTACATAGCCCATTTTTTTTATGTTTTTCTGTAAAGCCTAAATAAAAAAAAAATGTTATTGGATGTAGTTAAATTGTAAATTTACAAAAGAACTGATATGGATACATAGCCATGCACTATTTGTGCCCAAGCCTGTGGAGTTTACGCCGTGTATCAAGTTCAGACAATTTACAATGGATATTTTTTTTTTTCGAGTGGACCTATTGACCGGGATTATAGGTAACTTGGTCCTCACCGATCGGCCTAGTGGTGTGGTTTGCGACTAAAAACCCGGGTGGTCACCCATCTGGGATCAAGCGGTACCTTGCGGCAGCTGCGGTGTCCACTGCGCCACACCGTACCGGTACAATGGATGTAATGATGTATGACGGACAGTGGAGGCCAACACTCATGCGGAGGAGTTAATATAAAGATGGTAAAGAAAAAAAGGAAGAAAAATTATGATAAAAACATTCAATAATATACAATAAAAAAGACTGCTTATTAAATAGCAAACCTGTACATAATGGAACCAGCATGAATTTATCTGTGCCTCTGGATAAATTTGGCTAAACACTTTATGCAGAGCGGATTCGTAATCTATCATAATTGTTAGTGGGCGCACTTCTGGAAATTTTGCATGAAACCTCTCGACAACTTTTTTGTATGCTGCCTCAGTTTTTGATTCCATTAGAACGTAGCATACTGGTATTGACTATTACAATACAAAATTAAAATTAATCATAAAATAATATTATGCGACATGAGAAAATTTACATGGTTTTGTAGAATCAAATGTATGATAAAAAGTTGTCTACATTGAGGCATAGATGGAACAACTTTAAACGTTGCATCAGCATGCAGATCAGTGGTGCCTTGCCGCACCACAGCACTGATCAGCTCATGGCAAGCAAACATAATGTTATATTTGCCATCTGAATCTACTAACCATTCTTGATAAAAAGAGCTGTTATTGCATTGAAACCTACGAAGACATGTAAAGTTATTCAAAAAATATGTACCTATTTGAATTGCAGTTTTTTTTTATTTAAAGCAAACCTGTCTACGTTGGAGTCAAGGTATTCACCGAGCTCGCGTATAGTCGAAGGCAGAGGTGGTAACGTTTGCCTTCTGGCTTGCCGCATCGTCGACTCAGCAGATGGCCAACTATACAGCAAGGCCGCACTTTCGTCACTGTAAGAATTTCCATAAATTTAATATACTTACATCGTTACTCAAATTTTCTTGATTGTACATTTTAGAGGTTATACTAAATTTTGTAATTTTTACTAAATTACAGAAAAATGTATCAATTTACTATAACAAACATATTTTAGGTCTCCTACTCTTTAAGAGTTATCAAAATGCTATTTCTTTCAATTGTAAATATAATTTTATTTAAACTTTATCTTTCAATTTTCTTTTAGCTTAACTTTTTTCCATCGTGACCCTATTAACAGTTGTTCTTTTATTATTTAATTTCAAAGTAACAAATTTTAATTTTTTCTTTTTATTTATTTTTAATACAGTATATATTTTAAGTATAATTTTATTTAACAGCTTTTCTTTTATTATTTTTTTATTTTATTTAGTTAGATACTATACCACTGTCAGGAAATATAATACATACTATTAATTGGTGAACTTACTTAGCTAATTCTTCATCATAGATAACCCTTAGTGCTGTTGTTTCCACTCTGGCTCTTTCGCCCAAGCGATTCCTCAATTTCCTTTTAGCGTCTTGGTCTTGAAAATTATTATCAAATGCGTTGTGTGTGTGTGGCTTATTTATTCTAATTATACCATCTGCAGTCTGTACTGCAGTACCTTTGCAGTACACATTGTTGGTGGCACACACATAGTAACTGCATTAGGAAAATATATTATAACAATTATATTAAATGACCAATTTAGGTTTAGTAATAATAATATAGATTTATGTTGTCACTTACCGTTTACCATCACGAGTTTTATTAAGTTTGTAATGGAAACCCTCGTGATCCATTATTATAGCAATAATAAACAATATAAACGTTTAAAATGATTGAATAAATTCAAAATTAAAAAACGAACACGGTCAGTTAATAGACGCTGTTAAATGTCAAATAAGAAAAATACTCTTTACTGGCACAATCCAAATACCTATTGTGAAAAACACGTTAGAAATTCAAAAGTAGGTACTGTTAATAGACGCGAAAATTAAGTAAGGTTATGGTCAACAATAATGTTTGTTTTTTTATCAAATTATAAAAAGGGTTCGAAATAAGATTTTTTTTTTTTTATTTGGTGGGAGAGTCTCAACTAATCGGGATAATACAAAACAAAAACATATCGATATTTTCGTTTATTGAAGATGCTCCGATATGTTTTTTCTTGCCTTATATTTTGCAAGTAAGGTAGATCACCTAAATTCCTAACAAATCTTTATTGGCCTCACACTCATATTTGTTAATAATTGTTATAAAAAAAATTACCAAATATTAACCTTCGGTGTTCTCTAGAGCAAAATCGGTTTTTAAAACATAATTTACATCAAATATGTCGATCTTAAAAAATAAAAAATATTACTTAGATTTCAAATCTTTCTATTGATTCCCTTGAACTAATTTATTTTTATGTTTTAATTTATTCTTAATTGTCGAATATTGTCATTATATTTATATTATTGTATTGTGTATCTTAACTGTCCAAACATTGTTTCTAATTAATTGTGATGTAATTATCTTATGTATTTTGATATTGATTATTATGCTGTGGTGTGATTGTGGCAGCCCAAACTGTGGGCATCTCGCTAATAAAGTTCTATCTCTCTATACTTGTAATAAAGTAATAAGTTGTACAGTAATATAATTAGTTTATTTATTGATTTACATTTTTCCTCGTTAAAATAATTTTAAGCGAATTTAACATAAGTGTCTGGGAATTGTTGAAAAATAACCGAATTTTAACAGTAAATAGAGTTCTTAATCTGTGCTTAAGCATTTTTAAATTTCCAATAATAATTTTGGTGAATTTAGCATTAAATTTCTCAACCATTCTATTTGGGAAGATGTGTATATATTTTATCAGTAATTATAAAGAGTTATATTTTTTAATATTCATAAACATGAATTTAAAAATGGTCTAGCGGTTTTTAATTGGCATAATAACATGCACACTGGTTAAATTTTTCTACAACAAAGCCATTCTTTTAAACAGTGTTAAAAGACTAATATAGTATTAAACTAATATGCATAAGAGCTGCATAAATCTAGTCATTTTTTACGGGTTGTATTTAATTATTTATCAGTTAGCACTTAGCATAAATTAAATTTAAGTGACTGTGTAAAGTTTAATGTTATAGTTAATTCTTTACGTTGGACTATAAAAAGTTAATATAAGTGCGATTAACTCTAGGTATAGTTCAACTATTCATCCTGACTATGATAATGCAAATGGTGTATAATGGTGGACCCATATAATTGTGATTTTTAGGTTTTTGTGGTGCAGTGAAATCCTAAGATAACTAATAACTAATTAGGGCATTCAAATTGAAATCATTCGACTACTTATGATGTAGTTGTTACACGAATGTTGATTAATGACTCTCAAAACTTAATTTTTTGTCGAAGCTACTTCTATTAAAATAAAGTAATTTAAAAAATCATCTCCATTCTTCTTACGTTTAACTTTCATTGCTCTTGGTGTTTGGAAAATTGATGCAGTGGTTTCCCGCTGCCTTCTGCATCGCAGTGGCACCTCATATTATTAAGAGGACGCTACCCACCCGTAATTTATTCATGAAAAATGGTTTTGCGGGGGACAATAATGTGAGGGCGGTATTTAGAGTAGCCGTATACAATTTTTACAATGGACAGAAAAGAACTATCTACGGGGTAGCATTTTTAGTTTTTTGAACTTAAAACGCTACCCCATGGATAAAGTTCTTCTCTATACATTGTGATAATTAGATAAATTTACTGTTAATACTGGCCTCGCATACTTGTCCCGCGCAAAGCATTTGACATTGTAATTTATCCTATAGAAATATAGAAAACTCTAATTTAAGATTTTTCATAAAATTGCCTATACTCCTTAGAAATAGCCTGGATAGCGTCCTCTTAAGGGATGCTATTCAAGTATACATGAAAAATCATAAATTTCTCAAAAACTTATAGTATCAAAAAAAATTGGACGTGACCTTAGCTGGGACGACGCCAAAAATATTTCAAAAATCATTTATTTCAATGATTTTTAATTTCTCAAAAACCAATAGAATCTATTATTAGTAACCAATAACTTTTTTCATTCGAACATAATGTAATACGTATTAAATCTTTAGCCACTTCAACAAAAACATATTTCATAGTAAGCTTGTAATTAATATTGTGTTTGTATAACATATTTATCTTTCAACTTTATTAATATTATAGGTGTGCCTATTGAGTTTAGGTGCTGCTATAAATGATAATTTTTATATTAATTATACCGTTTAAATTAGTATGTAATTTGTAAAATGTGTTTTTGATTGCAACAAATATCTAACTTCTCTTATTGTTCTACTGTAAGAGGTATATGAACTACACCTAAACATTTATAATGCCGTTGGCACAGCCGACATTCGCTCACATGGCAGTTAAAATTATTATATAACGTTTTTGGCATTTAAACCTTCGTTAGATGGGTGGTCTACAGTTGTAACTCTAACTCAGGTACAAGGTGTACGCCAATCACACTTTATTTAAAAGTGATCGAAAAAGGACGGAAGGATAACAATTTAATGATTATACTAATACATCTATGTCAGCTAAAAATTCTTATAAATGGAATTTCATATACCTATAATAGTTATTATGTATCAAAAATAATAGTATTTATTTCTAATTAATTATAACTGGTGAAATATACAGGATGGAAAAGAAAAACAAGTAATTCAAACAATTACATTTTTATTAAAAACAAAGTATACAGGATTATCATAATATATTATTAATAACTTAATATTGAATAGCAGTAAGTTGACGCTCTTGTTTCTAGACACACTTCTAGAACCTCTCATCTAGTGAAGGATTTCACACAGCAAAATTAGCCGTTTGTGGTGTGACACTGTGACCCAGCTAATCACAAATTTGTATTACATAATCATATCCAATGTGTTATTTCATCTACAACTAAAGCTGTCTAATAATTAGTAGGTAGAGATATAATATCTCAGTTTGTTTAAGACAAATGGTATAGCTTCGTTATATAAATACTAATATTATTGAAATTCATATTTTTATTTATTCCATTTTTATTAAGCATGACCTACATGATAAGGATGACCCAGATATATCGATATATTTCTGTTGGGATTGAAAAAACTATAACGATATTTCTAAATATCTAGTAAGTATAAAATATATTATAAATAATATATTTTGATATTTGCAACTGGATGATGGTAACGATATTCCTAGTGCAGCCTGCATAGGATGATATCGATTCTTAACAAAAATATCGACATTTCGGTATTGTTGATATATTATATTGCGCATCCTTATATGCATCCAAAAAGATACAGTGCCAAGTTAAGGGTTAAAAACGATTTGATTCGAATCATTTGTATCATTCATTTACCCCGTCTCTAGTATATAGTTAATCAGTTTATTAATCATAAACTGATAAGAAAAAAATTGATAAGAAAAATAGGTGTCGGCTAAAATACGGTTCTGTCAAAATATTTTCGGACGATTTATTTTCGGCTAAAATGCGTGTCGGCTAAAATACTTTCGGCCGATTTTTTTTCGCCTTAAATATTTTTCGGCTATAATACTGTTCTGTTAATTTATTGTTCGGTAAAAATACAGTTCTGTTTGTTTGTGTTTCTGATCATTTATTTTTCGGCAAAAATACGGTTCTGCCGATTTATTTTCGGTGTTTTTACGCGCCCCCATTCGAAATGCTAAAATATTATGTAATAATCGGTGTACAACGTTTTACTCTGTGAAAATACTTTAATGTATTTATTAAAATAGGTACCTATTACATGTATTATTATAAATACGACTAGTGGTAAATGACAAATGTGTGTACCTAATGCTGAACAAAATTTTTAAATCCATTTTTCGTGTTTTCGTTAATTTTCAATAACAAACATACATATTATGTTATTAGTGCACACCAGTTATCTGTTTAGTACCCTATATGTCACACCTGTTAACTATTTACAGCGTCGTCATACCGGAAATGATCATCGTAAACACGTTTTTATGAATTTTTATAAATCGTTTTGAAATGGACTCAAGTCCCAGTTAAACAAATTGTTCTTATTTTTCAACATTCCTATTGCCTCCCTTATATCAAGTTCTTTAGAATTATTTACATTTTTAAGTTATTTCACTGATTTTATGTTATTACACGATTAGTATCCAATAAATATTCCACAACAGACTTATGTCTCTTATGTGTTCTTTAAACCTAATTCCAATATTTCGTTTTGTCTGACATGAATAGCATTTATCACATCACATTATTTACATGGTACTTAATGAATCACCGATTTTTTCCTGTTCCCCTATTTTATCTTTAGTGCCACCTAATGAAGATAATAAATTATTATTTATTTATGCAATTAGAGTTAACCGTATTTTAAAAAAAAAATTGTGTTAGACCGCTTGAGTTACCTGGAAAATGAACCATACTCGATCTTATTTTTTAATCGTCCCTCCTTCTAAGCGTGCTGGCTGTCCGAACTTCCTTTGGCCATTAATGTTTATTACTTAATCTAAAAATCATAACTACACCCATTAAATTTAGCTACTTTAATTTTTGTTTTAATATTGAAAATTTGTTAACGTTATTTTTATTGGCTTGTCAATATTATTTCTGATATGATTAAAATATATATTAAAACATTTTTTTAAATTTATTTTGTAGTTTTTTCATACTTATTCGCGTAACGTTTTACTTTGTTTTAAGTTGGTTAGGTATAACGTAAAACGTATACTAACATGTACAAAGCTGTTACAAACACAAGTTCGGCATGAATGCTCAAAAATCAAGTAATAAATGTTACTAATATATCTATTCTTTATCTATTATGAAATATATTACCGAACAGATAACAGACAACTATTAAAAACAAAAAAGTTATAGCTTATCATATTTAATATTTAATCAGTCTTAAATTGAAGGTTAATATACCTTAGTATAATTCAAATTTTAAATTTTTAGCAGTTGGATAGTTTAAATATTTTTTAGTACTTGCGAATGAATAGCCGCCATTCCGGACTAACTGAGAGGGCATGGGGTGGCCTAATAGTTCGAAAATAATTTTTAAGCAAATTAATATAATTTAGTTTAAAACCATTTTTTCAGACGAGTCCGCAACCACGAAAGAGCATTCTCATGTCTCGTCAAGCTAGTATCTAAGGTGGCTAGTAGATTAAAACATCAAGTTTCTGGCTAATATGCCAATATACGATTTTTATGTAACGCTTGTTTTTGTAACACTTTTACGGTTATGTGCTAAGACATGAAAATGTCAAAACAGTACAGTGGGGACGAATCATATTGGAGTGGGGAAGGTCACCGTTCTAACTTCTATACATGAATTACTAAAAATAAAAGTGAGAAAATCACTTACAAATAAACACTTCGATGGGAGTCTGTAATGGTAAAAATACAAATATCGATAAAAACATTGTACCTAATGACAATAATGTGCTTATGAAAGAATCAAATTTTGTATTATTTTCAAAAAAAAATTTATGTTTTTAATATTGAAAAAATTGCAAATATAATTTATTACAAGAAACTGAAAATTTTAAATAAACATCGGCTTTCTGCATATCATAGAAAAGTAGCCAAAGAACTCGAATCTCTTTACAGAATTGAAATTGGTCAATCCTATGTAGTCGACATTATGTCTAACTTTCTGGAACAGAAAAAATTATTTAAATTAAAAATAATACCCATTTTTCTTAGATATTGCCTATACGAAACTCCTTAATACAAATGTCTTAAGAATCCAAGAAACAAATTAAGAAATATTTGACTATTGTATGTACATTATTTGGGTGTTTTTCACGATTTTGAATAGGGATAAGGGTGAACTTTTTAAATTGTTGACCTAATAAAGTATCTTTTAGGTAAGATTTTTTATTTATAGACTTGCTACATGAAGAAATCAGTTCAGTAGTGGTAAAATGTCGTGGGAAACACATAATTATAAAAACAATACATTCTCAGGCCTCAGCTCCATATCGAAGATGAAAATTGTTACTTACCTCCTCTTTTATACATACATGGAAAACGTATTTTTTAATACAGTTTTAAGACATTTTTTCTGAGAATCAGACTGGAGGCCTAACCAAACTGGTTAAAAGTGCTCTCACTAAATAATGGATTACATAAAATTAACTTAAAATGTTTCAGTAATGAGCAAAATCCACAAAATTAAATGAAACATTTTTAAACACAATTACATTTTGTATTTTTGCTTTTATTATAGTAATTTTGTTTTGTATTTTGTAATTTTATACTGCCGATTTGAATTTATTAAAATAATACAAATAAACCAACGATTGACATGTTAACAATTAAAATGACATGATAACAATTAAAAAAATATTCATCCAATTATAGAACATTTATAATTCTTATTATTCTAGTAAAAAATAGACTTTTCTTAGCATACCAAAATAACTTTCTTTTATAATTTTGTATAAAGAAGATAGTTATATAATAAATATTATGATTTAATCATCATTAGTTAAAAATTATCACTTATATTACTCTTTCAGTTTTATAAACGAAAATAGATTTCTTAACAAAAGTAGATGAATGTTTTACCAAGTTAACAATTTGCAACTACATTAAAATAAGAATATTAAAATTACATTACAGTACAGTCTTCACATAGTTTAACTAAAATCCGTACACATCAAGTTTACATAAGTACATATAATTACAAAAACAAAAATTCAGTCAATTTTTATAGAAAACGAAGCACCACAAGAACATCCATCTTGTGCTTTTGGATTTCCAACTAACTTAAATGCTGATCTAATTAACTTTTGTTCGTAATCAATTGTTGATCCTTTAACATAATCTAATGAAGTCGTATCAACTACTAATTTAACACCTTGTTTCTCAAAAACCACATCATCGTTGCAAACAGATTCGTCAAACTCGAACTTGTATTGAAATCCAGAACAACCACCTCCTTCAACACTGAGGCGAAGAAATTCTCCTTCGTTACATACTTCTTTAAGCCGTCTGACACAATCTTCCGTTAGTTTTAAATCGTTTTCACGGTGACTCGATGACGATTTCCGAATAAACGATATTTTTGGAATTAATTGTACACATTTTTTAACATTTTGGCTTCTCAATAAAATGTTTGTCATTTTCTTAAGTTTTGAACAGCGAATAAGAAATCTCAGAACATAAGACTTTTTTTTTTGACCAGCTTATCATTAATAAATATTTCATTTTCACTGATATCCCCTCTTATCAAAAAGATAAAAGCCGATGAACTGATTATAATATAGTTTGCATACTACACAAAATTACCGTTTAGTTAGATAATTTGATTGATTCTTTTACAAAACTTTATTACATTTTGTACTCGATACAAAATACATTTTTGAGTTAGAAGATAGTTTGGTAAGGTGTGGTAACCTTTTAATTCATTTTGATGAACTCGTAACTTATAGGTATAGTCATTAAAATAAGATGTACATTTTTTGCAGTTTAAAACTTTTATGTAATACTCGATGTTTGATCCATACTTTTATTAACATAATATTTAAAAAAAAATTATATTACAAATGAAATATAATAATTATTATCTTTATAATTAAAACATTAAACAATATTATAAATACAGATTCATGTTTTTGAAATTTGTATAGTATTTGAAAATATATTTACGAACTTACCTTTATACAATATCACATAAAAATACAAAATAAATGAGAATTTTACAATTTTAATAAAAAGTCTTAAGCATTTCCAGAACTTTTTTGTTCCAACCAAATATTAAGTAATTCTTCGCTGTCGCCGTAACCATGACTAGCAATTACATATTTATAATCACTGACGGAGTAATCTTTTTTATAGAAATAAATATGCTTACAATGAAGTGGATTTATATTTAATTTTTTCGCAACCAATCCTAAATAAATATCGTCAAAACGAAATCGTTTCGTATACAAACTTCCATAATGAAATTCAATTAGAGCCGCTTGAGACAATACAAATGCACCGGCTGTTACGTAAGGAGGCCACATGTGATATGGATATTCAGATATCGAAACGTACCTAAATGGTAGATATATAAATTAACTATAATTTATTAAAAAAATTAATTTCAAACTCACCATTTACTTATTTGATGCCTCAATGGTGACGAGTTAAAGACGTAACCAGTAAATAGAATTATTTCAGTTGATAATTTATGATTTGATTGTATTCCTTTAATTTCATTACTTAAATAGTTAGGATATTCAATTGGATTTCGCAAGTAACGAAATAAATTTTTTACAGATACATACATATCGTCATCTGAGAAAAAGTAGAAACTAGAGTTTTTACAGTATGTTGATGCCCACGTAATCGCACCAAGTGTCTTGATCGTATTGTTATAATACTCGTCTATAAAATTGTACTGTACAATATCACCATAGTTATCATGTTCAACTTGAATTTGTTTTTTTAAACTAATATCATTAGTATTTCCTAAAACAAATACTGTTCTTGTCGGCACATCTGAAAATCTGTTTTCGAAACCCCAGGTTTTACGAATAGTTGCTCGTCGTTCAAAGTTAGCTACTGCAGATTTTACTAGAATTAACATGTGTATGTTTTGATTACATTTGTTGTTATTCGACAACAATAGACTAAACTTGAATGGATTGATTTGTTCGCAAGGTGGTTGATCGGATTTGCCCGCTTTTAGATTAATAATACACTTTGTGATATTGGTTTCTAACGGATACGCAAAGTGCTTGTAATAATCCAACTCAAAAAAATGAGTGAACACGCCAAAGTAGTACATCAGCCATAACGTTATTACAAATACATACTTTAAGTATTTCCTGAGTCGGATTAAACCATAAATAGAGCCGGTCATATCTGATTTATACATCCTTTATACATTGTATAAATGAAAGAACAAATTTCAAGTTGTGCCGATAATAACGTAGATTAAAACTATTTGTGTAATTTATGAAAATAATTTAAATTTATTTATGCAATCAGCAATAGTTGTTGCACAACAGTCAATACAGAATACTGTTTAGTCAGTATTTATATTTTGTTGTGAAATGTAGATTAAAACAGTTATCAATAATTATGATTTCAGTGAACAGCTGATATCAATACACATGCTTGCGCCTGCCGCCTTGCTCAATAATAATTGAATTTTGTAAGTAGTGCTAAATGTTTATACTAGCTATTTCCAGTATTATAAACGTATGGCGTCTTAAATAAGTACAGAGTTTTTATACTACATGATGCACAAGGCACAAAATACACCTAGTATTTGAACTACAGAATAGATAATCTATTTTGTGTACCAACTACTTACACACTGATCAAGGATTTAAATACTAGATCATATCAAAATAAGTTTTTTTTATAAATGAATTGTCGATACCAGTTAGACTTGTCATTCCGTGTATAATTAACACAACAAATAGTATTTTTTTTACTATTAATTTGTTTTAAAGATATATTCTAAATACTTTTTAAAAATATATTATCAGTTTTTTTTTAAATTTACGTGATTTCGTTCAATTCTATTTCTTTAAAAAAAATTATAAAATACAATAAAACAGTTCATATTATTTTCAAATTTTAAGATCACTCAAACGTCTAGTAATCTGACCCCTGAAAAATAACATACTTCAAGAACTTTGATTGTCAATTCAAGCGAAAAAGCAAAAAAAAAAATGACACTTTTTTTTAACTAAACCAACCAAAAGTTGTACAATAAAATATAAAAATATGTTTTGTTAATAAAATTTGTTTTTTAATAAACCTCACTAATCCAACAATCCTCTGGTCTAACGTGCCAAATTACAGAGGCTACTGTAATAAGAAAATTAATTTTAAATACTTATTAAAATAATAGGTACATTTAAAAAATATCTGAAATAATAAAATTTAACATTTACCAATGAAATCAATTTATACATACTTTAATTATTTAAATACTGCCCAGGTTGCTTGATTAGAAGTCTGGTGACTTTTTTTCACCGTAACAAATTCGATGTTTTTAGTTATGCTACTAAGTTGATTGCAGGTGAGGCATCACTTAGTATATTCTTTAAATTACACCATTATGTTTATAAGACTTGCATTCAATTATAACCAGACGATACCATTAGAATAATTAAAGTAACCTTTCTTATATGATCATAATTTATTTGAGAGATATTATTTATAACACTTTCTCATCAATGCTCCCGATTTAAGCTTTTTTTTTTTAAAGTTCATCCTCAATAGTTCATTGAAATTTTAAAGATAATAATACAAACAAACAATATCACAATATAGAAATGTTTTTAATTGGGCGCATATGTCAGTGACCCATTGAAATAAAGTCTGTTGACTTGTGTACACGTCAGCAGCAATGCAAATGTGAAAAAACAACTTAACACATAATAACATTTTACAAATTTGGATTTTATCAAGGTGTCAAGAATTGAAAATGAGCATCATTTACGTACAAAAAATTAGTTTAATATAAATTTATTTTTTCAATTTTATACAAATTGTTAACTGGCTCATCTGTACGTTTTTTTTTAATACCACTGTTAGTTTTAATAACTGACAAAATATTATTTATATTATTCACTGCTTCGGCATAGTCACATTTACAATTCACGTCATCTTGTAATTGGGTAATAAATTCAAGTACGTTTGGATCGTTAGATAACAATATTTGTTGATACGAGCAATCTATCATTAATGTCGTCCAATCTATTAGCCTGTCTTCGACAAGTTCCTTTTTCATAAAGGAATGTGTTGTTTTTAAAACATTTAACATATTTTCGAACGGCATTCGAGTTCTTAAACACGATGGTCTGTTTAAAGGAGGATATGAAAATACTTTCAGCAACAGATCAGTATGTTTTTTGGGAATCAAACTACAATACAACAATATTTCAACCAATGAATTGTCACTAATATCACTTTGTTCTTTCAGTAGACGTATCAACGATTGGTCATCCTTTTTTTTCAAATAATCGCTTATAGTGATTTCGTTCAATCTAAAACAAAATTGTATACATAAACATCAAGTTGGTAGTATTAATAATCGCGTAACAACTTTTACTTTGATTGTGATAGAGTGGAGTTTGAAATATTTTTATCACTGCATTTGTCTTTGGCATTTGTATCCCACTCGACTTCTACATACTGTTCATTATTTTCTATTAAATTACTGTCCATCAGTAAAGACAAGTTATTTCGTTCACACGTAAAAGGAATAACTGCTAAATTTTGACCAGTTATCAACAACAGATTATTTCCAAAACACCATAAATTAGGAGGATTGTTATAATTTTTGAAATGTTGAACAGCCACTGTCATGTTGTAATGGAAATTATAAACAACCAAAGCTCCTCCTAAAAATATTACATTAACATTATAATATGGTAAACAATAGTAGTCATAGTATATATATGTATATACATATATATAACAAGTAACAAAATGTAAGTTATTTTAACGTATAGTAAAAAAAAATGATAAATTAATTATAACAAAGAAGTAGTTAGTTTTTGTATTATTTATAATATTTTCTAGTAATAATAATAGCTCTTGGCACAAGTTAACATTTTATTTAAAAAGATGAAACTGGAATTGTTTCAACTAAAATGTTTTTATAAACTAAAAAAACACGATATTATAATTTAAGACATATTAAATATTATATATAATAATAATAATTATTATTATAAATTTAAAATGTATTTTAAACATTAAGTTTTAATTTTCAACACCGTATCCTTTTAATTGTTACCTATTTCACATACATTTTTATTTTATCACTTAATTTTTTATTTTAAAACATTAAACCAAATAATATATTAATAAATATTATGTTATAAAACATACAATATTAAAGTTAAATTGATTGTAATTTATTTTTATTATTATTACTAAAGTTGTTATCGTAAGTAAAAAAACTAAACAAACCTTCACCATTTGGTTCTGCTCCATACAGCCCGATACAATCTGAACTTAGTTGCATAATAGTTACAGGATTTTCTGTATTAATCAAATTAACAGTGGTACATACTTTTCCAGGGTATTCACCGATTTTAGATTCATCATACAATTCATAAGAATATAAACATTTGTCAGACCCTGAAACAATTTAGCATTTAAAGAGATTTTTGGCAATTTGTTCACTTTTAAATAAACACTTTGATGCGAATCTGTGGAAATTAGGTTCAAACCAATACAGTAAGAAAGTATTATACTTTAGTGAGTAGTAGTAGTAGTAAGGAAAGTCCAATTTTCACCGATAAAAATAAAATTATCAATAAAAGCATTACCTAATGACAACTATGTGCTTAAAAATTCATTTTTAGCATTACAGTGGATACCCGATACGATAAGGGTTAATCGCCTGTCTATACAAATATATTGCCATAGTTACCACATAACAATATAATGAAAATATTTTTAGATATCTATCAACTGTTGAGTCACTCACACATAGTAACTAGGAAATTGACTACGGTCAAAGCGTATCTTCCCTTTTTTTAAAAGTTTTTCCTTGATAAAAAAAATGTTAGACTACCGACTTTTGAAAAAATTGTTGAGCTTATAGTTCCATTCTAGATCTACCTTCGGTCTAATTTTTGGACCTAAATCCCTAAAACTTTGCTTTAAAAAGTGTAATTATAAATAAAATTCTATCCCTTCTAGGGGAAAGAGTTCATAATGTTTTTGGGTTTGTAAATGTTTATCGGTAACACTATGTTTCAAGAATATTCCATATAAATTTATGATTTTTTAGCTCATCAAAGCTAAACAATATTAATATTTCATCATTTGTGTGTGGGAAATGAGTTTGAGAAAAATTATCATTAATTTTTTTATAAAAAACTTACAAAAAGTTAAAATACTAAATGAATCTTTGTTTTCTCTTAAATAACAACCAAGTAACTTTTTATTTTTTTTATTACTAGTTATTTGTAATTTAATTGGTAAATATGAATCTTCTTCCAATGGTACAGTATATAATGTTTTCACATCCTGAAATAATAAAATTTTTAAGCAAACTTATTTTATATAGATATGAACAGGTATTTATTATTTTATTATATATGATATTCCTTATTACCTTACTATCAACTGTAACTAAAACACACAGCGATTTAGTTTTAAATAAACATATTTTAGCAAATTCAATTGTTTCATCATCATTTATGATAGCGTCTTTAGGTTTTTTTCTTCTACTAATAGCGTCATTTAAACATTCACAATATCCATTTTCAAAAACTGCAACAGCACCATTGTAGTCTGATCTAGTTAAAAGTTTTATTATTTTTGTAGTGAACTATAAAAAATAAAACATAATTTGAATTATACATTTGCGTACTCTAATTACTATTTCAATACACTCCCTTATGTATTATAAATATTATTACTCTAAACTTTTGACCATCTTTAATGAAGGTATAAATTTCACCAATATTTTAAATTATAATACTAATGACGCAAGGACAACGCCAGTTTTAACAAGATTGCTGCGGTTAAACTGAGTCTGGTGTTGCTAGCTTCCAGAGGTGTGTCTACCGATGTACTAGAAATTTCAGCCACGAAGCTATGCCCCTAACCAACACTAAAAGTTTAAACAAATGTTCTAAACCTAACTGTATAAATTGCAGTTGTCGCGTATAAATAATACAAATATATTACAATAACACACACAGTAATTATTTTACGTATTTTTTAATTTTACTTTTCACAAAGTAATAAGTTAATTTCTCTAACTTTAACTTAGTCTACAGATAGGGGTTGAGAAACAAAAGCGTCTGTTTACCGAATTATTACTTGTAACCGGGTTAAATACCTATTACAATTAATTAATTGACGAAGTAGCTTACATTGAATTTTTTCATGTCTTTCATTTCTAAAGAACTTCTTAGCCATTTTCCAACTCTAGTATAGTTGAATACTCCATAATAACAATTAGTTGAAGGATCATAGATAACTTCAGAGGATAATTTATCAGAGCTGCTCCAACAATGTTTCTGCTTTTGACTAGGTACCTAAATGAAAACATTGCATTATTTGTCATTACAATTATCAATGATGTGTATATACGTGATATATACGTACGTGAAAACAAGTGACCATGTTTTTGGACAACGTAACTATAACATTATTATGCTTGGCGTCATTAGCAATTCCTAAAAAATTGGCATCAATAATTGAACCTAAACTAAAGGATGTATCTAACTTTATCATGTTGTTTTATTAACATTCATAGAAAAAAAATTAAAACACAAAAAACACTTGAATGATTTCAAAATGCAAATTAAATCTACAGTAGTCACATAATAAAATCATCAAAACAATGTATGCACAGTCAATAATTAAATATTAAACTGAAGCACGTGTTTTACATATCTTTTATCATTGAACTGATGTCTAATATTTTTTAGTGTCACAGCCTTATCAGCTTATAAGGCCGTGTTTAGCTTATACCATTATTACTCTATGGTTTATACCCATTATCATTTATCATCATTACTTGTTTTTAACCAAATTTTCTTAACCGTGGTTTAAAATGTTTACTTACTTATCTAGTTTCCTATTGATAAGAAGTAGAATGGCCGGCGCCTGGCACCGCGAGTTGGGGGTAGTTCTTCCAAAAAATGATAACACTGGCACCGCCAGTAGCGATAGTCGATAGTGAGCAGCTGCGTTTTTTTTTTGTAAAATGCGATTCGCAAACCACCAACAGTACTAGCGTTTTTCAGGTTAAAATTGACTTTTATAAGTATCTTCTTAAGCTATACCAAATTTTATTCGAGTTACACTGACTGAATTTTATCGAGTTATATCAGTCTTCAAAAACAGTTTTCAGTTTTCACTTATGTAGTACCAAAGGCGGACCTAAATCAATTTTTGAGGGGAGGGGGTGAGATATGCCAGCAATAATATTATTGGACTACGTTTAAGATAGTGATACAAATAAGAGGATTGGGAGTTGAAACCTTCCTCCGAATTTTGGCAGTAATAATTATGATTGATGTATAGCAAATTTGCAGTGATTTTACAACAAGTAGGAGATTGTATAACTATAAAAGATTGTTTAAAAATTAATATTTATTTACTACATTTTAAGTCCTAAGTACCGAATGTAAAATTTAATGATTAATGAAATCAGATTTGTGGTGGCTGCATTAATAGTTTTGTGTAAAGGGATTCTCAATGATAATTAAAATTTTATGTATAAAAAAAATGGCAAAATCTCAACGATTTTAAAAAGTAGTTGTAGGTAGGCCGTAGGTAAGACACTTTATATTGCAAATCTTTAGAATCATCTGAACAAGCTTTACAATTTGAATGTTTGGAACTTGTAGAGATTATTAAAAGGTATGGACGGTGTCTGTCCTTTCGTTTCTCTTTCAGTATTTAGACATCCCCTAAAAAATACCCAAAGGACTCCAAAAGCATTGTTGTGAAACATCCATAAAACGTTTTTCAAAACTAAACCTTATTAGTGATCTCTATTAACATTCGATTAAAACATTAAAAAAGTGGCCAATCAAATTGTATGAAATGTAAATATGTATAAAGTACATTTGTAGATTTATTTAAAAAATAATATTATATGCAACAAAAATTAATAAAATAAAAAATAATAATAATATATAAAAAAAACCAATATAAAAATAAAATGATAAAAACTATTACTTCATTAGCTAATATTTTTATGCATCAGATGTGTTGGCCAAAGTAACAGGTGTAACGACAAATCGTTTAGTTGGTGAATCGAACATGTTTCTGAGAGATCCAGTGGAGTTATTATCATGTATAGGATCTATAAATAATTAACAACATTATACAACGACTTTATAACACTATTAATAATTGTTAATTTATTTGTACTTTATATTTGCATCTATATATTTTAGTTAAATCAACTTGAACAGACCAATGTACGTAAGTCATAGATGTATTAAAATGAAAAACCCTAAGCGGGTGGGGTGTGTTATGATATTGTGGAGGGGGTTTATTAAATAATATTATTCAAGTCCCGTTATTTAAATATTATGTATAATAATTGTCTAAATATACAAGTCCCGCTTGACCATGGAAACGCGTACCGCCGCCGAAATAATGTGTTTAGACTGAGTGGGTAATATAAAAAGACAGGAGAATTAACGTATTTTATGTTCCCCCTATTTATATAAATAGTTTATAAAATATGCTGAATGATTAATGATAATTAAGTCCTGTTTATAATTATTTAAGTAATTATAATTATAATATTTAATTTTTGTCATTCGGCAACACTGAACTCCGAAATAGACATTTTCCCATCACATCCCGTTTCAGGTTTTAGTCTTTTAAATGTTCCCTAAAAAATTCAAGAAGTATCGTCTGTTAATTGAATTTATTTATGTCCAATTTAAATTCATTACATTTTACATTAGCTAAACTAAAATCATCACATTAATATGTAACTATTTAATATAGTAACCTTTTAATATCATAAAAACCAAAAGTGAATCTACTACAATAACCTCCAAACTCAAGTACATACTTAAGGTTTTCATTTTTTTCTTTAGCAAATGAGCTGATCTCGAGTCCGAATGTGTGCTATAATACGCTTGCGAGCTATGCTGTGTTTTATATCCAGGTGACCAAGTAACAAAAGTTAACTATAAAAAAATACTTGATAAGTTATATGATTGATCAATGTTTACTTCTACATTTTACTTACGTCAAAAGGATTGTACCTAGGGGTTAAACAAGAATTGTGTAAATTTATTGTATTCGAAGAGAGACCAAAAACTGAAACATATTCTTCTTTTAACCTATTATTTTAACATTATTCTAAATAAGAATATAATATATATTATTATGAATAAAAAGAATATGATATATAGTATTATATCATAGTAATACTATGTTCACATGCCTTGAAGTTAGATAGTTTGTTTCATCTTCTGGCAAACCATAGTTTATATCTTTAAATGCTTCCAAATATTCACTAATTAATGGTTTTGCACTACTGCTCTTTTTTGGAGCTACAGCTTTAATCTGTATAAGTAGTTTATAAAAAAACAGATGTACTTGTACTTAATGGTTATGCTTACATGATTACTAAATAGTCAACATTTAATAAGTACCTATAAAATGGCGTACCTTAAGAATGACTATGCCACATGCAAATATACATATAATATTGATGAATGTCAAACACATACTCATCGCTCCTTTTATAGCAAAATCAACCGACCGGAATGACGAATACTGCAAGTTAATAGTATTTGAAGTTTGTCCAATATTCTTAACGGCAAAAGCCCACAAAAGTCCCTTAAAAAAAATTAATTTTAAATATTTTTTATAGTATTAAATAACTAAAAAATATTAAAGACTATAGTATAGGCTTTTAAAAATCTTACTAATTCATAATTCGTAGTAATTAGAAACGCCCATGTTCTTTACATATATTACAAAATCAATGATACCTATGGTATAATCCACAAAAAATCATACCCATTAGATTTTTTCATCTCGGATATTTCTGATATTATTTCTAAAGACTTTAATTAAGAAAAATTAAATAAAAACCTCAATTATTTGGCTCATGATTGGCCTAGATTTAGGAATTAAAATAACTCAAATAACCAATATAATAATTAGTAGGTCTACACATTTTTTTAATGAAATAAAAAAAAATTATTACCTACACATATGTTCAATCATGAATCATTTTTACAACGAAATTACACATAAAAACTAACATTTTGAACATCTAGTTTTCTATTGTTACCCATTTTATGAATTTGTAGCAAAATTAAAAAAAGCCCTTTCCTTGTTTTCAAAAATTCATCTCTAAAACAATTGAAATAAAATTTTTGAAAAAAATAAGGAAGCGTTTTTTGATACTAAGCGGACAAAAATAAATAAACAGCCTATCAATAGTAGCCGTTCAGTAATATATTATCATTTTTTAAATGTTTTATTATAATTGATAAAATGCGTACAGCGTTTACAGCAGGAGGAAGTAGTGATGTCGAAATTGCTACTCCCACTAACGAAAATGTATTATTTCCCAATAAAGCTATTGGTACTGCTATTCCGGTGAGAAATGCAAGAACAATACTGACCCATAAACTTCTGATATCTGTCCTGAAATGCACAATAATAATACACAATTTGTGTCTTAATAAATTCACAAATAGAAAATATTATGTTTTATATAAATCTTTGAGGGGAACGGAAAGCGCCAATTTTTTAATAGATAAAGACTAAAACGCGTAGTCACTTTCTGAAGTGTCTCCTAAACCGATTTTATTTTTTTTTTGTTTGTTATAAAGTTTGACATCTACTTAGGGAGCTTAAAGTGCAATTTTTAAAATTTTCAAATGTTTTCAAAATTTTACTATAAACGTTTAAATTTTTTTTATAGTTTTTCCTAATAAAACAAACTAATTTTCTAATTGATTATCTCTACGAAAGTCATTTTTTATCAAGCTCTCCATAACTCGGAGAAAAATAACTTTAATAAATCGAAAAATTTAATAGTTTTTGTTCTTAAAACTAGTCGGCATATATAAAATGGCTACTAGATCAATTTTTGTCAAATATTGCCTATCCTTTTCCCCTTAAAAATAGCTCATTTTGTTCCCCTTCATTATTATGACATTTGTATTTACATAGTCAACATTTCCTTCGTCACCCATTGGCTTGGATCTCTTTCATCAAAATACGAAATTGTTAGCCCAAATCCAAAACCAATGATCACACAAAAGACTAAACCAATTATTTCGTTTACAATTCCCATATTTCTGAGTTTTTTGTCTTTGATCATTGTACCAAATGTTGCCGCATTTACAGGACCCTATAATATGGATACAATAAAATATTATGTTGTGTTAATAATATTTAGATGTATTTAGTAAACAAAATCAAAACGACGTACGCATTTTGTTAAAATGCATAATTCATAAATACACTAAAAACATTTATAAATTATTAATTTATATTTTGAAAAAAAAAACACTTCCTTGTTACTATATACTATATTACCTAAAAGTTACTAAAGATAACAACCAAACTTATTTATTATAAATTTTATATTATAGATAGGTACATCGAAGAATAGTTTATTTACCATTAGTGGTGAAAGAAGCATACTAGCTACGAATATAGTAGTTTCGCCTTGAGTCAAACCAAGTGCTGCAACCATTCTATACGGAAACCACAAATAAATTAATAGTTGCAATAAATTAGACAGACAATTTTCCTATAAATATAATTGTACCTATGTATTATCTTATCTTCATATAAATACATGAATGTTTACAATTCATACATGAATCGGATACATGTAAACTCAACCAGAAAAATAAAACAAGTAAATTTGACTACATTATATGTATCTCCACCGAGAAATTCAGTCCATATTAGTGTTATATTTAATATTAATTTAAAATGTATGAATAAGATGCAGATGTATAAATAATATAAATGTCTGTCACAAAAAATGAAGGATACCTAAGGGCTTAGGCTCATTACTTATTTATCTATCTATCCTTTTGATTCCCACCGATTTATTTTAATATGTAAATAATATACTAACACTGATATAACAAGTAGAATCAAAAAATCAAAAGTCAACCTTGCACCGGATTCTAATCCTTGAACTACTTGGGCAATAATTAAACGTGATCTCACAGATTGAAGAAATGTTTTCCATGACGATTCATATAAATTAGACGTATTGGAGGAACTGAAATAAAATAAATACGTTTGTTGTGTAATAAAATAAATTATTTATTTAACACCGTAAATATATACAGGGTGATCCACTTATCGTGAACCACTCAATATCTCATAGCGTTTAAAAAGAAATAAACAATTTTTTTTTCATATTTTTTTTTTATACAATGTGATCCCAATTTTTCAAAAAAATTTTGTTTTTACCCCCTTCTAAATGAATTATTTTTATATCAACTTTTGAAACTTAAATGGTAACGTATACATTTTATTAACTTTTTAAATTGAGAATAATGTACTTAACATTTTGACTGGTTAATAACCAGTTTTGAACAACTATTTTTGAAGTTATAAGAGTTTTAAAGTTAGGATGGGAGGGGAAGTGTGGTTGAAAAATGCGCGCAGATAAAAATAATCCTACGCTCCACCTTTCCTCCTGCCCTAAACTTGAAACTTCAATAACTTCAAAAATAGTTATCTGAAACTGGTTATCGACCAGTCAAAATTGTTAATACGCTATTCTCAATTAAAATAGTTAATAAAATATATACGTTACCATTTAAGTTTCAAAAGTTGCTATCAAAAAAATTCATTTGGAAGGGGGGTAAAAACAAAATTTTTTTGAAAAATTGGGATCACATTGTATAAAAAAAAAATATGAAAAAAAAATTTTTAATTTATTTTTAAACCCTATGAGATATTGAGTGGTTCACGATAAGTAGATCACCCTGTATATATACATTATGTATTCATATTACACTAATGCTAGTGTGTTAGTTAAATGATTTTGTAACTTGATACTTTACAGGGTTATTTAAATAAGAACTATATAAATAAAAATTTTGCAGTCGTTATTGTCTCAATTAAATAGTTTTTTTGAAAATTATGTAATTGGCAACTTTGAAAAATGCAAGTTTATTAGTTGTATTTTTTCTATCGACTATTAATTAAATTTGATCATAGTGTTCTTAAAATTACCTTTTAGATTGGTTAGGTTCGAAAGTTGAATGAGCTGTTCCAGGCCCTTGATAATACAATGAACATGGCAAAACTCTGTCTAAATCATACCAATACTTTATTAATACTAAAACTTATGACTATTATGTAACAATAACATAAAAAATTTAGAAATAATTTCAATTGAGTAATAATGGATAATACTTGACTTGTAACTAATCACAATTACTTATATAATATAGTTTTTAAATTTAATTATTGATTTTAAAAACAAATTTTATTACACCACTACTGAATTCCATTTTATTCCGATGCCATTTTCCAAGAATAAATCTAAAATATGTTCACAATGTTCATTTGACGCTATTGAAAATGTTATCTATAAAATAAAATGTACATTATTTATTGTAGATTCTCTTTTTATTAAACTCTAATAAGTTATTAATGAAAAATATGAATTATTCTTAGTTTCCTCATTATTTTAAAATAAACTATATATTAAGGTATGATACAAATATAACTTATAAAATCTTAATTAAATTAAATAAAAGTAAAAAAGAGAATAGACTACAGAGCATACATATATCATATGATTCATGCATACAAAGCAAAAACAAATAAAACTTAAGGAAGTACTTATGGATATAAAACAATTCTGTTTTATGTTTAATTCACTCATACCAAGCTTCTACTTACCGAATAACACTTATGATCTTTGCTTTCGGCCCAGATAGAATTGGAAATATGTAAACTAGATAGAATTGCTTCTAAAGCCTGAAACCATTTGATAACCTAATATTAATTTTTATTTTTTAGACCAATAGATTTTGGATGGGCGTACCTATATTTATAAATATTAATCAAAATTTACATTAACTGGAAATCGAAAGATGATTTTAAAGTTTTAACTCACCTTGCGGTATAAATTTAAGTTTGTATTAATTTTAAAATGTGTTTTTAGATTTATTTGTCTTGTTTTTTTTTTACAAAAAAAAAAATATATACACCTTGTTATAATTTTTTTTATACCTCTTATTGTTTCGTTTTTATTGATATTTTAAAATTAACATTTTTTTTTTAATTATTTCAAAATCTATAAATTTATTAAAACCTATGTGATATACATCGTGTAATTTTGTTATTTAGTAAAATATAGATGTCATAGTTTTATTATAGATATACTGAAAAAAAATTTTTTTTAAACAAGAACCAAAATACAACAATTTAGAATTGTTTGCTGGATCTGAGCTTAGCTACATCAGTTTGTTCTATGAATCACAAAAATGCAACAAATTATAGAAGGAAATTAAAATTTTTCAATTCTATTTTTTTTTTTTAAAGAACTACAAATTTGAAATTAGTTGTTCTTAATTTAGAAAAAGAACATAAAAAACCACTATTAATTTTAGAAAATTTTTCAAACTAACATAATACACTGAAAATACCAAAAATTACACTTGAAAAACCATTAAAAAAAAGAACTAGTTGTGCTAAAGAAGGACGCAGATTCAAATTCAGTGGTAAAAAAAAAAAATTATGTATTTTAATTTTTTTTTTTAATTATGTTGTGCAGTGTTATCAGTGCCGTGCTATAAATGTATAGTTGGTATTAAGTACTACGGTTCTTTGCTACCATTCCTTAACTGTTATTATTGTAAAATTGGCGCCTCCTCAATAAATGCCACCCTAGTGCAGTCGTCGCATTTTCTTCTCTAATGTTCCGGTCCTGATTCCTGCTTATTATAGACGCAGAAAAATAAACTACTTTGCTAAGTTTAAAACTTACTTTTTCCATAGACACTTGTTGATGTAACATTTCAGAGCTTTTTCCATTGCCGTTTTCAGAGTAAGTTGGTCGTTTAGTGTTGAAAGAATGTTTATTTTTTGACGAACAATCACAAATAGCATCTAGGGTAAGATGTGTTTCATGTCTTTCCGTAGGAATTAAAATATTAAACAAAACCCCCGCCATTTATGCTACCTACGCTAAGATCTACATATGGTAAAACCAAATCAACAAGACGAAAAAACGGTAAATTACAATAAACCACTGACAAAATGACAATATATAGGTACTTACAACGTACACATTATACAATTTACACAATTACTGAAAACTATTATTAGATTATTAAAGACCGAAGTATTCCCCGACATTGGATTGATATTATATAGATTATCCAATGTGAATTCCTTTAGTTGGGTGGGGGTATGCCTTAAATTAAGCTGTAACTTTCATTAGTTAGCGCGCAGACGGTATAGAACACTAATTCTTCATTTTAATTTCAAAACGTATTATTATATTTTGTGAAAAACTGAGTTTTAAAAACAAATTTCCTATCATTATAAATATTAAGTTATAAAAATATTCTATACGAGTTGGTTCAGGAATGTATGCAATTATTATTTATTGTCTTATGAACTATATTACCGCTATTGGCTATTCGTTTAATAATTATAGTTATTTACGTTAAACTGGTTTATCAACACTATTAAACAGGCGGTTTAATCGATAAAGATCCTAAAAATCGTTTATACTGTAGAAGTTAAAAAAATATGTATAAAGATATTAGTGATTAGACTGTTCCAGAATAAAAAATTCAGATTCAGTTAGCCGCCAAGATATTAGACAAAATTCCTTTCAACAATAAGGAACAAATCAACTTTACTACTCCATGCTAGAATTTGAATATTTTTCTCAATCGTTTTGTTTTTCAACGCTGAAAACGATGGTGCAAAACTTTTTTCCAAAACGCTTACAGTTTTATAGTTTTTATGTTACCAGTTACAGCCACTTGTTTCTTAGAAAATTATTACGCTGTTCCTGGTGCCGTTCTCGGCGCGGGCGCTGCGGAGATCCACAGGCGTCTGGCGCAACAATAATACAAGTAGCTGTAACTACAAAACTAAGCGTTTCCGCAATTTTTTTTTTACACATCTTTTCAACAATAAAAAACACATCGATTGAAAAAATAATTTAAATTTTGGCATTGGGTGGTAAAGTCGATTAAAGCCAAAAATTCTAAATTACTCTTTCACTACTTTTACTGCTATGAATAATGAAGTAAATACATAAACATTTAAATTAATAAATCAAGTTAATAAAAAGACAATGATATATGAAGTATTAATTAATAGATTATACCGCTGAATTTACAAAGTCAAATATTCAACAAACGATTAATTAAAAATATTAAATAGATTAAATTTGTTTTTTCTACAATATTTTTTTTATTTATACTACAGTACAGTCTCAAATTTTTTTATACACGAATCATATTATACCAATACCATCATCAATATAATTATTAATCCATATTTTAACGCATAATGAGTAATGTGTAATGACTAACAAAACACGTCAACAGGAACAAACTTATAAATGTTTAGGTAGGTACGTCAGTCATTTGTATCTTCATTATAAAATATATTTGCTCCTACAAAAAATACATGGCCGCCTGAAAAAAATGTTATCCGTTTTGCGGTTATCATAAGTTGCTGACATACCTTGTTTTTTTTATCATGATTGCGACCACGGTTGTAACTTGTATGTTTATGCTATAATTATATCATTTAGAGATAGATATGTAATTGTTATGACAAGAGTCAAAGCACTCGTTTTGAATATCAACGGAAACACAACATAACATTGGCTAGATATAGAGTGTGGCCAACATAAGTAATATTGATTTGTTGATTAGTGGCTGGTATGTATGAAGTGTGTTATTAATTGTTCAACAAGTTCATTACATGTCTAGCCATGAAAATAAAAATATGTAATACAATATTTTTTTAAAAATACATTAAGCTTTCTTTATTGTAATATTCAATTTTAAACGTTTTTAATGAAAAACATATTGACCGTTTAATTCGGCTAGTTAGGTGTCCACACTGCATTGCTCGTTATCGGTCGTTGTCCCCAGGAACGGCTGTTGGCTTCCGTCGCCTTCGCCTCGCCCTTTGCCGATGGATCGCTTATTCGCTTCCATTGTTTACCCTACTCGGTTTTAGATTTACATAGGTAAACATTTTTTTTTTTAGTTTTAGTTTTTACTTTTTTATTAAAATTGTATTCGTTTATAATTTTCTCATTTTCGTTACGCTGTTTATTACGTTTTGTGTTTCTACCCTTGTATGCTTGTCAGTTTGCCGGTTTTTTGAGGATGGCTCCAAGGAAGAGGGAAAAAGAATTGGACAAAAACAGAATGGATCATGCACAGGCCGATCACGAATTGTTTCTCCAAGCTTTTGAAAGTATGTTTTCAGCACAATATCAAATGTTGAAAATTTTCTTTTGAATTGTATTTCGAACTTTAATAATAATAATAATAACTTTAATAATAATTATGTGTAAAATTGTATGTAAATATTAATTTTGTATTTAATATTTACCTTATAAGGAATATGATGTTAGTCTTCATGGAAATAGTACTATATTATAAAAAAACCACGTTGATTTCTAACCCCCTGATAAATATAACAGTTAAAAACTACCTAATTTTACCATCAAAATATTATTAAACTTCAAATTCTTAAATAAAATTGTACATTAATTACAAATGTATTTTATTATTTAACGAGATATTTATTGGAATTACATTAGGTATAAACAAATATAAGTCTAACACAAAACCATAAGTTATTGAACCTATTTGAAATAATTTAAGTACAAGTCGAATTAATTGGAAGTATACTCATTTTATAAAAATGTGTGTAATATTTCATTTGATTAAAAGTTTAAAACAAAATTGTTGGACTATTGTTAAAATTGTTAGTAAACATATTTTTCTTTGAAAACTTTAACAAAAAATAATTTATTACTTCAAAATTTAATTTACAAACTTGTCCGACAGTGCGTTAAATAAATATTTTGATTTTATTTTCGCGAGCCAAATATGTATTGTAAGTGCAGGTAAAATAACTTTTGTTAGTAAATAAGTGTTTAAGTTATGCATATCAACTATAATTCTGTTCCTTTAATACTGTGACTAATATTGAATGTGTTGTTGTATATAGTGATGCACTGTGCACATATAGTCTGTTACCCTGTTTACACATATAAAGCTGTATGATGGAAGGAATTGGAAAATTAATACTGATGACCCTCTAGCCAACCCTTCGCAGGGTTTTAGAGGCTCAGTCTATTCTTTGATGTAAACACTTAAGGTGTATTACTTGAATGGTTAAATAAATATTAACACACTAAAACAGTTGGACTGCTAGGCTGCCGAAATCTTTTCTGAACATAACTAAGTTTTCACTTGTTCATATTGTAATATAGCACACATAAACTATATACACAAACTATAGCGCCAAGTTTTGGTCTATAAATATACAAATATTAATTAAACCAACAATAAAATTGAACTAGTTATATTTTACTGAACGGAAAAGCAACGAGATAGAGGGTGTTTGGGTCACAACGGGTCATTTTTTAAGAAATTGTATTATAGGTTCTCCGATCATTACATGTACTGCCACCATGGTTAAAGTCTAGTCATGTCATGTATAGTATTTAGGTGTTATTTTTAGTTAAGGTTCCTTTTTTTATTTTGAGAGAGAGACCATTATTTAATTTAAATTTAATATTTGAATAAACAATTGTAAGCATACTTAATTTTATTATTTACATACATACATACATACGTACACATAATTATTGATTTATTCAGTAAAGAAAATTACAAATAATATTTTTTTTTTTTACAGAACCTACTCAAATCTATAAATATTTAAGAAATCGCAGCTTATTTTCTGTAAGTAATTTATAATAATAATTATCAAATAAATAATAATAATTATCAAAGGTACCTATACAAAATTAGAGGTTTGTGTTGTGTAGAACTCGTAAGATAACAAAGATCTGATATTTCTATTTAAAGTATAATTAATAATAACATAGACCAAAGTAAATTTCAGTCTTGCATGTGGAAAAAACTATTCTAATGATAAACTAATTATGTAAACTTGAAAACCATATTTTAGTTTAAATTAATTCTGTTATATGTTATAAGCTAATTGCATAAAATAAGTTAAATGTAAAAAGTTATGATTTTTTATTTAATAATTTTTTTTTGCAGCCATTATTTCTTGTTAGAACATTAAGTTACATGAGGGCAAATCGCCCACGACCCAAGCGGCCTAAGAAAAAAATTGATATTGATTCATTATTGATGAACATAGTAGAAAAAAAACTTAATGAAAAAAAAACTTGCAACAAACGATACTTGACAATTACTTACATTGGATACTTTGATGATAAAAGTAACTTTCAATATTAATTGTATATTATTTTTAACATAATGGTTCTTATTTTAATTTTAAATGCTAATTTAATTATTACAGTTAATGATGTAAATGAACCAATTAAAATTGAAACTAGCCTTATCAAAATAAGTCATAAGAAAAGGAAGGATGCTTGTCCTTGGTCAATGGTAACTGAATTAATAATAATATATTGTATTTCAGATATTAATTCAATTTTATTTAATGTTACTTAGATATCTTATGGACTGTCTGCGGTACCAGTAAATCCTCAAATCAATCAACAAACTTGTAATTTAACTTCACACGTATCACCTGTATCTATTCCTGTTGATTCACTTGCTACTATTAATGGTCATGTATCGAAATCCCACCATTTATTGTTGAGAATTATGAATATGGCTTCAAACTCAGATTCTGAAAACACAGGTACAGCTAGTTTATTTTTGTTGTTAAATAGTTGATGATTTAAATAACATAAAGGTGTAAATAAAAACATGTCATCATTTTAGAACCAAGTCAAAAAAAACGTAGAATGAGTATCAAAGAGGGTAATGGTGTTAGCAAAAAAGAATTTGGTGCCAATTTAATTATACACGATAAACAAAACCGTTGTTTACTTAAAGACGGTGATTATGATTGTATCGTCGAAGAGTTGAATGCAAATCCAATATCGAGTATTGGCAAATCGGCATCTTGGGAACGTCTCAAAGTAATATTTGTTTTAATATCAAATTGTGTATGTTACTTATCATATTCACTATAGGAAGTGAAAGCCGGACCTCAATATGGTGCTTTTGAAAATAGAAACAAAATTAAGCTTCGTCTCAAATGGTCAGCTGAGCCTACTACTAGCGCTGCTGTGGAATATCCTCTCGTTGACAACAAAGAAAACAGTTGGCCAAGTAATATATATTTTTTTTATATAATAAAAAATGCTGATATAACTTGGTTTTTTTATTAAGGGCAAGGTAGGACTTATTATATATTTTAATTCAAGCAGTAGAAACTAAAAATATAAAAACAATATTAACCTCGTAACAGACTTTTAGTTTTGCATTTGTGTGTAGTATTTTAAAATTTATATATAAATTTAAGTATAACATAATGATTTTATGCAAAAATAATTTTTAAAAAACCTATTAGTGAGGTGGAGCATATTTGGATCTGAGAATTCACAAGTCTTTAGGAATTATTATAACTGAATGTAATAAAATCACTTAAATAAATGTCTTGATGTGAAACTGTGGATGGTAAAAACGATTCAATATAAATATAAAATTTTCTTTACTATCGGTCATTTTATAGAGAATAGGTAGGTACATGTATTTATAACCATATTTGATATTTTGAGTTTTCCTCAATAAAAAAGTGACTAGGTTTTTAACTTTTTAAATGGTAATGCGTGTATGTCATTAATTTTTTGTTAAACATAGTCTACTAATCCATCTTTCTTAATCCGCCTTTTTAACTAAGCATCAAAGTTTTACATTTTAACCTAGTATGTTTTAACATGTACTATATAAAACAATCATCTTAAGTCGAGTATATTTAGGTAACGGTGTTTAAACAGTTTTTTATAAATTATAAAATATTATGAAATACTAAAACATTAAATATCACAATTTGTTTGTCGTAGGTTCCATATCTAGAAGAAGTAGCAGTGTTCAAAATGCTAATGGTTCAGTTGAAAATTCTTCGTCTAACAAATTGAAAATTGTTTATCAATTTCTTTATAACAACAATAGTCGTCAACAAACTGAAGCAAGCGAAGATTTACACTGTCCGTGGTGCACTCTAGATTGCTTTACATTATATGCTTTACTAAAGCATTTGAAGTTATGCCACGCTCGCTTTACGTTTTCTTATGTTGTAAGTATTAAATTAAATATATATTTTGACTGTCACTGTGATACCACACAACTGACATTTTTTCCAAAATTATTTATTTTTTAAACAGCATTTTGTTCTGTTTAAATATTAGAAAAAAGGAACTTCAATATTTACTTCTCAAAATGAATAAGTTTTTGTCTCTCTTAAACAATTATCGATTTTATAGTTGTGTGGTATTTCAATGACATTCGCATAGGCATAATGTATTTAGTAAATATTAATATTGTATATTTTATTCATAGCCAACAGGTTCTGGTGCACGTATTGATGTTGCGATCAATGAAAACTATGACGGTTGTTATATTGGAAGTCCTCAAGATTTGATTGCTCAGCCTCAGAGAGATGAATCCAAAAATGTTGGATATCGCATAACTAGAGTTGGTCCTGTGCGACGCGCTGTTGTATCAAAAATAGTCGTATGTCATCCCAAACGTCTCCGGCGTGCTTCTTTGTCGGAATTTTTACACGAATTAGAAGATACTGACGGCTATGATGGTCAAAGACCTTATGTGACCGGACACAACAGGTATTCTACATTTGTTCAGTTAATTATTATGTCAAAAAATCCAAATATCGATAGATTAAAGATTGTTTGTTTAGCAGAATAGACATTTTTTTGAAGCACAACAGTAATTTTTTATTTAGTAACACGCTTAGGTTGTAAAATAAATATAAACACCACAATTTTTTACATATTTAAAAGTTATTTTAGTTTAAGAACCTACCATCAGATAACTACAAAATTTGCAATTGTTGCCTAATTAGATTTAAAAATAACAATAAAAGTGATTTTATTTACAATTTAATCGTGGTGTCATGGGGTGTGTTATTTATATTTGTTTAGACTTTATCATCACACATCGACTTGCCTTCCAATATATCCTCGAGAAATGGATGAAGACAGTGAAGACGAAAGTGATCCGATATGGTTACGAAAAAAGACTGCAATGATGATTGATGAATTTACTGATGTTAACGATGGCGAAAAAGAAATAATGAAAATGTGGAATTTGCATGTAATGAAAGAAGGGTAAGAACAGAGTATATTTGTTTTTAAACAAAAACCAGAATTAAGAACAATTTATTTATTATAATTTTCATTGTACGTTTTTAGATTTGTTGGTGACTGTCAAATATCATTGGCTTTGAGCATGTTTGTTGAATTAAAGGGCAAAGATATTCTAAGAAAAAATTTGTATAGAAATTTCATGTTGCATCTTTGTAATTTGTGTGATTTGCGCCTTATAAGTCCGGTTACGTTTTACACCACTATACAAAAATTACAAGACATAATTGCTATTGATTCAAAGGCCAGTAATGTTTTGTACGAGTCGTTTGAAGCTCAAAGAAAATACTGGCGTGAAGAAGGCGCAAAAAAATCTGAAGATCGCACAGAAATCAGATGCTTGGTACAAAGTCCTTTGCAGTCCGATATCGGGACCAGACGCAAACCGGCTGGATCTTTTTATCCGTTAAAACTACAGGATAAATTAAAAGGTAAGGTCATCAAACAACAAAACAGTCGCAAAGGCAGTAGTTCCGCCAGACAAAACCCTCCGGCCACAAAAAATGCAAATATTATCGACGAAAAGAAATCTGAGAAGAAAGGTGACAAGAAAGGGGGTTCCACTACTAGATCTCAGTCGGCTGTCCGATCCGATAAGCCTGAGAAACCAACAGAGAAACGTAATAGTACATCTTTAAATGGTGAAGATCACAAAATATCAGCAACTTTGACCGTGCGACGTAGGACATTTCCCTCATTGACTGATAAGAAAAAACCAGTTCCTGAAAAAGTACCAACAAACCCGTCTGAATCCATAAGGCGAAAGTAGATAGGTAATTATTATGATTATTGTGATAATTTTCCCATAATTATGTCCCAAATGAGTTTTAAAATGATTACATAATCATTAAAATTGTATTAGTATGTCCTCTTAAATGTTCATATTTTTGTGATCTAAACATTATGTTTTTTTTATCATCTAAAAATGATAAAGGATAAGTAACTAAATTTTTTTCGAAATGTTAAATATTTATTATATTGGTGTAAACAATTTTCACTAGCTATTTTTTTTTTACATCAATAAATGAACTTTTATGGATTTGAGGCAACTGACAAATGTTCTATGTTAGTTATTCTGTTATAATCTTATTGTTTTTTGTACTTTCAGTTAACTGAAAACAATAACTAATATTTAGTTTTATTTTAAAGGTTAACCCTTCGATTATCATACAAATACAAACGATAGTTAAATTATCCAATTTCTAAAATAATGTTTGATTTAAAATTTTATTTTATAAGTTACCATTTTGTTTGAGAACTATAAATGTTTCTATTTTTTCTATTCCTATAAATTACCGATTGGCGTTATGGTTATCAGTATACATTATTATATAACTATTCAATTCTAATTATTTTGTACAAAATAAGGAATTAAAAATGATAGTGTTTAAAATCAACAAACAATAACTACCATTTAAAATATAAACATTCATGCATGTTAAGTATATATTTAATTCATGATGCAATTAACTTAAAAATAGAGGGTTCCGCTGTTTTCTGTCTGATTTATAATTTAAATTGTATACTAAAGTTAATTTAGGATAAAGTCAACTTAGTATCAAAAGTCAGTTAAATGGTATGACCAATGTTCAAATGATTATATCTCAATATTTTTTTTTTTTATGATTTTACTACTGAGTTATTTTACTTATACAAAAAAAAAATGTATTAGTGAAAAGCATTTTTATGTTAAAGGGTTGTTAATGTTGATAACATTTGAACCATTATATGATGTAACAGCGGGGTACCACATCTTGTACATTTTATTTTATACTTAAACCAAAGTCACTTAACAATAATCGTTTATTATAATAAATAATATTACGCATTATTGAAAAATAAATATATACTATTTTTACCATGCATCCAGTAATATTTTTCATACAAAGACTTTGTAATATAAACTATGTAAAATTATTAATAATTAGCGGTTTAGTATAATAAATAAAATACTAATGGACTATATGTACAAAAAAAAAAAGTAGCAACGACCACGAGAAAATACTAACATTTATCAAAATGAGTTTAGTAATGATGTTTAGATTTTTTTTTTCATTTTACATTTTATAGGTAGACAGTTACTTGAATAGCTAAAAATTAATGGTGTATTCGTAAGGATTCACTCTGTGTGTACCTTAATGACTGTTTTTTACGGATACGTGATTACAAGTTTTTCATTATGAGTACACAAGTATAAAAAACAGTAGATGAGTATACACAGTGTATTTACGAATACACGTCTGTATGTTTTGATACATATGAAAAAAAAACTGTTTACCTGTGTACAAAGTATTTTCTAAATTTATTAGAAATATATTATGTTTAAATGGTTTATCGCCTTGGGTTTTTTTTTATTTGTAGCTTTGAATGTATTCAAGTATTTTACAGGGTTTGATTCTATGGATAAGGTTTATTTATTTATTTCAATTATGGTTTATCTTAAATTATTATATTGTTATCGTATGGCCACATTTTTTATAAATACTTCAAAAATATTAAGCGACTTTAATCCCCCACATCTGTTATTGAATGAATTGCATGTGTTTTTTTTTGTACCTATTATAAATTATATCTCCCACCTTATAGTAATTTTTTTTTTTTAGATCTCATTTTATAAAAATTATTTTTAAGGTATTTTGGCAGAATGTTTTAATCAATTATTGTTCAAAGGCATAATATATATTTATAAATAATAATTATTAGCACAATAATTTTCATTGATAACAAAAGCAATAACATTGATTTGATAAAACAACATATTTAAACTCCTCAACTCAAACACGAAATCTCTTAAAAAATTGATTGATTATAAATATATATAAAATAAATATCTCAAGGGATTCATTAATTTGTATTATTATTAGAAAAATATTTATGGGATACCTATGATTTATACTTGTAGTTCAATCATAATGTGTGTTTTTCCACTTATTAGTTAGACTGAGTTAAACTGTTATTATTTTAATCGAAATTAGTATAAATCAACAAGTATTTAAGTAATTTTTTTAAATTCACAGCACAAATATATTAAATTTAATGGACTTGTAAAAGACTTTTTAAAAATAAATCTTAACATATAGTAGCAAGAAATTAATATTTCTGTAAGAAAAAAGTATATATATATTAAGGTATACTAATTAATTCAAAATGTATGAATTTCAGAATTCATTATAAATTACAATAATTGTATAAGCTATTAACGTTAAATTCAAAATTAATTTTAATTTTATTTTCACTGCCTTTAGCTCACTGCCTTAGATTATTACCTAATGGTAGGATTTTTTATTTACTGTGAATAATTTTGCTACAATCGATGAGTATTTATATTTATTATTTGCATATTTGATTTATAGTAATTTTACAAAATACATGATTAACATTTTTTTTTTAATTAAGTATAACAAATACAAATTTAGTTGTACACAATTATTTCTCTTCCTATAAGAAAAAACATTTCATGTATACTATTATTGTCGATATGATTAATGTTTCTATAGAATATATATATTCACTCAATTATGTATAAAAAAAAATGTAATATATATATTTGAAACGTTGTGCCCATAACATGCGGTATTTGCATTATATTATTATAATAATTAAAATGTTAAAACATAACAACTGTTTATTGTCTTTTTATTTAATATAGTTTACAATGAGAACTTTACAAAATATAATAGTCCTTAAATTTAAATGGTATATTCGTGTTGAACGGTCAATTTAAACAGTACTAGTTCTTTAGCACGGTTATACTGGAAATACTGTGTGAAATTGCAATTTATTAGCTCTACTTTGATCCAAGATTCGTTTTCGTTTAACAGTTCTACAAAGTAATCGTAGCAAGGAGCACAGACGTCCAAATCTGACGTACTGAATACGTATCTAAATAAAACATTTTATTGATGATACATATTAATAATCAGTAACAAAATGAAATGAAGGCAAGCACTAAATAATCATTACATTAACGGCGTTACCTTTTTTCCATAGCTACATAAGCTGTTTGAGCATTTGTCATAAGTTTTATTAAGGTATTAACAAATTGTTTTGTTAACTCATTGTCATAAACAACTGTGAACAAATTACGAGCACTTTATTTCTTGTAACTCGCAATGTAATTTCACTAACAAAAGATTAGCATTAAACATTCTTTATTTAATTAAAATGTAGTTGTAACATAAAATAATAATGTTAATTGTCCATTATTACACTTGGTCGTCCTTTCTTTTATTGCAACAGGTATTTTTGTTTGTACTTTTACAGTAATTGTGTTTACTGCAATACGAACCTGACTTAATCGTATTTGAATTAAAACTTTTAAATAATAAGTTTAAACACTACCCAAAAAAAAAAGGTATAAAACGTTTGAAAAAAATAATGACAATATGACGTTTAATACATACAAATTCTCTTATTTTCAAAGTGTAAAAGAGACTCAAGAGAGAAAAAACTTACCAGTTAATTTATTAGAATTTATAAATAATTAGCTATAGAAAAAAATGTTTAGATGAAGAAATGTTAAAAGATTGCACATAAGAAATGAGTATCATTAATAAAATATGCCAACCTAAATTATGAAAATATAATTTTATATTCTACTCTACTGTTATTATTATCATTTAATTAAATCATATTTCAATTACTTCGCCTTTTCTGTTTGAGCGATGAGTTTTTCTTACTATATTAAAAAATATTACGACAATTATTCTCGTTGGCGTTAAAATGTATTTAATATAATTTTACGATTTAAAAAATGTCACATGTACCTTCCCCGATTATTAAACTTTTTAAAGAAATATTAACATTTTTTGTCTCGTTCATAACTGGAAAAGTAAAAATATTATGTACCTACATTTTTTATAAATATGAAAATTAAGTTTTGGCTCATATTTTTACAAATAGTATACGCCCAATTTGCATTACCTATATATTTATACCTAACAATTCTTAAGACAAAAACGTTCATAATTATTAAGCTTTTTAATAATAATATAAGTATTCATATTTTTACAAATGGAGTTTTTCTTAAATTAGTTACTTTAAAAGTTTGACTAACTAAATCAGCTTTCATTTTTTTTAAGCGTTTATGAAGACATTTTTTTTATAATCGTTTGGGGTCAAATAAAAATCTTAAAAAGTGTTTTTTATATTTATTCTTTAAATTCGATTTGCTCGGTTTCAGCACGAAAATGATCTAAAACTAAAAACCCGTCCTCTCATATGGGATCCGGGAGGATCACTCCAATAATATTCATTTAGTAAATTAACAAAACTATTACAAACCATCCGTTGCTATGATGATTGTTACGGTTTTGAATTTTTCCCATAGGGGTTCTGATAATTTTGGTTCGAAAAAATCAAGCGGCATAACAATAGTCCGTCCGGTAATTAGATCTTCGTTAAGTTTGATGTTTTTCTCGATATTTGATAAAATATCTTTATTGTCAATATCTAAATCACCGTTAGCAATTAAGTAGGTAGAGTCGATTTACTCAGGTTATTTTTCATTTATAGATGGGCACATTGTGTTTTTACCTGTAAATATTGTTTCTTTACAATGCATTGCGGACACAATGCCGGTTAGACCTACTCCTGATCCCAATTCTAAAACTACTTGATCTTTATTGAACACGTCTCTCCTGTTCATTATGAAATCGCTCATTAGCAACGCACTTCTCCATACTTGCATGCCTACCATGTCCAACGGAGATTTGTTAATGTGCTCTAAAGAAAAATTACATCATTTGATTAAAATTCAAAAGGGAATTCAATTAAAAATTCAACAGTATGTTTCTGGTATAGGCAATTTCGGCACGTGAAGAAGGACCAAAAACTGTTATTTTCATTAAACAATGAAAAAGTATTATTTATGTAAATACGTTTCGGTATAATAATATGTAGTACTGAATATTGCAAGCAATTGCCGATCAGTATTGGTCATTAATCTAACAATCGTTTATCTAAAACTGACCGAAACTAAAAATCTGAGCCACTAACACAATACAACAAGATTTTGGAATAAAAACCAAAATACTTGTTTTGCTGAATCTTAATCTGGCCTTGTATTTTCTCAGGCACGTCTACTGTCTAGTAATTTTTCCAAATCACTTTCAACGTTATGTTGTACAGAATTATTAATAATTATAATTTTATATTTTTGCCGAACGTTTAAAACAAATAACAAACAGTTAATACATTTGTTTTGACTACCTAAATAAATGCACAGAAATAGGAATTGGGGTAATGATTTATAGCTTTGGGCTTCGGTGCAAAGCCCAAATAATATTAGTTTTATGATAATGTTGTAGTGTGTTATATTGTTAGTTTGCTGAATCTATACATTGGATTGATTTATTTGATCAGCGTGTCTGTCAGCCGTTTACAATTTGAATCCAATGGATATTGAGGCCACCCTGGTTTTTTTTACTGATGAAAATAAATAACAGTTACATTTTAATGCGATAGCATTTTTAAAAAAATATATTAATAGGTAGTTTTAACGAAAAATGGTTGACCTGTGTATCGTATGAAATATCGTACCTATAACGACTCCTCTGTCAATTGAATGCCTTTCTATAACTAAATCACCGTCTTCGTCGACGCGGATTTCATTTGTATCAGGCTTGGCACGGTGCTTGAATTTAAATAAACTTCGCACATCTAAAATAAGTTTAAAGTTGTTATACAACATGAGTTGTTGTTTGTTGTACAAAAAAACAGGACTCAACTTCAGTTTCTCATTACTATTAAATGTAATAACAACTTATAGACCTTAACGTGTATATTTTATTAACTTTTAAATTAGGAAAATTATGCTGGTCGATAAACAGTTTTGGATAATTACTTTAAAATTAATAGTTTAAAATCTAGGACGGGAAGAAGAGTAAAATGTAGTATTATATTATTTGTCTACATCACTCCACTTTCGGTACTATTTCAATAACTTTAAAAGTTATTATCCAAAACGGGTTATCGCCCAGTCAACATTTCCACCAAATTATTCTTAACTTAAAAATGTATTTAATATATACGTTACCATATAAGATAGACCTCTGGAAAATACTAAATAAGGTAATATACTTAGTAGTTATATAGTATTGTAAAATATTGTAAACGTAATTGTTTTCAAAAAGAAAAACTACAAAATTACAATTATTTTAAGAAAAAATTGGTGTCTTATCCTTAATAAACCACCCTGTATAGTATATATAAATTATACATATTCATATATTAGGGCGGTGTAGGGTCCTTATTTTGGTTCTGGTTGAATTTTTGATCTGCTGCCCTTCAATTGGTTCAAAATTAGGGGAAAATGCCATATTTTTTAAATTTTTTATTTCGACCCCACAATCGTCCCACAAGAAAGATCGATATTTTTTCAAATTTTAACTTTGCTTCTATTTTTAACTTATTTATTTTTTACTGGGTTTGAATTGAGTTAAAAAATGTATGTTAAAAGAAAACATTCCATAAATCTTATGAACAAATTACTTAAATAAAATATTCAAATTTGAATTGTTTAGTTCGTAGCAATGTATATAGCATAGAATCTATACTATAGATATTCTTAAATACAAATATTATACTATAAATAATATACTATTTGATTTATAAATATTTTCACGAAAAAAGTCACGAGGTATATAATTGTAGTCCAATTGAATTTTATTATAGATGACGAAAAATCAACCTCCTAAGGCCGAGATTGGGAAGATTGGAGGTAGAGATAAAAAATCTGAAAAGATTTTGGGACTTTTTGTGGAATTAAAAAATGATAAATGAAGAGTAAATAGTTATATGACAAACAATTAAATGGGGGGGGGGAGGGCAAACCCTCTACGTGATTTTGCAAGACTTATTATCTTATTACTTTTTATGTAAGTTCACTAAATCCGCCATTTAAAAACGTACGATAAACGAGATTTGTAATTTGGAAAACTATTGGGACTATAGGTACTATTACTTTATTTAATCAGGTGAATATAGCCAAGTTCAGTATTCGAACACAGAGGTCTACAATAATTTTATTCAGGTATCTATTTTTTAGTACTGAGTACGTATCATGTATGGACTATAAAATCGGTTATAAATTGAATATATTATTTCAACTTTTATATTGTTCATAATCAATAGGTATATTGTTAAGATATTTTCAAATAAAAATAAATAATACAATTTAAAATATATACCAATTTCCATTAAAAATACTCAGGGTACATAGACAGGAAACTAAGGGGGGGGGGGCGTAATTCCTTTAACTATTTTAAAAGTACATTTAATTACTGGAACTTAAATTTTAGTAACGATATGAAACTTTACAGCGTTAATCAATAAATTAAGGGGCCTATGCTATGTGTAGAATGAATAGGAGTTTCAAAACTATATGACTATAAATAATAACATAATTATTGATCAATTACTTCGTATTGGAATATTTGTATCGTTAATTTCTTCGTTCATTTCTTGATATACTTCGGATTGTACTGTATAGATATTTTCTGCCATATCGTTCGGTCTTTATTTTATTTTTACTATTCGCACTTCATCGATCACACAGCACGCTAATATTACCTATCAGAATAAAAAACAATAATTACTAATTAGACGATTATTTTTATTAATGCGAATATTATATTTGAAAAACAAATTTAACTTTAAACGTTTAACCGCATTATATTTTGTTTAATGTTGTTAATAATTGTATTACAATAAAATATTTCCTACGAGCTGCGATTATCATCGCACAGGCTTGATTATTCGTGCAACGAAGGCCAAAAACGAAAATCGTTCAGGGTAGGTAACGCGATTAGCCAACAAACTCGGCCAAGTCTAAATATGTTTTTTTGCCAACCACGCTTCATAGTAAACAGTAATAAATGTCTTGTTCGATAAAAAGCCAACACATTTATATACCGTAGTTATATAGCTGTCTAATTATTGTCGCTGGACATTATTATTATTTGAATTCAAAGATCATACTCAACCTATTAGGATTGATTAAAACGAATTCTTATACGATGATATTTTTGATACGATTTTATTAATGATTAATGATCATTACCTATCGCTCTATAATTATATATTTTAAACAGAAACACACAGTCAACTGACATAGAAAATCGACATTTATTTACATATGTACATACATCATATTTAAGTTAATTAAATAAGTAAAATTACCAAAGCTTGTCCAAGTTATTCCATTTAATTGACTCGTTAAAACAAATAAAGATTTTCAACTTAAAATTTTTAAGAAAATACATAAGTTACAACAAAAAATAATAGGTGATATTTTTAAACAAAATATTAATAAAAAATATAAAAAGCTTATTAGTTTTAATACTATTGCGCCACGGCTTTTCCTATGTAAAGTATTGCATTGATATTAATATTTGTTAATATTAAGTGTTGTTTGACTTATTGTAAGGCGTTTGTAATATTTTTAAAGAAGAATAAGTAAAAACTACTTACATCTGAAAAAGTATTTTGAATTATCGTTGGAACTTAGAAGTGCGATAATATGTGATAAGTCAGTATTATTATCGAACACTTACTAAAATAATATTTTATGCCTTAGTCAAATTTTTGTTGAATGTATTTTCTAAATACGGGTATTTTTAATTAATACTTTTAAACATCTCGTTAAAAATTGACAATTTTCATTAAAACTCGTATAATTTGTTTTTCATTAAAGGTTTGAATATACCTTACAAATTACAATGAGTCAAACAAGACTTAGTTACACGTTGTATTTAGTAAAAAGACACGAGCGTTGAATTTGATAAAAAAGCATTAGCTTTTTATAATTGAAACAAATGTATTACGAGTAGTTTAAGTTATGAATTGTTATCCTAACAAACTGTACGTTTTTTTTTTGTAAATAGCTATCTTATTTAAAACCGTAAAAAGTGTAATTTAGCTCAGGAAAATTAAAAACTTACTTTTGCTTTAATTTGTATGTATTTCCTTAATAATTTTACGTTGAAAATTGTTATTTGGTTTATTATTGAAATGTGTTCAAGAGTAACTATTTTAGAATTTATATTGTTAATTTTTTAGGTATACATTAAAGCAATTATTAACTGTTAAATAATTTTATTATTATTAAAATTTCGTAATGTTTAAGAAGGATTATTTTATATATTATAACTAAGGCGCCCGGTGGCCATGCATTTTTTTTGTTCAGAAACATGCTTCACGGGAAAAGTGTTTAATAAAATCATTATTTAACCATTTTTTTTTGTTTATTTATGTATTGTAATCAAAAATTGAAACCCTGTTCGAACTACAAAAAAAAAAAATGAAAATCCAATTACTCTACGAGGCATAGAACAATTTTTCTGTAAATTAATTTTTCACCACCAAAAGGGGTGAAAAAGCTACCTTCAGATGATATCTAATGTAAAAAAAAATGTACGTTATAAAATATCTTATAACTTATTAGAGATAAAAATAAGTTTACAAAACTAAAAAATGGCCCATATTTTGTGATTGAACCTTTCGACACTTGGGGGAATTATCGAATTTATCTACTTCAGTCACTCCACGTTATCGCTATCAAATATTAATAGTTATAGCATGTGATTATAAATTATAATATTACACGTCTCGGACCTCGGTCCACTTTAAGACAATGTACTAGGTTATAGGTATGACATTCGCAAAGGTCGTTACACGTTCGTCTATTCATCGAAACGTGTAAACAAGAAACACGCTTATATAGGATATCATAATATGGCACGTTACACTTTTATAGCCATATAGGACAAAGGTACAGAAAGTTGCTACAAGTCCGCTTAATCGCGAACCGGCGGCCTAACGTGTAAAATGCAATGGGTCAATTGTCGAGTGGGAAAAACATCACGTATTCCGTGAAAAATTGTTAAAAAAAATATCAAGTTGAGTTATCGTAATACTTGGAAAAATGAAAAAGCGTTCGCCGTGTGTACGTGGTAGATACCTTACGGACGGCGGGGCGGACGGGTAAGCGATTGCTGTAAAATATGGTGATTTCGTAGGCGGTAGAGGATGTATGTGTGTGTAATGTGTAGACTGTAGAGAATAGAGATAGTGACTTTGGTTTGAAGCTCGGAACATTTTCGTTTTGGTTACACGTTGTCGTAAAAACGCCGGTAACAATAAAACATAATTTATGAATCACACCAACGACAATTGTACACGAATTTCAATTGTAATTATTTGGGTAAACGATGAACGTTAGAACGATTTTTCCACACGTTCGAATCCGGATTCCGGTATACAACGACAATAATTATTTATTTATCCACGTATGTACGAAAAAAAAAATCCCAACGGTTAATTAACCGAGGTAGCGATTCGCGTCACAGTACGGTAGAAAAACAATGGTGGGAGGTACAGAGAGACATTAGACGGAGAGAGAGCAAGAGTCCGAGGAGGGCGAGTGAGACAAGACAAAAAATGTAAGCGACGGGCAATCGGTGTGTGTGTGTGTGTACGGAACGAACCAATGATAGGCCACCACGAGCCAGGCAGTTCACGATTTTGTTTACATCATCATATTTTATCAGCAACCCGCACATTTTCCAACTACCAGCGCAAGACAACGGTTTATCCGCATTTCTCGTTCCAACTTTGCTGACGTCGTAAGTACAACCGCCAAACAAGTAAACCGTGTCGACTGTTCCGTTGACACTTCATACTTACCACCGGAGTTTGTGTGTGTGTGTACGAGTGCAAGATGATGATCCTGTACGCGGCGGTGTGTGCGCTGTTCCTGGTCCAGTCCACGATAGCGGACGCCGGTGTTAAAGAAGAGGAAGCCGCTGTCGAATTAGACGAAGGAGTGTTGGTGCTGACCAAAAACAATTTCGACCAAGTCACCCAGTCCAATCAATATGTACTCGTCGAGTTTTGTGAGTATACTGTCGAGACGGGGGATTAAAGGTTACTACTCCCCTCCCCCTACTGTTCCCCAAAATGGTATCGTGAGATTAGAAAAAACAATTTACATGTCGCATCATCGACTTGCCCCAAGCTTTTGGATAGTATCTGGTAATGTCTAGAAGAAAAAAAAATTAACAGGCTAATTAGGTTTGGTCAAATCGTGGGAATGTTCTGTACGTACATATTATGTCTTGAGAGGACGCCACACGTGTAAAACTAGCTATTTCTATAACAGACCTGTGATGTATGTAGTTGACGCAGAGTTCTGAAAGCAATATTTCACACCGTGTGTTGTCAGTTTTTTTTCGATATCCTATATAGCTTCATTTTTATTGATTGTTTAAAATTATGTCCTCATAGGGACATAGTTTAAAGTTGATGGTCTTTTCTGTTGAAAAGTTCACAATATTATTGGGGATGGGCAAAATACAGTATTTTTAATACGGAATACTATGTTTTGCCTAGCATATGTTTAGTGTTTAACCAAAAATATTGCTTCCGTAAATAACCAGCTTATTTATTGCCAAATTTAACTGAGAAATATAAACAAAATTTACTGGAAACTAAAAAAGAAAACTATGTTTTTCCATTTTACCAGTAGTGAAAAAAATATTTAAACAATAAAATTATTGCTGCAGCATAGTAAAAAAATAACTTAAGCTACCTATTTACTTTTGTATGTATTATAATAATTACCTAAGCAGATTAAGTATCTAATATTCTTGCTTATGTTAATTATACATTTTTGGAAATTGACTTATAAAACTCGCGTTTATAATTTTTAAGCATATTAAAACAAATATTCTTTAATTTGTCACCATTTCAAGTATTGTTTGGTCTACCAAATGATGTATTAATATTTTTATTTACAAACTTTCAAACTTAGAATTTTCTCTAGTGTTAAATAATGGTAATTAAAACCGATAAAAAAAAATATTTTAGGCAATTACTGATTTATTGTTTTTGGACATAAATGTATAAAAATAAATAAAAAACATACTGGATAATTAATTTTCTTGAGAACTAATAAATTGCGATATTGTAATTCTTTTTGAAAATATTGAACTGTCAAATTTTGAATATTTACTTTTTTTAGTACTTTTTAGAGATCTTCCAACTTTTAAATTGAAACATAACTCATATTTTGTTAGCTTTTTTTAAGAAGTTATTTAAAATAGAGCATTTTGATTGATAAGAGTTAGTTTTAAATAATAATTGCAATCTTTTTGTAGTGCTTGTGGATTGAAACAACTCTGTCTACAATTTAAGTGCTAATAACTTAAAAAGTAATAATTAAAAACTGGTTATCGACCAATCATTATTTTTACTAGATCATTATTGATTAAAAACGTTTAAATTTCAAAATTAGAATTATTTTTATTTATAAAGTATTGACAAATTCTTGATGAGTGAATAGACTAATATACATACAATTTAAGTTACTAGATAAAATAATTGAAAATTGTAATGATGTATATTTTTTGCTCAATGCTACCAACTATTGCGCCAACGATATTATAACGCTTACTTATTTTTAATTACAGATGCACCTTGGTGTGGACATTGCAAACAACTTGCACCTGAATACGCAAGTGCTGCTCAAGAATTGAGTAAACAAGAATCTCCTATAAAGTTAGGCAAAGTAGATGCTACTTTGGAAGGTGAATTGGCTGAGAAGTTTGGTATCCGTGGTTACCCGACTTTGAAATTCTTTAAAAATGGCAACGCTATCGATTATACAGGTAAAAATACTTGAATTTAACACATGTGACGCGTCTTTATAAAACGTAGTTGGCGAAAAAACTAAACCCAAGGGATTTAGCACAGCAGACGATTGGTATTCACCCAAAAACATAGGTGTATTTGGGTTGCACTTTTTTAAAAAAAAAGCTGGTGCTAAATTTTTTCCCATTTAAGTCAGAAAACTAGTTTTTGTCATTTTATATAATTTATGTTTTTTAGGTGGGATTTCTAAAGACGCGTCCCACTTTTATTTGTTTTTATATCTATTACAGTTAAAAGTATTAGATCTAACTAATATTTTATCATATTTTCCTTCCTATAGGTGGCCGAACTAAGGATGATATTCTCCAGTGGGTGGTAAAGAAATCTGGACCAGCCGCCAAAACTTTATCGTCCGAGGAGGAGCTTACCTCATTCATCGCTAGTAAAGATGTTGTTATTGTGGGATACTTTGAAAATTTGGAATCTGACGCAGCAAAATTATTCAGTGATATCGCCGATTCTGTTGACGACCATCCCTTCGCCTTAGTCTCTGACTACTCTAAATTCTCTAATATCGAACATAAGGAAAAAATTGTACTCTTCAAAAACGTTAGTACTAAGATTTTGAATTTATTAGAACAAATTATTTTTTTAAAATAATACTATGAACTCGTAGACAGCACTTTGTCGTTTATTTCTTATAAAAATGACATGCTAAAATGCGGTGGTAGGAGCTAAGTTCAGAATATTTGCAGAAAATATTATGATCCTATGTAATTTACATATTACTTGTTGAGCCGCTATCCTTCATTCTTGTATATTTTTGTCTTAATGTGCTTTCTATGAGTTATTAGCAGGTCCACCAACATTATTTTACTGTAAAGAGTGTACATAAGAAGAAAAATAATCTATAATTTAAAACAAATCATTTTTTATTTCAAAATTTAGTTTGATGAAAAGAAAGTTGTGTTTGATGAAGACGTTAAGGATATCGAAGACGTGAAAAAGTTTATTTTCGTTCATTCGTTACCACCGATAATTGAATTCAATCAAGAAACGGCACAAAAAATATTCGGCGGTCAAATCAAAAGTCACTTGTTACTCTTCATGTCGAAAAAAGAAGGTCATTTTGACAAGTACATCGAAGACATTAAACCCGTGGCTTCAGAATTTAGAGGAAAGGTAAAATATTAAAAGAGTCAATTTAATACATTTATAGTAACTTAAACAGATGGTATAAAGTTAAACATTTTTTGTTTTGTGTTCGCAGATTGTATTTGTTTCCATTAATGCCGACGAAGAAGAACACGTACGAATTTTGGAATTCTTCGGAATGAAGAAGAACGAAGTACCCAGCATGAGGGCTATCAAACTCGAAGATGATATGACAAAATACAAGCCGGAATCACCTGAATTGTCCAGTGAAAATGTAAAGAAGTTTGTTTCAGATTTCGTCGCTGGAAAAGTCAAGGTATAGTTGTATAAATAATTGGCTTTAATTCATACAACATTTTTTACTGAACAACGAATGCATTTTCCAAATTGAGTACTTATAATATAATGATATCTACATTCATTAATAAAACAGATGTACGTTTCATTTGTCTTATGAAATGTAGTTGTTTCATTGCCATAAAGAGGAGTAGTACATTTTGTTTTTCTATACAAAAACTTATATATTTGTGACTGTAATGACAAAATCAGTTACATTAAATTTTTGTAACAAAAAATAATATATTTTATCTAAACAAAACCCACATGTAATCAAACTTATTAGCAGACAAATTAGTTTTTTTGGTAAAACTAAGAAACGTATTACTTTTTATTATGGGCTTTAAAATAGCATCAACACTTAATGTTGGCTATTAATATTTTAGTATTCATAACAATTTTTTTTTCTATAGCAACACTTACTCTCTGAAGATTTGCCTGAAGATTGGAACAAAACTTTAGTCTGGACATTGACTGCCGCCAACTTTGATGAAGTAGCTTTAGATCCAACTAAGAATGTGCTTGTGGAGTTCTATGCACCGTGGTGTGGACACTGTAAACAACTTGTTCCGATCTTTGAAAAAGTAATTTCAAATTATATATATTTATTTCTAATTTAATATTATTTTTATTATAACAATATTTAACCCTTTGTCCTCTAGGTTGGTGAACATTTTAGCAATGACGATGATGTTATAATCGCAAAGATGGACGCTACAGTTAATGAGTTAGAACATACCAAAATTTCCAGCTTCCCTACGCTTACGTTTTATCCCAAAGGAGATGCTAAGGTATAATTAATACAATTTTACAATTATTTACAGCAGTTTTTTTTTTTTTTTTTTAATATTTACCTATTGCTCTTAAATCTAAACAGTTAAATTGGTTACAGTAAAAATTAAAAAAAAAATTAATTAAATATATTTTTCAGTAAGTAATGTTGGGGAGTTATTTCAATTAAAAAATAAAGTTACTTTGCCTAAATTACTTTTTGAGTACCTAATTTATTTACATTTGTAATATACTTACAATTTGTAAGTAGTCTATTCATAAATCAAGTCAGGTTAGGTTTATTCAAATAGCTCTTTCCTACTAACTTTTTTTAATTTAAGTAATGCAATTTAATAAATGAAAGTAATTCGAGAGTAATTTTGAAATTTAGTGTTATCTAATTATATATATAAAAAAAATTAATAGAACTAACAATTTTGTGTTTAACTAAGAATTACAAATTATTTATAAAAATTATTTTTTATTTTAAATAATTCTAAAAAATGTATTTATTATTTATAATTGTATTCAAAATCACATCTTTTTTTCAAAAAATTAAACTGTGGTTGAGTAATTGTGAATTTGATTTCAATACAGCTTGATATTTCCACAAACTACGTAATGTTTTGAAGAAGTGATGATATTTAAAAAAGAGCTTTATTTTTTATAATTAGACATTCAGTTATTTTATACGTTCAAATAATAAATAGTCAATAAAAAAATATATTTGAAAATAAAAATAAAATTGTTAAATCAAATAATAGATAACTGTTATAAATCATCAAATAATAAAGTATTAAATAACATTTATCCCTTAATCTAGATAAAAAATGGTTTGATTAACGTCCAACCCTCCTGCTAGTTTAACTCGTTTAGTTAAATAAATATTGTGGATTTCAAATATGTAAATATAATTTAATTTTTACAAATTTTAGGCTATCGAATACAAAGGTGACAGAACGTTGGAAGCTATAGTCAAGTTCGTGGAGTCTGATGGTAAACAAGACAAAGCAGAACCCAGCTCGGTAACTTAATTTTTCCTTCTTTTAATTGCTATTTAATTACGAATTGTATCAACTGCGCTATTATATTTCCAAACTAATTGGTTTTAACTGCGAGTTAGTTATTGTGTGCAGGTTATCATACTTTTTGGCACTGCACTGGAGTAATTTAAAAAATCTGTGGTTATATTCTTTTTAATCAGGAAACCTTAATAAATCAAATAATGCAACTAATAAACACACATTTTTATGCTTAACTATGCATTACCATAGTTAATTTATAATGTGTAATACAAACGAGATAATTTTAGTATGTATTGTTCTATATTCTTGACAAAAAAAATTGTTTACACTGCAAACTTGAACTGTATTAAAGAATGACAATTATTTACAATATAAAAAAAAAAATTTATTGTTGAATTTATATTAGAAAATTAACAAATTTTTATTTTTTTAGAGCGAAGAAGAAGATGACGATGAAGATGTCATTAGAAAAGACGAATTATAATCACACAACACGCAAATTATTTTCATATAAATATATATTTATACATTTTCTGAATGTACTTTCAGGAACATCATAAGTGATCTTAATATTGCTTCAAACTTTTGGTTTTTTTTTTTATCCACATGGTACTTGTATTCAGTTTTATGGTTACGCGTACATAATATTCTGTTTTCATGAAATTTCATTTAATGTTTCCAAATTGTTTTTAACTCCATTTTCAAAATGTATATTTTGCCAAGACTGTCATAGATAGTTCCAAAATGAACTAATTAAGAAATATAAATTATTTTACTCCTATGTCTGTGGTCTCTTGTCCTATCATACATTAGCTTTGTGTTTAAAAGTGATTATCTTAAGTAAGTTTATTGTGTTAATCATTATTTTAAGTGTAAGTTGTATAGAATTTGGTATGATTATTAACTAAATTACGTTGTCGGTTGTTAATTCGATATAACGGATTCATTTTTTAAATTACGAAATTCTAACATCGAGTACTAATTGAAATCTCCAATCTTCACAACAATGATTAGCCACTAGGTTATACTTGTAAATTACAAATTATTTTATAAAAAAAAAATTATATATTATATATAATATTATTTTACATTGCTTGTTTACATAAAGTTATATTTATATATTTTTTAACAACATTTTATTTAACTGCATACATATGTAAATATATATGTATTTGTATAACAATGAAAGCTTGGGTGTATTTTAGTTTATTTTTTAAATTATTATAATGTTTTAACATCACAAAAAATAATATTTGTCTACATACGATTTGTTAAAATGTTATCTTCTTATTTTAGTTAATTTTAATAAATGCTGATTTAATATTATGTTAAAAAATTATTTTCGTTTTATTTTATCTTTACATACTTGATATAGACCCCAAATGCAATGAATTACCCATTGTTTATAAGGTACCAGTGGCCTGTGGGAAAATATTCAGGGGAGACTGAAAATACCTAACTATTAATTCCTACAAAAACATCAAACAAGAACAACTTTTATTATCTTTAATTTATTTAGCTGCAAGTGTTGTACTTGCAACATACAATTTTATTTTTTTTATTGAGATACTGCATATATACAATACATCTACAATTTAATTTACTTATTAGTATTTTATGTCTTACATTTTCTTGTACACCAATTTAATTTTGTGATCTTTTTTTTCTGCAAACCCCATTGGCTTTTCTCCTCCAAAAATAACGGAAGTAAAACAAAACAATTTATTCCTTTTGCCGCAACCAGCAAGCCACGAAAACTTATTATACCAACTGTTTTGAAATTGTCTAGTATATATTGTAATATTTACCATCAATGAATGACAATTAAAGGTTAGGTGTTGGACGATTACTTTTGAACTGACATTTTTGTTTGTATGTTAATGTATTAAAATTATTTTATAATAAAACGTTCAACAAGATGATGTCTTTTTCCATTTTTCACATTTATAAAATTAATACGCTGAGTCAAGAGATGTGGCGATTGGCGGACAGTCGCCTGACGGTGTAGTGTAGGTACTTTTTTTAATGAAAACCGTTTCAATACATAACTGATACTGTCAGTCGACCGTTCCCAACCACACTTCCCCTCCCATCCTAACTTTGAAACTCTTATAACTTCAGAAATAGTTGTTCAAAACTGGTTATTAATCAATCAACATTTTTAGTACATTATTCTCAATTTAAAAAGTTGATGAAATGTGTGTGTGCGTTACCATTTAAGTTTCAAAAGTTGATATAAAAATAATTAGTTTGGGAGGGGGGCAAAAACAGAAAAAAATTGTGAAAAATTGAGATCACACTGTATAAAAACAATATGAAAAATAAATATTGAATTTCTTGTTAAATCCCATGAGATATTGAGTGGTTCATGATACATAAGGTGTATCATAATACATAACATTTTTTTCATACTTGAGATCTAATATCACTTTTTTGTATAATAACAATATTATAATACGAATAAATAATTTATTCCCGAGATTTAAAAAATCAAATTATACTAATTGCTGCAGTTGTACTATTATATTTTTTTTAAATCGGTCCTTCGTGAATCGTGGGAAAAATATTTTCTTCCATGAAAAAATGTCCTTGATAATCACGACCACTATAAACAAACAACATCATTGTTATCAATTTCGTGAGCGCAAATATTTTTATCAAAAATTCATGACTCAAGACCTAAAGCGACAATCATGTCGATCGTCTAATGCCGATTGCGGTTTTCGTAAAAATGCGTTTTGTTAAGTAATGAGAAAATGTATTTTTAATAATTAGTAATTCAATTAAGTACTAGGTACCAATTAAATGGTATTGTCAAAACTAAATCCGGACGTTGCTGTTTATTTGACCTAGGAAATAAATTAATTTATGTAACACGCTGTTTATTACATACACGAATTTGGTAAGATAACAAACTGTTCACAATTTATAAATATATATTTGTTAATTGGTCTTAAATTGTTTTTATTTAATTTTGTTCTTTTAGCGTTTAACAAAACATTACCAATGGACGATCCAAATTTGAATCCAACAGGATCTAATGCTGGTTTTCTGCCAACTACATCGGCAAATTACTTAGTTATGCCGTTCACACCTACTGTGCCAAGTGTTCCTGTTCCTCAGTCAATGGTATGGACTCCAATGCAGCAAGTGGTGCCTGTTACACCACACGTTGTGTCAGCCCCACCGCGATTTAATCCTCGGGCGACTCGTAAACATTTTCGCCAACCAACGCCTTCTGAACCACCTATTACTGTATTTGTTGGAAATATTGCTGAGAAAGCACCTGATGCTATGATCAGGCATATATTGGCCACTTGTGGAAATATAGCTTCTTGGAAAAGAGTCCAAGGATTTGGTTTTTGTGAATACTATGGTGCAGAAGCTGCGTTGAGAGCCATAAAGGTTTTGCATGATATGGAAGTTGGTGGCAAAAAGCTCGTGGTGAAGGTAGATGCAAAAGCGCAAGAAACCTTGGATCAGTTCAAAGCAGACAAAAAAGGCACTGAAGATTCTGAAGAAAATCAACAGTTTGAGGTTTATTGTCGTCAAAGGATCGATAGCATAATTGCTGAGCACAATGAAGAAATGAGTAAAGAAGGAAAGAAAAACGAAGAAGAAGAGAAACCCAATATTGTGGACGGAGTTGGTTTTGATTTAGTTCCGAATGAAGATGAGAAAAAAAGTTTAATTACTAGAGAAATTGGAAAATTTCGTGAAAATATGAAAAAACGAGAAGAAGAAAAAGAAGTAGAAAGAAAAAGGCGACAAGAAAAAGAAAAATTGAACGGAAGACATGCAACTCCTGAAAGTCCAGATTCTGAAGAAAATAGAAGAATACGTCGTAGAGAAGAACGAGATAAACGTGATAAAGAAAAAGAAGAAAGAGACAAAAGGGAACGAGAACGAGAAAGAGAAAGGGAAAGAGACGAGAGGGATAAACGTGACAGAGATCGAGAAAAGAAAGAAAGAAGAGACAAAGAAAGAGATCGGGAAAAAAAAGAAAGAGAAAAAAGCATTGACAAAGAAAATCGTAAAGAAAAAGAACCAGAAAAAAATAGAGGTCATTATGATAAGAATAGATTAAAAGAAAAAGAAATTGAAGATGAAGAACTTGAATTAAAAAAAGAAGAAGACAGACGTCGTGAAAGAGAACAAGCTTACCAGGAAAAACGTAAACAGTGGGAAATTAGAGAAAATCAGAAAAAAAAAGAATTGGCTAAAGAACGTGTTAAAAAACAAATGATTGAAGAAGAAAGAGAAAGGAATGCTAAGAAACTTAAAGAATTTCTTGAAGATTACGATGATGAAAAAGACGATGTAAAATACTATAAAGGTAGAGAGTTGCAAAAACGAATTGAGCTCAGAGAAAAAGAAATTGAAGAAGACGGACGGGATCGACAGAAGGAAAAAGACGAGCTCGAGGCTATCCGAGAAAAGATTTATAATAGCGACTTTAAAGATCCAGAATTGGAGTTTGCCAAAATTCTTAAAGCTAGAGAAGAAATGTATAAACCTAAATTAATAATAGATGTTGCGGAAAAGCAAAAAGATAAATTGAGACGATATGAGGTGGAATTAGAAAAAGAAATACAAAAACAAAGGGACATAGAAATGGAACAGGAAAGATACAGACAACAAAATGAAGATACACAAACACCTAGTCCACAGCGTCCGGCGACCCCTCCCAGCGTTGAGCCTCAAACACCACCACCTGAAATGGCTCCGATGGCCCAGCCTACTACTTTAATGATTAAGAAAAGAATGGATGTCAAAGACGTATTTAATAACGATGATGAAGAGCTGCCGAAACCAAAGAAAAGAAAATTGGTTCCTCTTGATTATACAGACAGAAAAGAAGAAGAAAGTAAGGCAGTAGAAGAAAAAAAGAAAAATATTCGTCAATTGATTGAACGCATACCCACTGATAAAGACGATTTGTTTTCATTCCATCTCGACTGGTCTGTGGTTGACAATCAGTTAATGGAAAAAAGAATTAGACCATGGATCAATAAAAAAATCATTGAATACATCGGAGAACCTGAACCTACATTAGTCGATTTCATATGCTCTAAAGTTTTAGCTGGTAGTAGTCCCCAGGCTATACTGGACGATGTTCAGATGGTACTTGACGAAGAAGCTGAAGTATTTGTTGTCAAAATGTGGAGACTTCTTGTATATGAAGTTGAAGCTAAAAAATTGGGGTTGGTCAAACTGGAAGAAAACGGCCACAAAGATCCTTAGTTAAGTTATTATTACTATGTATAATTTTGTAAATAAATATGCATACTAAGAAAACCACGTTTTTTAAATCTTATTGATGACATATTTATCATCTTAATAATAAAGACATATTTAAATAAATAAACACTTTAGTAATTAATTCAGTGTTAGTATAGAAATCTGTATAATTCAAAAAATGATAATAAAATAACTTTATATGTATAAACGGTCCCTATTTACTATTTTATGTTTAAAGATTATGATATTATTTTTTTTTTGTTGGTAAAATGTTTTATTTTGTTATATATTCACTATTTTGTATCAGTCTTATAATATTTACAATTGACTGTTTCTACATAGTGTCATATTTTTTTGTGTTTATAACAATAAACAACTAATCTCGTTTTAAATTTAAATTAAAGTTTCATTTATGAATCTGATTATAAATCAAGTCGATGAATACTGTATATAGTAATTTTTGATGTCGATGAAGATATAATAAACCATTTAAATTTAAAGTAGTATCCAACGAGTTTTAAATGCTATACAATAACAATTTTTTAGTTTATTTATTTTAGATAACATAAATACTAATAGTACATGATATATAGTTATAGCAGTAGTTAGAAAGATCGCACATTCTTCTGTAAAAGATGTAAACCATGTAAATGCAAAAATGTTTGGTTAACGTATTGGCAAAGAAATTGTATGTCACTAAGTTAGTTAAAAAGATGTCAAAGTTACGTAATTCATGTGTAAAAACTATTTCTTGGTCTTATTTTTTTTTGCTGTAGTTGTAAATATTTCCAGTGTATTCTTAAAAAAAAACTTCTGGTTTGAATCACTACAATAAAAAAAGTACTGAATCACCGTTTAAAATTTAAAAAAAAAACATGTACAGTTGTTATTTTAGAGATAACTTTTTTGTATTTAGAACATTTTTTCTTTGTTATTTAAAATTGTTCAAATAAAACTATTGTATTTAATATTTGGATTTTTACTTCAATAAACTATTATTTAAAAATGACCAGGTTTGATTTAAATTAGAGGATGTATTGAATGCATAAATAAAATAAACCATTTTAGTTAAAAAAACAAAAGTTTATTTTATGCGACCAGAGGAACAACAGGTATAGCTGGTACTGGCTCCGGTTTCGATTTAATATCACTTGTTGGTGCTACAGGGAGAATTTCTTCCTTAGGCTCCGCCACACTAACATTGTCTGGTAATGGCTTCTTTGGTCCAAGTTTACCAGTTTGATCCCACGGCAACATGATTTTAACTTTAATTCCCAACACACCTAGAATTATAAACAAAAATTAGCATAAATAATAACGGAGGAGTAACATAATAAACAAGTAAATAACTGTTGTATTATATTTATAAAAGGACATAATATTAGTGATATGCCTAATAGAATGATTTTAATAAACCAGACATTTTCATAACTCAACAAATTATTTAGAATTAAATTAAAAAAAAAAAAAAATTAAATGTGTATAACACCAAATACATTGAATAGTTAATATTATATTAATAATATAGTTAAAAGTATACTATTTACTAATTAAAATACATTTATTTTTTAACAGTTTTTAAAGTACATAGGTATAAACAATATTACCTTGTCTTAACAATACGTGTCTAGTTGCAACATTGACGTAGTCATTACATGGATCACCACTGTGAATCATCAAACCGTCGACAAACTTCATGGACTTGGCACGCTGACCTCTCAATTTGCCAGACACGACAACTTCACATCCCTTAGCACCACTTTCCATAATAAATCTCAGTACACCATAGCAAGCTCTTCGGACAGCTAATCCTCCAATCAATTTGTAACGTAGTGATTCAGCTTGGGCAACTGCACACAATCCGCGCTGAGCTACTTTCTCAGCGAAAAGCTCAACAGCCTTATCCTTGAAGTCAAAACGTTTTTGGATGAGAGATGTAAGTTCACGAATACGACGTCCTTTGTCACCCAATACATTCTGTGTACGAGTAGCGGAAATTACTATTTCAGTACGGGATGGAGCTGCACGTACGTCTACACCAGAATAACCATCTTCAGCCAACTCTCGAGTCAAGAACTCATTAAGTTCAGCACGGAGCAAACCGTCAGACACAAACTAAAGAAATAGATAAGTTGTCAAAAAAACAAAAACAAAAGCAATACAATTTGAAAAAAAAAATAGAAAATATTTAGCATAACTTTATACTAAATTAAATAGCAATGTATAACAACTGTGAGACTTCTTTTACATTTTAATTGTGTTAGGTTAACCTTTAAAATACGGCAGCAAGATGCACATTACACTAAGGGTTACCATAGATAAGGAATGTTAACAGTTTTCTGAAATGTTTTACAATAAAATTAAGTCTTTAAATAAAAAGACACAATAACACATTTTATTTTTTACTAACTAGATATTTAGAAAAATTAATAGGCATTACGCTTACCCTTTTCTTAACAGAAGTTGTTTTGGCCGGCATTTTTCACGCAGACCTAAGACATTAGTTAAAGTCGTGTTATTTATAAAAAGTCTTTAGTATTTTATAATGAATTAAGTAGCATTTTAAAATCTTACTTTAATGAAGGCGACACCTTTGACTTGGACAGAAATCCTCAATTTTCTGGTTAAATTACAACCTAAACGGCATGGTAATGTGACAACAAGCAAAAAAAAAAGAAATTGTAAAATGATTAAATGTTAACCAACATCGGTGACGAACATTTTTATTACAGTGTGACCAACTTAATACATTTTCGCTTGTCAACAATATGTTTAGATTTTCGCTACATAGATAGCAGCATAAACACTGCTTATGAATAATACAAAATATCGTGTAAAATACACAGCTGCGTAAAGTTTATACTATTATGTACTAACCAGAGTATAAATAACTGTAGTCTGTTGATAGTGAAAGGCTATTATGTGGTAATTTGATTTTTAAAAAAATCTAAAATATGTTAATTTATCCAACATAATACATAATAGTCAGTGGCGTATATAGGGGAAGGTTTTGGGGTTCACCCCCCCCCCCCCAATTTGTGGTTGTACGGCACATGTGCGAGTTCATTTAATCAAAGTTAATTAATAATATAAATTAAATCTATTCTTATTTTATAAATCCCCCCCCCTAAATGGGTTTAGACAAATGCTGTTTCAGCGCTTAAATATGCTTTTTACCAAATACTATAAATATTAAATAGTATTTGTATTTATGTGTTCTTACGTTTCCTTGAGAGGAAATTTCACCTGTATTTATTAGGGGGGTTTCTTATGGGACATTTTGCTGAAAATGAAGCTCTTATATCAAAAGTCTTACTATTTTCAAAAGTTTATTATATAATTTATATAAGTAATTATTGTTGTAAGTCTACTTAGGAATGCACAATACTTGAAATACGACCACAACAGGTTTTATGAAAAACACTTTGTTTTCTTCTATGAACAGACGTGGCTGTGAAGTTTGACAAAAAACCACTATAAACATTGAACGTATGAAATACCCTATTATATAATATTATGATTTATGTTATTGAATTAGTAATCTTTTAATTATGATTAATATTAAGAAGAAAATTTGCCTATACGTAATTAAGTTAATGATATTCAAATAACTTACATTTTTAGCTTTTTTTTTGCTAAAAATGTTTTGAACATGGCTAATTTAACTTAAAGTTAAACATTTTTTTCATATGGGGGGGGGGGCTAAACTGATTTTTGATTTTTGTTGTCAAAATTTTACTATAAGCGTTTATATTTTTACTTTTATTATGGGTTTTTTCTAAAAAATCTAACTAGTTTTCTAATAGTTAGTTTAAAAATCGGCCTTTTAGCCTCCATACAGAAAAAAGTAAGCTTCACATAAACAAAAAAAAAAATCCGTCCAATAGATACACATTTTACGAATAATTTTTGATCAATAACTCCAAGAAGAACAACTTAAAGTTTTACAGCTATGAAAACTTAATATTTGTTCGCTTTAAAATTAGTCGGCATATTAAAAATGTTACTATTAGATCAATTTTTGTCATATATTGCCTATCCTTTGCTCCTTAATAAATAGCGCTTTCCGTTCCCCTTTATTATACTATTTTATCGTTAAATACATTAAGGATCTTATCAGAAAACTTTTTTCGACTTTAAATAATTATTTCTTTGATATTAACATTGTACTACGAAATTCGGATAACCCTGTACTCATACTCTTAATAATAATTAAACGCCAGTGCCAAGTATGTAGGTACTTGGAAGTCGTAAGTGTTTTGGTCGTATTTAGCGAGAAAATGGTTTACTTGAAAGTCTTGTTAAGGGATTTTTTCTCCCTTGTACGGGGCATACTGTTTTCATACATGTACTTAAAGTATAAACAACGCAACAAAGGTCCCTCGGCCTTGTACTCGAGGGTTATTCAGTAGTCAGTACGTGTCGTGGCGCCGTTTCGTTCACACTTGGCTTAGTCGACTCTTGATGATTTTGCAAAGAGTGAGTTCTGCTATTTAAGATCCAAGTCCGTGTACGTGCTTTTTAAATTTTACTATGGACAAGCGTTTCAAATAAATTGAAGTAAGTGTTATAATGTTTTTTTTTTTATTAAACTATGTATTATGTATAGCTACCGTATCGATTTTATCCACCTCGCTTCACACCACGCTTGTCATATTTTATTATAGGTAGTACACAGTTGTGTTATTTGCATTTAAATATTATGTTAACTGTTAAAGTCAAATTATGGTAAATGTAAGTGAACTTTTTGACACATACAAATGAGAATATAAAAAAAAAAAATCTAGATTTTTACGAACTATCGTTTTATAATAAAAGACGAATGGTCGACAGAATCGTCATGGCGTAAGAAAGTTAAGAAATTATTATATGAGATTTAAAATTATTTACTTACCCAATACAAAGAAAATTATCTGGGTCCTAGTCAAAAGGTAAATCTGGATGCATGTGCTAAACTCGCCTGAATTTTTTTTTACGAATTTATACATTATAATTTTGGTTTATAATTAATTTATCTTATTATAACACGATATTACACATTTATTGAATAAAACGAATGATACGTTTGGGTAAAGTTCCAAGAAGTTTGGGAATTTCAGATTTTCCATAATACAGAACTTGAACATAAATCATAATCATATTTATTAATATTGTAGAAGACTTCACTAAAATTTACAATTTTCAGACTATTGCAATTGTCTGAATTGTCAATTGCCAAATGCAAGGTGCAACAAACATCTTAATACATCTATTAAAATGCTAAAATTTCGAAAAAAATAATGACTAAGACCTTATAAATTACTTATTGTGTAAAAATGTCAGTTTGCGAATAGTTAAATCTATTTTATTATCTTTCAATAATGGTCAATAACATGTTCAATTTTTAATAGACTATATAAGTGCCTAGCATGTTTTTTGTCTGATGCACATACAATGATATTTTTTTGGTTTTATGGTTTTTATGATTTTTATAATAGGTTAAATAATTTTATTATAGTTAAGTTTAATATTTTTAAACTTTCAGACGAACAGTGGTCTTAATTAAAAAAAGATGTATAAAATATATCCGTTTCTTTTACATTAATTATATTAATGTATTATTAGAAAACTACTCTTTAATTATTATTATTTATTAATGCAAGAATGTTTTATTAAAAATAATGATTTGTATAAAAATCAGTTAAACAATATTATTTCAAAAGTTTAAAGCTTTCTAGAGTTTAGGCAATAAACGGGGAAGCGTAATATCAACTATATCTACGTAAATTTATTTTTCAGTAATAAAATAAATTAAAGTGTTGTCATGTGAAAGATGTGTAGATTTGCAATGCAAATCATTTTGTTAAGAATTTAGTTGCTAAAAGAATACAAAAAGAAAAATTAAAGGTTTTTGGAAAATTATTCAAGTCCAGGGAAGGGTAATATTGGAAATACTTTTTGTACTTTGTTTTTTTTTTTTTGGTGGATAACCAGTCTTGTTATTCAAAACCCGTTTTGGATAATTACTTTTAAAGTTATTAAAGATTAATACTTAGGATATGAAGCAAAGTGGAGTGTAGTATTACTTTTACATGAACCTATAGGTATTACTATACTTCACTACACCGCCTCCCGTCTTAAATTTTAAACTTTAAGGGAAAATGTTCGTCTGACGTTAGGGTAATGATCACCCTGTATAACGTTTTTATATTTCATTATTTACAGGGATAACGCGAGTTATATAATGGCTGTCGAATCACGTGCAAAGCGGTTGAAAGAATTGTTCGGCGATCGCTTACTACACCGTTCGACGACTGTTTCCCTGGACGAAACGACGTTCAGCGGTTCATTGATCGCATTGTACTTCGTCCCGATCGGAAGTGATCGTCAACAGAGGGATGATCAAGCGTTGCGAGATCTATACGATTCGGCCAACGGAGTATACAAAACACTCGACATCGTTCAGATATGCTATCCAGATGCGGTCGACGACCGAGAACGATTCGACGAAATGACCAACGACGTCCCGTGGCATGCCGTCCTTTACGACTACACGGAGAGGAGAGTAAGTCAATAAAAACAAACGTTCATGTTATTATCGACTTAGCTTTATCTCTTCAGTAAAAATACAGGGTGATCCATTTGACGTAAGACACACAGTATTTTCTACAAAATAGTTGAAATTTTGTAGATTTTCTTTTCGTCAAAAAAGTTTGTTTATGTTATTTTACAATACTATAAAACTATGAAATATTTTCTATAGGTTTTTAGTATTTTCTAGAGCTCTATCAACCTTTGAAACTTTGACTGGTTGGTAACTATATTATAATTATATTTAATATTTTTAATGGTAATTGTAAAACGGAGGTACAGGGTGATAAATTTAACGTTACACACTTGAAGTAAAAATATTTGTTATCCTAATAAATGGCGATAAAATACTCAAACGTTGGTTGAAATAAGTAATTAACTATAGTATAGTTAATAACTATCCCTAGTCCGAATATGAATTTAGATTTTCTTTGGCTTAATTTATTACACCATTTTTTAATAACCTCCAAAATTGTAAAAAACTTACAAAACAAAAATCAAAATTTTGTAATAATTCTGAAATTAGTCAAAGTTTAACAAAACAATACCTATTTAAAATAGTTTTGAATTATTTTTTTAAACTTACAAACTATACTTAAAAAAGTAAAATCACTGAACAGTGTATTTTAAATATTACGCAGATGATTAAAAAAAATAATAAGATATTAAAAAGTAGATTTATTTTGGTTCTTACTAATACTAATTTTAGACACAATTTGCAGATATGCATATGTACCTATCAAAATTTAAAGAAAACTGTCTTCTGTTGAGGTTATAGTGGTTTATGCTATTAAAAAACAATTTTATTATATTATAATGATTAAATTAGTTGTAAATTGTATTAAACGCATGAGAGATAAAAGCAACTCGACAATATAATCAAAAACCCCATTTAGTATAATTGTATTTTAAATATGAAACGCCGTCGTACAAAGTAAGGGTGTACGAACATTTATGTCGAGTCAAAATGGATGAAATTAATTGTTATTTTAAACATATTTTGTAAAATAAATTAAATATAAATTAGTATTAGTTTAAAGTAGTGCGTGTTATCATTACATTTTGGTAATAAATACCAAAAGTTAAGTATTTTGATCATTTCTGCTAGATAATAAAATATAATCCCGTAATTCTTTTACTAACTTAAAACGTCTTATTGGTATATATTTTGGTGGTAGTTATTTGTCTGCAGCTAGAACTGTAAATATTACCCAATAATATTATATCATATTACGTCAGACGGTATAATAATGTTTCTGTTTGGATTGGGGCCTTGGGGTTAAAGTATTATGAGCGCACGAGGCTTGTTCGCTTGTGTACGTGCCATCGTACAGTCCCGTAAGTGCGATTTAGAAATCCCCAGGGGTTCGGGCACGTAATTTTAATATATATCAACAACCCCCTTGCTGGCAGTCATCGCGGACAGTATTCCCATTCAAACTTTGGTATAATCGCCACGACTTCTCCCCAGGATTTGGCACCCTTCGTAATTTTTTTTTGCATTTTATCTCTGGGAAAGGGGGTTAGTTATAGCAGTATATACTGCCTCACGAATCTCCCAACACGCACCTGATATCATATCATATGGATATGTATATGTATACAGGGTGGTCCATTGATAGTGAAATTTTGTAGTTTTCCTTTTTCAATTTTATTTACATTGCTATTTTACAATACTATAAAATTGTGATATATTTACTTTTTTTAAAATATTTTCTAGAGCTCTATCAATCTTTTGAAACATAAATCGTCGCGTACATTATATTTAATTACATTTGTATTGTATAGTACAATAATTTGCTGAAAATGTTGACTGGTCGATAACCAGTTTTGAATAATTATTATTTTTAATGTTAATAAAGTTTTAGTCGCCCGAAATGATGGTCTTAAGTATTATTTTGTTGGTTATCGACCAGCCAAAATGTTGAATAAATTATTATTCTTAATATAAAAAAGTCATTAAAATATTTGATACTATTCATGTTTAAAAGTTGGTAGAGTTTATAAATATAAAACATAAATGTTTGGATATTGTTTATTACTGTAAAACGTCATAAATTAAACTGTCTTCAAAAAGAAAAACTACAAAATTGTAATTATTCCCAAAGAAAATGATTGTCTTATAAGCACCCTGTAGAGAAAAATGTGTAAATATATAGTTATATGTATACAATGTAGTATAGCTGATTCATAACAGTTTTACGCGTTAAACGACCCTCCAACCCTAGTAGTCACCACTACGTTTAGCGACTATTGTTGAATCAATACCTACTACCATATAAACATAACCGCATCCGGCATTTGAAACACTCTGTATTACACATTTTACATAATAGTTTTATTTTTATTATCACAGTTTTTAGCACAACACTTAAAAAGCAATGTAGCTTCCCGTTACTCTAAAACGTACATCGCATATTGTTGTATATTATTCATATTTTCTTTTACTGTAGAACTTGTCCAAAGAACCCACAATATCGTTAAAGGTGTTCTTAAATAAGACCCCTCTCTATGTTCCACTTGCTTTACTTATTTACAAACCTTGAAGAGAACTCGGTTTGTCGAGTGTAATGTACACATTTTTTTTTGCCTATTATTGTAATATATTGTTGTAAAATGTTGATGTTGTTCAAGTCGATGTTGAAATATTGAAGTTAATATAAAACCGTCAATATTTTAACAGCAAAAAGTTATCCCTGAGACTACCTATTAATGCCTGTATAGGATAATGACATATTTTATATTTTCACATATGCATTATTTGAAACTACTTCAAGTATAGGTACAATTATTATTGTTGTCTTTAAATACATTTCATAAATCTTAACCGGTCATAAACCATAATATTTTTATTCACTGGACCAAAAGAATGATGATCAACATTTTGTAGTTGACTCTATAGTAGAGTCCACTGAATAGGTAGTATTTTCGACTTAAAAGTCAGTTAAGTCAACTTTATTTTAGTTAACTGAAAAATGGAAGAATTAATTCTAATATAATTCGGCAGCCACTTATTAAACTCGCCTTTTCTAGATGAAATCAAATTTAATAATGTGTAAGTTGTGTCTGTTATTCAACACAAACGAGGTTCAAATTATTCACCTAATTACAAAATAAACCCCAAATTTTATTTATGATAGAAAAATATGTCATATTTTATATAAAATAAAAGACATGTCTCCTGGTGTATAAAATGTAACATATTATACTAGGTGTTGAGTGTTCTTTGTGGGTTTACTAAATATCTAATATGGATTTAAAGATTTCTGTGTATAATATAAGTTATTATAAAACTACAAATATTTCATTTTCCGGAAAAAAATACTTAATACAATTTTTAATTTATAAAAAAATCAAAATAACAATTTAGAGTTATTAGCCCAAAATATATATGTTCAATACGTTTTATAAACTAACTATTATACTAATATGTGCAATTATATAATTTCAAACATTTGTACTAATCATTATTGTTTTCAGATTCGTTTAAGACACAAGTACAACGTTGGCATTTCTGAAACTCAAGTAATCCTGAACGACGATCGATTGGAGAAAATCTACACAAAAAATTGCCTAAAGCTAATCGATAGCGGTAAACAATTTCCGTGGACAGATTTTTGGAATGACCAAATTTGGCAACAAACTTTAAAGCTGTCTTCGAGACACGATAAAGAAACTGTTTACGGCTTGTTATTTTCCGCTCACTGGGTAACTTCATCTACTTTTAGTTATCTAATTTGCATAGTAAAAAATATTTTAATTATTATTATTTATTATTTAGTAATTATGTTGGTATTATTTACAACACTTCAGTTTTGAATCTAGTACAGAAGTCAACTTTGAAGCTAAAACGTTAGCATTTAATACTGCTTAAAATGTATAAGTTAATTCTAAAAGATGACTTCTGCAGTAATCTTAAACGTCAGCGAATGAGATGAAACAACTGAAAATGTACAATTCAAAACATAAACATTTTTTTTTTTTAACCTTGTAAATGTAATACAATCTGTAAACAATTTGTTTACAGTGAGTGTTAAAGGTAACAAGAATAATAACATGAATTAGCTTAAGTGAAGAAGCCATCCAATGGTGAACATTAACAATTGAAATATTACTTACTATTTTTTCAGTGTCCTCCTTGTAAAGCATTTATTCCGCAACTCTTGCAGGCTTACAACAGCATACGAAAAAGATACAAATTTGAGATTATTTTCGTTAGTTCTGACAGGTAATATACCTACGTTGTTTAGTTTTCGTATTAATATAATGAGACACAGACTTTAATTAAAAGTGTTAAAATTGCTTTTACACAATCGCTTTGGCGCGAAAATGTAGATGGGAAACAGTTCAAAAACTTGTGTGGGATATTTTTTTTTAGATAAGTACTACCGTTATATAGTAAAAACCCAAGAAAATATCTATCCCCCAAAAAGGGTAGAAACTTTATCTTTATTTCGCTTATATTTGTGTAGTTTTAATTTGGCCTGAAGATGAAGGTAGATTGCTGCTATAACACGTACATTTTTCTCAAAACTTCACTGTAGTCAATTTTTTCGAATTAAGAAAAACCCAAAAATAAAGAGGGAAAATACACCTCTTGCGATCAAGTGATCGGATTAAATTTCTTGGTGGCTACATGTGAGTGAATAACATACAAAAGGTATCTGACAAAATATTTTATTGCTGATTACGGTGCACAGGTATCAACGACAAAAAATTATTGGGATAGAAAGACGATCAATCCTATTCGTACTCGTTCAAATGATTAAATGATAATATTTCAATCACATCACGACGATTTTTATTGATCTTTAATATTTCTATCATCTACAGATTTGCATAGAAAGCGATCACAGATAAAAGTACATAGTTGGACCTTCTAAAATTGTGGTTAACTAACTAGGTATATGGTGCATTTAGTAGGGGCACACGGAGTCGTAACTAGAGGCTAAAGCCACATGTACAACTAAATGAATAGTTTAGCCAACTAAATTTTTAGTTATATTAACAATAAATTTATTGTGTCCATTATATATTATTATTTTTGTGTCAATTTATATTAACTATATAATTTTAGTTGGTCCAACTATGTGTTTTTTTTTTTTGTGTTTTAAGTAATACAATTCCAACAGTCCCGCAATGCCCCGACATTACTGTGCTGATATTTTTTTTAAAAATGTTTATTCATTACCGTACTGTACCACTTATTAGCGTATTAATCCAAATACCAAATGTTTTAGGAGCGAACAGTCGTTTCAATCGCACGCGTCTTCCATGCCTTGGACGTCGATTCCCTACGCGGACACTGCTTTGCGGCAAGACCTGACGGAATGTTACAATGTTCGCGGCATTCCTCATTTAGTATTAGTCGACAGTGCGGGAAGTGTTATCACCGAAAGCGGCCGACCCGAAGTGGCCGATGATCCTGACGGATCGGTAAATGATCCCGTGTCCGATATAATATAATATTAAACTGTTTTTTTTTTGGTTTTTCCTAAGGCTTACCCCCCTTCCCCAAATTGAATGTAGTCTATTTATATAAGTAATCTTCAACATTTCAGATCCTCAGCTCAACTCTTAAGTGTTTCCTCGTGAATTGTTTATTTCTGCATTTTATTAACATTGGAATTTTTCATTTCAACAACCATAGAATTGAAAACTAATCAACATTTTCACAAGCTGAAAATATACGACACTTGAATATCCTTGTTATGGTTTTCTTCTTTTTTTTTTTGCAAGTTGAGTTTTATCAGTTTCAATGGGCTGTAATGTGTTACAAATTTGTCTATTACGAAATATCAAAAGAAGGATATCTAAGTGTCATGTTTCAGCCACTTCGTCCATTTCTAAGGAGTAGGGTATTTGCAATTTTTCGCAAAATCTTAATTTAGAGTTTGAACTATAGTTTATACTTATTAGTACAGTAATGACTAATGAGGATTCTTTATTGTTTGTAATTTTTTTTTGTCAAACAATCACAGTCATTCATGTAGGATACATTACAACTTTTCTCATCAAAACTGCTTTGCGAGGGACAAATTTATGCGGTCAATATTCACAGTAAAATCTTTACGCACGAAGAACTTGCACTGTGTTTAAGTTATCAAAAAAAAAATTTTAAAAATGCTACGACACAGGTAAAGTTTCTAGCTGTCTACTGTAAACATTTTGTAAATCTAATACGAGTACAACCTGTCCTCCTCACAACGAGTTTTGAGGCCAAAATACAGGTGGTGTGGTGTGGTCTCATTTAAATTGCAAAATGGTGATTAGTTTTCAAGTTAGAATTGTTTTAATAAAAAACTAAAGTTTCCCGTGTCAATCTTGTGCAAATAAAAAAAAAAAATACTAGGAAATACTTAGAGTTGAGCTAGACATTTGATATTTTGGGGATTTCTCCTTTGAATGGACTACAATCGATTAGCGGAGAGAGGGGGGGGGTAAGACAATTTTAGACACAGTCTAATATACATGTTATAATAATCTGTCGAAGATTATAGAAACCGATATCATTATGTTGCACAGTATTTTCCGTGGAAAATTCGCTTGGTCTATGCGTTGACCTCGAGACTGTTACCGAAACTTCAGAGTTACCCGGCTATCGTGCTGTTCATCGAAGGTGACCAGGAGGAGGAAATGGAATTGGCCGAAGGCGTTTTACTACCCGTGGCACAGCAAGTTACCAAAACTAAACAAAACCCATTGTACGATCTTCTGTTTTTCATAGCGCCCGACGTAAGCACCGCTGAAAAACACATATTCAATATTACTATTTAATAATTATTGTGCATTCATCGTTATCTCGATCACAGGACGGGACATCTGATACGCTGAGAAATTTCGCAAGACTGACCGATGACGCAGTTCCTTTGCTGACGTGCATAGATATACCTATGGGTAGGATATCAATAATGGAGTACGGGATAGACATAACAGAAAAGTCTATTATGAAATTTGTCGACGGATTCTTCGACGGCACAATGAAATTCACATCCATAGTTAATTAATAAAAATATATTCTCGTGAATTACGTAGATATAGGCATAAAAACGATTTTCTCAAAAAAATAGAAAATATGAAATACCATACGAGTAAAAAAAAAACTGGTTTGAAAAACATCAAACCGAACGAGACAACAGCACTGAGACTTGATGATAGGGAAATTTTGACATTCTGCGACGTACTTTTGTAATACATTAGTTAAAATTTCCAAATTTATTATTATGTATAGTCAAAATCATAGTGACTAATTGCCTGAAGCATAGAACATTTTCATACGCGTACTCCTGTTACAAAATTATGTACAAGAGAATATTGTAATTTATAATTAAAATAAAATGGTTCTCTGTTTAATTTATTATTTATCAATATAAAATAACAACATTATTATATATTATGTATTTTTTTTACGCCGTTGAGTGTAAGTATTATTTTAATTACATGTTTGCCAAGATTGAATGTAACGTAATTTTATTATGCGTTTCCTGCTGTTTAGTTATATCTCGAAGGATTAAATTAGATGAGCTATTTCATTATAATTTATAAGCATCAGTGCTCTTCGAAGAGTGCACTTAACCAACTCTTGAAAATTATTTTGATTCTAGACTAGTTCTTCTCTCCCTCAAATCAAAAACTCTCTATAATAAAATGTGAGTACTGATTTAAAACAAATTCAAATTTGACAATTTATAGAAAATATTTAATCAAAATCAACATTTCTTTAGGTGCTTACTTAATAATTAAATAACCACAATAAAACTGGCAATTTTAATAGGGTAAAAAATGTATTCCAATAAACAAAAATATGGTATCGAAATAGGTCGACTCGGTTTTGAAAATTAGTCATGTTAAGTAAGTAAATTGTTTTTTAATACTTAGGAAATTGCAATGAAAAATTTGTTTTGGTCATAATTATAAAATAATATAATTTTCAATGAACTAAAACTAAAAATTCCAATACCTTTCCATCTTTACATCGTAGCAAAAAAATGTGTATAATAGTTATGAATTAGAAAAAAATATACTTGAAAAACGTTGTCGATCATGTATAATACGTTAGCAAATAATTTAAATGCAATTTTATGTTTTATTTTCCTGGAACAAAAATGTTTTGTCTACCTACTGCTGTTAAAATACCATTTTTTCGATTTAATTTAAATCAACCCAAAGCTTATAGTTAATTAATTAATTAATAAGTAATAATAGACAGTTTAATTTTAATAAAAATATTACAAACAAATATGTATATTGTATAATAATTATTTTTACAGCATGATAAAATATACCATGTAAAATATTGAATCCTTATGATTATGACACACATTATGCTGGGGGGAAATATACATTTAAAAAATTATATTACTATACTAACTCGCCTTAGCAAACAAAAATATGAATGTAAACTTCCAATTTATATTCAAGTATTGAACAAAAATAAAGTACGAAGAGAGTTGTGAATATTTATTCTAATGTCCTACGTAAAGTAATATTGGCAACTACAGAAGTAGAACCATTTATGTCAGCTAAGGGCAGTAATTCAAAAAACAAAATCAACCCTCTCAAAATAATTTTATTTTGGATAGTAATTTTATTTTATGCGAATGTATAAAATCCCCCCGTCGTCGTATTTCTTATTACGTATACCATTATACTATTATAGTGCCATTTTATGACTACAAGTAAATTATATTTGGGTTTTTTTTTAATATATGGCCTCTAAACTATAAAAAGTATACTTCATATATTAATCAACTTGCTTATTCGGTGCTCCTACTTTTTGTACGTTTTTTTTATTAGAAATTGTTTTATAATATTCATTAACATCCCCTTCCTCACTTTATAAAATTTGGTTTGTTTGTTAATTTAATTTAAGGTGTCAAGACATGTAGCATACCAAAATATTGATACTATATTAATTTAAAAATTAGACGAAAAAGTAATATAAACTTGTTAACAATTGAATGAAAGTATAATATAAGACGATATGTTGTTAATTTTTATAGAAAAACTGTGAAGGACACTGACAACTGACAAGTGGCAATATTATAAACTTGTTACTAATAAATCATTCTAGTATAAAAAATTAAATAAACACAAGAATTATAATAAACAAATTGTAAATGTTATTAATTGATTTCTGGCGTACAATGTATTGTCAAGTGTATAATAGATGATAATAACGTCAAATATATTTTGGTAGGTACTTCTTTTTAGCTATAACTAATGTGATAACAACCGGATACTTTTGACTAAATTTAATAAAAAAAATAAAAAAACAGAAAAATAATAATATCATAAAACAAATATTGTATTTTTTAACGTTAACTATTAATCGTTATCAATAATATAAACAAAAAAAAACGGTCAATTAGCCTAGCTGGAAACAAATATAAAAGAAAATTAGCACGGCGCCAATACTCATTTTTGTTCTAAAAAATTGACATTAAATGTCAAGAAACACTTTACTAGACTTTCAGGTATAATTAGCATAATAATTGTATCCTTCAGGTGCAGTAATGCAGTCGTTGAAGTGGACAAATAATTCCCAGTGATAACTGCAGTCAAGGGTTAGGTCATCATGATTTCACTGACTATATCCAAAACGTCTGGTTTGATTGCACTGAAGAACTGAACAGTCTCCGTCTCCAAGTGTTCACTATATTATATAATAGTTCCGGTTGTTGAAGTTATTGAAAAGCTGACACCGTATCAGTCGCATTTGTTGCAATTTCTACACAACAAAAATACTTAATTTATACATAATTTTTAATAACTACTTGAAATCTTAAACAAGTAACACGGCATAACCTGTCGTTGATACTTTTTTAACATATCCGATAAAAGTATCAATTATTTTCACAAGCAGATCGTCACAAATAGTAGTAGTTTACGTTCATCCGAGGACCGTTTTATATACAAATACGTTAAAATGTCTATCGAGGACAGCAAAAGCAGTGTGATGTCTGTCGAAAGATGATATGTTACCACCAAGAGGAAGTAGGAGCCTGAAAATCGGAAGTAGGAACTCCTCCTCCTCCTCTTCGGCAGACTTCACAGTAGTTAATAAGAAGTCAAGGACCACGAGGGCTAACATTTATCATAAGATAATGAACGGACTCAACTGGTTTATGGAGTCAACTAAGGCGAACCAAAATCGGAAGAAGAACTTCAGTAAGGAGATTGGCAAGGGCATAATATTTTCTGTTCGGTTTGTTAACTAATGAAAGATACTAATCAAATCTGTATAAAATAGAAGTCAAATATAAAAATCAGTTTTTTTCATGAATCCTAGAAAATGAAAAAAAAATGTGACTTATCCCATCGACTGCATCCGTGAACACAAAAGTGTTCTTACATTTATAACCTCCTTCACAGCAGTGATAGGGTAATCAAGATTATAATACAATTTACTTAAAAAACAACAATATTATAATCGAAAACACATCGTTGGAACCCAATACCTTCCCAGCTCTGCTTCGAAACTAAAGTAATGAATAATTAATTTAACCTTCAGGCTATTGAGTGGATTTAAACTTTTATAACATTATTAGTCATTTCGAACATCGCTTTTATCCTTTATGGTAAAGTTGTTAACGACACGCTCGAGTGCTATAAATTACTAATATTTTAAATAGTTAAAATGTTTAGTCAACTAAATTCAGGCAGCAAAAACTAATACATTAAGGCTGAGTTGCACAGTTAATGATTAATTCAAATTCAAGTTTAATGGTCCAATCACGGGCCACTAAATTATGTTTAAGCAGCCCTTAAACATTTAACATCATTAAACGTTTATGCAATCTGACATAATACTTCTAAAATGTCGAAAAAAAATAATAGTACTATAAAAATAGTTATAAAATATTTTTACCATATTTTATAAGTATACAAATACTATTTTCTAGAAAAATGTAACACGTTGTTGTTTGTATAAATGATAGTTACAATAGTTGTAATATAAATTTCATTCGGTTTGACAAACTAATAGTTAGTAATAATATTGTTTACAACAAAATATGTTGAGTATATTAGTGTAGGGTAAAAGTTAATTTAAAAAAAAACATTTTAGTTATGCATCATTCGTGCCGGTTTGTCGTGAGAGAATATTCTGAAATTATAGGTTTAGTTGAAATAATGGAGAGTCGCCACGATTGTGCCCTCTACCGCTTATTAGATATTTATCAACCTAAACCTTGAGACCCTTCTTCGTCGTAGAAAATCAATAGAATTTTTTAAAAATATGTATGTATCTTTTACATAGGACGCTAGATCAGTAGTCGGTTAGCTGCTGTTTCAAGAGTGCCGATGTTACAATGAAACTCCCTACCAAATTTGAATTTTGGTATCAAATCAAAGCGATGACCATCAGAAATGCACTCATCAAGCGAAGGGAAATGAAGAAAACCCTCTCCGTATGTATAAAATATAATCATATAGTTGTTAGATACTAACTTACACAGGCATTGGACATACCTAAACATGACTATTACTCACCAACGCTAATTATTGTCGTTTCAGGAAATCGCGATACCTATTTACACACTGGCTCTGCTAGTGGCCATTAAGCTGTTGATGTCGAATCCAAATTTTCCGCCTGTAACAACACCTCAAGAATCACCCGACATGTATAATTACTTGTACGGAAATATCACTGTAGCGCCGGCAACAACATCCGTCAAAGTAGGCTAGAAGATATATTTTAACCATTATTTTTTTATTACATTTATTGATCTACTATCAAGTCCGATCAGTGTTAACCAAGAGTCTTTATAAAACGCGTTATAGGAATTTTTAGCGAAAATGAATACACTGTGGATGAACCGAACGGGAGATGTATTAAACTTTACTATGTACAACGATAAAAAAGATATTTTTGAAGTACAGAGAAATAATCCTGAATCGGTTTACATAGCATTGCTGTTTGACTACCTCGAAATCCAAAATAACTCAATCGGGTAATTCAATTTTTAAGTAGACTTATATATAGATGAAATGTACTCAAGTATGAAAGTTATAGATCTGTGAGGATAACGCGAGACTTAGGAAAGCGTATGGTAGGAAGCCTCAGGGTACCAAGAAATACGGGAATACGGGTAGAAGATTGAAAAAAGAAGAGTGTCTAATATAATTTATAAAAAGTTGAATAGTAGATAATAATTAAAAATAGAAAAAGCGAGTGTACGAAATATATGTGGTAAAATGGAAGAAATCATATTGGGAATAGCAATTCATCAACGATTGAGATAAATTCCATATTGTTTTTCCTTATTAATGAACGATTCTATGTGTCTCGGTACAACGATAAACTTAGTGTCTATTGCTAAAGGATGATGTAGTTTTAGGATATGAGTGTAATGACGACGTTGCAACAAATATAATAATAAATGCGATTATTGGGAAATTTGAGAAGATGTAGGATGTAGTATAAATTATAACAGTACAAGGTAGAATGAGACTACAAGTTTGATAATAAAAAAACGTTTAATAGAATAAGACGGGAAAGAATAGAATTAAAGGATTTAAAAGTAGATATAAATGAAGTAAGGATATCGTACATATATTATTGATACATTTTTTCATCTGTGAGAAATAATTTAAAAGCTTGTGGGCTTTTCAGTAAAATACGATAATATTGTTTTAGCTACGAAATCCATACGAATCCGTTCTACGACTCATCACCGTCGCCATCAAAATTATACGGCTATAGTCACCATTGTCGCGTTATATCTGCTAATAAGTTCACCAAGCGATTTCTTCACAGACACCACCACAACAACGAACAAGAAGACGAATCGTCGTGTCCAGCAATTCATTACATATATTCAGGGTTTTTGGCTTTACAGACACTCGTTGATACTACAGCGATATCTATGGTGTCTAATAAAACCGAGAAATTACCTAATTATCGTTTCATTTTGTTTCCCAAGCCGGCTTACACAGCAAGTGAGACTCGTTTAAAGTATACTACAAGCACATAGTATCTATACTATACGTATACCATTTATCATAGGTTGGCTATCAGTATTCCGCATGGCCATTCCTCTTTATGTGGTCATCGCCCTGTCGCAGTTCATCACTTATCTTCTTGTACAGCTGGTCGGAGAAAAGGAAATGAAAATAAAAGAGGGAATGAAAATAATGGGCCTGAGGGAATTGGTTTTTTGGTGCTCGTGGTTCAACGTTTACGCTGTTTACGCTTTCACCTTGTCGTTTTGCAGCACAGCCATACTATACATGTTGGGGATTTTCAATAACACTTGTTGGTTCTTAATATTTCTTTTGATTCTACTGTACTCGATAACGGTGATTTTGTTCAGCTTCATGATCACTCCATTTTTCAACAAGTCTAGAGTAAGTATCTTGTAACTAACCTCTAATTTACTTCTCTTTCTATTCATATTCATCGCAATTATGGTCTTCGTTGACTCTTTGTTCTTCTTATGGTCCGTCAAAAGATACCTATATATAGCCTTAACATTCTCTAAACTAAAATATTCAACCCATTTAGTCCGACAGGTCACAACTAAAGTAAGCATCGCACTAAACACTTGACGCTTTTTGCCACTTTAACCAATAACAATTAATGAAAACTAATTGACCAGCCTTTATAAAACCCGACTTGGTTTAATTAATTTTTTCCAGACAGCTGGAATACTTGGAAACTTCGCGTTAAACTTGGTTAGTCTTTTATACTTCTTGCAAAACGTGATCAGTTCTACCAATGAAAACATTTTATGGATGCTCTCGTTATTAAGTCCGTCTGGATTTGCAATGGCAATCGACAAGGCTATGACAATGGATCTTGACGGGAAGGGGCTGAAATTCAATAATATTTGGGCAGGACCTGGAATCCCTTTTGGTGGCTTTCTTTTAATGATGGTCGTCGACGCATTGATTTATGCATTTTTGGCGTACTATTTCACTATGGTCGTGCCCAGCGAGTATGGCCGTAAACGTTCACTGTTGTTTTTTTTCAAACAATCGTACTGGTGTTCCAAACCACCAAAGTCAATGGAGTTTGATGAGATTAACAGATATGCGGTATCAAATCCAGACTTCGAACCCGTACCGTGTTCAATGAGAGATCACACAGCAATACAAATAACCAATCTCTGTAAATCGTACAAAGGCTCGACAAAAAACATATTAAACGGTAAACTAAATAATTATAATTTAACAAATACACTTACAACGAACTTAATCTATACTTTTTAAGCCTTAGCATATGAATGAACCTCCATGCATTATTTATTTATTTATTTACTTAACAAGCACAGGTGCCCAAAACAAAATTTACAGTCATATTTGTGTTTATATTTATTTACAAAAAGAAGTAGTACTAAAATAAAACTATAAAATTTAAGACTTAAATTAAAACGATGGGTTCTCATTAGAAATACGCATGAGACGAGATATGGGGAAGTTAAAGGAATAATTAGTCAATGAAAAAGGGGCATGAAATCGAGTTGAACGAGAAGGGACTCTAAAGTTGAGTAGCATTAACAAAGATGGGGAATCGATTGCACCAGATAGAAGTTCATAAACAAAATTAAGGTTAATCTCATGACGACGATCAGCAAGACATGGGAGTTGAAGGATATTTTGAATCGGAGAATAATCATGTGGAGGACAAGGAACCTTAAGGACAAAACTAACAAAGCGAAAAAACTTGCGGTGGATTCTTTCAATCATAATACAATCCACTGATGTGTAGGGGTCCCATACAACAGAACCATACTCTAAAATAGAGTGGACTTGGAGGGAACAGTACAGACTTTTCAAAGGCTTTAAAAGTTTAAATTCACGAGCTATTCGTTGAAATAGCAATTCATTTCTTGAATATGTGGACGAGAACTCAGTGAAGGAGAAAGCCTTAGGCCAAGATCAAGAATCGTATTGGGAACAAATGAAACAGCAAATGAACAAATGAAAATTATTAATCAGTCTTGCCCATTTGACTATAACATTATACATGTATTCTTCCATTCTCTCAATGTGGACACGTTCGCTTATTTTACTGTGTACTAACTCTCCCAAAACAGATTTAAGTCCTCCACCGTCAGTTGTAACTTTATCCATTACTAATGACTCCTAAGTCCTTTTACTTAATTTTATTGCATCTTCTTAACAAACAATACATCTGTTTTCTCGTGTCATCTCATCATATCCTTAATAAACTCACAGCCAACACACACTCTTAACACATGTTTTTAACTTTCTTCAAGTCTTTTAAACAACAATTTATTTTTTTATTTACTCAAAATATGAACTTGGCCTTGTCAAATATTTAACCATATTAATTTTAGGCATACATATGAACATATACGAAGGAGAAATAACTGCAATACTGGGTCATAATGGGGCTGGAAAAACAACGTTGTTTAACATACTAACCGGACTTACAGAGCCGACGTCGGGTACAATCAAAGTCTTTGGTTATGACGTTCGAAAGCCTGAGCACATCACACAAATCAGGAGAACAATTGGAGTGTGTCCGCAATACGATATACTGTTCGAACGACTTACCCCTAAAGAGCACTTGCAATTTTTTGCTGTTCTTAGAGTAATATATAACATTCTAGGGTTAGTGCATTTTAACACGATTTAATTGTTTTGCGTTTATTTAATATTTCTAGGGAGTGTTGTCGGACAAAGTTGAGGGAGAAGTACAACAAATGCTTCAAGAACTGCATTTAACAGACAAGGCTGATAGTATGGCGAAAACATTGAGTGGAGGACAAAAACGTAAACTGTCAGTGGGCATAGCGTTGATCGGCAATCCGAAAATCATTATATTGGATGAACCCACTGCTGGCGTTGATCCTCCGGCACGGCGACACTTATGGTCCATGCTCCAGAAAAGAAAAAAAGGAAAAGTAAATATTAATTGGAAAAAAAATGTGCACTTTCTATTTTCACTACTATGACGATAGGTGATATTGTTGACAACACATTTCATGGACGAGGCTGATATTTTGGCTAACCGCATTGCCGTTATTTCAAAAGGATCTGTTAGATGTTGCGGGTCATCTATTTTTCTTAAAAATAAGTTTGGAATCGGATATCATTTGACGTGAGTAAAATACAACTAAGTATGATATATATGGATACATATACATATAGATACATATGGATTAAAAATATTTTTGAAACCTGGTTTTATTGTATGATTTTCAGACTGATACTCAATAACGAAGCAAAAGAAAATTCAATTATACAATTGATTAAAGAATATATACCGAACGCAGAACGAGCTCGACGTCACGGTCACGAGTTGTCTTTCATTCTGCCACACGATAGCGTTGGCAAGTTTCATCTTCTGTTCAGGCAGATCGAGACGGAAATCAAATGCAATAACGGTTATTTGGGTATAGACAACTATGGCGTATCGATGACTACACTGGAAGAGGTGTTTCTCTTCTTAGAACAGGGCGAACACCCTAATGCGGGAAAACTGGCGTTCGAGTTATTGAAACGCCAGTCTATGACACCTAGCTCGAGGTGAATAGATTTAAATAACGACTACCTCGTTAAAAAAACAATTAACCCATTGTTAATAGTTCTAATTTTTGTATTATTTTTCTGTCTGTATTTTTATCATTAGTCGGAGTTCGATTGGCTCTGTAACCCAAGCCGTCGGTTCAAGATCAAGTACCGTTTACGATTCCACCAAGTGGTCGACCACGGTGACTTTGCTAAAGATGCGTGCAAAGAGAGTGATACGAGATATTCACAAGCTTTATGTCATGGTATTGTTACCGGTCGTGTTTTTGGCCACAGGAATTATATTGAATAAATTAAGCCACGAAAACCAGCCATTAAAAAGTTTAATTTTAGACGAAGGTAATGATTTACAACCATGTAGTAAACTATCGATTTACTCCAGAGTCCAGACGCGAAGACAGACAGTTACTTCTTTTGAAACATATCCAACTTATACAAGTACTAACATAAAACTAAGCCTGACCAAAGATCCTAATTTAACCTTACTGAAATCACCAGAAACCCACATTTTGCATATGGCGCGAGAGCCCGACCAGTATGGAATGGGTTAACCTAAACCCGGTCTCACCTTCATCTTATTATATTGACAAAACCCACAAGTGCCCCCAGGCAGTGTGACCGAAACAACTGCGTTATACGCCAAAGTATTTGTTTCATGTACGTTAGTAGTCATATTATCTAATACAAATCTGACAACCTACGTTAATGCCTTTGTTTTCGCGTTTGGTTTAAACGAACAATACTACGATATTACACGTTTTAATATTTTTAAATCTCTTTTTAGCCGTATATAAAAATGAAAGCCGACTAATTGTATTATCAGAAGAGTTTGATAACTTCACCACGCTCAAAACTGATTTGTACTCGGGCTCGTTCGCTGGTTTACTGGAACTATCTCCCCATCTAGGAGCAATATTACCATACAATAACTGCTGTCCTCTCACCACTCTTTCGATATACTATAACGATTCATTTATACATTCATTGCCAATAATCCTAAACTCAATATCTAGCACACAAATCGGGTAAGTACAATACCTGGAAAAACGTTCAATGTATACGTCGAAATTAAAATTCTTAAAAATAAATTATTGACAAGGTGTTTGATTTGGTACTAATTTTGTGTACTTGTTTTATTTTAGTGGTAAAATCTATGTGAAAACAGAGCCATTTAAAACCGAATACAAACAGAACGAATTCAACTTCAGTAGATGCTCGTCTGCGTTTTTCTTAGGAATAGTTTTTGTATTAGTTCCCGTGAGCTTGTCGTCTGATTTAGTCTATGACCGAGAGGTAAACGTCTTAAATTTAATTATAATACAAGGGTTTGATTCGTGAAAACTAACTATCAGTAAAATAACTAGTCAATGAGTTGCTCTGTTATTACATTTTCATATTATATATTCATCAGATTTACATTTCATTAGAGCTGCACAAGTTACTACATTTAAGTAACTCGCCCCATGCTAGTTACTTGTTCTTAACACGGCACGTGGTATAATGATATTAAATATGGCCTTTGTTTACAGATTAAAGCTAAAAACCAACTTCGAATCAACGGCGTGACGTTTACGGAATATTTCACTTCTTATTTTCTACTTTTGACGTTCATGTTGCTCGTCATCTTCTTTATACTCTTGTCGCTTATTGGGATTTTGCGCGTCGAAGGCTTAGACACTGTCCCGGCTTTGTATACCTTGGCAATACTGTTATTGGCCTATTGTCCTACCGCAGTGCTGGCTACCGCCTGTCTATCGTACTGCTTCGATAAAACCGATTCGGTCCAATGCGTGTTGCCCAACATCACGTCCCTGGTCGGCGGTGTGCCGTTCATAGTTGTGGCTTCTCTGGACATGTTGGGAGTGGCTAAGAACATGGCCTTTGCCCTGCACGTGCTGTTCTCCTCCACCAATTTCGTGTATGTTCCGTTTTCCATTGTGTACTTCGTAAACAGCGTGTACCGCGAAAACGACGAGCACGCGCCGTTCATCAAATATGTCAACAAGGAAACGGTGGCGTTGCTGATGGGCTGCATAGGCCAGTTGCCGGTGTTGTCGGTAGTATTGTTGTTTTTGGACTCGGCCGCCAAAAAGCCAAGGGACACTAGGCCCACGATAGACTTACAAGACGACGGCGATGACGACGTAAAAGCCGAACGCAGAAAAGTCAACGACATTGTGAACGAACAAGCAGACTGGCCGGTGATCGCCATTCAGGTGAATGGGTTTCTTCACATTAAACACAGTGGCCATTTTCCGCCAGAACGCTAGACCTTTGCTCTTTCCGCCAAAAGAAATATTATAAATCAAATTAGCCAACGAATTGCCCAACAAGAAGCAGTATTTCGTCAGCCTTTTTAGCAAATTGCTAAAGTTCACACTAAAAGGAAAAAAAAACGTTAAATTTATTCTATTTATTTCAATAACAACTGTTTATCCCACATTTCAAGGGAAAAAAAACAACAAAATATAATCATTATTATACTATAATTTCATCAATTGTGCTCATATTTCCATTATGTCTAAAATTGATAGTTATCTATTAATTATCATAAGCACTATACAAGTATATTTACACAGCTATAGATCTCTAAGTAAAGAGAAGTTACGCAGTATGGCGTGTCCTTTTATTTTCAATACTTTACTTAATTTAATTTACTTGTTGGCTAATTTCTTTAAATTAAGAATATCGAGTTTGAAGGTTCGGTCCAAATAACGTGCTGCGAACCAATTTGAATCAATTTTAAGAATCATAACCCTTCCCAAAATTTTCTTATCGCAATAATCATTGTTCATAAGCGTGAAAACCAATTAAATCCATGGGTAAACAATTTATTTTTCTTTGATATTGTAAAAATCACGAATTAGTTCTTAGCACGTTATTCGGGCCGAACCATCAATTGTTGCCATTATGCATTTTGTATTGACTACTTAAATCGTTCAGAACTTGAGAAAAGAATACTTGAATGCAAACACGGAATCGAATACAAACTGTCTCGTTCAAAAATGCTCCGATAATAGAGACGAAAGGAGCGTAGCCATTCGACATTTATCAGTGACTGTAGGTACAGGCGAAGTGCTTGGATTATTGGGCCACAATGGAGCCGGTAAGACTTCAACGATGAAAATCATTACTACAGAAGAAAGAGAAACGTCGGGAAAGGTTCGTCTAGCCGTCCTTTCAATATGTCACAATACAATCATTTTTGTTTTTATTGACAATATTTTCTATGTCTTGTCCTTAAAGGTATACTTGAAGGGACATGACATTAGAGAGTCCACCGATGTCGCTTGTAAAATGATCGGTTACTGTCCCCAACACGATGCTTTATGGAGCACACTGACAGTAAGAGAACACTTGGAGATATACGCCGCTATCCGAGGAATATCCAAAGATCAAATTCAAAAGTAATTCTCCATATCTTGCATTGATATCTTAGCTAAAAGTTGTTATCAACTGTTGTCCACAGCATTGTCGATAAATATATAAACGGCCTTCAAATAGCCGAGCATGAGCACAAACAAGTCGGTCATTGTTCGGGAGGAACGAGACGGAAATTGAGTTTTGCGCTAGCTATGATTGGAAACCCGAAGCTGGTGCTTCTCGACGAACCCAGCACCGGGATGGATCCCAGGTCCAAAAGGTATTTGTGGGACGCCATTATTGGCAGTTGTCAAGGTTCCAAAGGCGCCATACTCACTACTCATTCGATGGAAGAAGCTGACGCGTTGTGTTCCAAAGTCGGAATAATGGTAAAAGGCCAACTCAGGTAGGTGATACAAATTGTTGTAGCATAAGAAATAGGCGCCTGTAAACCGAAAACCACAACGATTCTGTGTGCAGTTAATTTACCTAGTTAATTTTTCAGGTGTTTGGGTTCGACGCAGTATCTGAAAAACCTGTACGGCGCCGGTTATACTTTGGAAATTCGATTGAAACCTCATGGCGACGTGGACGATGTAAAACATTTCGTAATGTCATCCTTTCCAAACGCCGTACCAGAAGAAGAGTTTGCCGATCGGTTGGTTTTTGGAGTGCCACAGTCGACAGTAGAATCGTTGGCTCATTGTTTCTTGTGCCTAGAAAACGGTAGCTGTATAACGCGGTTGATCAAAGATTATATATCCCAATATTGGCTGAATATGATCATCGAGATAGTGGCGAATGGTCACTATATCCAACATGCCTAAAATATGGTTGACAGTGAAACGCGTCGACACTGAGCTATCTGTCTGTATACCTTTTTATATAACTGTTTTTGCCCATTCAAGGGGCTCTAGATCAAATCCAGGTCGTTCACAAAAATTTGTTGAGTGTTCGTCTCAGTTATGTTATTTTCAGTTATATTATTCGGGCGCAATACGATTGCGCGCGGTCCTTATCGGCGGTACCTTTTTAGGCGTACGATTGCGCGCGCTATATTATTTGTACTTCTATGCAACGTTGCCAAATACATATATAGGTAAATATCCATACGAATTGTGGCGATCTGTACGCATATAAGCATACCATACATTGTTAGAGGACCTTTAGAAAATCGCGAGTTTTGATTGGCTCTCTGACACATGTGATAACAAATTAGCCACAACAGCTGATATATTCTACGGCAGGTCACCGAGTGTTTTGACACTCGCTCGCTCGGCGCCGTCGGTTCGCTCCGCTAACTAAAAATATCCTAGGTTTGCAGGCTACAGTCTAGGAGGAGGTCACAGGTTAAATCAAATTTAACTTTTTTAACGATATTTTTTAAATTATTTATCTATGTAACCATTAGCGGCAACGTCGCATCCAATTTCACGCGCAATAGTACGCCTTTGAAGGGTCAAAACCGTGTTCTTTGTTATTCCGGCACCGCGCGCAATCGTATACACAAAAAGGTACAACGCGCGCAATCGTACTCCGCCGTATTATTCACAGCCAATTTTGACTTCTTGTTCGACATGCCGTATTATCTGCTTTAGACTTCAATTCTTTCTAAATTTTAACATTTAATATTCTGTTTTAGAATCTCAAATAATTTCTCTCATTTTTTTCATTGACCTGGTTTAATGTCAATTACTAAGGCATACAAGTATGGGCTTTACACTGACTTGAAATTTTGGTTTAGTAATGGGATATTAAAAAGAAATGACAGACATCAGCCAATATTGTGATAGTGGCTTTAGCCTAGGCTTGTCTTAACATTTTAATGACACAATTAAAATATTTTACACAGCAAAAAACACCTACGATATACAAGAATACAGTTTCAGTCAGACGACGTTGGAACAAGTGTACTTGAAGTTTGCACATTACGATGACTCGGAAAGTGGCAAAACAAATGTAGTACAAACTTAGTGGTAGACAATAATTTATTCACACGTGTTAAGTTGAATAACTCTCAATTGTAAATGCGTCATAACATATAATATCAAGGTCCCAAGGGACATGTTATTTCCCATGAATTTCATTAGCACTAATTTAACTCTATACGTTTAGACACCTTTATTATAATATCTAGTTAGACTGAAAAAATTTATAGTAGACATCAACACAAGTTATTATTAACACTGATACACATTAGTTATATTTTTGCACTTAGATTTAAAACGGGTTTTACCTATCTAATAGTACTCAAATTATAAATAAATAATAAATGTTAAATTGTTATTAACAAAACATATTATGTTTTGTCTGTGTGTTAGTTTATTATTTATACAACTGTCTATGTTCATATTCTACACATATGTAGTCTTAGGTGGGGTGATGTTGTAAAAAAAGACAAATTAAAATGCAATTTATAAATATGTTTTGACTCTTTTTCCAAATACATTTAATCATAGGACGATAACGTATATCAAATCTAACATTTTTCAAAAGCTAACATTTTTTTTTATCTATGATACATATTGCATATAATATTTACATCGGCCTTGTTACTGATCTCATTGATATTTGTTTCATCAACTGCTTAAATTACTTATAACTAATAAGTTACACTTCGCCACCTTATTGACTTATAAAGTCGTTATACTTTATAGGGAATATAAATCTTACTGTTTACCCTCTTCTACTTGTTTTCGTTACTTCATCTGATTATTATGACAGATAGATACAAATATGATTGTTTAACCACAGAAATTATGTAACTATAAAAGTGTCATTCGTCTTAAACTAAAATGATGTTTTGTATCTACGCCGTCGAGAAAATATAATAAACACTGCGGGCTGTCAAGGTAGGTAAATAAAAAATGTATATTATTATTGAAATATATTTAAAAAAAAAAAAAAATATATATATATATATATATATATATATACTATTCTGAAATCATAAAGCTCAACAATATGGAAATATTAAAAGGCAAAAGGTCAGCCGATAAACACTATGGTAATGGCTACTGAAGTAGGCTATTCCAAAGTAAAATTCAATAAACAAATTACCAATACTTTTCATTATACGTCATAACCGTATTTATTATTGTAAATAGTTGGAATGGTTGAAAAATAAACAATACGAATTTATCATGTATTTTCCTGCTCCATTGCAGTGTATCATATAAAATATTATTAAAATGGGATAGGTTTATGCAAGATAACGGAGTAAGGCTAGAAGAAGAGTCTCGTTGAAATTACAGTTTTAGAAAAAATGCTATATATATATATATATTTCAGATAACCAGTAGAATCAGATTACAAGATGCAGAATTAGAAAAAACGCAAGATATTTAGTCTCAAACCATAGATACTTGAAAAGAATATCAAATATGAATCAGGAAAAATAAAAAAATTGACAATTTCCATTATCAGTTTTCTTCAATTTTTTTTAAATAAAATGTAAATTATATGGAAGAAACAACTCATAATTATTAGTGGGTTAAGTTAATTGCCATTTATCAGTTTTTATTTTCGAAGAGGTTTATAATGTTATAAACAATAACTCAAAACTTTTATTTTCAATAGCCCTTGTACAATATTTAAAATATAAGCTCACTGTACATTAAAATAACGAGATAAAAAGATTATTTTTTTTTTATACTGACAAATTCAGTTGCATTACACATTTCCGCCAACACGTGTAATCTAAGTTCACGACCCGAGATTTGCCGTTAAAATTCAAATTATTGATTAGATAATAATTTTAATGACTACTCTTCATCAATAGCATATAGTTACCTACTTATTTTAATGTTTTTGCATTTATTAATTTATTTGTGCTTTGATATTGAAACATATATAACGTATCGAAACTAATCCATAATATTTGTCTACGGAACAAGACCGAAAACCTTACAATGAACGCCCAACAAAACTCTCTTGCTTTGAAATATGACATATTTGTCGATAATGTACAACAGCTTTTGAATACATCGGTTGAAAAAGGTACAGTTTATAAATCCAAGAATTATAATTATTTCTATTCAGAATAATACCTGATTAGTTGACTATAAGTTCCCACAAATCATACAATTGTTTTGGATTTATGTATTTTTTAATAAGTATAATACTTCTCAAAGTAATTTAAATAAATTATTATAAAGTGAACACCGAGTAAACATCTTAATAAAAGTTCTTTATATATTGTAAAAAAATTAAATGTTAAATATATTTTACATGCATGGCCTTAGTGTTCTTTATCTCTTAATTATGTAATAATACCTTTATAAAATGATTGTAGAATTTTGTTTTATTTATTTATTAGACTATATTGATAAATTGAATCTCATCGGGAAGTTATTACATCGAAATGTATTAAATGATGATGACAATATTGTTATCAAGGAACGAATAAAATCTCTTCAAGAAGAATGTCGTAAGCTATATTTCAAACTGAAAACGTCCGCACGTTTATTGGACAAAGCTTGTTCAGAGAGGGATAAAGTCGAGAAAGAAAAAGAGTATTTGGCAAGTACAACAATTAAATAGTAAAATATTATTTTACTAATAAATCAAGACTAATTTTATTTACATAATACATTATGTATATATCAAAATAAACAAATTAGACATTTCTTCGACTTATTTTTTAGTTGTGGAAACATTTTTGGTAATTCGTTATTGCACTGTTATGATTTATTTATAGACATTGCAACTAGCAAAACTATACAACTTTTTAAACAAGTCTAGCTGTTTAGAACAAAATGTGCAAAACGGTTCAGTTGTCGGCGCAAATCCAGCTGCTCGAAAAAGACAACACAACAACACCGGTAGGTGGATTAGATACAGGTTTATAAGAAAGAACATTAATTTTACAGCTATATTATTCTTTCTGGGATAAAAAAAAACAAGCAAGGTTGACTTAAAGTTTCAAAATTTAAGGATCTTGTAAGATAAATAATTATGGACATCTTATTTGTATACTGATATTTGATCAAGTTATTTCTCCCTTGACCGTTATCAAGGCTGTAGAAAAATGTTACTCGTTGCCCTGCTGTCTCGGAGGAACGAGCATTACCACAAACACCATCGACTATGTGATGAAATTATTTTTCAGATGATTTGTTATCTGGATTGAGTTACAGTCGCACTGATACCTCAGACGATGGTAGTTCGTACAAAAATGCAGCGGATGCGACTAACACTGGAAGCGATTGTTTCCCTGAAAAGAAAAATCTTACATTCAATATTCCGTTCCGGGATTATATTCACAAAACAGTAAGTGCAATCGTACATTTATTAAACATATTTACATTTATATTTGATGGTTATTATTTACTGAATAAATGTGTCTACTTACGTTTTGGAATCCTTGCCATATCTTAAAGGAGGTGTTTGTAGTTTAAAATATTGTGCCTTGTACCATTGTTGCGCATCTAAACTAAGCCAGTCGTTTTAGAAAATTTGTCCTTTACCTTTGCTGGTTTCCTTTGGTTTCTGGTATTTTTGCTTGAATTCCATTGGTCCTCTCAATTGAAATTCATCGGGAATTTTTCTATTTCAATATGGTTACCCTCACTATTTTTGCGTAACGAGATTAAAATTATTGTGCCCATGAAATACTGTCTGTCACATCTACATTCGACTTTCTTCTAGCCACCCAATATTGTGATATTCTCCAATGTCTTCCAGCCGTCTGATAGCTGCCATCAATATCATCGTGAACAAATTTAAGTTCAGTAAAATATCTCCACTGCCTGAACACCAATACATTGTCTTGTATGATACACTGTCAGTGATTGCACTAACTATTCTAAGATACCTAACTGGCCTAAGAGGTTCACTTTGTTTGTTCATCTTCAAAACATTGGCCACTGCAAATTCTCGGAAGTCTGGTTGCATTTACTCTGAGTTTGCTTCCACAGATTTCTTTCGAACCAGATTTATATTGTTACTGATTTACCACACAACGGGTGTTGAATGGATTCTTCTTTAAAAAAAATTGTGTGACCTAGAGATTGGGATATTTAACGAAAAAAAAAATGTCCGCGTCTTGAGGTCATAGACTTGAGTATTAATTTTAACCGTTGTATTACCTTACTCTGCGCTCACAACCAAAATGTCGTTATACTACAAAACGATGTCAATACCAACCTAAAAATATGATAGTTTCTTTGAGATATTTATAATATTATAGTTTGTAACAAACGAACAAGTTTTAATCTACATTACGTCTTGTTGTTTCTCAGAATTCTGTTGAAGGTTATACTGTTGTAGCCACGACAACAGTGACAACGACCAATAAAGATTCCATAATCGCCATGTCAGAAATTACCCCCAAACAACCGACTAACATCATTGCTCAACCGCAATCTGAATCGAGTACGTACCCGGTAAACTATATAACTTATTTGTGAATTATAAAATATATTATGTTGAATACTCTCGACGTAAAATAGTAGTCTTTCTCTGACCACACAATAATTCAGGGTAAAAAAATATATAATACTTAAAGAAAAACAAAATTGAAAATCGTCCAAGGGAACTAAACTGCATTTATAACAATAATCATTTAGGTACAAGATGTAATCCCTGTTTATAGTTTTATTTTGCCAAAATTAATAAAAGGATAAAAAAATCACACGTGTTCCAAAACTTATTTTATCATTATTGTATATTTGAATAGTTATTTTTAACCTACATTTGAATTTATAGGTTCAGTCGAATCCTCGTCTTCAGGTAATTTGAAATGGGAAACAGATGATTTTAATTCGGAAGATGCAAATAAAAAAACCGAAGTAAACCACAATTTTATCATAAAGAAAGTTGTAATAGCTGAAGCATGCGGACAGTGTCATAAGAGGTACCTATTTAATTTAGCAATTAACTCGTTTTTATGAACTATCTAAATACATACAAACGATTTAGAAAAAAAATGGCACATTCGATTGGCACTTCTATAAATTATTTTTTCATGATCCAGTCCTTAGAATTGGATTTGAATTTTAGTAAACTTAGTAACATTATAATAGTTCTAATATGTTATAGGATTAAATTTGATAGCTCTATGATAAAGTGTAAAAACTGCAAAACGGTTGCTCATCCGAAATGTAAGAGTATGATTTCTGCAGCTTGCGTACTTGATCGGAAAAAGACCAATGCTTTAAAAGTAAGTAATCTAATCATTTACCACTTCGTAATATACATTATTTAGTCGATATTAATATTATTTTCTCACAATTTTTCATTACAGAGTGGTGTCCCTCCATTGATCGTGCACTGTATAGGTGAAATCGATTCGAGAGGGTTGGAAATGTTGGATTTGTATCGAATTTCCGGTTTTCGGAAACAAGTGAAATGTCTTAAAGATCAATTCCGTGACGGTCTGCCCGAGTTGGCCAATGTAGACGTCCACGTTTTGTGCTGTTGCCTAAAGGAGTACATTCAAACTCAAAAGAACCAATTGATACCTCCAGACGATCTGGTCAAGTTAGGCGAGGCCATTCGAGATTCGCAAACATCCAACCGATGCGTCAAACAGATTATCTTTGAACTACCATCGGTTAATCGAACCACTCTTGCGTACCTCATACTACATTTACAAAAGTACGTTAAATATAGAAATACATAACTTATTCATCGTTTGGATTGCCCGTATGACACATATACTGAAGTATGTACACGTCACATGGGCAAGGGTGAACGATATTTGAAGTACGAGTATTTAAAATACACATATTTAGTGATCTGAGGGAGGCTTTGCTTCCTGACCTTCACTATACTATTAATGAAAAAAAAAAATTTGCCTTCAGTCCACTCTAAACATTATGATTTTTTGTGGTAATTAATTTAGAATTATCTTATACGGGAGTAAGGGGTTGCAATCAATAAAGTTCTACAAGACCACATTTACAAGTATATTGTACCTACTATTTACTTATCGGTAAACTTGAATTAAAAAACCTAAATTATAATACTCTAAAACCAAAATTAAGCGAGTTATTTTCAGTCTGCTTAAACATGTAGAGATGAAAAAACATTTTTAAATTGCTTTCAAGGATGCTGTGATAATCCAAAAAATAAATTAACTACCAAAGTAGAGTCCTAGTTATTGAACTAATAATTACACATCACAGCTAAACCTTAAAATTAAGATTTTGTACAAAATTGCCTATACTTTACTCCTTAAACATGGGCGGTGCGACGCCCTCTTAATATTATAATATAATTAAGATTTGAAAATACAATTATTTGGATGGATACAATCTCCATATTTATTATAATAATACATTAATAGTGTTAAATACGCTTATATCTCGGATGATGATTAGACTTAATGGATTTTTCAGAGTTGCAACGTTTTTTTAGATGTATAAGTGACTAAAATGTTCACCTATAAAATTATACACTTATAACTTTTATAACTTTTTGAGAGAATACCCTCTTTTTTTTTAATGCATATTTTTGTTGCCAAATTTTAAGTAAAATTATTTTACTCTAAATTCTCTTAAGTCTGGGTTATACAAGTAATATTAAATATTAATTGTTGAATTTGTTTGAGTTAGAGTGGCTGCATCAACCAAATGTAACATAGACATTAGTAGTTTAGCTACCGTGTTCGGCTCAACAATTATTGGGTCTTCAATCGAAACGATGGATGATTTTTACATCAAATCTGAATTAAGTATTCAAGTAAGATATAATATACTACTATTGTACTATTTATATTCTAAGCGCCTACTCGTATACCTCCAACCACATGTCATACATTAGTCCTAATTAGTCCTACTCAAAATAAATAATGTTATGATTACGGCTAGGTTATCGAAGAACTTCTTATGTTACCTAAAAGTTTTTGGACTGGTTTTATCAATGTAAATGATGACCCGACAACAGTTGAACCTAGCACGCCAGCTCCGATTTTACCACAAGCATCATCTCGTCGGTTTTTTAATTTAAGGTAAAACTTTTAAGTAGTTTAAAATTTGAATTTATAAATATTACAATTGTATAACATCTATTTATAAAACTGTATTACATTATATGATTATTTTGTATTACACAAATATTGTTATATATTTCATATAATTATATTAATCTATTCAAACTAATAACTATAGATATAAGTTACATAATAAATAATAAGTTATACAATGTATTAAAATAAATTGAAAAATAAAGTAAATCTATTAAAAAAATAACAAATATATTTACACAATTTCCGTTACTTTAACATATATATATTTTTTTTTTACAAATATTATTATAACTATTTATATTTTTATTTAATTTTACGAAATGTGAAATTTAATCTTACCTTGGTAGCCGCTTTTTCCTTAGGTATTGAATGATACCAGTACTCGTTAGTAGGCCAATTCATAAACAACAAACTTCCGTGATGTAAATCTAATTTTATATTTTCTACTTTTCGCAATTTCTTTTTAACATCTCCGTGTTTCAATACAAACTTTCTAGTTTGTCCTAAAGACACCGATGCAATAGGGATCATTTTGTCCAGTTCTGGTTCGTCATCCCTATGCTCGCCCATATGATCATCACCATTCCTATACCTTAAAATTAGTTTAAACTAAGTTAAACTCATAGCTAATATAGCTACGAGTGCCTTGGTTTAAAACAAAAATAAATTTTACCTATTTACTAGAACAAAATTATAATTAATTCCTCGTTCGGAAGAGATTTTTTTTTTCAACTCGAGCACTGGTTGAGGCCACGGCTGTGCTGCAATGACTGTGCCTGAAAATTTGTACGTAACACCTACGTCGCCAAACGCTACTTGTTGTCTTGGTATCGGATGATACACACCAAACACTTTCACTTGAGTCAATCTACCGTCTAAGTATTGCACGTTGTTCTCCATGTAGTCCATTAGCGCAGTGGCTTCAGATAAATTCAAAAATTTCTCACAATAATCCAAATCCAAATTCTCGGCAACCACCTTCTTCCAACGTGTCGATTGTTTGTTTTTCATCAGTTTTTCGTACAGTGTCATATTGCTTACTGTGTAATATAAGAAACAATATTATTTTTAAATACCTACAATCTTAGGTTAGTATTTTATATTAAAAATAAAAGCAGGTACCTATCTATTGTTATTGATGTCTTATAAGTTATGTTTATAATATAATTATTGTTAATTATTCTCTTATCATAAAAAATATAATATAACAGTAACTAAAAGTGAAAAGTTCAATTAATGTTATTATAGATTTAACTTGGAAATGGTAATATTTTTAAATTCTATTATCAGGTGTATATCATTTTTCTCGTAGAGTGAATATTTAGAAAACCCGCCAATTTTCTTTTTCGTTGTGATAACGAATCTCATTGATATCAGTGATTTTGTTATCAATTGTTTGATAACCAAAAGAACTATGATATTATTTTTAAGAAAAACAATTAGAACTATTTAAATGTTTTAATTATTTCTACCTGATTTAAATTTTTATGATTTAATAAATTTTGTTTTATTAAAATCTAAACAAAGAACTGTCGCACACCTAATAATCTACTACTAGTAAAGTAAAAAATGAATGTACATTCATTGTTATTTGTAGTTTTTTAAACATACCTATTTTTGTATGCAGTCGTAATGTCACATACAAGTAAAATAAAAGCGCTTCTATCCGATTTGGGTAGATCGACTAAGAGAGGTGTCAAGAAGTGTCCGTCATGCGGTACATATAATGGCACCCGAACTGTAGTGTGTAAAACATGTTACATAATTCTAAGACCTAATAACAAAAAGGTACCTCCGTCGGAAGTATGCCAGTTACTAACGTCGTATTCTTCTTCTCAAGTAAACGTTTTTAATATTACAATGTCTAGTGGTATTTTCAAACTATTATTATTATTATTTAAATTACAGATTTTCTCTTATATTTCATCCGATGATACGGATATGAACGAAAGAGGATTTGTTTATTTTCCTGAATTAAAAAATAAAGACACAAAAAACAAACTCAATGATGGAATATGTATGGTACGCTACTGTGCCAAATCCTCTGTTCTGAAATGTCACGTATGTTAATAATTTCAAAACTAAAATTATATTTTACAAAAATAACATTTTGATTAGTTGTTATATTCGTACTTTACAAGAAAATAAAAACCATACAGAAGAATTTTAATGTTAAAATATGAAAAATTATATTATTTTTGTATTTTGTTTTTACAGCGAGTATTTTCAATAATAACTGTAACAAAGTTTTTTTTAACTCAAAACAATTGATTATTAGTTGAAATTTTAATGAAGTATATTTTGTGAGGGTTTTTTCATAACTATTATTTTTATTGTCATTTTTAAAAATAAAAAGTTTTAAGATTATAAACAAATATTTGCGAAATTAAATTTATTTTCACTTGCTTGTGTTTGTATTTTTTTAGGAGACTGATATAAACCCTAGTAATATCCAAAATGAATCGTGCAAACATGTGCAAGCTTGTTTTGACTGCGCCACAACAGGAGTAGCTTTAAAAATTGATCAACCAGTTTTAGAATCTTTTAGGGTTCCTCAAAATGTGAAACAGGTAAATTAATAATAAAAAAGTTATAAAATTACAAAAATATTTACCAGAAAAGTTGTTTTTTCAAATAAGTATTGTGTTATGTTTTTTGTTTGTTCCAGGAAGTATGGTCAAATTTTTTGGACAAAAAAAAACCATATTTGCAAAGGGTGTCAGAAAATATATTCGTTGTGCGTTGTAAAATAACTCCTCAAAACACTCTTGGCTATCTGCACTGCATTATCGGCAAATATAATCAATGTTTCAGTTGTACGACTACATTAGTTACTGTAGATCAAATGGTACGTCTGTAGTACTTTGTTACATTGTCAAAGAAAAAAAAACATGATGTTATGCAATTTTAAATAGCGTTAGTTTGGTTTCAGGATCAAATACCAGACTTAAACACATATTTTTGTTGCCATTATATAGCATGTCTCAGCGCTATAGCCAGCTCACGGTATATGGTTCAAGAATTTGAAAAAAATCTCAGCCCTTTTGTGTCAGTGTCCACGTTGTCAACGACTATCGTACAACTCGATAGTTTGCCTAGTAATTATATTTGTGGCCATGGTTTTTATTTCTTGTTACGGCTTGCAAGTGAAATAATTACTTAATTATTTTACAGTCGTAGAGGATGCCATGGTCGAAGGAAGCAATGGACCCGTTACATTTTTCGAAGATCAGATGATCATAACGAGTGAGACATGTGTTCTAGAAAATATTACACCCGGATACCATCAAATTTCACTACCAAACATTATTGCCAAGGTAAATGAAAAACAGCACTGTTCTGCACTGCATCGAAGCTCAAAATACCATATATCATTTCATTAGAGAATTGTGCTGAAATCAAATAATTTTTAGTGTTAATAAAAAAACACATCAGCTGGACGTTTCTCAGAGATATTGTTATTGATGAAATAACCATAATAAATAATGTTTTTAATGAATAATAAATTAAGTATACATATGTGTAGTTAATGATAATAATATAAAATAAAAGACTGCATTGAAAATAATTTTTATACTTTAAAATTACTAATGTAAATTTATATTCAAACAAAACTATTTTTGTTTTAGAAACGGAGCAAAAGAGAACAGAATCATTCAAAAGTACAAAAATTAAAAAGTATACTATACTTACAATAATATTCTAGTTCTTAGTTTTAATGAACAATAAAAAGGAACTCAAATTTTTAATAGTGTTGTTTTTAAATTGACAGAAACTGAAGAACAGGAAGTAGTCAATCCAAATCCAACGTTAAGTTTCGAAAGGTGGTTGTCGTCTATAACAGAAAGAATAAACCAAGAGATGCATTATCAGTTTGACGGTAACCCACCGACCATGGTTTTTCATGTACACAAAGTAAAGAACGATTGAAACTTAATTAGTTTAATTAGTCCAAGTTTATTTATTGTGTATATATGTTGTTGGTTAGACGTTTTTCGAGTGCTTTCGAGAGAGGATGTGTGCCGCGTCTGCAAAGAAACGGTTACCAAATTCTACCGTAGTATTTGTCAAACATGATTCCCTGCCTTTGGGAACGTTCACAAAATATACTTGGCACATAACTAACATCATGTTGGTGAAAAAAATCTTCGAGACATCTGCAGTGCCGTTGAAAATCAGTCGCAGCTTTATTAAAACCTCAGAAAATACGTATGAAGAATTCGAACACGATAAAATAGATAAAATACCTCTTCGCAAACCAAACCAGCCAATTCAACCGAACGATGTAAAAACTTTTCTCAAAGTTGGTCGGTATATATTTCGGTTGAAATATCATGATATTTTATTTTACTCCTGGACTAAATTTTTTTTTTAGGTATTGTCAATCTACAACAGAAAGAACCAATACCATTTGTAATTGAATGGATACCCGATGTTTTGCCTATAACTCAAATCGGAGAATTAAGACTTACGTTCAAATATGGACATATGCCTCCAAAAGAAAAATAATTGTAATGCTAGTATGGAAAACAGTGACAATAGATTGATGAACGAAAAGATTCAGAATAATAAAATAGTGCATGACCAAAACATTTATTGTCTTAGAAAAAATTATTAAATCATATTATATTCAATTTTTATAAAATATTCCTAATAAATATTCATTATTTAGTTATTATGCTCTTAATAAAAATATATTTTTATGTAACTGTAAATATTGTTTTTCAAAGACATTTTATCAAACGACAAACATACAGTTTTACAAAATATGTTTAAGTTTGAATGTAAAGCGCATCTTTTGGAAATGAGCAGACCTAAATAGAAACTATTAACTTAAGTTTGGCAAAATTAAAAAAATAAAATCCTTCTCACCTTTGTATTAAACCGAGCTTTTTCTAAGCTTACTAAAAAAAAAAAAATTATTGGTGAATAACTTTGACAATAATAAGATTGAAACTCATATAAAGATATTCATTTTACAATATTTTATTTAAAAAAAAAATTATAATAATTTATAAAAAAACTAAAAACGTGTTTAAAAAATTATAGAACAAAAAGAAAAGCCAAGATAAAATGACGGTAAATTTAAATTATTTATTTCTTATTTTACGTTCTGATTCCAATGCTTTACAACTTTCCCATATTTCTTTATTCAACTCATTTTTGCCGGAGCATAAGGCAATTAACCTGCGAGTAAAGAAATTAACACATTGAAATTTTGTTTTAAAAAGAAACAATTGAATAACTTACTTTGAAATAACCATAAAACGATGTAAATCATCGGGCGAAACATTTTTAGGATCTGCTTTCCGCATTGCCACATAATCGTTTTCTATGATCTGAAATTATTTAAAAATAAAAACACGTAGTACAAAACATTAGATATTATTTTAAAAAAAAAACAAGCTAAAATTAATGTTACTTTTAAAATATCTTCGTTAAAATTGAAATCCATCGAAGATATTATCGTAATATATTTTCTTATTTTTTCCAAAAGCGAACTTTGAGAATTTAAATACGTCTGGGCCGAACCTATGGTCTCTTCAATGTTTCCGATGCAAGAAGGATCCGGTTTGAATACAATGTCGATATCAAACTGTAATTAATTTTTTTATTAAATTATTATCATAAAAATAAAACTATACTTAGAAATTGTTAAAATAAATCATAATACATAGTTGGCAATTTTTTTTTTAATGAATTCTACATTAATGGCTTTTTTAATATTGTATTATTTATTGTCAATATTTAATTAAATTTTGAAAAACTATACAATACAATTTTCCTTGGGCAACACAATTGTGTAATTTGACAGATTCTCATTGTGTTGTACCGTGTATGTAATAATATCTTATTTTAACTTACCGGGAATAGAGATTTTCCATTAGATAATGTCAACACGGAAATTTCAGTTTCATAATCAATAGTATAGTACATAAAATCATACTTCACTTGTTGATTAGATATAATGTCATTGATTGCTTGAAGATTTAACATTCCTAAAATACAAAATATAACAAATAAAAAACAACTATTAAAAAATCTCTTTTTATATTTTTAAAAAAAAATTTTTTTTTAATAAAACATTAGTAAGATATTAGTATGGCATAAGCTACGGTTAGGCATTCAGAGAAGACGCAGTAGAACAGGTGCTGTATAGAAGACATAATTATACTTAGTTGAGGAGCCAGGTAAGCGAATTTAGATGTAATTAAGTGGAGGAATAGATCTTTTAACACATAACTCAAATTTAAATAGCATATTAGCATTGAAGTTAGGCATTTATTATTCGATTACTCATGACTAAAAAATTATTCTTAGTAAAAAAGTTTATTTATAAATAAAACTAAAAATATTTTTTTTTTGCTTATAAATTCTTGTTTTAAGAAGATATGCAAATAATTTTATTCGCCATTAAAAAAACATTGTTTTTGTAAGACAATTAAAATTTTATTAATCATTGAATAACCTTTATTTTCTAATTTTCCTGGGTTCAAATTTGTTTCATCCAGAACCAAATGTGTTTTACTCGACAGTTGTAAAAATCCATTTAATAACCTGTTTGTAGTGTAACATTTTCTATGACAAAACAATAATAAAAAATTAAACATGATAAAACTCAACATGAATTGTACAAAACTCACCGAGGTATCAGGTCTGTATTGTTCATATTATCAATGGTTATTGGAAAGTATTTACTTTTTTCTACCAAACACGATATTAAAGAATACAATTTACTAGTGTAGTCAACTACGATATCTTGTGGAATACCGCGTATATTTAATGCAAATTTACCAGGAACCTGATTGTTTTGTCGGTTGTAGCTGAAAAATTAAGATACAATGTTTTAATCAACAAATTAATTCATGCAACTATTCATAATTAATTAAAATAAAATGTTTACATAGTTGAAACGAGATTAAATAGTAAATAATTGGCAGCTAAAGAATCTCCGAGTAAAGCTTGAGTCAATACAAGTTTTAATTCTTCTTGGATCTTAGACGCTTCTTCCCAAATACATTTTTCAGCTAAAAACAAATGCAATAGATTATTGTTGCATACAATTACCTATTTATATGTATTTCTTTGGCACTCCCAACAGAAAAACAGCATGTATCGACTACAGCTTTACTTTATAAAACAAGTATTGTTTTTTATAAGGTTTGTTGATTTCATGTGCAGATGTACTATGAATACCGAAAATGTAACCTTACTTAATTGGCTTCCACATAAAACTGGGTCGGGTTGAAATTTTATATGGATAGCATGGACACAATATGATGCTTTTACATCTAACGGTTGCTCTTGAGATTCATCGTCAGTGTTGACATATTGATGGTCATAAAATCCAATGACATCCACAACTCTGTTGAGTTTTAATTCGTTGGAGTCTACATCTTCTGGGTAGATCTTTATAAGAAAACAAAAAGTAAAATCATCCTAACCAACCACTGAAACTATTATTGAACACATACCAAAACAAAAACTTCATTAGACCGTTTTTGACACGTTGGATCTAAACGAATCCGTTTGGCAAAATTTTCTTCTCTGAAAATAATAATAAATTGTTGCGTAAATACAAAATTTAATTAAATTATATTTCCACACATAGTTTGTAATGGAAAGCACAGCACGCTAATAGGTTAGGTAAAGAACTGCATTATCTCATTATAATTTTTAAAGTAAACTCATTATCACTAGTCCCTTTAGCTTTTAGTGATGAAAAATGTTTTTATTGGAAAAGCGATGACATCCTTGTGGAGAAAGTTTATAATTTTGTTAAAAAAAATAAATCGTCCTTAAATCCATAGTTTTTTTTTTTAATTTAATACAACAGTTATGCCAAAACTCAAACAAAAAAACGAGTTCATAACATTTATTTATTATGGCACATAAAAATGTAATTATTTAAAATCAGAGATTAGCATTAACTCAAGCAGAATGTTTCTAAACAAATAAAATTATCAAAATCCAGTCACTATACAAAGCATTATTACTTTTGCTATAACACAAGGTTTTGAGCAAAAAAATAAGGCGCATGCTGACCACTTTCGGCAGATCATAGACCATAGTAAAATAACTAAAGAATGCATACAGTTCGGTTTCGTTGAGCCCATTGGAACTTTCTACATTTTTTACCCAATCGTTAAGTCCAGGAATAGGTATACAAGCAACAGGTAGTCTCTCCATTAGATCATCTCCAAAGTGGATTTCTTCATCTTCCTTCTAAACACACACCACACAATCAATGTTGTTATTAATATAATTTTAAGACAGCAAGAAAAAATTAACATCTGACATGGACGATTTGTGTTAAGTCTTATATTTAAAACATATGTACTTGAATTATTCAAGTAATATATTTTTAAAAAGCATAATGTTTTTAAAGACTAGTAATGTGTTCAAAACTATTATTGATTTATACTTACTGATCTCACTGCGGAACTGAATTTTCCTTGATAAACTTTAGTTTCATTTGTCAAAGAGTTAACAACAGAAAATGTTTTGCTATAATAATCGGGATTTAACATATCTTGTATCATCCCTTTAAAGCGCACTAATGTTCCAACTGCTGCTTGTCTATCCAACAAAAAAGGAACCTGAAAAATACATAGAAAATAGTTAATTTACTAGCCAACATTTAAATAAATACAACTAGGTAACAAAATGAAACAGAAATTTAGTATCAAATTTGGCTCTTATAAAATGTCTTTGATCTAGAATTTCTAGTCGACACCACACTGTACATAAAGAAATCAGTCAGAAATTAAATATAAATGGGGATCTAGATATAAATATAATCATTTAAAAAAAATCGCTAACACTTTGCTGGTTTTGCATTGATCTTATAACTTATCTTTTTTCATAAAAATTAATAAAAAATGTATTTTTGATTTGATTAAAAAAACTATATTACTCTATAAATATTATAATTTTTAAATAAGAGAATTTAATATAAGATATATTGTAACCTAGTTATCTGACTGGAATATATTGGTTACCGAATACCTAATAGGCATATGGTTATTCGATAATAATTTGTACTGTTATCAAACACACTGTAGTAAACAAAAAACACTTTCATAAAAAAAAAAAAAATAATAGTTCATAATTTATACTTAACGAACCTTTTCCCAATTTCCTGGCGTCAGTAAGACCCTTTTACATTCGTCTATGTTATCGATACAATACGCAGGAGTCCAAGTATCCATTTCGATCAAATATAACACGGATATTATTTAAAAAAAACTACACTAGTTTAGTTAGGTATAGTAATATTGTTAGCAATTAGTAAATCTCAATATTTAACAATTTAAAAATTTGCATGAAATAGCAGACATGAGACAAGGTATCTATCCGGTTGTTTTATGTTTAAGACATTAGACACTAGACAGTAAACACTAGTGACGATCCCTTGACCCTTATCAACTGTTATCAACAATGTTTCCCGCGTTTTTCTTTGTTTGAGAGCGCTCTGGTGGACGAGACTCGTGTATGTAATATGAAGATTTTTTCTAAAAACCACTACAGTTTTAAAACGAATGGTTTCATCCATTTTTTGTAAATCTAACATCTTGATAAGAATAAAAAAATATACTATAATCTTATTTTAAAATAACAAATATGTAAATTTTACATTTTTCAATGCTTTCTTACGGGAGAATCTCCCGACATTTGTTTTGTTAGTTGCCCGCTAGACAAGCGCTAGTTGTGCACCTGCAGTATATTATGTCTATAAGAACTCATCGATGGTCTAGTCTAACGCACAGATGTGTTAAGTGTCATTTAGCAAATTGTTCAGTAAAGCATTTAAAAGTTTACATATTTTACATAAACCACAGTACATATCTCAAACAACAATGCTATTTATATAGTAGATAAAATATTAAACAATTCACATACAACATTTGTGCATAATATGGAAAAAAACATGGACAACGATTTAAGATTTTATAGAGTACTTAATTAATATTCGCCAAAAATGTCACTTAACACATCTGTGCGCTATACCATCTCCATGTAATTCTTAAAAAGTGTCTCCTTTGTTTATTCTATGCAACTACCGTCTACCTGCGGCATTATTAAATGTTACCTAATATTTATTATTAATTTAAATTTGAATCATGGGAGGAGGGAGTGATAGTATGTATTGATGGAGTTGGTCTTGACTAAAATATAAACAATCTACCTATTTGTATTTATTTATATTCAAATTCTAACCGTTACTTTCGTTTTTCTTTCGACTCTCCTGGTACACTATATTTTTATTATGCGACGTTGGATTGTTTGTTGATTTGTTTATGATGGACCGGTTGTTTTTATTTTTTATAATATTACAAATCGGAATAATAGTTTATTACATCATTGTTAAGTTAATTTTGAACATTGTTTTACTACCCTATAGTAACGAAATGAATACTTTAACCCTTAACCATAAAAATAATACACTCTATGCGTATACGTACCATTTCTGCAACAATGTTGTCATCTTCGGCGCTAACGACAAGAGTACCTGCTTTGGTGTCCTGCTATTTCCTAATTTCGTGGCCCTCTCACCACCACCCTTTTTTGAAAACGACATTTGAATCAAAAATAAGTTTTTAATATATTTGCGCAATTGTCAAATTCTCTATCGATTTAGCATACTTCCTGAAAACTTGCAAAAATGTCGTTTACGACCTTTTGACTTTTTAGCATCGATTATCATATTATGCACGATATGATTTACATAAAATTAAGCTGATAATATTATATAGCGAGTAACGAAATATAATAGAGATAATTAGGTATTGCTATTTATTAAAATAATTAACGTACTTCTAGATAATCGTTGTACACCAAAGGTTCATCTACTGAGAAATTCGGAATAATAAATCAGACTTGAAAATAATATGTAATAATTAAAATATGATTATACGTAATTTATGATGCACACTAATTTACAGTAACGTTAGATAGGCAAAAAATCGGTACAAATTTACAATAAACCGAACCTAGTCCAGTGTTAAAATAGCAGCTGATCTGTGGTGTGCGCGTGTTGTGCTTTTGTTACTATTACTACTTAAAAACTTTTTTTTTCAGGCAATTTTTTTTTTAATTTGTCGTGAATGGGAAAACCCAAGCAAAATGATTCAAGGGCCGTGGCTGATGATATTTCTGGTCTTCATTAGCACGGTAATAAAGTATTTTTATTTAATTAGCAGTAAGTGTTACTTGTTAGTTGTTTCACGTCTACACACAAATAACAACATATTAGGTATTATTTTATTTATTTTTTATATTATTTTATATTTAATACTATATTTTCAAGATGTAACTCCACCAGTTCACAGTTGGTACACGTATATTACACGATCATTGAAGTCATTTAGAATCATTCAATTACACTAAAATCACTTTCATAAAAACTTTACTACATTCATTTAATTATCTTGTATTTATTTTATACAATTTTAAAAAATTATTTGGTAGTAGTAGCTAAACGCTAAAATTACTATTTTAATTCAAATTTGATTTTATATCCGCATTGATAATAAATAAATATAACCAATGATAATAGGCTGAATAGTTAATTAGTTCTAAAGCATACTTAACGTTTTTTAGAATTCAAAGAACAGGTCTAAAGTGTAATAAATAAAATAAGCCTAACTATTCAAACAAGTTATTTAAAATTAAAAAAAATAAAAGTAGTTATCCAAAACTCGTTATCGATCAGTCAAAAAGTTTAAATGTTTTTATTTACGGTAACAATATTTAAAAAAAAAATTGAAATTATTTTAGGAGATATTGAGTGTCTTATCCTTAATGAAAACCCTATATACAATATTAAAAATGTACCCACAATTAATAAAAGAAAAACCAATCATTTTTAGTTTCAATGGACGTGCATAAAAGCGCAACATCCACACGAATACAATTTAAACTGGCAAGAATATTCATTCCTTCTTAAAGTAAATTATACAGGAACAGAAAGAACAAATTCACATTTTCAAGATACCACAACTCCTATCACAGTGGATTCAAATAAGTATAAGTAAACATTTTTAATTAAAATAATAGTTAACCAATAATAATTGAGAAGGTATTGGTTTTAAAATTTGTTTTTTCGTGTATGAAAATTTATTTTATTTTAATTACAATTTTAAATAGAAATATAAAATTAGATTTTGTTAACTTAAAAATTTGTATATAATCATAATCCCTCCCACCCCTCCAAATATCTCGAGTGCCCCACTGCTAGCACTCACATACATAATTGAGATCTTATAAGTTTAATAATAATATATGTATATTGTATACATTTTGACGATTTATAACATAATACCCTCCTGAGAAGGCTCTCCTAGCAAAAGTTTCAAACGAACAATACTATGATTCAAATGACAATATCCATATGTATTTTCTAGTCACTACGGAGTGTTATCTAATTCTCTAACAACTTCAACTAGCCCTAAATTCTAAAAAAATACTAATTTTCAGAATGCTTTTTGGAACCGGGGCCCCCTAAAATTGAAATTGAAATTGTCCCTCTAAAAGTTACCAGGTATATCAGGTATAACACTTATACATAGCAAAATCCTTGCTAGGCCAATATTATGATTTGCATACGCTAAAAATTAAAGTACAGCTTTATTGTCTTTATTATTCTTACTCTTATTTTTTTAATATATTCTAGGTATGAAAACAGAGCAATAATAACGACTACTAATGTTAGAACTTCAACAACAAACTTAACAAAATCGCAACAATCAAATCATAGTACCATTCTTGCCAGTAAAACACCTCAAATCAAGTCCTCACCTATAGTTGTACTTCCTAACTCTACTAAAAAGGCTGTTCACACAATTCCTGTGAAAAAACCAGACCAACCAATTATTGTCAAATGTTCTAAGAATGATGGTTATTGTGAACACGCTGACAATTACCCAAGGTAATTTTATGAACGATTAACTAAATATTGTTATTGAGTTTGTTTTAATTTTGCGTTAGACGTGATTTACAACAAATTCTTCGCACCAGCAAATTTATACCAAGTGGACTATTTGGAGAAGATCCCGTAAGTAGAAAATTACACATTAATAAAATTTTATAATATTCATTTATTATTTTTACTATTAAAGACAGAATTTATAAAGGTACCACAAAGTACTATATCCCGGCCCCAGCCAATGTGTGCTTCATTAGTAAGTATAAATGTTTGTACAGAATAAAGTAACTATTAGTGAATAGTGTGGTGGTATGGGCATATATTATTATTATAAATAAAAATAATTATCCGCCAACGAAAACACTTCAAAGGGGTTTTTCCTCCTATCGATGATCAAATATACTACATTTAGATAGGCAACGCTAATATAACAACCAGCAGTTTTTAAACTTTTATGATATCCCAAAATAGGAGCTTTAATACCATTTACGAGTGTTACATCTTCCTACGGTTTTAGTAGAAATTCCACATCGATGAACTGTAAATTGATATTGGCTATCATTTTATGTTTCAAAGTTGACGAAATTAGTTAAATTTGATTTCTCGTGTACATTATTTCAATTATAATTGAACAACTTTTTTTTGTTAAATTTGATTTATTTATTCTTATATTTATTTTATTAATACTATAAGTATTTTCTTATACGCTTGGATTTACAATATGACAATACAGACTAAGTGTACCTATTAATAATTTAATTATCATAATATCAATGTTTATAGAACATTCGCCGTTTTCTCTATAAAACTATTTAATTGTTAACATTTACATTAACGACATCAGTCTATAATTTGATTCTACCATGAAGTATCAAAAATACGCCCGATACGTATTGATGCCGATAGGAGGTAGCATTAAGCATAGGAAAAGCTTTGTATAAAAACTTACTGCAGGATATAAAAATTCGGAAAAAACAATTAAGTATTATTATATTAAAGTATGTTATTTGGTATTCACGTGTTTGTGTTAACTACATTTCTATGTTTAAAATATATATTTAGGAACAAATAATCTATCCAGAAGCAGCCGTTGATAAAAACCTTGAATGGCGTTATATTTTTCAAGGACCAAATAATGACACTAATAAATATAGACAAGGCATTAGAGTGGAAACGTGTATGTAAGTAACAAACCTATACAATTTTTACTTCCTCTTTAATAAATGAAGTATCCTTGTTATATGAACATAATATAACATGGATACTTACAACAGTTTATGTCTCAAGTTTTAGTTTTGCGGATCTATCTAATGTTATCATTATTAGCTGACGCTTCGAACCCATTTCAGGGTCCATCATCAGAGAAATAGCCCTTACCGCCTACTAAACGATACAGCATTCGCGACTATTACTCTGAAGATGGACAACATGCATAGATTTGAAATTAATGGAACTAGTAGTTTCAATCTACAAAAGTTTTAACATATTATATCTGAACTGAGTGAGTTTCGGATATATCCACGTCGAATGTTGTGTGCCAACGTTTCGGACTCTTTGCAGAGTCCATCTTCAGGGCAATAGTGGTCTCCACTGTTCAAATGCCGTGACCATACTGACTGAATTAACGTATTCATATTATATCTGATCAAGTTTTCAGTTAAATGTTTACTATATATAAGGTGGTTTACACGAGCAGCGCTTCTTATAAAAATGGAACGGCATAGCTGTGATACCGCCTTAATACTTCTTCAGACTTGGAAGAAGAAGTATTATCGTGCTAATTTGTCATTATAACATCTTCCATGACTGGGAGAAGTGTACGCCGTTCGATTAAGTAGTTTTGTACCAAATGCTCAAAATAATGTTTAATTATTACCAAACACTAGGCTACGACTTTTGCTACCACCCCATCAGTAAATTTCAACAATATAATTTGTTTTTTTATTAGTTGAAATAGATATAATATGTTTCTTTTTAAATTAAATTATTTAACATTGATATTTTATAATTAAATTTAATAATTGTCATATTTTTAATGTAGAAACTCTGGAGAACCATGCAAGTTTTGTGAGCATTTACCGAGCGGTTATACAACAATCTGTGTGCAAAAATACATATACAGAAAACTAGCGGCAATAAAAGATTCAAAAGAAATGTATTATGATAGTTTTAGAATGCCATCTTGCTGTGCATGCATGTATACTGCAGATTTAGATCTTTCTTCTGAACTTCTCCCAGAAATTTGATTCAGGCAAAATACTAGAAGAAATGTCAATAAAAGAACCACATTAAAGAAAACATGTGTAGATTTAAATAAAAACAAATAATTATACTTATGATTATAAAAAAAATTACCTAACAATATAAAGTAATATATTTGATAGTTTCATTTGTTTTATTATATTAAATAGTAATCATCTAATAAAAATATTAGTGCAAGACTTGTTTTATTTATACAAAATACTTAGGATTACAAAATAGAACTGTTTTTATTTTGATAATTAATAACGATCTTCTACAATCTTCTTCTTAAACATTTCTTGAAGATATGTGTTAACATTAATTAAATAACACTTACTTATGACATTGCTTTTTTCCCTAAAATCTGATCTTCATACATTTTCTAAATTCTTGTTAATTTTTGGTCCGATAAGTCTTTATTTACTTCCAATACCAACAAAGAGCACAGAAAATTACTTTGGTCATCTTTCATTAATCATTTTTCATAATATTTGTGCAATTTTTTTCAAATATATTAATTTTACATTTCGTTCTGATGGGCGATTACGACGTTGTATTCGTTTGAACATTGTATCTGGTGAACTTCTTAAGTATACTAAATGTTTACAATTAAATTATTATTAATTTTAATATACACAATTTTATAGGTTCAACTACTTAACAATCAAATCTAGTCCATTATCTACAGTGGACCACTATTTGGCCTGAATATAGTGTGATTATTATGAGTCATTTCTACAAAGCAATATCTGATTGTGAGTGTTAGTATAATTTACCCTAAATACAATACAATATATATAAACTGGCTCAATTTAACTTAAGTATAATTTTAATAAGTAAAGTATTTGAATATATTTATCTATAAATAGGTGAAACATTACCTCATAATAAATTGAATATCCTTGGTCCAAACTCCAAAGTAGAGAAAACTTATTTTTAGAGATCATTTGCATCAATGCAACTTTTTTTTCTTAATGTAAAATACTAAAACCGCTTTAACTAATATACATATATTGTACATTGTATATGTAATTTATAACTATCCAAAAAAGGCTCGTATCTTAGTTTTTTTTTTTTTTAGAATTTATATAATTAAACAAACAAAAATTCGATTATACTTCCAAAACAATATAATATTTACCAATCATTATAATTCGTTATTCGGGTAATAAATTCATTGGTGCAATTTCACAAGGAGGTTAGGTGTAGGACTCAAAACCGTCCGAGTTTGAATTAGTAATATGGAATTAATCATAGTCAATAATAGGTATTTTTTCACTAAAAAAATGAATTCGAAAATTTAGGCTTTTTGGACTATTTTTTTAGGGTTTTGACTAAGACTAGTCCCCATTAAATTGTGTCGATGGTAACAATATAATAATATAGAAAGCGGTTGTTTGCAAATTCGAGGTAAGAGAAAGGGATGCCAAAAAAAAAAATTGTTGTACGACAAATAATATACATTCCGACTGATGATACCTAGGAGAAGAGACTGCGCAGAGTGGGTAGGGTATGGAAATTTTAAATAAAACACCAACACCAAAAAGACATATGACTGAGTATGGCTAAGTTTAGTGTTTCGCTAGCCGGTACTGTTATATTTTTAAACCATTGAGAATCGTGCACCGACCGCGGTTTTGGCTCAGTAGCTCAGTACTACTGTTCGCTTCTTCCATCATTTAAACAACCGTCTACAGAGAACATACGCCATGGTAAATATATTATATTTTATTACATCATATTGTTTCCTTTAATAAATTACCATTTACCTACTATTATATTATGTATATTTACAAGAAAAGTAAAACTAAATACGGACAATAGCACCTTTTAATTAATTATAATACAATATACGAGCACATTTATTCGTGCAACAACCAATACAAAATAAATAATATCTTATCTTAAATTTATACCAGTGACTTGAGTTTTAACTAAATGTGTACTTGCTAAATAGTTTACATTTTATTAAACATAAATTTGAATTATGATATTTATAATATAATTCTCCATTACTCAGTACCAAAGAAAAAAACACTAAATAGTGAAAAGTATAGTATAATTTTTATGGTAAAGGTATTTGTATTACTTAACAGTTAACTGTGTATTATAATACACAAGTTAGGCCCAGGTAATTAGGGTTTTTCTAGTACAGCAACTAGGTTTCATATTTTCTTAATTATTATTATAAAAAATTGTTTTGACTTATGTTAAAATATAAAAGTTTAATTCCTTTGCCGCCGAGGGAAATAATAAAAAAAAAAAAAAGTTTAATTATTAGGTTTATGATATTAAAGTATGTATCTTACTGTAGTTGTAAAGTATATTATATTAAATGCATACCTACCAACAAATGGAGGGCTCAGTGCAAAAGTAAACCAAGTCTATTTAAATCATCACAATGCCCTAAAATGGCAACATAAATTATACGAAAAACAATTTAGGAGCCAATTTCTGAAAATCAACAACGATGGACTTGGTTAACTTTTGCTCTAAACCCTCCATATCTTAACTATAATAAGTTTAAAAAAAATGTTAATTATTAATATTAATAGTTATTTTTTAATTGAACCATTTTTTTTACGTTTATATTTGTTTTATCAATGATAAAAAAAATAATTCCAAATACTTGGAACAAAAATACTTCCAACGATCCAATTATTACTAGGATATTACCTAAAGCCAATGATAGCTACTCAACTTGTACATATAAAAAAAAAATGTTTAATAATATTTAACTTTAATAACAACATGCCTTATACAAGCTTTTGAAAAATTGTAACACTTTGTTTTAGTTGAAGATTGATAAATGTACGTATGTGTTGGGGGAAAATATATTTCTTAAGGTTTTCAGACTTCAAAAATCGTGTAACAATATAGGTCATAACATATTTTTAATACATAATATTTAAAATAGTTTAGGACGAGCATGATCGGCTGTTTAATGTTGACAGATTACAAACTCCGCTAATTTAGAATAAGCTCAGTTTATAATTAGATTTTGGTCCGGACGCGTCATGGGCACAAAAATTGGCGTGTCGCCAAAAGTCCTAAGTGAATAAGTTTATACCGTATAGGATTTATTCCACTTGGCATCTGCCTTTCATTTATATACATATATATATATATATATATATATATATGAGTGTCGTTGGGCTAGACATTTGAACAGGAGTTATATTGCATTTAATGCAATCAGTTTTTACTGTATTTAGGCATTCCCATAGTATTTATAATTGCTATAAATAAAACCAGATTTTTTTTTATTAATAAAAAAAACTATATTCAATTAAAATAAGGAAATAGAAGAGAAATTTGATTTGTAAAATGGGCATTACTTAAGTTTTGGTTCTTCTAATTTAGTTCATTTAAATATTATTATAATTGTAGGGATGTAGTACTTACTTTTGTATAAGTTAAATTCATAATTCTAAACACTTTTTGGGATTTAAAAAAAAATTGTTAATTTATTTATGAAGTTTTCTGTATTTTTTAAAATTTACATTAGTCTTTTTTGTTTTAATGCTATTATTTTTGTAGCTCCTGGTATTAAATTTAAAAAAAAGTATCAATGACGACAATTGTATTTAAAAAAAAATTTGAAATTTGATTATTATTTTATTGATTAGAAATGACCCCTGAAGAAAAGGGGAAGGCATTAGTGGCATTTGGCCAAATTTCTGAGGTCATCAAAATTATTTTAAAAATAACTTGGTTTAATAAAGCTATACACATATTGTTTTCACTCTTAAAATGTCAAGCATTATAACTTTAATAGGCGTACTTTATATTCCGTTGGTCCATAAGTCTGTTGTGATTCAAGTAATAGAAGCTTAATTATTTTAACAAGAAAAAAATTTACCGTTTAAGTTTAAATTAAAATAACTTTATTTGTTATCGGACTTTAAAAACACTGTAACTGTATTTATTATTTGGAATAAATAAGACTATGTTAATAATTAGAGACCAGATTATGTTTTAATACAATTTAAATGGTGTTTTTTTTTGCAGTATAAAGTTAGGAGAATATGTTCATATAGTATTTTACTAAATATGCGTTTGTAAAAAAAAGATAACTTCGATAATAATCTTTTAATAGTACATATTTTTAGTCCAATCCTAAGTCTTCCGTAGTTAAAACAAAATTAATACTTCGGTTACCAGATATTTAACACGGACACTAAAATATTGATCACATGAATTTTATTAAATTGAATTTCCATTTAAAATTCTTAAAAAATAATCTTCTTGTTTCTTCTTATTTGTTGTTTATGAAATAATCTCTAACGACATAATATGCATTTTTATGCAAGATAAAATTGTGTGTATAAAGTTGTTGTATAAAATTTAATGTCTCGAATTGATAGAAAATGTAAAAACATATAAATACATATTATGATATATATATTATTAATTATTTAATTTAGTAACCGTAAACGCTGAGACATTTTCCACCCTGTATACTAATTTTATTTTTGAAATGCCAGTATACTAAAAGTTTTACAGTTAAATATAATATGATTAGTGAGGCAAATTAACAAAAATAATTAGGGCTAAAATTAAGGCTCCGAGTCATCAAAAATTGAACGTGCCGACGAATTAGTAATGAACATTAAACACTGTGTTTCATTTCACAGGCCGATAAAGAGAAGGTAAAGAAGAAGAAGGTAAAGAAGGAAGAAGCGAAAGAAGCGCCCGCAGAAGAAGCCCCAGCTCCAGTAGCCGCACCCGAACCCGAAGCACCGCCATCTCATTCCAGCACGAAACACAGCAGTCGCAAGAGCTCATCAAAAAAAGTCCGCAGGTCCGGCAGTAATGTGTTCTCTATGTTCACCACCCAACAAGTGGCCGAATTCAAAGAGGTAAAGTATATTATGTTGATAATAATTGCTGACTGAAAACAAGCACAGTAACCACGCAAGTTATCCTCGACAAATTTTAAAACGTAGCTATCGCGTTTCCGATGGCAAGACCAACAGCACCTAACAGCTATAGCTGATAAGTCAAGTCATACCTAGCAGTGTTGTCCTTCTCTAGAGAAAATGTTCAAACAACGAATAAAATATAAAAAAATCTAGAAAACTTTCAAAGAAGTACACTTCTTTCTCCATTAATAAGAGAGAAAATCGCCAAACATTTTTGCAAATTTGTTTATCTTTACTTGTTAATTATTTTTTACTTGCTTTCATTTTTTATACAGTATTATTAATCCGTTAGAAATGGTCGAGTCTAATCGACATTTTTGTGAAATCCTTAACACTGAATTGCCTATAGTGTACACTTTTTTTTTTAAAATTTCGCAATACACCATATTATAGGGTTTCGGAATGATGGATTGGGATAAAGACGGTATTTTGGGCAAAGAGGACTTGAGAGCCACCTGGGACAAAGTCGGCAAGTTGGTGACTGACCCCGAATTGGACGCCATGTTGGGCGAGGCGTCGGGCCCGATCAACTTCACCCAGCTGTTGACTCTGTTCGCAGCTAGGATGTCCGACGGTGGTCAAACCGACGACGACGAGACCGTCATCGCTGCCATCAAATCGTTCGACGAAAATGGCAAAATCGACAGCGAAAAGTAAGCGAGTTCGTTTTTTTTTTTTTTTTACATGAATATGGGTATGGTCGGGGGTCTGTCGAAAGGGAAGACGTTGGTAGATAGAGAACATAGACATAGGAAAGAAGGGACGGAGCGTAACGGCCGTTTGTAGATACAAACGCGAGGGGTAAAGACGTAGAATACTACAATCAGAATGGACACTAATAACAAATTATACGGGTTGATTCCGTGATATCACAGAAGTGTCCGGGGCCTGGGTAAAGGTGCAGCGAGTTGCTCACTTTTGATTGGCTACTGACTACTGCATGCGCTACGGCCACCGTCGGTTGCCTAAGTTTTGACAGACATTGCCCAATTAAAAAAAAAAGGGCAACTGCTAACCCCCAAACTGGCTTCTACAGCAGCATTACATCACATTTTTTCTTTGTCTATGGAAATGATGTGATAAGGGGGAATATTCATAATCCAATGTTGTCTTTCCTTCGAGGGAAAGATTGAATTGTATTTTTTTTCAAATAATAACGTGAAAATTAACCGCATACACATGTGCATTATTAAATTGTGCAGACTGAGATACGGTCTGTTAAACTGGGGAGACAAGTTCAGCCCGAAAGAAGTTTCTGACGCCTTCGACAACATGGAAATCGACAGACAGGGTTTGATCGATACCGAAGACCTCATCTCCATGGTGCTGGGATCTGGAGACGACGAATAATACATCGTGTATTTAAACTAAGCAATCAATAACCAGATTTTGTAATAATATTTATTTCCCCTAATTGTACACAACTCGTATCGAATGTTGTTATTAGATAAACAATGCGTGATTTGATGAAAGATATATTATCGAAATAAAAAGGAAACCTTCACTTAATTGTGTTCAGTCATTTTTGAAACTCACTCTGAAAGTGTAACAATAACCGTATCACACACAATATGACTATTGACTGTCCAGAAATTCTCCTCGATATAAAATAAGTCTTCTGCCAGGTTGAGACTAATCGTTAGATAATTTCCAAAATCAAAAACTGCCTCCCAACTTAAACTTTTGTAGGATATTCTTTAGATAAAGTAGGTTAAATTTGACAGTGACAGTAATCAGTAAAAATAATGACCAAACAGTTATGGAACCATTTACTCGGTGGCTATTGATTGAGTGGGTAGGGTAGAGGGCAATGTAAAAAATAAAAGACAGCCAGGATTTGTAAACAGCTCTCAACAGTTAGATGCAAGTTAAAGAACACCGAATAAAATCACTTAGGTGATTATAATGAACATTATAGAGTGAGTATTTTTTCCTCATAAATAATTTTTGTTAGGAGATATAATTTATACATTTTCCATACATTCAACATTAAACCGCTCTCTGGCTAAAGTTTTTGTTTTGAAAATCCGTAGGTTTTGGGTTATATCTTTATTTTGAGCGGCGGAAAAAGTACAGAGGACATCTGATCTATTAAAATTATATTTCTTTTGATTGCAAAATAATACTGCATTCGTCCAAGACTTCTTCCATTATTCTGAATCCAAAATATGACCGTTAATAATGTTGAACTACGTGATAAAAAAGCGAAAACCAACTTCTGTCCGGAGGATACAATTTAGGTAATAGGTATTGTCAAAACGACTTATATAATTTACGAAACAGACTTATAAATTTATTTAAAAACATATAATTTGACACCACACAAAGTTGTCTGAATAATATGATTTGTCTGGGACCATTTGTAACAATAATACTATAACAAAAACACGAATATGGGTAACTCTATAATTTGTACAGTGTACACCACAAATTAAAAAAAAAACAGCGAGTGAAAACATTGATTTATAACTAATATATGAAATTAAATATTAGAACAGCTACTTGAATAAATTCACACGAATAATAATAATAAATAAATAATAATACTAATATCAGTAGGTAATCGTTAGTGCACTGCCAACACAAACAATTTACTACCTAGTACATTCTTTTCCCAAAGGGTTTTCGTTTTTCTGAAAAATAAAAACATAAGTTATATATTATGCATATAATAATTATTGTTATGTGACTTTTCTTAATCAAAATAAAGAATAGTCGTAAAGAAACTGTATAGATTTAAGATTTGAATTTCTTCCTATTTTAAAGTGTAATATTATTTATTTAAAACGAATAGATTTATTATTTAAGTAAAACACTGGACTATTACCAGTTTTCGGCAATTTTAAAAAGAATTCAAAGAAAAAATATCTTTTACAAAAATAATAATGTCTCTCTCTCTCTCTCTATTACGTTTAACGTCCGTTATTCCCGCCAATCGGGGCTTAGACGGGATAATTTAAAAGAAAAAAAAACAAATAGCAAATAGTTGGTTGATAAATAATCGAATAACAAATGATTAAATAAGTCATAAAATATTATTTGAACTATGCCCAAATTTGTCCATTTTGTTTTGTTTTTTAATTAAAAATAACCGATTACACCATTATATTTCATTAAGCTAAGAGTTCTCTAAAATTATAGTCCATCTTATTTTAATCAAGTATAATCACTACCTCATAGTTATTACGCATTAGACTTACTTGTTTCAACACCGACAATCCTAGTTTGGCGGAATTATGAAAAGGCAGGCTGACGGAAATATTAGACACTTTAAGCCTTGGTATATGGCCCGTGTAGCCGGTAATTGGAGGCAATTCTGCCGATACTTTATGGTCTGTAATGTAATACTATAAATAGATTAATCGTAACTCGACAATAATGTAAGTATGCAAAAAGTGTTGGCCGTTAGGTTTAAACCAGCAATAAAGGTCATGCGCGATATGCGAAGAACAGCAGTTGATGGATCACGCAATTATCGTAGATAAGAATACAGTTCTGGGATAAATGTGATAAGTAAACATGAAAAAAAGACTAGTGTCAAAGAAAAATCTAGAGATTGTTTTAGACAGAACCTAACAGCTGATACAAGTGGCAAAACGATGATAACTGAGATATTGTTTTTTAGACGTTGTCAATTGTATAAAAACATCAATGCGCCAATTAGTTAACTAATCGACATGAGCCGTTATTTAAAAAAAAAATCCATAATATATTAACCTTTAAAATCTTTGCTTTTTTTGTACTTATTCAGCGTGTGCTGTAGACGCGCGTTCACTTTATCTGGCACCATTTTCGGGGGCAGAAACCGAACGGGTCTTTCTATTGCTTTTCGGCTCTTTTCTGTGGAAATTTTAGCAAGTAAATTATCTTCACATTCTCGGGCGAGAGTACAAAACGTTTTGCCATACCGGAAATGCATCCCAGGGATGTAACCTGAAAAGAAAGTTTAAAAAAAAAAAATCCAATATTAACCGCAAGGATAACTACTATGTATTAAATGTAATCCGTCCCAAAATTAATGCCACCATTTACCAGTATAGCCTAAAATGTATTTTTGATACGTTTTAGCCGCTTCTTCTTGTTTGTCGTTGTTAATTTTTGTGTCGTCAATACTCGGTTTAGGCGCCAATTGTTTGATAGGACTGCTGTCTCGTATGTATACATTTCGTAGGTTACATTGTTTCAACACCCCCTTTTCACGGAGTTCCTGTGTATTGTAATAGAAGAAAATGTACTTAACAAAAAGCCAAAAACCACACAAACTTGACTAAATGTAACATTTGAAGTGACATAAAAAAATATATAAACAAGCTTATTCCAGTTTCATTACACATTTATATGGAACAATTGTTTTAGATAAAAAAAAAGTTTCAAATAAAATACTTAATACTCGTAGTACATATTTTAATAGTTATATAGTTATATTATAAAAGTTAATAATAGGGTCGTTAACCATATTTGAATAAATACTCTTTGAATTATTAGCATTATAAGTTTAGTCGTCGATGGAGGTGTGGGTATTAAGTGGAGCGTGTGGATACAAATAGCATTAAATGCTGTCTTCCTTACCCCAGTCTATACCTTTAAATGCTTACAACTCAAGAAATATTACTCCAGGATATCGACAATTCATTAGTTCATTACATCATTCTACAAATTAATAGGTCATTATATATATATAAATATTTTAATGACCTATTAATTTGTGATATATATATATATATATATATGTTTCTCTTTGATGTTTTATCACAACTTTTTCAAATAATATTTTTTTAATACTTACTAAATATATCACTTAATAAGAGTTTTATTAGAGATCTTTTTTACATTTATTTTTTCTACAAAACGTTATACCTGTATAATTTCTAAAGTATTAGCTCCATATCGTTGTCCAAAACGAAATTTTAACGTTGGGCAGTGACCAGTGTACCTGAAAATAAAAAGCTTGATATTTATTTCTAATATTTTACGATCCAATCAGTAAATAAATGTTTTTTAGTGTTTTTATAGACGCAAAAAAAAGTTTTAAATGATTAATAGCCGCTTTTACATTGTATCCAAATCGATTAATATTTTAAATAGGTTAAAACAGTTAATAATACGAACAATTCGAAATGAAACAACAGCGTTTTTAACATGTTTTTTAGACGTTTAAAATAATTGTTTTATTATTTTAAAATTACAAACATGTTTTTCATAAATGCCTAGTTTAATAATAATTAAAAATTTAATCACATCCAGTCATAATAGTTCTGTACTCGAGAACCAAATAATGATAAAGTTCAGCTTTTAAGGTGATATGTGATGGTTACAATTTGAACATTTATTTATCAAATTATTATTATTATTATTTACTGTAGTTATATTACATGATAAGTTAAGCGTATTTTCATATTTTGAATTAAATATAATCAAATATAGTATTGTGAAAACATTTCTTAGTTAAAAAATAATCAAATTAATTTAAACAATAATAATTTTCCAGAATAAGACGGCTTGCAAATAAATCACAGTTACCGTTTTCGACAAAAAAAATGTATTATAAATAATGAATTGGAACGTTATATATTTTGTTCGGCCGTTCAATATTAGTACATAATTCGATAATAATACATTTTCCTTGATGGTTTATTAGTATATAAAACTGCAATATTATAAAGTTATGTACATTTTATAGATGGCTATTAAAAAAAAGTCAAGACTAGTCCAGCTAGCGCCCTAGTTATCGAACATTTTTTTAAAACTAATGTTCCATGACACGCAAGTAGGTAACTTTGTGGTTTACTGCAGTGGTTAAAACGTCGTTTTGCTACTTATAAACGATAACACATTCATCATAATTATTATACTGAGTTTTATACACTCCAATTTCTTGGTGAACATAAATATAGTATAGTACCTTACAACGATAGTTTTATTGCTGTATAAATATTTTAAAGAAAGCCAGTACAGTAGAGTCGAGGAATAGTGGGGACGGAGCATATTGAAGCGGGGGAGGTCACCACTTTCAAATAAAAGCTACGATGCGAAAAGCATTGTACCTAATGGCATTTATTTACATAGTGGTAAACAATATAATAAACATATTTTAAAATATCTGCATTGACTGTCAATTCACTCCCAAACCGCAGCCTAGGAATTTACTACGGTCAAAGTGTAATTGTCCCTTTTTTTAGTAGTCAAAAGCTTGACTACAGATTTTAGAAAAAATTGTTTAAGCCCCATTCAAGATCTACTTTCAGACCTTAAACCCTAAAACGACTAAAAAAAAAAACGAAATAAAGAAAAAGTTTCCATCCCTTCTGGGGGAAAGGGTTTATAATTTTTTTTGGGGTTGTCGACGTTTATCGGTAGTACAGTGTCTAAAGATTATTCCATACATATTTGGAAGGAATTCGACTATTTTTAAAAAAATAAATAATGTAGCCCAGTAACGACTCGGTCGTCTACCCTTATGTGGTATTAATGTAAAAAGTATTAAGTTATATTGTACTCTAATATTTTATAAATACAGTATTAATATTGTACTCACTGCGAAGCAATAATATCTGACCAAAATATGTAGACAACTGATGTCGATAAGACACAATATATGAGACAATTAACAAGGATTTTTGAATAGACATTATTTACATTTTTATTAAATTGTAACCCCTTGTAAGGAATCGACAAACTTTTAAGGGAATATAAAAAGCAGGAAATACATACTTCCTTATGGCAAATATACCGCCATGACAGAAAGTAAGATTAACTGGTACTACCAGGGTCAAACATAACAATAACAAGCAGTCGTCACGGAATGATGAAAACCCACTTTTTACCGTACCCAGACAATCACCAAGGTTAAATTTGAGTATATTATGTACTGCTAAAAAAAGTGTAAATCATTTTTGTTTTCATTTTTGTTCAATTTAAATATAACTGGACAAAATCACAACTAACGCCGAGTGCATAAACATTTTGAAATTACCATATTAATACAAAGCAATAATAATTATAACCCTAACAATGTTAAGAAGAAAGAATTAAGATTTTAGATAAGAACACAGTAATAATTGTGTGGATGCATTCGACAGAGCATTACTAATTGCATTCGTTACCGTTCATGATATAATCAGAAAGTGAAAATTAGACACATAACAGCTAGGCACGTCAATATTGTGGAAAGAAAAATGGTAAATAATTTTTACACGAACAAAAAAAAAGTTGAAAACTTATTATAATATTATCATCACTTTTGTTATCTAAACGAATTTCTCCAAAAAAATAGTCAAACCACATTAGTTTTGAAGTCACGTGAACAAAACTTTACTCAACGCTAAACGCAATACTATTGTGACACGTACACCGAATAAACGTTATAAATTTATGTACTTTAACAGGACAACATAACTAAAAAAAACGTAGGTATATTTAAGTATAATGTGAAGTACTTGAATACAAAATTATGTACCGTAAAATATTTCTAGTGTAATACAAAAATTCTGTTCAAAATTACTATAATGGAGAAATTTCTCATTTTTTTTTTTTTTTGTTATTATTATTACTGGAAAGTGTATAGATAGAATACATCGAAGGCAATATTTTAACCATATTATTATACTGCCGAAAATGTAACGGCGATTGCTATTTGCCAACCTTGGCGTGACAAATGAATCGATATAAATTTCGATGGATGTCATAGAAATAGGACATCTATTATAGTTGTATTAATAATTATACATTATAAATCCGAATATTATTATCTGACAAACTATTAAAATAACATTATACGGATTGCGATGGTATAATTCGAATACATCTAACTATTATTTGTGTTGTATATTGTCATTTTTAAGAATTTATTATTGAATCACCTGAACGGATATCCTTTGGTAACATATATATACATTTTTATTAGTACAATTATATTTATCGGAAGGTGTTATCGAAATTTGAACTATAATACACGCATTTGTTTATATAGTCGGATAATTTATTTACTGTAATAAGTATACCTAATCACAGTAATAATAATAATTGACTAATAAAATTGAATAATATACATAGGTACAATATACCTACTTATATAAAATAATTGGCGGCACGTGTTGTCTTTTGAAATGATAACAAAACAATTGGGCTATTTTTATAAAAAAAATGTAGGCATATTTATTATTTGTTTTTTTTTATAATTACTGTAGTCATCAGCTGCACTAACGGATAGTTAATCGATTCATTTAAATATTTAATTGTATACAAAACGTTTAAATAATTCGTTAAACTAAATTTAGACATACGCCTACCAACGTTGCAATACCTGATTAAACCATATTGTTAAAATGTTTGATGTATAGGTTCGATTGAATATTTTATATTAAAAAGCGTAAAAATGAAAAAACACACAACAAAAATATGGAGTTGAACAAAACCAAAAACTAAATACTTACCCTGGAAGAAGAGCGCCGCTAGTTTGGCCGAACAACTTTTCCCGTTCTATTTTATTATCGCATTCAATTACCATTTCAGATTTGAACTCGTGGATTAATTATTATTATTTCGAATATAGAAATTATTGCCAAAGAAACGTGTGAACAATAATATTTCGTGTGATACAAAATAATATCGTATTTTTTGTCGTTTAAACGATCACGACATAACACGCCTATGACCGATCGACAACACTCCCCGCCGTTCTGTGTACTTCTGGACGTTTTCACTGCAATTGTGTCGGTTTAAAAATTAGCAATATTACCGTATACTAAAACATTACTTTAACTACCTTATACCCCCGTGTGCTATCATTTGTCCGATTGTGCAGATAGTAGTGTTGTTATAGTAGTGCAGCTACTGCATTCTATCGTGTATTGCCCGAGTTAGAGTGTAACCAATTGGTTTACGGCTATTGTTATTGTTATTGTATTAAGCATATTGTTGTAGAAAGCGAGCAAAGTGAAAACGTCTTAATGGTAAAATGGTTCAAACGATCTATTTATTAGGTTTTTTTTTAAATGTTTTCGCCCAAACCAAAGTGCTGTTATCGGCGTAAAAGAATTTAAATTAAGCAAATATTTATCAAAGAGTAAATATACCTACTGTGTACAACATCGTATACTGTATACAGCGTGAGGCCGCCGTGAAAAATCAATAAAATTCCAGTCGACAAGTGACCCGACCGTTAAAACTCCTCTACGTTTAGTGATTTTTCCTAATAATATTAATTACTTATTTTTCTATCCGGCACTATGCGCAATAATACAAGAATAGTATTTTTAGTAATTGTATAATATCAATAAGTATAATTTTTTATATTGTTTTTCGGTGTATGTTCTATGCAGCTTAATGAGGACGAATTGTTTAACAGAAGAAAAAGTTGTTTTTGTAAATTTTTTATGGATAACAACATATTTGAATAATTCTGTATATTTTAAAATATCGTTAAACAATTCATAAAAAGTTATATTCTTTAGTTTTCGTCTTTTTTTCTTAATAATTATGCATGAAAAATAATATTTTATTTGCAATTCTACTAATAATCTTTTGAATTGTTTATTTTGTAATATGCTTTTGAGTTTTGTATGTACCTAATTTGTGTTGGTTGACTAAATAAATAAATTATTCAAAAGAAGACTGATTCAAGTTATACAAATATCGTTCTTTAATTGTTAGAAAATGTAAACTCAAATAATTAAGTTTGTTTCATGAATTTTAACCAAAAACAAAGTATAAAATAATTATTATTGGTTTTAATTAGTATTTATTAGATACTGTATAATAGTATAATATAATTGTTTAATAAAGTATGGAGCTACATTATAATTAAGTTTTAAAAAGGCCATTTTCGCTTATAAAATATATGGATAAAAAAAAGTTGCATATTTTTCATAATTTTGAAGTGCATAATATTTCAAGGTCTTTTAGGGCAAACAAATTCGGACTTTAGTTTTACCACGATTTAAGATCTTAAATGGTCAATCGTAGTTATTAACCATTTAATTACGTGATAAATGAACAAATAAAATAATTTAATATATTAAGTTAAACAATATGGTGATTTATTTCTAATTTTTTGATTTACTTGAATGAAAAAATTTAATTTTAAATATAGTAAATCTTTTTTATTTCTAAAAACATTTTTACGTTTGACGAAAATTACTGACAAGCATTAACTACCAGTTACCACTGTAGTGGTTCATTCTGACAAGCGATAAGGTTGTACCTTGTATCACAGTTTAATCTGTAGTTGTATGATATCACATAAATAGTATTATCAAATATCAGTGTAGATGTGTCATGTGACCGTAAAGTTTTGTAATTTTTTAAATTTCTCTTTCTTTGTACTAATATCATGTTACTAAACAGTTTCTTAATGTTTATCTGACTTGAATAAATCGAAATGAAGTTTGTTGGTTTCTATTAGGCAGACGGCGGACGTTCGATTCTAAATCAATGATCTAATGAACAAAATAATATAATAAATTAAAACCCTCGAGATGGTTTTCTGGAAATCTTTGGTCGCGTTCATTTTGTTTTCGTTCTTTCTCTGTGAAAGTCTTGACGATGGTAAGTCTACAACTTTGTTAAATCGTTATACTTGAATATACTTAATGCCATTAAGACTTAATAGTATGTTATAATATTTAATTAGTAATATTATCTTTAAAATTTCAAATGGGTAAATATATATTTATTTGTTTCAGATGAATTTGTTAATGCTAATTCTACAGCTCAGTTGGTTACACAGTTTTCTCAACATCAAATACATGGCTCAATATTGTTTTCTCAACACACTTCACTCGAAGATATCATTTTATTATCAGTATCGTTGAGCAACTTTGGAGATTCCTTGGAATGGTCTTGGCAGATTAGAGAATTTCCGGTTGATTATTCAATTTTAGAAGAACGATGTACTGATCGAAATCTAGGATCCAAGTAAATGACTATAACAATTTTCTTTTATCAATTTTTACTTTTTTGATACAATTAATAATATTATATCATAATGTTTTACTTATATTTTAATTACAGGTTGTATAATCTCGATGATACATTTGGAAAATTAACCATTGAAAATGATACACGTTTACAATTTTCAATATCCAAGTCAATTTTGGAACTTACAGGTCGACTAGGAATTTGGCATAGATCATTAGTATTAAAAAATACAAATGGAAAAACAATATGTTCTACTATCATGGTATGTTATATTTTAATTTTATACATTTAGGTCTTTTTTTTCTTCTTCCTTTGCTGATACTCCCAACTATCTATTTCTTGGATTCAATCACCTAAGTTTCCAATTTTCTCTCCCATGCAATTTCCATACATATAGTCGTTGTTCTTGTATTATTTTTGAACTTCTTTTTAACAACTATTCTCTTCAAGGTGTGTATTTTCTGCTGTGGTACCTGTAGGCTCTTAATAATTTTTTTAGGCCCTTCTGTCCCTTTTTAGAGTATATATTTTTATGTATTCTGTACACTATAATTTGACATGTCTTCTCAAAAAACATTATTTGTATAACCTGTATAAACTGTCAAATTAAAATAATTATTTTCAAACAGTCTAAAGAAGATTCCGATATCAGAGTGGCTCAAGCAAAGTTTCAAACCAGATTTTTTGGCAGCATTTACATTATTGCTGTCGGAATGTCTGGTAGTCTAATGGACGCTATCATATATACCGATCTTGACGATAGAAAAAGTTTAAAACGAGAAGTTACATCTCACAACTGGAAAATATTTTCAAACGATGTTCTAGAGACACATTTGGGTATGTATATATAGGTAAACAATTTTACATTATTTTCGTTAATATTTTAAATTGATGTTTTTTAGATAAATCTAAACTCAATTGTGATGCTCTACAAATTGTATATGATCCGGAATCAACTGGTTTAGGCGATTTAACTGCTCGTCTCGGTCCAGTCAACATTGGAAAAAAAACATTAATAAGGGATCCGAATCTGGCTACATTTGATATCGAGTACGAGAGCAGAGCATTGTACATGGTGATATTTGACAGTGATCGTGTTGACAATATTTTAGACTGTGCACAAATTAACATAAAAAAAGGCATCACATTAAAGTAATACAAATTTACTAAGTATATTTTATAGTATTTATTACATAATTTGTTTAAAATAACTGTATTTTTGTTAAATTATAAATGCATTTTAACTTTTCTTGCATTTTAATTTTAATTTGATATATTATCTATAAATTTAATTTAATTTTTATAGAGGATTGATTAATGAAACCGATGTTAAAGCTGAACTAGTTTTTTGGCAAAGATCGCCATTTGAAATAACACATATTTACACGAAGGCCGAGACCAACCAAATTAATGTTGCTTTGAGATTACATGAAATGCCTCCTATTCCAAAAACGTATAAAATGCCATTAGACCAAAATGTCAACTGTTTGGGTATTGGCAATATTTATAACCCCACTGGTAAAACGTTTCCTGCACCCATCGAGAGAATAACCCAAGATGAATACGCAATCGGCGATTTAAGCGGCAAATACAATTACGACGGTTCTAGTTGGGATTTATTTTTGCCATTATTTGGTACGAGAAGTGTTATTCATCGATCTTTGGCTTTATACAAGTAAATTGTTTGTTTCAATTTTTTATATTTTTGGCTTTGATACAAAGCTTGCTTAGTTTTTAATATTTTTTATGTATTAAACATGTACACAGGGTGGTAAATTTAACATAAGACGTTTTATTTGTTCATGACAAAATAGTAATTTTAAAATGTTGTTTTTTATTAATACATATATCTTTTAAAACATTAAAAATTTCCCTAACGACAGGTCAAAATTATTAACTTTAAGTTTGAATTTTCAGAGATAACAATATTTGGACTTGTACTACACTGTTGCCGTATTTTGGACCTAGATCTCAAACGAAAGTACCATATTTAACAGCTGAGGCAATATACCGATATCCGCTTGTTGGTAGAATAATATTTCGCCAACCTGTCGACATCGGAGCTCTAGAGACTATAGTAATAGTTGAAAATTTAGTTCATGCCGACGGCACTACACTAAAAAACTCAGATCAACATAGGTGGTCGGTTAACACGAATCCTCCTGGTAAAGATTTTTACAATTGGCAAGAACGATGTAAAAGCGCCGGAGCGATATATGATCCCCATAAGGTTTGGACATTTGTGTACAGCTAAAGTGTGTATTATATTGTTTCTCTCAAACAGAAAGCAACTATGTAGAAATAGCGGTTAACAATTTTTTAATCACCCAAATATTATTTGATTAAACAAAACAGTCAGCCTTACAGACGTATACATGTAATTTATTTGACTATAATCCTAAAACAAAAATTCTTGCCAGTCTTGGTCGTTAAAAAAAATTAACAATTTGTATGAGAGCGATAATATGTGTACATATTACCTTACGTAATCTGTCCAAATAATAAGCGATTTGATGCCTTCTTTTTTTATTTTAGATAAATCATGTTAAGTAAATTTCATCCCCTTCAAAACACTCTCCATATGTTGCAATACACTTGTCTCGTCTCTGATTACATTGCTCAAGACATCTGTCAGGGCCTTATTTACGCAAGGACATTATGGGTATTTTTCCAGGGCTCATGTGGACCCGGGGCCCACCTACTAGATTTAATTTACAGTTCATAATTTTATTAGTATTACATTAATAATAGGCTGATTTTTGTCTTTTGTCCGGTGCCTCAAAAATTCTAAATCAGGCTATTCACATCTCTAAAAGTTCTAAGAAGTTAAGCTCTTCAGCTGCCGCGTGGACTATGTCCCAGTATTGCCTCCACATGGCTATTTTACAAGAGGATGCAATTTATTTAGCATGATTTATCTAAAATAAAAAATTATGGTATCAGTCCGCGAACTTTTTAGGCAGATTACGTATGTTTAATGTATTAATATATTAATGAAATTTCAATTTTAAACTTAGGTAGTTAAAAACAACATGACATCTATGTGCAGCAAATCTCTCAAGTACTGTAGTGTAGGCGATCTGTCTTCTCGGTTAGATACTTTGTCGATTGCGGGAAATAAATTGAATTCTATAGGAGTGAGTAGACGTATGTTTGTGGACGAATACATGTCGTTATTCGGAATACATTCTATTATTGGCAAAGCACTTGTCATTTATGGTGATCACGGACCCGAAGCTCGTGGCGATCGATTAGCTTGTTCTAAGTATAGTTTTTTTTTTTGTTTTCTGTTAACGCGGTGGATTGGTGGTTGTGGTCAGTATTTCAGAGTTCAACAGTCATTTAAATTTCAAAAATTTGGTGTACGGTTTCAAAACTGACAAATGCTATGCATGTACTTATAATATAATATTAGTTAGTCAAATAATAATAATTGAAGCTTAATAATTTTAATTTGTATATATAAACGAGTTTATGCTTTTTCCTATGCTGAATGAAAAACCACTTTTATTTCAATAGAATTATTCAACAACATTTTATTTTACGTAGAATTGAAAAAGTTTGGCATCGAAAAGCAGTTGTAAAAGATTGGTACAGCGATGATGAAAAAATATCCGTGTCTGGTAAAATTGAACTATTTCAAATTTCCGAATATGATCCGGTCGATTTTGAAATAAATTTACAAGGTGTACAAGGCGCTTACAATTATTATGTTTATTCGGTAAGTAATTTAAATTTTGATGTATTTAATTATTGTACAATGAGATTTTTTTTTATAATTCGTTTCTTAACAGAATCCAGTCGATGGTGGCTTAGATTTACCGTGTGAAAGTTCTAACTTATACGAAGTGTGGGATCCGTGGAATAATAAATTAACTGGACAGCTACGATATGGCGATTGGAGTATGCGGTTTGGTTCCATTCAAGGAGACAGAGCAATATCAGCTGTCGGCAATGACACTCATGCTCAGCTGTTTGGTCAGTTGGTATTTTTGGGACGATCTGTAATTATTCATGGAATGCCTTCCAAAAAAAGGCAAGTAAACTATCAAATAAACTTAAAGCAATAATAATATTTTAAGTTAACTTATTAATTATAATTTAGATTGTTTAACTATTTATTTATTAAACTTTAAGAAACGAGAATGGTTTTAGTTAAAAATCAAGTTCTCACTTCATACTAAAACTAACACTTTTTTTACATACTATGTTTAACATGTTCAAAATATAGTAGTTTTTGCCATAAACAAGCAAACTAAGTTTTTATTAAAGTAGCGTAACTAATATATTTTAATTTTGGATAACAGATTAATGTGTTCGACGATAGAGAGGGGATACGCTCCTTCAGAAGCTCGAGAAATACGAGCGATGGCGTCATTTCATAATCCGAATGGATTCCTTAAAGGATACATACGAATGGTAGAAATAGAAATTTGTTACATTTTTAATATGCTGTGTCCAATTTAAAAGCTTAAGTTAATAGTTTGAATTATGTAAAATTGTTGTTTAAGACTCAATTGATTTATAATGATGGAAGCAAAAGTGATACGGTGATAGAAGTCAATTTACAGTATCCGGGGTCGTACAACAGAAACATGGTAATTTGAAAATTGAAAATAGTTTTACAATTGTTCTGTAATATTTATTTATACATTTGTTTTTAGACTAAAGGTCACAAATGGGCAATTTATGTCAATCCAGTCGGTATTGATGCAACTGTTAAAGATCTAGGAACACGATGTACAGCAGCCGGATACATTTGGAACCCGTATTACACTCAGCTAGCCGATCCTTTAAATGTTAGATGATAAAATAAATAAGAAATGATTTAAGACAAACCTTTATGTTTATTTTTTTTTAAACGACATTAGGTTAAATTGTATGAAGACGAATGTGGTTCCGACCAACCGCTACGATGCTATGTTGGAGACATATCGGGACGTCTAGGCACGATAGACATAGGATCGCACTCGATGGTATTTTCAGATCCAAACTTACCTTTAGGTAATAAACTTGTCATGTTCATTTTTGTACACTTATACTGATAATATAATGACATTTAATCTTATAGAAGGGGACATATCAGCTGTTGGTCGATCGATTGTGGTATTTTCAAAAAATGGTTACGAAAAATTAGCATGTGCCAATATTGAATACGATAAAGATATTATCAAGTATGTAAACGTGAGGAAAACTACAAAATTCGAGACGACCCACTTTTTCGAAGCCGTCAGGAACGCTTTGGGCGTCCCCGAATGGATGTTGGCAGTAGATAGTAGGAAGACTAAAATATTACACAACGGAGCATGTATTCAATATTTAGTCCACTTCAAAGGTAAAGTGACAAAGACAAAAGTATTCGTTTTGAAAAAAACCTGTATTTCAATGACAACGATATATTTTTATTTATTCATCAGGAGCAATCGCTAACGAATTAGAATCCGACTTCAGCAAACTACTGACGACAGGGCAACTGCATTCGCAAACATTGAAAATATCTGGTTATTATCCCACAAATGTTAAACTGAAAATTCCTTATCAGAATTGCCCGGTGTATAACAAAAAATTGGCATCAAGTATGTTTTTTTTATAGTTATAATGTGTCGATCATAGATTTAGTAATTTATTATTTTTGTTAAAGGTACGTCATCAGCAGGACAACCAAGCAAATACGACGTTCGTTCATCAACTATTTGTCTCACGATACTACTCGGCTATTTAAGTTGTTGCCTGTTTTAGTCTTGATTTCTTGGTAATATATATTTTTTTTTAATATTATTATTAATTAGGATTATGTTCTGTACATTTAATTTGGTTGCCAAAGTGTTAGATTAAGGTTAATTAATATTTTATATGTTTTGTACTCTGTCCTATGCTATTTGTGATAATTTATTTAACTCAATTAAATATAATATAATTTTAAATTTAAGTAAATGTTGACCATATTTTACGTTTACAAGTTTATAGCAGCCAATGTTTATTGATTATTTTTAAATACAATGAACGCATTCTGAGAAAAAATTATAACCTTTTGGTAACAAATAAAATAAATAAAACATTTAATATCTATATATATATGTTGTTATATAAGACTGTGGCAACTACAAAGAAATTTTTATTTTATGTTCGTTTAAAGTAACTACTTAAATCGTGGTGCTCTTATTTTTTAAGTAAAAACTATCTATATCATTGTTATTAATTGACTCTATTAGTTTTAATTATTATTATAACTACTATTATTGTATTTCTTTAAAATTTGTTAATTATAGTCTAGATTGTCTATGTATTTAAAATTTAAAAACAAAGTATTATAATTTATAATTTAAAAAAAAAATTATTTTATACATTTATATATTGCGCGCCTCTTACAAAAATAGTTATGTTTTACCTCGTGAGCATAACATGCATAATAAATTATTTTTATTGGAAATAATAAAAAAAATCTGATTTTCAGTATTTATATATTAACTCGGGCCAGAGGCCAAGTGAGCTTAAGATGCCCTATGCAGTTTAAAAGGTATTCCTTTATAATTATATTGTTATAACACATAATTGCAATATAATAGTATACTGTATATCTTATGAGAAAATAAATAATAATTCACTCACAATATTAGTCTGTGATTAGAACGTGAAACAGGAAATTTAATTATTTTTTATGGATCTAGAAAAGTGTATGACAGGGTTTTGAAGAGAAGAATTTTGTGAAATGGTCTCGGAAAAACGGCGTTTTATTTCTAAATTTTGTATACAACAATTACATTTAATTTAATAGATACCCTTTTACTAGATAGGTACAGTGGTGCAACTTGACCAGGGGGGCCTCTCTCAAAAAAATAAATCAACATTACTTTTTAGTAACTTGAAAAAAATGAATCTAATATAAAAAAAATATACTACGATCACTACTTACACTTATTATATATGCCAAGTAAAATCATAAAACATTTGATTTTTACAAAATTATTTGTTTACACTATTAGTAGCCATAAAAAAAAAAAAATGTCTAACCATTACAGATGAATATTTTAAAAATATGATAGAACGTAACGTACTTTGATTACATGCAACTTATTAAAAAATTAAATAACAAAAAAAAAGGTAAAATGTTTGTTTTAATGTGCAAATGTTTAAAATAATCAAGTTTTTTACCTTTTATCAAAATTAAAAATGGTGTATTTCACGATTTATGTAGTATAATTCATTATTTTTTTCTAACTAATGTACTTATATTATTAACAAGTCCCAGAATTAAGCAAAATTATTTTTTTTTACCAGCATTAGGAATACTAACCTACAATTTTTAACAATTCTTTCTGTATTCAAACTGACGCTTTTACTATTAAAGAACCAATTGTCGAGATATTTTAAATCTCAGGAATGAAACAAGTAGATTTTGAAAGCTATACACACTTAAAAAATCTTTTTCAGTTTACGATTTTAGTTTAATATATTATAATACAAACATATACTTTTATTTATAGTATTTGTAGTGATTGTTTAATTAGAATTAGTTTATCAAAACAGACGTTTATTTTATATATAATATATATACAGATTAGTAAAAAGCAAATTATTATTATATTTTTTTAACTAAATAAATAAATCATTATTCTAGTATACTTATAACAAAAATTGCAATTTAAAATTATTATACATAAAAAAATATCACGTAAATTAAATTTGACAATTAATGTTATAATACAAAATAGTTTTATATTTTATTGCTACGAATGTTGATCGTAGAAAAATTAGTCACGACACATTCAAGTAGTTTATATAAAAAAAGTATTTAGTATAAAAAGGGAGAAAAATAACTAAGCAAGCAAATATATCACGAAAATAAACAAGAATGGTTTGAATTACTTATTGTTTCAATATTATGATGACAAAAGGGACAAAACATAAAACGTACACAATATTAGTTGTAGTGACATTAAAGTTTCATTAGCAAACATAAAATATTTTGAATTTTTGAAAGCCTTGATCAAAGTATGTAATTAGTGAATTTGGTTAGAACTTATAATTTAGTGAGCAAACAATATGTTAATATTCATTCCATTTAATTTTTTTAATTATGTACAAAGAATTCAACTACATAGCTAATTTATGCAGAGTAGTTGATCCTCAAAAGTGGGGTTATGTTTCGCATTTACAGCTTTGAGCTTGTTACACCTAATTACATTTTTAGCTTACAACATAACAATATACAAATTAAAGTTAACGAGAAACAAAAAATGTAATTAAAAGAAAATGGAACTATTAAAAAGAGTATAGTTTCAATAAAAAAAATAAAGTTTTAAAAAAAAACTATTTACACTTTCTTCAGTTGTCTTGCAAATCAAATTTTCAAGTCTAGACGTTTGTCCAGATTTTGATACAACTAATTTATTTATTTTCTTTTAATATGGACCCAATTTTTTTATGTGCATACTCCAAACACCTAGACAACTCCGGACTACAACCATGTTCTGCGATTGTATTGAATCGATATGTACGGAACACATTATCTTCAATGAATGTAACAGCGTTCATCAGTGGACATAATATGACTTTTGTGTGGTCCGTAAAATTGATCTGACATAAAAAATAATAATATAATAATATTAAGACAAAAATAATGGATTGCTAGTAATAGTTTCAAACCTGTAATGTGCCGTTCGTGAGTTGCATAATGACTGACGAAGTAGATCGATACCATTGGAACATGTACGGAGTACGACTCAATTGGTCTGCGTCTTTCTCTAAAATATCTGCTCCGGCTTTAATTAGATGATCGTTCATGTATCGCCTAAAGTACATGAGCAACTTCATTTTCTTTTCCAGAGATGGAGGCGTGTGTTCAGTAGTATAATATTGTTCGGAACCATTTCGTTCAATGTAATGAACGTCTCTAAAGAAAAATATATCATTATAATTAATTAATGTACTAGCGTTGGCCACAGTATTTACTTACTTGAAATTCGCTAATAGTACAATACGAGTAAAATCATTGAACATAACGCCCACACAATCGTCGGATAGTTCATAACCGAATCCATATTTATCAGAATAATCCACCCATTTGCTCACCCATATCAAAGGTTTTGCAGCTGGATCAGTGTTCTCTTCTAAAATTGTTCAAATAAAAAAAAAACACAAATTTAACCATTTCCTATAAAAAAATGCACTTCTTAGAATATCAGTTTTTACAGTTCTTACCCATATTTGTCATTCCTCTCGTGATTGGTTTATTTTTCAATAGGTTGCCTAATTCTCTTTCGAGCGAAATCATATACTCTTTACAGTCTGAAGCAGAAACGCCGTTTCCGCCAACTGCTCTGTTTGGTACATTGAATAGAGGCAATTTATTAGCTGGATCTTGAGGTTTAGTAACTGCTTTAATAACGGCCGCTTTAGGGCTATTGAGTTCTGCAAATTTTAATTTTAACCATAAAAAAAAAAACAGCTCAGTTAGATCAGGGGTCAAGAGTGAACCTAACCTCCTAATAGAAGTAGTTTTTATCAAAAAATTTAACTCACCATTAAGGGGTTTGCGGTTAGAAATCGATTCCCTGTAATTGATAGAGTCGAACCGAGGTGCCATTGTAAGGCAAGACGGCGGTAACTTTTTGGGCATGTAACCAGTTGTGAAAAAATCAGACTTCATAATATCGGATACAGTAGGGCGTTTCTTGGGATCGTATTGAAGCATGCGGTTTATAAGGGTGATAGCGCTTTTATTCAAATGAGGAGGAACATTATAATCACATCGAGTAATTCGAGCATACGTCTCTTTTAAAGAGCTAGTTTCAAACGGCGGTTTCCCCACTAAGAGAGTATACCTAAACACATAAATTAGACAATTAAATAAAGATCTCAATGTTATTGGATTAACAATACTCACATAATACACCCAATAGACCAAACGTCAACTTCGAAACTATGACCAGTTTTGCTGAGAATTTCGGGAGCAATATAGTTCGGAGTTCCACACAATGTTCTGAAAATGATCACATTGTAATTTAGGATAACACAAACAAATCAGTCGAGAGTAATTACTTTTTACGTTGGCCATCATATTCAATTTTAGCAGCCAAGCCAAAATCTCCTAATTTAACTTCCATTTCATCATTTAAAAATAGATTGCCTAATTTTAAATCACGATGAATTATACCTTGTTGATGCAAAAAAACAGTACCTTCTAGAATTTGGTACACGTAATAACGAGTTTCTGGTTCGGTGAGTGTTTTTCTTCTCCTGTTAAGACAAACATAATATAATTAATAAACAGTAACAATTTCAAAAAAAATTATTTAATTGAAGACAACAGTTTTTATTATCTGAACTATTAAGGCATATTTAAGATTTTATGCATTATTTTAATTTGAAAAAAGAATCGATTTTAAGAACAATTATTTTTACAATCGGAGTTTGGCATTAATCGAATGCCAAAATGTAATTTTTTTTATCTAAATGATTCTTCTTATTTTTCATCTTCTTGTCGTGACAGTAGGTGATGACGCAATGCCCCCCCCCCCCACCGAGAAAAATTTTCATTACTTAATAGCAACACCACGAAACAATATTTAAAAGAAAACTAAAAAAAATGTTCATTTTTATTATCTTATAGCAAGAAATTATAAGAAATAATATTCATAGGACAGCCATTATATTAAATTTGTATTCAATGTATTTCATTATATATTTTTTAACTAAAGAAAATCAATGTTTAAAACTGAGACATTGCCTAATTACCAATGCTAATGTTTTAGATTACTGGATGACTTAATAGTTAATATGGTATAAAATATATAATTTTAATTAGAAGTAAACATCATTATTTAATTGTAAGCAATTAAGTGTAACAATACTAGACAATTGATACTTTGAAAAAACAATACATATATTAATTATGATTACTTTTAATTAAAATTATTATCACTACAGTTTCAAACTTATATTTTCTTCTGTGTAAAAAAAAAGGAAATGCCTAAATATGTTGAATGACAACATCAATACAAAATTTTTTTATTTAAATTATTTCCAAAATATTGTTAAATGCTCTTATTTATTTGTTAAGTTTAATATTACAAAATGTTGTATGAATATTATGATTTAAATGTCTAAAGTTTTTGCTGTTTGGGATAGGTGTATAATGTTTAAATTAAAAAAAAAGTTTTAGAATAATTGTAAATGTCCATAAATTGTTAGATTAAAAATACCCTACATTATAGTTGGTAAAAAAATATATCCCAATATTATAGGTAATGAACTGTTAATACATTTTTTTATATAACAAAAGTAGATGTTAAGCATATGTAATTTTTAAATGGATAATTTAACACTAAAATACTTAGTTACCTACCAAATTCCTGACAAAAATCAATACTGTGATGAACTCGGAAACCTGATACTGAATGATACACAAGTTCAAAGTTTGCATGACAATAACTCCTTAGACTTAATAAGACTCAAATAGTGCAATTATTTACATTTTGCTTATACATCATGTCAGCTAATAGGCAATTATAATAGGTACCTATGTAATTTAGTTTATTTATATATAATTGGAAAACATCATTCTTGGCTCAACTATTATTATTATTATACGACTGAAAGCCTAAGTTTTAAATTAAATAACCTGCTGTTGGCTTATTGCAAAAATAACAATTAATACTAACTTATGTAGTTCCATCATAGATCTTTTTCTACAAAGTTCCAAGACGATATAAACAAAATCTGGATCTTCAAAAAAGCTGTGAAATCCAACAATATTCTTATGCTTCAGTCTTTGATGAATATGAATTTCTTGAGTCATTTTATCTTTTTGATTATGTTTTAACAGATACTTTTTCGAAACTATTTTTCCGGCAAAAACTTCTTTTGTTCTCATATCTACAATCTCGTAACATTTTGCAAATCCACCCTAAAATAAACATAAAAAAATAGTACATATACTTAGAAGAAAATGTTAATTATTTTATGGTACAAACACAAATTTAAAAAAAAATTGGCCAACTTATACGTTTGTTAGGTAGGTATAAATTCCATTCAAATACAAATGAGATGTTGTTATATATGAGGGAATGATCAAATGAAAAGGCTTGTAAATAAATTATGTTTGTGCGTTTTTATAAACATGTCGATAAGCGAGTAGGAAAGGAAATTTTTAAATACAATAAAGTTGCAACATAATCATGGATGAGAATACTGGTAAAGGATTTCGATAATACCTAATATCGTCTTTAATAATTGATCCGAGATAACTGACGTTAAACAGTAAACAAAAATCAAAGTACAATTTCATAAAATCAATATTAATAAAAACTACAATATTAAATGCTAATAGCATCTGTTTTCACACAATATGTTAAAAAAAATATATATACCTACACAGAATTAAAATTTTAATTCAAAATCAGTATATTAGTTTTGATTTTTTTGGATTGGTAAATGACGAAATATGTAAATATGGTAGGTTAATTGATTTACACTATTTACATATTTTGCAGTTACTCCCGCTTGAACAGATTGACTGGTCTGGGCAGAGCAGTCAATCTGCTAAGTGGGAGCAACCACAAAATATGTAAATAGTGTAAATACAATACCCCACTAATTTCAGTAATTTTTTAGGTTAATTGATGTTTAGACATCAATAAAAATGTAAAATTTTAAACATTGGGTTAAGTATTAAGATAATAATATTTAAAATATTTCACACTGTGTTGGGATTATTTATTTCTTCAAACAACTAGTAAGATCAGAAAATTAAAATTACTAATTGCTAGTTTGAAAATTAAATAGGTATTAAGTAGATGCATAGTTTAACAATATTAAAATTATAGGCTGGTATATACCGGTGTAGTTAACTGTAGAATAAAACCTTATGTTCACAAATTAATTTTACTGTTGTCAAAAACAGGTGTTTTTAACCTACACCTATAACTATAACTAATACAAAACGTCTTGAACTTTGGTTACTTTTTGAAAATAATAATATAATTTCGTGTGGCAGTAATTTGTATTTACAAATATTTAACCTGTGCAAATACATTATGAGATCAATGCATATTTTAACACATTAATAAATAATGGTAACTATAATGTGTAAACGGTTTTTCGACAACCAAGATGTCGGTGTTGTAAAAGAATAATATTATATTTTCAACAAGACCAGAAAATGTGTAACTGGTTAAATTGAATAGCTGATGTTGGCAAAAGTCTCGGGGGACGAAAAACAAACGGAAAGGGTTGTTGTACCTGTCCAACGTGAAAAATAATAATGTGTACACAAAGGACGCTGGTTATCTGCCGCGCACTCGTTTGTAACGGTTATTGTTTACAATATTATTGTGTACGTTATTGCTACCTTTCCCAAAAAGCTGCCCCTTTGGTATTTCTTATTGGTTTTATTGTCGACGATGACCTCCGGGATTCTGACTTCGTCTTCTCTCGCTCTGGACGACATGTTTGCGGATTTGCTCGGAACGACTGGCACTAATAGACACACTGCGGCAGGACACGATTTTCCGGGAACGAGGTTATCCCAGTTGGATTGACGACAACTAGTATCGAAAGTTTATTATATTGTCGTAAAGCTACAGCAAAGTCACAGTACAAACAAAAAAAAAACGCTGATATATTGTTTTAAATATGCGAAACGCAACAGACACAACAGCTACGGTGTCGGTCCGATACGTACGAAAATAACCGTTAAATTAAAAAAACGTTACACGGCAACACCACTTCACCCGACCACGAGTGAAGGAAGCGCAGCAAGAGAGTGGAAACTGGAATGTGCGGCGGCGGCCGAAGGAAGGGGAACCGGGAACGGCCGACCGCAGCGCGCAAAACAAGAAAACGACCGTTGCTCATGGCGGAAACCGTGTATATATAAAAAAAAAAATAATAATGACATTATTATTATTATCTTCAACAATAACATTATTGACAATTAAAAAAAAAAAAATACAAAATTATTTAAGTAGTTTTAATTTTATGAAACCGTAATTTGATTTTGGTTTACTGTTTATCGTCAGCAGCAGCGGCTATCTCGATCGATTACTATAATAATACGACGATAATAACATTATCGTTTACCGATATTCTCATCCATGATTATATTGTGAGTTTACCGCTTTTTTCGATAAAGCCCATTATTCCAATTAGTGTACTACCTTTTGCGAGTTTTGCCGTCACTCGCTATCAAATATGTGCACAATGGGTACTTTGTTGTACTTGAAATGTGATAATATACAAAATAGTTCAAAACCGAACGTATTTGTTTATGACACTCGGAGTGAAATCTGCAAAGAAATGTACGACTTAATTACACACTTAGTTAATTGGTTAAAATTACAACTACCTATTTATATATTATGAAGTATAATACAAAAAAAAAACCAAATAAATAAACTGCACAATAATTGACGACTTCTTAGAGTTAGCTTTTAAGAAGACGGTTTACACCAAATTTTGATTTTTCCAGCGCATAAACTCGATTACACAGTATGCTCTTTACTAAGTTCAAGATAGATTTAATGCAAAAACACATTTCTAAAATAAAAACGATGACAAAGGAATGAAGGAATGTCATATCCTTTTTTAAAAATAATTCCTAGAAAAAAATGTACTATTATAAAACATGGCCGTATTCAGGGGGGGGGGGTTCAACTCAACTTCAAGTATTCCTGAAAATGATGTAAAAAAAAGAAAAATATTTTGATGTAAGTTTTCTTTTAACTTTAAAGCCTAAAATAGAATTAAATAATAATAAATACGTGATATTGTCGTTATCACTTATCGCCTGCTTAGGCTTATGGACACGCCAATGAATTTTAGTTTTTTTCGAATTTCGTTGGTGTACTTTATTGGAAGACGTCAATAAGGAGGAATACATTACTTATACCAAAACAAGCACTAGATAAAAGTCTAGAATTAACAAACCAGACATATAAAAAAAAGTTTTTTAAATTATTTTATTTTGAATTTAAATTGTAAGAATTGTACTGAGCAGAGAAACTTAGTACAATTATTTCGTATGTAGTTAATTCCGGTCCCTTACAGCTGTATATAATTAAATTATTATTAATATTTAAAATAAATTACTACATGTTTTGCTTACCGGTTACTTCGTATTAGGAATTTTATACTCGTTTCCAAACCACCTATGAGGTAGAGTATTTGGCTCGTTTTTTTTAATGTGGTATCTCCATCTACGATGATGCTCAAATTGTATTTACTGTACAACCACCAGAAATGTGTGGTAGGGGCGTTTCAAGCAATTGTGAACTTACGCATAGATGTCGATCCCGGCATAACTTAAGACTAACTTAAGACTAACTTAATGACTAATATATCCCGGTATCGACAGACTGAGCGGCCACGCAACAGACAATGGTGGACTTACGCATCGAAGCCGATCCGGGCATAACTTAAGACTAACTAATGACTAACTTAAGACTAACTTAATGACTAAAATATCCCGGTATCGACAGACTGGGCGGCCACACAACAGACAATGGTGGACTTACGCATCGAAGTCGATCCGGGCATAACTTATGACTAACTTAATGACTAACTTAATGACTAACTTAAGACTAACTTAATGACTACAATATCCCGGCATCGACAGACTTTGCGTATAAGAGGATACGAAGGAGGTTATCCAGTAAGGATCAAGGGATAGATATTGGTAATTTGATTTACAAAAAAATCTTGTTGGTGTAAAAATGGTGTGACTTGATTAACTGGACGCAAATTTTAAAGTAATTCATTTTTACTGAGCAGAAAATATGAGAGGTTTATGAACTATAACGAGAACGACAACAACGCGAAAGTGAAAAGTTACAAACGAAAAAATTGTTAAAGTAGTTTAGTTCAATTATCTGAAATGACAATAGTGCTATAATGTGTGAATTTACTTAAATAAATAAATTATAATTGTGAGGTTGTCCAAAATAATTTATAAAGGGAGAATTGAAAGTAAAATGGCATCATCGTACATAGACCTAATCCACACAGTACTTGACTTAGTAGAGGGGAGGGGAGGTAACTCTATTGTTTAGATATTTTAGCGTAGGTACCTACTAGGTATTATTTATTTTGCTTCCAAGTGAGACCAGAATATATTACTCAGAAATGTATCGATTTAGTTGAAAAAAATATTTCCAATAATTACACTCCCTTTTTATAAATTCGTCTGAGGAATACATTACTTATACCAAATCAAGCAATAGAAAAATGTCTAGAATTAACAAACCAGACATATAAAAAAATGTTTTTTCAATTATTTTATTTTGAATTTAATATGTAAGAATTTTACTGAGCAGAGAAACTTAAGTACAATTATTTCGTCTGTAGTTAATTCCGCACCCTTACAGCTGTATACAATTAAATTATTATTAATATTTAAAATAAATTACTACATGTTTTGCTTACGGGTTACTTCGTATTATTTATACTTATTAGGAAATGTATGATCGACCGCCACGTGTAAAAAATTGCACTTGAATCTAAAAAAAAATAACATAATATTAGTAAATAGTATTTAGTAATAATTGGATTTGGACTTTAGATTTGGTATCTAAATTATTATATATTAAGAGATTTCTACACAGCATGCTGGGTTTTTGCATTGCCTACTCTGAAGCCCGAATGTGAAATCGCCCTGTTAGACTCTCAAATGCTTAAATTAATTCACCAACTTTTAAAATTCCAAGTGTTCTCATAAAAGTTTTCTTTTTTTTTTTTGAAACAGTTATTATGAATAACAATGAGAGAGAAGAACATATTGCTGTATTATGTTACATAATATAATAACTGTATGTGTTCGAAATACCTACCATCAAGTCTCCAGGCGAAACCCCTTTTGAGTTTTTGGTCGCCTTCGGATATTTTTTTGAAATATCTTGAAGTTACGTCCAAACTTATAGTAGAACATGACAGTAATGTTTAAGTCGTTCGAAAAAGTAATTGTTTTAACGTAAAATATATCTGCAGAACGCTTCGACACAATGCATATTGTTCGCTGAAAATATTAAAATCTAAGTATTGACTTTTAATATACTATCAATATAAAATTGCTACGTCTTGTTATTCAAACAACAAGCAGAAGTTAACATAGAAACGAATTGTTTTCAGCAGTTAAAAACACACATAGAGTCAGCATAGGTTTGCAAATTTTGTGTTCAAAGAGATCCTATATTATATTATATTATATATTATAAAGGATCTCTTTGAACACAAAATTTGTTTTACATTATTGTTATTAATTTAGCATAGATTGAATTAATTGACAGAGTAATTGTGGTTGATAGAAGGGCGTATATAGTAGCTCGTCCAGTATGCATATGCGTTTTATTCAAACAATTATTTATTATAAAAATAATCTTGATCAAATGAAAGATGTAAAATTTAAATAATTAAATATTAATGAAAATGGTTTGGACATATTTTTAAATAATATGATATGGCATTGTTACTTTTTTTGACATTACAGACGAGTTGATACTATACCGTATACAAATGTACCCTATCTATAAAAAATGAAAATTATTCGTTATTGAAAAAATGCGTTGCAATTACAAATAAATTCACTTTTACTAGCATATTTAACAGTTAACAATTAATTTTCTTCAAGTATAGACTTTATATTAATAAAGCTTATTGGCTTTTGTTGTTCTATCATTAAAAAACAAGATTCTAGTTTATTTCCCTCTACTAATCATTAGACCTAGATACACATCGATTTACATGTCACTGGAAATCTCCATTAAGTTAGAAATAAAGGAAATACGATAATGATATAATATATATTCGTGAGCTAATCTAATTTCAAATATAGGTAAGACTTCTTGTTAAAACGTCTATAAGTCATGACATTATTATACCAGCAAACATGAAGCACTGATGTGCGTGGGATTCCATACTTAACCAATAACGATAAATGATAATAATATAGAAGAGGGTATGCCTATTGCCTCTGCACTAAAACAACAAATTTAATCAGCGTGCATAATGTAACAAAAAAAAAATCAACCATTTGAAAAAAATTAAAAAATTTTTAAAATTATTAACCGGTATTTTTTTTAAGTTTAAAAAGAAATTAACTTAAAATTTTGCTTCCTATAGGCAAGTATGTAACATTTTCACCATTCTCACAAAGTAAAAATTTTTATACGCGTTCGAGGATCCAAACTTTTTGGAAAGTTAAGTCACTTCTCTTTTGGTCCTTCTGTTTATACTTCTAATAAGTTACTGTTAATTGTCTCATTTTGACTTTTTACGTCACCCATTAGTCAAGTCTCTTGTTTTTTATTCTATTCATTTTCTGATAGAGTCTCTTTTCTCTTGAAATTGCTTCTATTCTGTTATATTAGTTATTGTTTTACAATGAAGTGTGGTTATTTTTTTTAATTTAGCATCTGGACCAACGATATTTTCTAAACCGCTGAACCGATCGCTTTGTGTTAATAGATCAGAAATCGTACTTGAAAGGTACTTTATTGGGCCAAAAATTAGAAAATTTCACCCCTTCTCCTTTAAAATCGATAAAAATACCCAACAAATGTACACATTTTTGAATTTAAAATTACTTTATAGTTATATCTAATTGCTTGATATAACTTCTTTATCAATAATCGAATTACTTCCAAATTTGTATGGAATATTTTTCGATAAAGTACTATCGATTTACTTTGAAAAAGATAAATCTAGTGTGAGGCTATAACTTTTCAAATTTATTAAAAAATCTTTAGTTAAATTTTTTTTTTTAAGGAAAAACGAAAAAAACAGGAAAATTACACTTTAACCATAGTAAATTTCCAGGTTGCTATGATTGTATTGAATCAATAGTCAACAGGTTTCTGAAAAATATTTTCATTAAACTGTTAAATAGGTAACAACGACAACACATTATTATAGACAGACGATCGACCTTAAATGTAGCTACACTTATATAAAAAATACAATTTTAATGACATTATTGATAATGCTTGATTAGATTATATCTGTGGCGGTCGAATGTATTGCTACATATCTATAGGTACGATCCTAAGCGTTTTTATTTTCAGTTATAACAATCTCTGATGGCCTGTGACCTCCCCCTCCCCACACTTGGTATTGGATTTTGTATTCTGATAAACAGTAGCAGCTTTGGCTATTCAAATTTATATTTTTTACAATTGTATTACAAGACATAATAGATATTAGATTATTTCCTAACACTCCAAACACTGGAGCTAAACAAGTCAAGTCCAATACTTACATTTCGCGTGGCTACGTTTTCAATTACAATAAATTTGTATATTTTGTGTAATTATATTATTTGTATAAATTAAATAGTGCTGATCTCATTTGTGTATGGGATAAGTCGAGAAAGACGTTTATTGAGATAATTTTTACAGATAAAAAAAAATCAACGAAGCATCATTGTTTTACTACAAAGGAAACTAAAACATTGAATTTATTTTTGTTAAAATAACCAAGAAATATTATTGTTAGGACTATAATGAACTTGCTTTCAAGCCAAGATTTAGTGTAATTACTAATTTCACTAATAAAACCTATTTTTTTATACATTGAACCTTTCGCTTAGTTAAAAACATAAAATTTCTTATTTTAATTTTGTAATTGAACAGCAATTAAAAGTAGTTTACTCATAAGGTAATATCAAACAAAGCGTTAGGTATTGTTTCTTAAGAATTTATTTGTGAAACAAACAAACACTACAAACAGCTTACAATTTAAATACATCTACAGCTAGTATAATAATTATTTATAAAATAAAATGAAAAATTATTAATAAATTATTAAGAAAGTAAATCTATTATTTATAACTCAATTTGCAAACAATAGAAAATAATTTAATGAGATTAAATGAATCAAAATCTCCAATAATATTGTTGTATGTGAAATGACAGTAGAAATGTGATTGTTTATAAAATTAATAAGCCCGGTTTTCTCTTCGTTGTCTGTTCCAATCTTGTCCACCACCTCCTTGTCGTCCATAGTTCTGCCTATATTGTCCCTGGTTTTGGTTACCACCTCTTGGGAAGAAGTTACCTATAAATGAATAAAAAAGACCATTAACAAATAACTAGTTAATGCTGACAAATCAAAGTATTTTAATTACCTTGCTTCATTTCAAATATTCTCTCATTAGAATCTACAAAGTTGTTGACCTTGTCAGCCAATTGAAGAGCAAGCGACTGTAACCTGCTGGGTTCGCTACGGTGCATGACAACTGTCTGGGTAGGGTCGTCGAGAGAGGCCATTAGTTCTTCATTGATTATCATTTTTGAAATAATCGAATGAGTCGAGGTTTTTGGAAGTTCAAACATTTCAGATAAGGTTTTCATTGAAATTGAATTGTACACGTGTGAATAAGTGAACAAGTATGTGCGTAACGATTCCTCTTTGATAAGACGCTCCAACATATCTCTTACTCTTTCGCTTTCGTAGAACAATTCCCAAACCTGTGACAAACATTATGTTTAAATTAAATCACTGAACGTGTCATTGTAATAATAGAGACAATACTTTGGCATTCATTTTCTCGTTAATAATAAAATTGCGAGAGGCCAACCAGTTTCCGTTTCTCATCGCTTTACTCGCAGCAACTACATGTTCACGCATCGACTCTGGAGGACCTACTAATGATTGCCTTTCACTTGATCGCAGTTGTTGATAGAACGTTTTCGATATCATGCGTCGTCTGGCATCAAACTCGTGTGCTAAAATGGAGATTATCAAATTACGCATACAAATATTATAATATTACATTCTACACAGCTAATATCTATTGATAACAAATTGTGCATTATTGAATACATAATTACCAGCCATGTATGGGATTTCAATAAGCATAGCTGATACGAGGTAAACACACTCCAATAGCTCTAAATTTATGTGCATATGGAACGGCATTTGTCTCTGTTTTTCAACTTTTTCTTGTTCTTTACTACGCTCATGTTGCCTCTGAAAATAAAACACAAATATATACAATTTATAAATAATTGAATATTTCGATACTGCCCAAATTCATTTGAAAAGTATCGTAAATTGTTATTAATTGTTAATGGTAACCCCAGTGCTATTATTAAAATATTAGTATATATTTTTTTAATCCTTTTTGAACACCATTTTTCCTCCCCTCAAAAAAAAAAAAAAACTTGTTTTTTTGTTTTATTTAATTAACGATCCTTACTTGTGGAAGCAATCCTTGAGCCAACAATTCTTTTACTTTACCAGTGGTCATTAGATCAACTAAACAATTGTGAGCATCTTTTATGTTGCCTTGACGGAAAGCGCACAATCCAATGTGAGCCATCGTACGGTTGTAAAGAATCTAGATATTTAGTAATGAAGACATATATCAGTTTTCTCCTCGTGTACAACGTATTTGCTATATTATTATGAAAAATATTTACCTGAGTAGAGGGATCTGAATGTTGAATGGTTTCTTGCAAATGAGACATAAGTACTAAATCTCTAGCTTGGAACCAATTGTCATGAAGAGCGTGATGGTATACATGACACAGAATAGCTCTTGTTCGTAAACGATCGGTGCCGTCCTTATCGTATATGTACTTGCATAAATTTTCCATAATCTGGACATTGGTTTTATGAGACGCTAATATTTCTCCCTGCAAAAGAAATAAAAACAAAAAAATACTATTTAAGATTTCTCATAATAAGTTTTTAATAATTTCATTATCACTTTTTTTTGTTTCAAAACCAACGGGTCGAATTTGTAATACAGATGATCGATTTTTCGCATGTACACTCGGCAAATTTCCGTATCAATGTTTTGATGTTCCAAGAACAACTGGACTTTATCAATAATTTCACACACACGTTTTTCGTCCTTTAGTCTAAATTATATTGTAATTTGTACATGAAATTATAATAATTTATTTGTTCAGAACAATATTTACTAACCTTTGTACATAATCATTGCTATGAGGATCACATTCCTTTAAGAGTTTAGTGAACTCTTCGTCTAATCTTTCGACAATTGTAAGAATACAACCTCGTACTCGGAAATTAGGTTTATCTAAAGTTTCAGCATCTTCTGCCACCGATTCGCCGATAAATATTGTTTCTTTGGCGGGAAGAATTAAATCTAGAAGCTCGACTATACAGTCCAACAACCTAGAGGAGAAGATTAGAAATGTAGACTAACTTAAATTTGTTTTAATTTAGAATTTTAAGTTAACATAATTATGTATTACAATTGTTTAATAAAAAAAACACTTGAAATATAACCTATTTTTGATTTAAAAACTAAGCTATGAAAACGTTTGGCGTACTTGCTCCAAATTTCTGGTTTCATCGCGTCAGACACTTTTGGGTTGTAGTCAAAAATTGACGATATGATTGACATTTTAATTTTTGTTCTTAGCCCTAATCCCAAATTATGAGCTTCCGATATTAACAACAGTTCATGAAGTAATTCGATTTGTTCTCTACGGTCAGTGCGCTTCTTTCCTCTAGCTGCTACTACTTCAGACAATTTACGTAAAACTGCTTCAGGAGTGATTTCTGCGTCTTTAGCAAACATTTTTGGTTTTTCCTAAGAGAGAATAAAAAAGACAATAACAGTTTTACTTTTCTATTGTGAAGTACAAAGCAAATAGTGGTAGCAATAATTTAATTTTGTTATTTTACAGATGGAATAGCTACTCCTCTTCGGACTTTTTGCCATTCGCTATCACTTTCATCCTCTTCTTCACGTTTTGGTTTCTTTAATTTTTCCTTCCTCTCTTTATTTCTGTCTTTCCTATCTTTCTTTTCGTCATCATCTTTGTCCGTCGACCTAAAGCACATAAAAACCAATCAATCAATATATAAAATTTTATGTTTTTATAAAGATGTCCATTTGACACATTATTAATTTGTATGAACATAGTTAAGCTATGCTGCCCTCCTAAGCAAAAATTCCGTAAGTAAAAAAAAATTTAAAAACCTATTAAACCAAGTACTTTAACGCCCTATATAACACGGTTAGGCCATGCATGTCGACATATTGTAAAATAAATAGCTTACTTTTTCAAAAATCGTTCCCTTATACTTTGATACTGTCCTTCGTCTTCACTGCTTGAAGAAGAACTTTCGGAATCACTGCCCCAATCAAACGAATCATCACTGTCAGAATCATCACCAGCTGCTTTAGGAGCCTAAATACACAGGGCAAAAAATTGTAGGAATAAAATACATATACATTAGAAGAACGGATTAAATTCTTACTTTGGGCACTTTCTCTTCAGTTTTTTTAAACGAAGCAGCAGGAGCCTCGTCTTCACTTTCACTTTCATCAGAATCAGCTTCTGCATCGTCTTTTTGGTCTTCTTCCTCGTCAGGAAGCTCAGGGTTTTCGCGGAATTTAGCTAAATCGCTTTCAAAGTCCTTGACATATTTCCTGAATTTTTGCCTCAATGAAGCTAAACTTTTAGAATTATTTTTAGATAAGTTTTTACGTCCTATACGATCATCCCAAACTTCATTAATAAAGTCTTCCATTTCAACAAGACAACGAACAAAAAAACGAGGAGCCACTCCATTTTCTTCTTTTAGTATAACAGCATTGTACGCTTTCATATAAGCACGAGTTAAATCCTCAAAACCTATAAAATTTATTAGAAAAAATGATATAATATATTAGGATTAATCTATTAATTATTTAAACTCACTTGTCAACAAGCTACTCATGTCTTTGATTTTCTTATGGTTTCTGATTTGTTTAATAGTCATGTTTAAGTCTTCATAGCGTTTTTCTTTTAAAGACCGTACAATACGTTTTGTATCCTCTTCATCATCACTGAACTATATTATAACAAATAATAACGTAAAAAAAAACAATATGAAAAATGTATTAAATATAATCAGGAAAGATGATGTGTTTATATGCAAGTTGAACTATTATAGTTTATATTACTTCTACTGTAGGTTTCTCATTTAGTTGTAAAGGAAGGATTATAAAACACAAAGATGATTATGCTCTTGGGCAAGTTGAAAAATAAAATACAATTTTAGATCACTAAAAAGATAATCGTAGAAAATTGTTGAGGTAATTGATATAAAAAAAGAAGTGAATGGATGTTATAAATTAAGACATAAAAGTTAGTGGAGTGTTTAAAAAATGGTGACCTATTGGCTATCGAGAAAGTTGAATAAGAATTAGGTACCTATAGAACATTGTAAAGAGACAAGAGTACTTATTTAAAGAGATTTTATCGACTGCTTACTTAGGATTTTACACGTAAGACCTAAGATAATTCACTTATTTTAAATTCTCAAAATTTAGTTTAATATTGAATACTTAATAATAAATACTTTAATTGCAGGCAGAAAAGAGAGCGAATTCGTTTTGTTAATCAATTTTATTCCAACATACCGTGAAATTGGCGGTAGGCTGCCGGATAACCTGTTCTTCTTCAGACGAGCTATCGGATTCAGAATCCGAGCCGGTGGCGAAAAATCTGCTCATTTTGAATGCTTATTCTTGAATAATAACTAAAACATAAATTTAATTTAAATTCTAATCATAGGAATAGAAACAACACAATTTTATTTGAAATTGATTAGGTACCTATTCAATTACACAGGAAATGTGGTACGAAACCGGATAGGTATGCATTACCGGCGGTAGCCACCAGAAATGATGCCTCCATAATGATAAGCGATATCACACCACGCCGAGTAACAGTGTTGCCAGTATTAGGTAAATACACTGGAACTACTGCAGCAGCTAGTAATAATAATAACTCATTTTTTTTCATTATTCAATTATTATAATAATAATATCAATTCAAATTTGAAAATTTTCTAGGTAGATAATAAATTATTGTTTTATTTGATCCGGTTTATTAATTGATTGAGATGAGTTATCATAATCTAAACTCGTGTTTAAAAGATGATTTAATTTCTATTATCTGGTTTGACTGTTTTTCGGCGTCTTATGTGCCCGGTTTAAGGGTTTGAATGTTGTTATGTTATGCAAATATAATTTTCTATAATATGTTATCTCAATTATGCAATAGGCGTTAGCCGAATATTATTGTAGTGTCTTCTAGTCCATTAGTATTTAGTACCTATAATATCTAAAATCAATGTAGATTCCTCTAGTCATTATTCATTCACCAAGTTGCCAGTGGGCTTGTAATTAAATATTAAGTGTGTTCAGTGTTGGCTGTTGATGATTATCGAATAGTAATAATTGCATTAAATTAAATTAATTGTAGTGGTTTTTTTTAACAAACCTCCGTTTTTTTTTACATTATCTAAAGTTTGTATGTTAAAATTAATAGATATTAAAAAAACACCATATTTTATATTTTGGTTTACCGCAATTTTTAATGACTTAGAAGTATAATAAAAAAATACAAAAAACGAAAAAAAAATGGGACAAATACATACTGTTGGTCCAAACAAAGCTCTTATAGTATCTGGTAAGTATTTACAATTATAAAATAATACTCAACGTGTTTGTGAAATTATATAAACTATTAGGTTATTCATAAAACATTAAACATTTTTGAAAATTTGGGGCCAATCACTTTTTATTAGGTCTGCTGCTTTTTCTCCAATCATTACAGTAGGAGCATAAAGATGTGCTCTCGGAACGTGTGGTAATATTGAAGAGTCTACTACTCTTAGCCTTTCGATTCCAATGACTTGTAATTTGTTGTTTACAACGTCACCCATCCTGCATGTACCACATTGATGATGTAAACTAGTTATTGTGTACTTCGCTAAACATGCCCAGTAATCATCTGATTTGAACTGGAGCTTATCGCATTCTGGTATGGGATCAGGGTATATTGTTGCACCTAAATCTTTAAAAGCTTTAGTTTCTTCTACTAATTTTACTATATACTTAAGACTATAAACAGATGTATCCAAATCAGTTTTGTTTTGATAGTATCCATAATGTAAAATTGGCCAGTGCCAAGGATTTTTGTCTTTTAACGTGACTTGTCCACGTGCGTCTGGTCTTAATAGCATAGGTACTATATTAAACGTATCACCAGTCGGTGATAAAGAGAGAAATATAAGTTCAACTTCCTTGCCAGCCGGTGATTTTATATAACCTAAACCTTCTACTCCTCCTGGTACAGTTAAAGGTCCTTCACCAAAATTAAACCAATCGTCGAATACCAATAGATCTGACAAAGCTTGCTCGCTGATTGCTACTCCTGTTCTATTGATTTTAAACCTTAAACCTAAACAATAATTTTATAATATTATAAACTGATATAATTTTAATTGAAAACATATACTTCAAAATATAGGTTTTTTTGTAATACCAGTTGTTCCATAATGGTCTTCTAAGTTTCTGCCAACAGGTAAATCTTGGATCACTGGTATTCCAAGTTTTTCTAGATGTTCTTTTGGTCCAATTCCGGACAGCATGAGTAATTGAGGTGAATTAATTGGTCCAGCTGATAAGATGACTTCCTTTTTGGCCCATACTCTCCTGGTTTTCCTTTTTTTAACAAACTCTACACCAATAGCTTTTTTTGTTTGGGGATCAATCAGTATTTTGGTCACTCTGCAAAATATTGCGACATGAAGATTCTGACGGTTTTTCACTGGGCGAATATATGCTTTAGCCGCACTCATCTGCGAAAAAAACAGTATTTATTATGAGTATTTAATATTTAGTCAAAACTCAATAGCCATCATGATTGATGCAATATTATTTTAATTTTATAGGATAGCTTAGAGAACATAAAATTGTAGCAGTTTCCATGTCCACATATTTTTTATAGTTTAAAAGGCTCATTTAGAGACATCCCGCCTCCTCTAAGAAGGAGATTTCGTAACAATTCGCTTACAGAGACGGATTTTTTGCTATAAGAAAATAATAAAGGTTGGTTTTATATTTTTTATTATTAGGAGAAAGCTAAACTCCTGTTTTTTAAAAGTTCGAAGTAGGACATTTTTCACAAAATTTTAGTTTAAAGTTCAAACTGAAGTATACCTATAGTATATATTAGTACCACAATGAGTATTCTTTCAAAGGTAACTAATTTTTTATCAGATTATTATTTTTCTTAAAAAATGTTCTATCCTAAACAAAGCTACGAAGAATCCGTTTGGCTTTGTGCATGATGGATTTAAAGCAAAAACACTCATTCACAAATTAGCACAATATAATATTTCTGAGAGCTATATTTTTGCTAAACTGAAAGTTTTCTATTACTTAATGAACGAGAACTTACTTATATATTTTTAAACAGCTACAACTTTGTTACTAACTATAATTTTTAAAATCTTAATATGATAATAAGTCTAAAACTACTCTATAAAACTGATTTGAGTGACGAGGATTTTTTTACATAAAAGTGTATGTGTGTGGTCATCATAAATTAAATGTATAAAATTGTATTTACTCTGTGTCCGTTTATTGTTGTAGCTTGTATACGTGAAATTCCATTTTCTGGTTCAACTGTGTAATCTATGTTTTTCCTCAATCCCAATTCGCCTCCTGCTTCTATAAACTTGTCAACGAGTGGTGTTTGATATTTTATTCTTTCGACGTGCAAATTCCCTTTGTTAGAATGAAATTCTGAATTCTGATATTCTGGTATCGAGTTGTTTTCAGATTTCAAGAAATAGGGCAATACATCTTTGTAAGACCAACCAGTATTTCCAAGTGCCGCATAACTATCATAGTCTTTTTTGCTCCCTCTTGTATACAACATATAATTTATGATTGATGAGCCGCCTAAACCTTTTCCTTTTGGCCACGAACAACGCTTATTTTCACTACCTAAACATCCATTTTCGGTGGGTTCGGTACTGTATCCCCAATTGTAGTCTGTCGATTGGAAGTATGGGGCGGCAGCTGGAATATCCGTGTACACAGATTCATCTTGTCCAGCTTCCAATATTAACACTGACGAGTTATAATTTTCCGACAAACGATTTGCAACAACACTTCCTCCTGGACCTGATCCAATAACAATAAAATCATACTCACGCAGTATGGGCTTATTGCCTAGGTATGTGTTTTCTCTAAAAGATATTCCTTGTTGAAGATACTGTCCGTAGAGTGATTGAAAAATGTCAACGAGAATCGATTCAACGTAATATGTGGTTGAAAATAAAATAAAAAATATAATATTGGTTTTCATGGTGAAATGAACTATTCAAGACAATGCTCTTGACCATGAACAACTGTTGTCCTTGGTCTTAACCTGAGGAATAGCCGTTATATTTTAGGTCATCCCCTCCTCCACTTTTAGTAGGTCTATACTCATTACTTATAGTGAATGTAATATATAATCCCTACTTGGTATAATCATGTACAGTTAAGTATTACGTAGTCTGTTCTTGCGAAAACAACCACGTTTGTTAGGTTGTTGAACTTCTTAATGTAGGTTATTTGGCATTGAACTTGTTTTATAACCATAAAAAATAAATTACTACATTCTGCTTACGATGTTTATAATTGTATACTAATAAACACAAACAATTAATATTATATATTGTCAGTGCAATTTAAATTTTTGGTTGTACTGTGACAAAATAAGGGCCTACACAATAATGAACGTATCCATTATAACATTTTTTTTATAAGACATTAGTTTTTTTTTTATATAGGACATTTCTGGGAATTTGTTAAATCTAAAGTATTTATTTAGGTATGTACATTAAAACCTGTTTGAAAAATTGAGGTAGTACCTTCCATACTTTAAATGTTAACAGTTAAATATAATCATCGATACCACTGATATAGACAATTGTTACAGCATTTTTGTAATAAATGACCTTGGCTTATATAAACATTTGATGGGGTTAACAAAGAAAACGCCACTAAGTTTTACTAACAATATTAAAGTTAAAAACGTAAAAAGAAAATTCGTTTTCAAAAAAAAGTATTTATTCGTAAAAGTTAAAAATTAAAAATGTATTTATAATTAAATATTTCCCCAAAAACATATATAAAACCGAGAAAAACAGAACTATCGAGGAAATGTAAAATATAATATTTGCAGTTTAAAATGTTATAAAAATTACAAATAAAAACTAAAAAAAATCGATCATCAGGAAAAAAGTTATTGTCTACAGACACATAAAAAAACATCATTATAAAACCAAAAAATATAATTTTTGTCATTCGGAAAGTAAAATATTTTTATTAATTTAAACGGTAGCTTAGGTCGTTGACGTTTAATTCATTTACATGATTTAATAGATCGATTCCTATTATTTAAAAGAACTTGATTATTTTTTTTTTTTGGCGTGTTCTGGCCATAAATGCTTTTGTAAAGTCGAGCAACGTTTGTAATTTCGCACAATTTTCTCAGTTTCTAGTGTGAAATTAAACGTGGTTCAATTTTTTTTCTATTGAATTTCGAATTTATTTTTTAGGAAATTTGTATTTTTAAGGTATGTCTTTTTCTCTTAACATTTTTTTCAAATCCAAAGGGTAGCCCTGTTTTTTTGAAAAATGTTCGGTATTTATTCTGATCCCTTAATAAAAGAATTGGTTAATTATAGTCTTACGGTCGGTGTTAAATATTTGATAACTTAATTCGGGAATCTTTAAGAGGGATTACCGATTCTTAAGCTCCCCGCCTCTCCTTATTTACGCCTCTGGGCTGTGACGGTTTTTTTCGCACCATCTGACCAGAACATTCGTGTAGCATCACAAAAATTGTCGATTTTGAATTGATTTTACGATGACTAGTATTACAAGCAAGTCATGCATTAATCAAAACATTGTCGTTTATAATGTGTAATTTTTTCGAAAAATCCATGACCCGCGTTTTCGAAAATGTCTGGCTAAATAATTACTAAAGTATTATAAACTCGTTTAGTTACAGTATTTCGTCCATACAATGTGTTCATTAACCATTAGGTTGTCTCATTAAACGTTTAAGGACCGGCATTGTTAAAAATGATTGCTCATTCGCAGTTACACTGGCAAATTCATAAGGCAAAAACAATCACGCCGCGTTTTTTAATGCGGTGACCTAAATCGCTTATTTCGTTTTGCAAAGTATACTTTATTTCGAATATTTTCAAACATATACCGAAATAAAAGTACCGTTATTTTGACGTCTGATTTTGTTCTGGCTTCATGTGTATGCAAATTTATTCCTCGTGACCGCCCAGTATAAGTTAGTAGAACACGAAAAACAGCGGAATTCGTTATACCAGCTATTGTTTTTTGAACAGACTATTATTAAATTCCTTGTATGAATTGTTTTTGATTTAATAATTAGAAAGCCAGGCGTAGATTTTATTATATAATTGTTCATGGCCAACGATGTTGAAACACACCGGTTTTCCTTAACGACGGCCCACGTGTCATACCCGTATGTCGGTAATTTTCCTTCCAAGAACGTTGCTGCAATGTTTATATTTTACAACGGTCGTTGTGTTAATATTTATTTATATTATCATTTCAGGTGGCTGCTGCGGTTCGACCAAACGGAACACCGTGGTTGGAGGATGGGCTTGGGCTTGGTGGTTCATAACAGATGTTCAATATCTGTCTCTCGAGGTAATAACAATACAGCATTGTGCCAATTTGGGCGGGGTCGTTGTTTTTAATCACTTTTTTTTCCCCTTAAGGTTATGACGTTAAATCCTGTATGTGATAATGTGGAAACTGTACACGGCGTTCCCCTCACTGTTACGGGTGTTGCTCAGTGCAAGATCATGAAGGCCGATGAACTCTTACAGACAGCATCAGAACAATTTCTCGGTAGGACCACTTCCGAAATCAAGCAAACCATCTTGCAAACTTTGGAGGGTCACCTCAGAGCTATATTGGGTACATTGACCGTCGAAGAAGTTTACAAAGATAGAGATCAGTTTGCATCACTCGTAAGGGAAGTTGCAGCGCCGGACGTCGGACGTATGGGCATCGAAATACTATCGTTCACTATAAAGGATATATACGATAATGTCCAATATTTGACATCTTTGGGCAAAGCACAGACGGCAGCGGTGAAACGAGATGCTGATATCGGTGTTGCACTGGCTAACCGAGATGCGGGTATAAGAGAGGCAGAATGTGAAAAATTGGCAATGGATGTCAAGTACGGTACCGATACGAAAATTGAAGACAATTCGAGAATGTTCAAATTACAAAAAGCTAAATACGATATGGAAGTGAACTCGATCAAAGCTGAAGCCCAACTAGCATATGAGCTGCAGGCTGCCAAAATCAGACAAAAAATTAGAAATGAAGAAATACAAATTGATGTTGTTGAAAGAAAGAAACAAATTGAAATTGAAGTTCAGGAAGTGGAACGAAGGGAAAGAGAACTTAATGCGACTGTCAGGTTACCGGCAGAGGCCGAAAGTTATCGTGTTCAAGCAATTGCAGAGGGTAAAAAGTAAGTGAAGTGTTTTATAAATTTTATAATATTTATGGTCTTTATAAGCCACAATTATACAATGAATTACTAAACATTTTCAGGACTCAAACTGTTGAAGAGGCGACAGCCGAAGGTGAACGAATAAAGAAAATCGGTTTAGCCGAAGCAACCGCAATAGAGGCCGTTGGCAGGGCCGAAGCACAGGGAATGTTGTTGAAGGCGAACGTGTTTAAAACTTATGAGGAAGCCGCCGTGATGGCTTTGATCATGGATGCCTTACCGAAAATAGCAGCCGAAATAGTGGCTCCATTATCAAAAATCGATGAAATTGTCTTGTTAAGTGGTAACGGCAATATAAGTACTGAAGTTAATCGACTAGTAGCTCAACTACCACCAGCTGTTCAAGCTTTATCTGGCGTAAATTTAACCAAAGTTCTCTCGAAAATCCCAGGTGCCCAATAATTATTTATTACATTAAGCACTATTGATTTTTGATATTGTGTTCAGATGTAGTGTTTTGACCACAAACAAAATAATAATAGCCTAAAAAATATTATTTTTATTATTTTATTGCTTTAAATTGTATTGAATGTAGTTAATGGAAAATATGCTTCTGAGTTTATGCTTTCACAATTATACATTTCTTAACTTATTTGTTATCTAAACTAAACTTTATTAAAAAACTACTTTTTGAAGTTTTTTTACTTATTATACTAAACTTAATGATATTTATTTAGTTTTTTATTTTTTATTCACTTGCTTTACTTTTTGAAAAAAATGTTACTAATATTTTGTAATTGTATTTTTTTATTACATTATATGCATATTTTTTATTATGAGTATTTTGTGATTTCAAAATTATTATTGATTTTTTCTTAATACAGAATGACTAAACAAGTTATTATTATTTTTCTTCATTCTACAAGCTCAATACATTTCATTTATTTTGGGGTTGCTGTGGTTGTTCGTTAGGTGGCCACTTAAAAGTAAGTGTTAATTTTAATTATACATAGTTACATATAACTCAATTACTCAAACATTTGCTCGTACTGTTGATTATTTGAAAAATAGTATATGAACATATTTTTGAATAATTACTTATTATTAACATTAACAGACATTTTGTGTTCAAGCATCTACAAAATTAAATTGGACGTATGGTTTAGGGCTAATTGTTTAGTTAGGGCAAAAATAATGTAGTCTAGAATTTAGAATGATACTGTGAAGATCTTTTGATTAACCGTTAATCGCTATCAAGGGACAGAATGTTGATGAAAAAGTGGTTTTAATCAATTTATACCATGTCAACTTATTTGCAGATTAATATGCATTAGATTTGGGATGTATTTTTAATGTATACATTGTGCTTGAAATCATTTTTGGAGGTAAAAAATTACAATGTTTAAAAAAACCAAAAATATTTTTTAAATAAATTACAACATTTTCTCTTACAGCAAAAAAAGAATGGTGTTATTTGTTTTTAAATTGATCACAAAAAACAAAAAATTCGATTAAATTGATGCTGACAACAGTTTTTTAAAGAAAAAATATGTAAATATTATAGAACTTTACTATATTTAACTAAGTTTAACTGTCAGACCTTAAGTCTAAAAATCAAAATAAAGAAAAAGTCTTCACCCATTCTAAGGGTAAGGGTTAAACATAAGTATGTTATTGATTATTTCACTGTGTTTAGGTAGGTACTAAATCGAAAAAAAAAAAACCACAAAAGTTGGCTGCTATTTCGACATTTTTTCAATCTAATAATTCTTATCCAATCGAGTTCAGCCTTTGATAAAATCTTTGATTAAAGTCTGCCACACGATCTGTGTCATTTTTTTACGTTTTTAGTTAACTGTAACGAATCGACTTTACCAATAGGTAATTTATGACAAAATCGTTGGGCAGGATAGGTACATGAGTACTTACTTACTGTAATTTAATAACAAAAACAGGTCTTGGACTTATGTGTTGAAGATCCATGCAAGTTATTAGTAACAAACGTAAAGTCGTAACCTTGTATAATGGGCCGTGAGTAATAAAAAAACACTGATATATTACTTTCAAGTTTTAAAAATACCCAATTTAGTAGACAACTGACAAGAGCCAATGCAATTAAATTACTTCAATAATAATTATTATGATGCTGTATTGTTGTTTTTTTTATATTTTTACGTTAATCCTTATTTAACTATTCGTAATAAACCCAGAATGTAATCATAATGCCATTAAGATTGTTGTCTCATAATTCGTATACTAGTATACATGTATATTAGGGTGGACTAAACAGCTTTTTTTTTTTGTTGGGACATTATGTCATTTTATGTAAAAATGTAAAAATTTCATTAAAATAAACATTTTTTTCAGAGATAAAAAATACTCTAGCGAGAATGTGAAAAGAATTAATATTGACGGAGATGCAGGCACCAAAAGATAAAATTTTAAAAAAAATACTGATTATTCACCTTTAATTTTTTTTTGAAGCTTTATGAAGGTTTCTAGTATTTTATCTATTTTCTCAATTACAAAATAACGTGACCCTAGTAGTAATTTCCCATGAATTGGGTACGTTGCGTATAAATCGTGACACGTTTTAAATCATTTTATTGCAATTTTAACGAAAACTAGGAAATTAATTTGATGCCGGGGTAATTTTGGGCACACATTATAATATTGTTCACTTAAAAAATTATAATTGAATACCTAATAAATATCGTTACGACGCCCATTAAAAATTGCAAGATTATTTTACAAAATAATAGTCAGATAACCACATTTCATCAAATCCCCTACTCCGCCACTAAGATGGACATTTTTACTATTTTTGTTTGTCTAACTTAACCTTCTTCTTGGGTATTAACGGCCACTAGGACCATCCCGTCAAACAACCAATCCTCCAAGTCTCTCTGTCAGCTGCTTTTGTTTTCCAATCTGGACCACCATTCAGTGATTGTACGTCCCTCTTTACTACGTCTTCCCATCGTAAACGGGGTCGTCCAAGAGGTCTTTTCCCTTCTGGATTCTTTGCCAATACCATGTGTAATAGTGGGTTCTGACTATGAGCACATGCATTTCCTTGTCGAACTCCCGTGTCTTTCGGAATAGTTGTCTGAGAATAAATATTTGGTCCATCGTAGATGTTGATCGTTCAAAGCCTCCTTGATAATCGCCAATGGTTTGCTCTGATTTTGTTTTTATCCTTGACAAGATACAGTTCGCGAAAACTTTATACGCAACACTTAGAAGGGCAATTCCTTGATAGTTATTGCATTCTTGTCTGTCTAACTTAACCTTAACAAGTAAAAACATGTCGGTTGATTTATTTATCATAGAACATGTGTATAGTATATGAGTGTGAATAGTACATAAAAAAATACAAGCAAAACTATTAATTAAAAAAAAAAAGTATGAATTGTTTACCTAACAAAGTGGCTTAAAGTCGCTAGTAACGTACCACGTGCTAGGAACTTAACAGATTAATTATAGTGATTATAATTAAATGTCGTTTCACTATATAAAGGATTAATTACTGTTAATGTTGCATGACGAAGCAATACCTGACCAGGGTTAAGGGCATAGGAAAAATAGTATATTCTAATAATATTGTAAAAGAATAATGATTGTCAACATCGACAGCTGCCGTTGCTTTGAACTTGGTGCGGGCAAATGAAACAATGACTATGGAAAACGCAACTGAAGTATCATCAATGTGTGGTAAGAGTTATAAATAATTGTTGATCAATGGGAATGCGCAATATTATAACACACAAGAAGTCTAATTGGTCAGATTAAAAAGAGGGCATGATTTAAAAGTTTAATTTTTAAAATGATAAATCGGAATTCTTGGAATTTCCTTGATTACTTTGTAGAAAAAAAACCCTTGAATTAGGCCAGTCATTTAAACATTATGTCTGTAGTATTTTGCTACCATTTTTATTATTGTAATTTGCTAAATGTATAACACTTAGGCTTATTATTAGGCTTCATTAAGGCTTAGGGGAATGTTCGTTGCCTACAAAGTTGGGAATTATTTAGACGAATCATCTTGGATTTGGTCGAATAAAAAAAAGTATTCGAAGAAATCATCTTAGATTTGGTCGAATAAAGAGACTATTCAAATAAATTAGTTATTATTGGTTATTCGAATAAAAAATTCCCAACTCTGCCTGCAGAATTCAATATGTTGCTATAAAACAGAAACTAAAATCACAAAGAGTCAATACTTAATGAAACGTTATTTCATTAGATATACCCTGATCAAGTTACAAACTGAAATATAATTTACAATCTTAACAGTTGTAACATGTACCTACCTAGTACCCGTACAAAGTTGAGCAAGTCGCTCAATTTATAGTGTTATTACCAGATAATAATATACAATTTCCACTTGGCTAAATTCTCATAGCACATTTTTTTTTAAAGAAAAGTAATTCTTTAATTAAATTCCCGGTTTGATCGATAGGGGCATATTAAAAAACCAATTTGATGAAGAGTATTCATTAAAATAGTTTAAAATAAAAGAAAAAAGTAACATTAAAATCCGCTATTATTACTAAACCGGTTTTATTATTTCTTTTTGTATAGTGTGTTAACCGGCTTAATGTTATGCATATGGTCCAACGATAGGTCAAAAACCTAATTCGATATTGAAGCCAAAAAACAAACATCAAAATAGTAATATTCTTGTTGAATAATAATAATAATTCTGATTTCTGTTGTTTTCATGGTCATTTTTCAACCATGAAATTTTTTTAGGTATTTTCCAGTGTTTTGTTTTAGGTCGTTAGTCTTTTAAATATTAGCTATTTGCAGTACACAGGTAACATATTACTAAACTGTAGGTATAATATTTAGGTAGTTAAATATAATTGCGGTGCGTGTTGCGAGCGGCTCTTTAACTTATAATAATAGTATTGTTTATTATAGTATTATTCTATGTACATAATTAACGTGGTCTCTGACCTTGTGTACTTTTTTAACGGTTTCGATATTTTGGTCGTTTGTCAAAATTTGATGAGGTGGAATGAGATAAATATTTTTTTTTCCGGCTAAAAGTGAATACTCGTAGTTACCTAAACCTAAAGGTACCGAGGAGAGGGATTTTATGGATTTCATATTGCGAAAGTTATCGAATCTTACTTGCAACTGAATTAATTTTACCCGAGGACAGGATTTACAAATATACTAAGTATTAGAATTGTTTAAATTGTTTTATTAAAAATATCTCACAACAAGCCATTGTACATTTTATACACGTTGTTTATTATGTTCACGTTTTTATTTATCTGATACAAAAGTTACAAAAAAAAAAAAAAATGTTAACTATACACTTGACTAAACAAATAATAATAATTTACTATTATTATAATATATACTATGCAGTACAGGTGTGTATATGTACAGTTGGTATTGAATTTTCCAATTACCCAATTTTTACAATTTTTATCACAGTCACAGCGCGTCGTAGAGCCAACAACGTCAAACGGCAATGCCCCAGTCTTGCTTGATCATGTCTGATCCTTTTTCGGCGACCATGATGGTCGGCCCGTTTGTGTGCGCCGCCGGTATTACTGGAATTATCGAAGCGTCGATTACCCGTAGCCCGGCAACACCGTGCACCCGCAGCCTGGGATCCACCACGGCCGTCGGATCTCCCCGGGGACCCATCTTGCAGGTGCCGGCCAGATGGTACACCGTGAACGTCAGCTGTCTGGCCGCGCACTTCCAGTAGTCGTCCGAGTCGAACCGATGGGACTCGCAGCCCGGCATAGGTACGTCCCACAGTCTGGCGCCCATGTCGCTCATCGGTGTGGCCTTCGTCAGCCGCTGGCAGATCCTGACGCCCTTGACCACGACGTCCAAGTCCCGTTCGTCGGCAAAGTAATTCGGGTGAATGGCCGGATACCGGAAGGGGTTGCGGTCTTTGAGCTCGATCCACCCTTTGCTTCGCGGTCTCATGATCATCGGGAACACCATGTACGAGTCTTTCTGTTCCGTTTTCCTGTACACGCGGTTGTACACGTGATCGGTAATGCCGAACGTCTTCTTCAGCGTCTCGTCCGAACTCACGGCGCCGTTGACGAACAACAGCTCCAGGTCGGGATGCCCCAGCGGATCTCCGGGCCGGCTCAGGTCGAAGAACGCTATTGCCTCCGTGCCTCCCGGTACCGTTATTGGCCCCCCGTGGTTGACCATGAAATCGTACAGCGTGTTGGGATCTTCCAGGATCCGTTCAGTCTTTATCGAGGTCGTCTCGTTGACGATGAACGTGAGGCCGCCCAGAGCCACGTGGTCCATCAGGTTCCGGCCGACAGGCAAGTCGCGCACCGTCTTGATGCCTTTGGCCGTCAGGTGTTGGGCCGGGCCGATTCCCGACAACATGAGCAGATGAGGCGAATTGATAGCACCGCCCGAGACGATCACTTCCTTTCTGGCGAACACCCTGTACTTGGTTTTCCCTCGGTAGTACTCGACGCCGATGGCACGAGTGCCCAAGCTGTCGAACAGTATCCGAGTCACTTGGCTATTTTTCCTGACGTGCAAATTCCTCCGCTTGCTGGCCGGATGCAGAAAAGCCACGTTCGTACTGTGCCTCAAGCCGTCCTTCATGGTCACTTGATGGTAGTTGAAGCCCACTTGACTCTCACCGTTTATGTCTCTGACGGGATAACCGATTTCTCGTCCGGCTTCGACAAAAGCGACGGCCACTTTACTTTTGTACGGGATTTCCGTTATGCTGAGCAGACCTCCCTGTCGATGGAATTGCGGATCTTGGAGAGTCAAGTTGGCATTTTCAGATTTCATGAAATATTTTAATACTTGATTCGAATCCCAACCTGAAGCGTAAAAAAAAAAAAAACAATAAGCTTAAACTTAGCTACCCCGTGTATTCTCACGACAATAATTATGCGCATATATTTGCAATGGCGAAGGGGCCAATTTTTTAATAACACAATAATGTCACAATTAATTTACTGAATTGGTATAATTAACATGGATATGTTATTGGGCTCGATACAAGAAATTTAATGTCGCCACTTTCACTTTGAGTTAGAGGTAAGAGATAAGGGATTAGTGATAAAAGATAAGAGACAAGAGTTATGTGATAAGATATAACATATTGTTTATCTATACATCTATAGCATGAGTATTTTTTTTAATGGAAAACTTTGTACTTATTAGTGGATTCAAATTAGGTTTTATCGTGTTCAACTATTTAAATACGAGTATGTTTCAAACAAAATGATTTTGTTATTTTAATTTTTTTTTCTTATTTACAAGTTAAGTGAAACATACATTCCCAAAGTAAAGAGTCTTACTCACCGACATTTCCCGCTTTTGCCCATGCGTCATAGTCTTTCTTGTGTCCTCTAGTGTATATCATGTAATTGAGTACGCTCGAGCCGCCCATGACTTTTCCTCTGGGATAATTGCATTGTCTATTTTCGTGACCTGAAAATAACAAACTACATTTAGTTGGGTTAGGTTGTATTACTAATTATTTTGGACGGCCAGATTCATATTTAGTCAAAAGATGGTAGTATTACTGAACTTGAAATAAGCAAAATTAACGTTTGAAATTTACTATAATAATAGTAATATTGTTTTTTTTTTATGATTGTATTTTAATATCATATGCAATTTTGAAAACTATTATTCATTAGCAAGAATAGTGATATCCTCGATTTACATCTAAACTAATGCTATTCTATTAAATCAAGGTTACATAGGTTATACCGCCAGTTAAATAAGTTACCAACATCTTAGAAATTATTTTTTTCAATATATAATTATTAGGAGTCAATTGATAGCAAATCGTATAAACCGGTTACTCGATAGCTGTTTTGTGTACACTCAGTATTTGTTCTTTTGTTACCTAAGGAGGTATATGAATAAAACAAATTTCTATATGATAATACTCTATTCAACTTAAAAAACACAGTTGGCGGCGATAAAAGCACACGGGTGGCGTGGTCTATTAGAGTGACCACCAACTGTGTTTCTCATCTTGAATAGGCCTACCAATTTTTTTTTTCGCAGTGCATTTAAAAATATCAAATCTAAAAGTATTCAAATTTAAATAGTATGTATTATGTATCATAGTGTGTAGTAGAATATAGCCGTGGGAAACTAAATTAGGCATTACAATTTCATAATATTTATTTAATATGAATCTGTAGAACAATAATGCTAATCCAGTAATATGTACATGTGCCCTAAATCCTTTTAATGTAGCAGAAGAAAAATGATATACATTGTATTAACTATTTGAGATAAACGAAAAGAATATCGCGGGTTACTCTCTCAACCGTTTTTGAGAGGGAATTATTGTACGTTTGCATTGTCATTTAGGTATCGTACGTCCGACGATCACGGTGTCTTATATATTTTTGTGTACATTACAATTGTTTTTGAAGACTTAACTTTTTTTGTGTATCTAATTTTAAAGCGATACCTTATTGACTAAACGTCTTTTCGATTAATTTCCAAATAGAGCCACGGGGCAACTAGTTAACGATCATTTACTGGATATAGTCCTTTAAGTTTGAATATTACAGATATAGCCACTAATCCAACTTTAATTATAATTAGAAATAGTCCCTCATATTGGCTAACAATCGTATTAGGAGATACTGGCTAATTATCGTTTAGTGTGGAATCGTTTTAATTAGAAATTAGTATACAACCAGTCTATCTACAGCCGTGGTCTTACCCAAGCAATAGTTATCAGACGGCATAGTCTTGTACTTCCAATTGGCTTCAGTAAACTGCAACATGTTTGCTGCCAACGGGATATCCATGACGAAATGTTCCTCCTGGCCGGCTTCTATTAGTAGCACCTTCCATTTGGGTATCTAAAGTTCAGTCAAGCAACAGACGTTATATCTCTTGTGCGTTCTATTTAAACTTGTCCTGGTGTACTTACTTCCGACAGTCGGCTGGCCACCACCGCCCCAGCAGACCCTGCGCCGACCACGATGAAGTCGTATTCCACACGTGTTATCGGTACGTCCCGGGACGCTTTGTTCAACGTTGACACTCCCTCGGCCACCAGTTTCAAAAACGCTGGGAACAAAGGTGGGAACTCCGTGGTTGGTCCCAGACCGTTTACCTGGGGCGCGGCCAACAAAGCGACCGCAAAGGCAAACGTCCACATTGAACGTGCTGCTGACAATATATTATTATTAATATTATGAATACTGTCTACTACAGAGCCCACGACCAAGATGACCGTTTTTGTAATATCAAAAGTTAGCAATCTTTTTCACATCTGTGATCGAAAATAACCAGCTGATGGGAAATTAATATTAAGGAAGTCAGATGATCATAAGACAAGTTCAAGATCCAATGGTTTTTCTTCAAGGAAAATGTTAAATTATTATAATTAACTGGTGCGGTGTAGGTCAACGTCTAGTCAGTAACTCGTCAGAATACATACTAGAACGATAATAATATTTAATTATACGTTTTGACGAATCACAGAATTTACAGCTCTAAAACTTATTATTGCCTCATATCTAGTGACCAAAATCTAAAACAGCTATACAGTGTATATGTACCTATAACTTAACTGAGTATTCAGTAACTTTTAGAAGGGTCGTATTAGCTTTCGTTTCATCACCATTCACTTATATTTGTATTCAGTGGCGCCAAATCTCACACAAACTTCTGAATAAAAAATATATATTTCATGTAACCTAATTAATCTACCCCCTCCCCCAAAGAATATTCCTACTTGTTTGGTGATTATGTGCAATTCGTAAAAATAATTCTTTAAAATTAAAAATGTAACTTTAATAACAACGTTTAATCTTTTTTTTTTTTTAAATAAAAATGTATACACATACATTTTATTGGATTTTTTCGCCGATTTTAAATCAAGCAGATTTCTTTTGATTCATTATTTGATCAGGTTTCTGTTACTTAAAATAGATCTTACAAGTGATGATTATTCGAACGTTTTGGATTTAATTTTAAATAATATAAAACGTGTTGTTCGTTATGTATGAACATAAAGTATGCTTAGTGATGATTTTTTTAAGAACTCCTAATTTTTACGGTTGGCCTATTTAATCATTTAGTTTGGCTGTGTTATTTCTTATATGATTTTTTATATAAATTAATCCGCTGGGTGTTGGTAGAATGCTTAGAATTTACCATTGCCTTCAAATCTTTGAATTATTTAAAAATACGTATTGTTAAGCACACTCATGGCTATGAAATAATAAGGTTAATCTGTTTAATAATATGCCAACTGTAGATAGTTTTATAAGGTAATATAATTACAATAGAGCGTGTTTTTTTTTTGACAATTCATACGATCAATTACTTCATTATAATAATTGGTAGCATACAATAGTAGTCTTTTTCTTAAAAAAAAACAGAAGTATTACTTGCGGCTAGAGTCGAGCGTGGGTCCATTAAGGACAAATGTGCTATAGGTGCAATTATTATGCAGACAATAGGTACAGAACATGTTTTACCTTCGGATAAAGAAGAAACTTGCATATATTATTTAATGAACCTTCGAAAACCCCGTAGGTTTTTTTACACCGCTAGGATTAGTCACCGTCGTCTAAAGTCTTCGTCAATGTTAAGTTATTGGAAAAAACCGATTACTACAAATTTTTCATCCACATCCACAAAAGGATGACTTTCATTTTTCAAAATCATGACTCAATTTAATACAATTTACATCATCGACCACTGGTGGATCGCCCGACGTATAGTGTAAACTCCACAACTAATTAATTTTTGTAATCATTTTTTTTTTTTTTTATAACGATTATTATAAAACAAGTCTCAATTTTGGAACTTATAAGACTGGGCAAACTAATTGTCAATATATTACTTCATCAAAAAAATAAGTCTAATGAAATAGTTATTTTTAATTGGTTTACAAGCTTAAGTTGGATTGAGCTTCCAGTTGAGTGTTGAACTAACCTAACATAATGAAGTAACTCAAATAAATTAAAAAAAAAAAAACTGTGTATTTGTATCACATTTTTTACATCTCAAATTTGTTTTTAGTTTGGAATAACTATGAATTAGTAAGTTATAAAGTTTATCCAGATTAAGTCTGGTAACGATGAAATTAACTTTGACTTATCAACGCGTTAATGCTAAGCATTGCTATCAAACTTACCAATGCTTTCTTTTCTTATATTGAAATGTTTGGCATTCTGAAAATCTTTGATCTTTTTTGTGTTTCATGCGTTATGTTGTAGCATATATTGTATTTTCAACCAATACTCCAAGGTAATTTTTACTGCTATTACATGATTTTAATTATTATTTTACGTTATTGTTCTTATCAGTAAAATCTGCGTAGGTGCGTTTATCCGGTTTTTTAAACCGGATAAACCACTATTGATTTACAAACTATTTTATGATTAAATTATTGTACATAATTGATGTTTTCTGTTGGCGTAAAATACATCTTGTGGGCAAAATCAAGTTTACTAGAACTGATCTAGATGTGTATGTAAACGACGTAAGGTAACAAAACAGTTGGGAATTTCAAAAGACGTATCACCTCAGGCACATGTGCCAATTCAATGCAAAACAGTTACTAACCATTTTTAAAAGTAACTTAACCCTGAAAAACTGACTATTGTGCTCATGATTTCATACTCTTCGGGGTTTTCTGTACTCTCTTATTCTCTATCTTTTCTTGTGTTTCAACGCCGTAATGTAATTAATAATTAATTAAATCGGTTATGACCCTATTATTCAGGTATTGGGTTTTTTGTATAAAAAAAATGTGTTTTGTCTATCTAACCATTTCACTTTTTAGAGGCCATATTCCTAAGAACAAAACGTTTGAAATTATTTTGTACTCATAATTCTACTAGGATGTTACGGATTTTTTTTAACCGTTTACCGTTTTTTTTGTAACTAACGTAATAATTATTAACTAACAACTACAGTTCTTAAATAGTAAAAATAAAAAATAGTAGATTCTGAAAAAACGAAGTAAAGAAAATGCAACACACTACTTTATATGAACAACTAAAACTGTTGATGTAACAAGCAGGTAAGCAACAATAATTTTATTTATATGTTATTTCTCCACAACATTTGTAACTCATGCAATTTTTAGTTTCAAGGTCTGAAAACACTAACATGTTTTTTAAACACATGCCAGCTATGTTGTAAAATAGGTTTAAAAACTGTATAAGTAAATGATTTATATTATATATTTTGTTGAGTTAAATTACATTAAATATTACTAAATAACTTCTATGTTAAAAATTCATTGAATTTTCAGTTAATTTAAATAAATTAAAAAATTATAATACACATATATTATATTTACTTAAGAGGGTGTCGCACCGGTGATTTTCAGTGGTAAAAACATGTTTTCACCAACTGAAAATAAAACGCTTTATTTTGGTGTAAGAGTAAAAGCACCCATTACAAAATTAAAAGAGAACAATATTTCGGTGGGCAAAACGGTGCGTTTTAAAAAAAAAAAATCGTTTTTTGAAAAGTTACAGTCATTTAAAAATGTTAAAATAGTCGTTATTTCTAAACTATGTATTGAGGGTTATACTTGGAATAATGAATAACCGCACCGTCTTGCCCTCCGGAATATTGTTCTCTTTTAGTTTTATAATAGGTGCTTTTACTCTAAAACCAAAATGAAGCGAGTTATTTTCAGTTGGCGAAAACATGTAGAGATGAAAAAACATTTTTAAATCGCTTTCAAGATGCTGTGATTGTCCAAAAAATAAATTAACTACCAAAATAGAGGCCTAGTTATTGAACTAATAATTACACACCACAGTTTAACCTTTAAATTAAGATTTTGTAAAAAATTGCCCATACTTTTCTCCTTAAAAATGGGCGGTGCGACGCCCTCTATATGAATATTTGTAGTAAAACAATTAAAACAAACCAATAGTGTCTTCTCTCGTCGACTACTGTTAAGCTACATTTCAATTTTATTTTTGCTTTTAGAATAGTTATACTTGAATAAAAAAACCTAAATTAATTAGTTACGAATTAATCCAGATTCGAAGGAGTTAACCTTATGAATAAGTCAATTGGAATTTAAAGATTAGTTAAACATGAATATAAGCTAACTTAATTAACCGGAAGATTTTATGTATTCCACTTTATAGGTAATTACAAAAATAAATGGCCAGCTGCCAGGGACTTGATGCTTTGAATTTCAAAAAGATAAATAATGTTTGTACTCGTATTTATTTCACTGAAAGTTATTTTACTAGATGAGTATTGGACAAAACTGGTAGTTTGTATTTATTTATTTCTCTGTCAATAATTTAAAAGTGTTAAATTTAGCCAATTTCCGAAACATGATTAAAAACAAAATTATGATGTTCAGTTCTGGACACAATGTAAGTATTATAGAAATACATAAGCAAAAAAGAAGCATTATTAGCACACCTTTACCAAATACCAAGTAACGCAAACCTGTAACTTGACAACAATATTATAGGCATATAATATGACTATGGCGCTCTTAAACATAACATGTTCTATTATTCTTGATAGTCCGCTACTTAATAGCGATGATAGTATACACTGAAATTAATGGTTGGGTATTAAATTATATACTGTTTATTTTTGTAACCTATATTTTTGTTTTCTATGTTCTCAGTAGTTTAGTCTTGGTAATTTAATTGCTCGCACGTGTAAAATTAAATATAAGGAATAATTGTTTGCACATGACCAATTAAGTGTTTTATTATACTGTATAGGTCTAGTAAGTAATAGCTAACAAACTAATAACAACTGATAATAAACTCTATATTATTTTTGTGACATATATAAGGCCAATGCAGTGCATATTGTTTTTAGTTTTAGAAGCTTATTGGTTAATTAAAATTTCCAGGAAAATATTAGATATGCTGAGTGCTAATGAATGAAGTTACCCAAGTAATTATTATGGTCTTTTTCAGTGTTATCAAAAAATGTATGAATGATATAATACCTATATAATATACATACAAGCAACAATAGAGTCATATTTTTTTTACAAAATAAAAGTTCACGCTAAATTCGATTTTAGATTAAAATAAAAAAAAAATGATTTTCATAATAAGATGGTAACCTTTTAAAATTACAAAATGTAGTTTATATATTTTGCAGCGAGTACCTTTCAAATTTCAACCACTGTTCGTATTATTATTTTATCTCTT